CAGAATAACCCCGAAAATTGGGTAGAACAGCTCCCCATGGCAGAATTCGTACACAACCACCAAAAACACAACTCTCGCAACGCATTGCCGTTCTTCCTAATGATGGGATACGAACCACGAGCTCTTCCACACATCCTTTCCGACTCCACAGTTCCCGCAGCAGCGGACAGACATTGCTCGCTCCAAAAGTCTAGAGAAGAAGCGCTCTCTTGCCACAACCTTGCAATGCAGCGTATGGCAGAAAGAACTCATGGACAAAAGTATCACCCCTGGAAGATTGGAGATAAGGTTTGGTTATCTGGGAAGAATCTGATCACACAGTTACCTTCACGGAAGCTCGCTCCCAAGCGATATGGCCCATTCTTAATCACCGCCGTCCTGTCCCCTATCACATTCACACTCTGACTACCGCCTCAGTGGAAAGTTCACCCCACGTTCCATGCTTCCGAACTATCGTCCTATCATGAAACAGAGGTCCACGGGCCGAACTTCCACGACCCACCCCCTGATGTCATCGATAATGAAGAAGAGTATGAAATCAATGCGATCTTATCGCACAAAGGAACGGGTAAACGGAGACGTTATCTCTTATCATGGAAGGGATACTCATCTGCCAGTAACGAGTGGGTTCCTGAAGAAAACCTCAGTAATGCCTCCAATATCCTTGCTGCCTATAAGAAGACCCATGGGTTGTGAAACTCCCAATAATGTCCCACATCGAACGACTATGTCTTTGCATTCTCCACATCGAAGAACTTACCGCTGCCATGAACACCATCGCTGAAGGAAACGCTCATCCCTTAACGCTCTTAGATTACCAGAACACCACCGCCACCAACCTTGCGCAACACGCATCCTCCCCCGTAGTTTCGCCGCCCACTTCCGACTCCACCTTAACCCTTACCGACGACTCCACCCTCACCGACTACTTCTCCATCATTGATCAAGTCGAAACCAGTGCTTTGTTCGGATCCACTATCACCTCCCAACAGTACGCTATTGAGATAGACTGTCTCCTCGGAGAAAGAGGAGCAATCTCTAGCGGCCTTATAATCAGAATCATTAGGGATGCCAGCCTTATTGACCGCACTGCCACCCTTCTTGATGATGAACATCATCAAACCATCTTTCGTCATCTTCACATACGCATTCGCAACACCGCAATCCGTCTCCTACCAGAAGAAACAAGAGACGCTATCAGAGAAGCCATCCATATCGTCACTGAGCGAATCACCCTCAACCCTGTCGCACAACCGCCTTCCCCCCACATCGCCATCCCCGTACCACCACCAGTCCCTGTCGCAACTACCATGGAGCATCAGGATAATAATATCCCTCCTATTGCCGTACTTAACGTACCGACTTCTCCTTCTCCTGACCCAATCATACACACCACACGACAACTCCCGCTCAAACGTAGATCCTCCCGCCTCGCTGCTAAACGAGCTGCTTCCATCTCCCCTGCTAAAGCACCACTGAAACGATCACGGTCACGGTCCCCCCCAAACCAGTCCTCATCCGTCACAGTCGTAAAGACATCGCCGGCCGATAACGTCGTATGTCGTAACTGCCACGTCGCCGGTCACCGTCACAAGAACTGCCCTGCATATTACTGCAGAGTTTGTAGGGAATATGCACCAGGTCATCTGTCGGTCTTTTGTAGAGACTTAAAAGGAGAAGCGGTTATTCCTTTGGTATGGACTGATGTCGGTTTTTACGATGTGCTTGCTCGCTGGGAGATTGAGCAAGACGCTATCGCTCACAGTGAGCAGATGGCGCAAACTACCATCACGGAAGAGCAAGACGATCTTCTTGATTCCAACTATGATGCAGACCCCATCTACTGGGCTAACCAAGATATGTGAAGTCGGTGACTTCATCGCTAAACGAGGGGTAATGTTACAATAGTGGGTGCCCCCTATCTCTTTTCTCGTACCTGTGTATTACGTCATGACCGCACCTGGCTGTGCCATCATTAGACCAACGTCTTTCTATATCTGTATTACAGCACAACCGCCGCATGCCATCAATAGCTGACTCATCCCTTATCTCTGACTTGGTCCCTTATCTCTGACTCATCTTGATGACAAATGCGTACCTACCCTAAAGTAGGCTACACCTATATAAACCAGGTCCTGTACTTAGATAGACTTCACTTTAATCTACTAGGTCTTACCTGCATTTATCCTTCGCTTAGGACCCCCAATCCTAAGTCGTCTGATATCAATATTCAAGCCAGAGACACTCTCTCTGACTTGTCTTAAGAACCTTACATTTGTGAGGACACGATCCGGCCTTAGGTGTACTCTTATCGAGTACCTATCGTCGCGCCTATCCTAGTCGACCTACGGTTCGCCGTAACAAACAGAGGTAGACTATCCTAAGGTAGAGTTAGAGGGACAGGAAGTGGACCAAAGTCTGGAGAGGGTAAGTGCCGGAAAGGCAAGACTCCAGCCTAGGGAAGCAATCCCTAGACTTGGGATGGAGACATAGGGGACAAATCTGAAGGTCTGGAATTCCAGCCTAGGGAATCCATCCCTAGGCCTTATGGAAAAGGACAAACTCAGATGGACTGAAGTCCAGAAGAAGATTGGGCAAGTAGAACAGGATCTAAGATGATATTCAGACTGAGGACTCTACTGTAGTTGTACAGGGGTTATATACTAGAGAATATCCAAGAGGATCAGTAAGCAACAGAGTAAGGCTATGTACAAGTATGTGGAAACACATTGGTAAGTAAGACAGAACATAAGTAAATGAACTCAGAGATGAAACTAGTACAAGGATCAATCAGCAAGACAGAAACAGAGATAACTGAGAACTAGAAAGGTGGAGATGCCTAAATGGGGATAGGTGCAGGATCTCAGACAGAGGGTGGGAATAGGTCTGGAGATGGTAACAGTTAATATCCAGAGGTCTGGAGATCTGGGGATCTGGAAGGCAGGGTGGAAACAGGACTGAGATATGTGAGGTGGTGGATGTAGTCCAGAATCCAAGAGAAGGTAAAGTCCAGATGTCTTGCTGGATGGAATGTGCATAGGGTGGACAGGATAGGGGTGTATGGATCAGGCTAGTAGTAAAGATCCGGAGGTCCAGAGCTCAGGGGTAATTCCATAGCAGATCTAATCCTGCTTAGATATGGAGCACACAGTTAAAGGGGATCTGGGAATGAGTCAGATATGGGGTCCAGAAGTAGGTCTGGAAAGTGTGGGAATATGATGGGATCTATGTCTGGCATATGGAATATGACAAGGGTGAAGGGAGTGCAAAAAAAATACCCTAGTCCATTTTTGTTGACAGGCATCAGCCATTTTGACTGCACCACTTGTGGTGGTGTGTGCTACATCAGCGGTGGCCTGTGTCCAAAAAGATTTGTTGAAATTGAGTCTATCACCCCCTTTTACTTAATGGGTAGTGATATAGTCAAGGAGGTGTGACTCATCAGCACTTGACCAGTGGCATCTTTTGGCTTCCTGGTCTGCTGATCCAGCACTTTTCTTCTCATCCATCACCTTCTTCTTTGCCATAGAGATATATAATGGTAATGAGATAATACCACTGGGTTGTGAATGAGTACCATGGCTGGACTTGGAAGTTTGAGTTTGGGTTCATGTTGCTGGCATGTTGGATATCATATAATCTCTTGATTATCAATTATCACACTGATGTCACACTGTACAAATCATGATAAAGCAAACTTTGATCAAGTTAAGTCAAGTTAAGTTGGCAAAATTTGCATATCCAAACAGACTCTTATGATTGAACTGCTCTAGGCCTATTTAATGCACATTCATTCATCAATCCATGCCATCCATAACCAACCTCAAGTTCAAGGTTGTTTTTTCACCCAAATTTTCCCTGCATCAAAGCACTGACCTTAACATGTATAGGAGTAGTATTGTGCAAGGCCTGGCTCAGCCCAAAAGCCAGGGCTTGGGCTCAGCTTACCAGGGCTCAGGCCTACTCAGATTGCAGGCTGGGCCCTCCTTGATGGCTCAGGCCCAGGCTGGGGCTTGTATCCATTTGTGGTGGAATGTTGGAAATTTCTAAAGGGGGCTTGGAAGGCTGCTATATTTGGACTGAATTATGATGCCTTCTAACTTCATTGCATCCAAGATTTAAGTTGGACTGAGTCTATTTGCAAAGGCACTGACTTGTTTTGGTGTCTCACAAGATGCTGTGCTCTGTTTCAACAGGCTGACAAAGTTCCAAGGGGCTTGGAAAACTATATAGTTTTATATTAATAATCAGCAATGTCTGTCCTATCAGGTGACTTGTATCAATATAATCAATCAGTTGCTGATTAGTTGCTCATATCACCCTTAGCTGCCACAGATATCACACCTACAATTGCCTTTTTCAATAACATCAATCAATCTCTTGTTCATTTTGCATTTTATTGGATAATGTCATCTGCACAAAGACACGCACATGTATGGTCAACATCTCAATTATCTGCCCAGGTTTGATGCAAGTTCTGTCAGGAATATTTTTCTCCTCATGGCATCAAGTCACATGAGGGGAGTTGTTCATGGAAGCAGGAGAAGAGATGGTGTGACAAGGAGTTTGCTGATGTAGTCAAGGCCCACAAGGAAGGTACACAGTCATTCCAATAAATTCATTTAGTTCATTGTTTATTGATTTCAAATATCACACATCAAATTTTATATTGATATATCATGACCAGAACATTTAAAGGATCAATGATGCCTCCAAAAGGGACTTAAAGTAGCTGCAACTACTATGGGACCTTCACAGCTGGTAGATGATCAGCATGTTGATTATGACATAGCACATGTTAAAGGTGCTGATGACAACACATTTGGTGATGTGAAGGATGATAGTGTTGATGATGTTATGAGCATTGGGGGGGATTCACATCTATGTATGTATATCACTCTTGCACATTTGTTTCTAAGCATGTTTTATTATTAGGATCAGGCTTGGACACAAGCATGTTGACAAGTAGCTCTGCAGCAGCTGCAGTCCCTATTGCTCCTGATATGTTCAAAACCAAATATCACCCAAACAGTGGACACACCCCAGCCATTGAGACCTTCTCCACCTTTGGACACTCTGTTGAGGCAGAGGCTAGTTCCATACCCATTGTCAATGATACACTGTGGCAGCCTTTCATGTGCTGTGCAGATTTCGAGTTCACAGAACTTGCACACCAAGCAGCACTCAATAAGGACCAGACCAACAAGATGCTGCAGTTGATATGGCAGATTGTTGAGGGACAAGCAAAGTTTACATTCAGATCTCACACTGAAGTGTTAAAAGCCTGGGATCAAGCAGCCACTCAGATGACACCTGTGAGATATTTTAAACCTCATTCTCTCTGTTACTGAGTATTTAGGCATAATTTGTACAGTTCAAGAAGCATATCATCTCTGTCCCTTACAAGAAAGAGGAATTTGAATTTGATGTACATACATGGCCACTGTGGGATTGGGCTATGGACTTGTTGCAAGATCCATTGTTGGTACTGCACTTTGTTTGGGATTGTCATATCCTGTATGCTGGACCTAGATCCCATAATATTCCCACGCCTTCTGAGCCTACATCTGGACCCCAGATCCAACTCATTCCCAGATCCCCTTCCACTGTGTGCTCCACATCTCAGCAGGATTAGCTCTGCTACAGATTTACCCCTGAGCTCCAGACCTCCAGATCTTCACTACTAGCCTGGTCTGTACACCTCTATCCTGTCCACCCTATGCACATTCCATCCAGCAAGACATCTGGACTATACCTCCTCTTGGATTCTGGACTACATCCACCACCTCACATATCTCAGTCCTGTTTCCACCCTGCCTTCTGGTATGACGATCATACTGGCACTAGGTGTTAAGGTTGTACTCAAAGGATAACTGGATCTGAAGGGCTTTGGCCTCAGCTCGTGCACTGTGCCCCTTACCTGAGTATTGTCCCTTATTTCAGGAAGGCAAGACTAGCGCATCCGGAAGGTCAGACGAGTAGCGCAACAGATCCAGATGACTTCTGGATGAGGGATAAGTATCGTAAGGCTAATCCAGATGAGTCCAGACTAGAAACTAACGGTAATGGACTGTCGGAGACAGAGGTGGATACATATAGACTATAGGAATCAATCCTAAGTCTTGGAGGGTGACGAGAGTAGAGGTACTCAAGTCCAGAGGACAGGAATGAGCAGAACTAAGATGATATTTGAACTGAGGTACTACAGAGAGTTACAGGAGGTTATATACTATAGGTATCTAACAGAATGATCAATCAGCAGAGTCCGAGGCTATGTACAAAGCATGTGGATAGTCTATTGGTAAGTGCACAGTTCTTCTCACCTTCAGAAAAGGAGATAAAGCATGGATCATTAAATCCATATATATCAACCCATCTGCTCTTACTCTGGTCCAGTCCTAGGAATCCACCCTCCCATGTCCTATCCATGTCCACCTATCTCTGCTGGTGCATTATTTTTCCCAAATGTCATTGCTAAACGAGCTGCAGGTCTTATTACATGACTACTCATGTTCCACAGTGCATGATGTTTTATTACCTATAGACTCATTGCACACTCGCTAGCTACAATTCTTGCCTATGCATTCCAGACATTCATGTGCTATGATATAAACGACCAAAGTACATATGATTGAGTAGTTCCCTTTCTCCCAGAATCAGCTCCATAGGAGAGTTATTCTTGCATTATTTTTGTAGACCTTGTGCTATCCATCTATTTTGCTCCTTCATGACAATCCTGTGCAATTTGACTGCTCTGAAGTCCATACCACTAGGATCTTACCCTTAAAGCTCTTGCAAGAATACCTGACCCACAACCAGTAGTTTAGCACTGTTCTTCACTTGCGCTATATCCCTTGCAACCGGCCACTCCATAGAGTGCAGTTGATTTTGTGTGCATTACATCTGCCACACCAGCATCTGACATCCAATTACGTTTGCATGTATCTTCTAATGGTTCATCTTACTCCTGTGATATTAACATCGGTTGATTTTTGCCTGCGCTCATGGTTGATTCTTTGGTATAGGAATTCAGAGGTATACATACAGCCCGTATTCAAGTTTCTTAGGCTGATATAGGTTATAACTCCTTCGCTCACTTACTTCCCTTGCACATAATTGAAGGAAGTGCTTCAATAGCAGTCCTCTCAGGCTGATCAATTAAACTCACACCTCTTAGGATAAGTAGTGCTAGTTGCTAACCACCTAGTACCATTTTCTTCTTCACACCAGATCCCCAGATCTCTGGACCTCCAGATATTAACTGTACTATCTCTGGACCTATTCCCACCCTCTGTCCGAGATCCTGTGCCTATCCCCATTTAGGCATCTCCACCTTTCTGGTTCTCAGTTATCTCTGTTTCTGTCTTGCTGATTGATCCTTGTATGAGTCTTCATCTCTGAGTTCATTTACTTATGTTCTGTCTTACTTACCAATGTGTTTCCACATGCTTGTACATAGCCTTACTCTGTTGCTTACTGATCCTCTTGGATATCCTCTAGTGTATAACCCCTGTACAACTCCTGTAGAGTCCTCAGTCTGAATATCATCTTAGATCTGTCCTCACCACCTTAGACTTGCCCAACCTTCTTCTGGACTTCAGTCCATCTGAGTTTGTCCTTTTCCATAAGGCCTAGGGATGGATTCCCTAGGCTGGAATTCCAGACCTTCAGATTTGTCCCCTATGTCTCTGTCCCAAGTCCAGGGATTGCTTCCCTAGGGTAGAGTCTTGCCTTTCTGGCACTTACCCTCTCTCCAGACTTTGGTCCACTTCCTGTCTCTCTGACTCTACCTAAAGGTAGTCTACTTCTGTTTGCTTCTACATCAGATGAAGTCCACTGTAGCCCCTATTCCTTCCAGACCTCCAGACATCCTGTCCTGTGCACCTCTGGGCATCCTGTCCTTTGGACATCCCGTTCTCCTAACCCTCAGACATCCTGTCCTCTGGACCTCTGGACCTTTAGTCCTCCTGTCCTCCATACTCTGGACCTCTGGACATCCTGTCCTCCTGTCCTTCGAACCTCCTATTCTTCCATCCTGTTTCCTGTAGAAGTATTACCTTGCAGTGGGAACTCTCCTGAGCACTTCCTGCATTCCTCCGGAACTCTCCCATGCTCCTCCAGACATTTCCTGCGCTCCTCCAGAAGTCCTCTAGCACTCCACCAGGGTAGCCAGCCTCCAGAAGTCCTCCGGACTTCATCAGACCATCATTGGACCTCATATGAAATGAAGGGCACATACTCAGGTAAGGGGCACAGTGTATGAGCTGAGGCCAAGCCCCTCTGAGTCAGTCTCTCTCTCCCTTGAGCATGGTTCTTGACAGGGATGTGCAGCATTTGTACAAGCCTGATGATGCTGATTTCACACAATTTATTCACAAGCCTTGGACCACAGATCACTGGTGGCGAATTCAAGTATGCATTGTTATTATGTGTTTGTTTTCTGTATCTTGCTAATCAATATGTCATATCTGTACTTGATCTATTATTGTAGTCATCATTGCTGAACAATGGTGTCCTATTTGCCTCCATTCTCTATGCTGACAAAACACATCTTACTTCATCTGGGTGTTAAGAACCATATTGCTCAAGGGGGAGAGAGACTGACTCAGAGGGGCTTGGCCTCAGCTCATATGCTGTGCCCCTTACCTGAGTATGTGCCCTTCATTTCGTATGAGGCCCAATGATGGTCCAACGAAATCTGGAGGACTTCTGGAGGCTGGCTACTCTGCTGGAGAGTGCTAGAGGACTTCTGGAGGAGCATGGGAAACATCCAGAGGAGCGTGGGAGAGTTCCGGAGGAATGCAGGAAGTGCTCAGGAGAGTTCCCACTGCAAGGTAATACTTCTACAGGAAACAGGATGGAAGGATAGGATGTTAAGGTCATACTCAAAGGGTAACTGGATCCAAAGGGCTTCAGCCTCAGCTCGTGCACTGTGCCCCTTACCCAAGTATTGCCCCTTATTTCAGGAAGGCAAGACTAGCGCATCCAGAAGGTCGGACAAGTAGTGTAGCAGATCCGGGTGACTTCCAGATGAGGGATAAGTATCGTATGGCTAATCCGGATGAGTCCAGACTAGAAACTAATGGTAGTGGACTGTTGGGGACAGAGGCGGATACAGATAGACTATAGGAATCAATCCTAAGTCTTGGAGGGTGACGAGAGTAGAGGTACTCAAGTCCAGAGGACAGGAATGAGCAGAACTAAGATGATATTTGAACTGAGGTACTACAGAAAGTTACAGGAGGTTATATACTATGAGTATCTAACGGAATGATCAATCAGCAGAGTCCGAGGCTATGTACGAAGCATGTGGATAGTCTATTGGTAAGTAGAAACAGATCACAAATCATGAAACAGAAATGAAACATAGGTAGTGGATAAGGGAGCAGGACGGATATACAGATAACTGAAATACCGGAGTTAGGGGGTTACTGAAAAGAGACAAGCGCTGGTTGTGGATTCAGATGAGTTGTGGACTGGACCGGACGAGTGGACAGATTGAATGATGAGATGTTGGAGGGGGATAAGATGTGGATAGCATTGGAGATAAGATGTGGATCTGAGATGAGATAAGGGTCGGATCTGAGATCCGGATATGCAGATATGACATAGGAGGTCTGAAGGTCTGGAGGACAGGAGGACAGGAGGATAGGATGTCTGAGGGTTAGGAGGATGGAATGTCTGAAGGACAGGATGCCTGGAGGTATGAGGGACAGGAGGTCCAGAGGTCTGGAAGGAATAGGGGCTACATCAGACAGAGTCCGATGTAGAAACAAACAGAGGTAGACTACCCTAAGGTAGAGTTGGAGAGACAGGGATTGGACCTAAGTCCGGAAAGAGGGTAAGTACCAGAAAGGCAAGACTCCAGTCTAGGGAAGCAATCCCTAGACTTGGGACAGAGACATAGGGGACAAATCCAAAGGTCCAGAATTCCGGCATAGGGAATCCTTCCCTAGGCCTTATGGAAAAGGATGAGACTCAGATGGACTGAAGTCCGGAAGATGATTGGCAAGTAGAACAGGATCTAAGATGAGAGAGCAAGAACTAAGATGATATTCAGACTGAGGACTCTACTGTAGTTGTACAGGGGTTATATACTAGAGGCTATCTGAGAGGATCAGTAAGCAAAGGAGTAAGGCTATGTATGAGCATGCGGAAACACATTGGTAAGTAAGATGGAAACATAAGTAAATGAACTCGGAGATGAAACTAGTACAAGGATCAATCAGCAAGACAGAAACAGAGATAACCAAGAACCGGAAAGGCGGAGATGCCTAAATGGGGATAGGCGCAGGATCTCAGATGGAGGGTGGGAATAGGTCCAGAGATAGTACAGTTAATATCCGGAGGTCCAGAGATCTGGGGATCCGGAAGGCAGGGCAGAAACAGGACTGAGATATGTGAGGTGGTGGATGTAGTCTGGAATCCAAGAGGAGGTAAAGTCCAGATGTCTTGCTGGATGGAATGTGCATAGGGTGGACAGGGTAGGGGATCCAGGAATGAGTTGGATATGGGGTCCGGAAATAGGTCCGGAAAGCGTGGGAATATGATGGGATCTATGTCTGGCATATGAGATATGACACTGGGCATGTGAAGGCATACCTGGTAATAGCTTGTTGCACAAATCTTCCTGTTCACATAAGAAACATTGATGAAATTGGAGGTGGTCATGTGGTCAGCTGGCTACCAATCATAGGTGTTCGAGTATCAATCATAGTAGGTACCCATAATAAGGTTTAATCCAACAGGCTCCTACAGATTCCAATGGAGATGGAAAGCTCAGCTACACAAATCTCAAACATGCCATCTGGCACAAGGTGTTCAAGAAGTTGTTAGAATCCATCATCCTATACTCCAAAACAGGTTTTGTGCACAAATGCTTTGATGTCACCATGTGATGGTTATACCCACTAATTCTACTTCTGTCCACAGATTATTGTTAAGGTTGCATGCTCAAGGGGGTCGGAACACAAGGGCTTGGCCTCAGCTTGTACGCTGTGCCCCTTTTCCAAGTATGTGCCCTTAATTTCCGGGGGCTAGAACAGTCATCCGGAGTTTCCAGGTTTTGACTAGGGCGGATAACAGATGTCCAGATCTGAAACGTGAGATAAATCCGATGGACGACCAGATATTACCTGGGCGAGCAGATAAGACTAATCCGGACGAAGTCCAGACTAGAAACTAACAGAGGATGGACTACCCTGAGGTAGAGTTGGAAATGTAATCTAGGATGCAATCCTAAGACACGGAATATGATAAGAGACTTATCTCAAGTCTGGAGGACACAGGAATGAGCAGGAACTAAGATGATATTCAAACTGGAGTATTTCCAAGAGTTACAAGAGGTTTATATACTGTAGGTATCATATAGGAATCAGTCAGCAAACATAAAGGCTATGTACGAAGCATATGCAGAGTCTATTAGTAAGTAAGACGGATCACAAATAATGAACACCAGAAATGAAATGTATGTAACAGATCAATAATCAAAAGGGAAACATGGTTAACCAGAGTCCAGAGACAGGGGTAGTCTAAATGGGGTTGGGCGCTGATATAGGGTTTGGATTCCGGAAGGGAGATAAAGATAGATCAGATCATTTGAGATCCGGATCTCGGATCCGGATATCCGGAGAAGCGGATTTAGGAATGAGAGTCTGGAATGGCATATGACAATTATGAAGAACAGTATGTATTCTTGAGGCTTGTATTACATCACAATATCTCACATTTTAATAGATGCATGATGACATTAATACATGGGCTATATTCAAATTGTCCCTGTCCTGTCTGTCATGTTCCCTCAATGAAACCTTCCAACCTCAGCACAGCATATCTTACTCAAACTGTTGAGGATGCAAAAACTTTTTTAGAGCTGTATTTGAGGGACCATGTTGCTGGAGAAGATGTGCTGAAGGTGAATGGTTTATGTCCTATTGCAGTTTGTGTTTAATTGTGTTCATGACCTAACTTAATCAACTACCATCAGAATGCACTCTGGGAAGTTGACAACTCTGATCCTCATGAGATGCTCTCATTCAATCCCTTACATGTCAATGACATTGGTAACTGGGGCAACCACCTTTTTGGGGAGCTCAAACCCCATGTGAAGACACTTGGTCATGAGGCTGAGGTGAAAATTGCTAAACAGTAATACATTTCATCATTACCTCATGCATTATATCTCTTATAGGACTCTGCAGATTTGATGCATTTCCACAATGGTGTGACTTGAACCATTTCAAGTCTGTCATGAAAATATCATTTAGTGATGGCAACAAACTTAGGGATATTGCTAAGGCACTCTATTTGCTGTTGTATATCAATAAACCTACTAACATTCTCTGGACTCTAGCAAACACTGTATGCAGCACAAAATATATTGAGGCACAGTGAAGATCCTGTTGGCTATGCACTGTTGCAGTGTATAGGTAGTTACCTGCAACTGACTATGTACATGGTGCTCAATGTCCATACCAAAGTGACACTTGCTGCTGGAGAAGCAGAGCTCCAAGTATTTGAAATATGCTTACATGTATCTATATGCCATTTTCCTTTGACTTTTAGTTGCATCTAACATATTTTCAGGCATATATTGATGTAACTCTCCATAGTACCTCAGTTCGAATATCATCTTAGTTCTACTCATTCCTGTCCTCCAGACTTGAGTATCTCTACTCTCATCACTCTCCAAGACTTAGGATTGATTCCTATAGTCTATCTGTATCCGCCTCTGTCTCCGACAGTCCATTACCATTAGTTTCTAGTCTGGACTTGTCCAGATTAGCCCTACAATACCTATCCCACATCTGGAAGTCATCCGGATCCACTATGCTACTCATCCGACCTTCCAGACGCATCAGTCTTGCCTTCCTGAAATAAGGGGCAATACTCGGGTAAGGGGCACAGTGCACAAGCTGAGGCCAAAGCCCTTCGGATCCAGTTATCCCTTGAGTACAACCTTAACAGGATCATGGGATGGAGTCATCGGAGTGAGACATAAGAAGTTAGTGGTAGTGGAAGTAGGTTGATAGCAATAGGAATAAGGTGGTGATATGATGGCATTTATTAAGGATTGTTTGTTATTTATATTGTTAACATTGTCATTTGCTACAGCCATAGAGTTCCCTTTGTGGTAGTTACATAATTGAATGAGGAATGATAATGACAAGACCATAGCTGAGCGCTGAACCACCATAATACTGTGACTGTACAGTCTGTTTTCACTTAATGTCACTATTTCACTGATTTGGAGAGGTCTCAAGAGAAAAGTGGTACACAACAAGATTCAAGACCTTGATACATATCCAACAAACTGTGGGCATTTGTACAACTGCTCGAAACACCTGTGTGGGGTAACCACTTCTCTACATATTTGTGCTGCTATGTGATATTTATTCAGATTGTGAATATTAAAAGTGCATTGTTCCATTATTAAAGAAGGGCAACATGAAAAGCCTGGATGCATGGCACCACAAGCAGATAGCCTTTGTGTAAACAGGGAGTCTCCCGCTCATTCGAGACCCATGCCATGATGGATGAAGGTGGACAGGAGAAAAGATAGACAAATGGATGAACGAACAAGCATGAGGACAAATAAACAAACATGAAAAAAAAAATGCAGACAAACAAATGGACACGAAAGAACAAAGTGAATGAACAAATGCAAAAGAACAATGCAAACAAACAAACAAACACAAAAGAACTTCCCATATGCAGATTCTGAACTCAACCTACATTAACTTGGTGGTAACAGTGCTATCAACATGGCTGCCAAGCCACCTCAGGAGAAATTTGGATCCCATAGAATGACTTGGAGGTTTGTGCAATGGCAGACCATGACTTAAGTCAAGGGACAACAGATGCTGTGTAGCATCTAGACCTTGTTGCAGGTGGGTTAGGCACCCAGTCAAAGATGGTCAAGCTTGACTCGTGTATTGTGTGTCAGATGTGTTCTGATATCATTTCCGCTTCGAACAAAATCAACAGAGTATTCATTGGAATTGGTTCAGGAACTAAGGTGCATGGTAGGAACATGACATGCATGATTTGATAGACCACTTTCGTTCACAGAGGTAGGCCTTGAAAATAGATGTCATGATGAGGTTCGAAATAACCAGGACTGCATTGAGTGATATCAAAGTCAGCACCTATGAATACAGTAGTAACTAATCCAACTGCATTGAAGCATGAATCTTACCAGTATCAAATCCAAATGCAGTATTATAGGGATTCATTGGTGGGACAGTCAGTGAGGGTATTGATGAGCGCCATGAGAGCAGTTCATACTTCCCATATATCACCCGCACCAGGTGATCTGTCCACAGTCTACATCATAGTTAGCACTGGACCTGCCATATCAGACCCAGCTGACACAACAAAGGTGAGTTGAAGAAGGCCACCCTCTTGTTAGTCTCTGTGTAACACTTCCTTGTTTTCAGTGCCAAATGTCAACTCCTCCATATCAGTGTTGCCGTCATCATCATTAGTACATGTGGGGAAGCTTGAGAAAACTAGAGACTTGATGCCACAGTTTTCCCATGCTAGAGGGATCAAACATGAAGCTTAGAAGCAGAGCTTTCCCACACCTCCCTATGGCTTAGTCATATTCTCATGCCCTGGCTCATAATACAGCAATTACATGAAAAGTCACAAACATTGAGACACTTTTTTGAGCCACTGTATATTGAGCAAATCACAATAAACAATCCATGCTAAGTCATAGTCAACAATGGGACAACCCATTTGTTTGTAGCACTGTTGGATATAATTGTTCAGGTTGGCAGGTATGAGGTCAAAGACAGGGTGGCTTGGATTGATGTAGACTCCTTGAACATGATCAATTGCATCTTGTACTACAGTGATCTGGTGATAACAAAAATGTGAAAAAAGCCTAGGATGACACACAATGACATACCTTGAATTGAGGTCCAGTGCCCCAAAATCTTCAGGCAAGTTGTAGATGAGATTGGGGACACCATGAGGAAGTACCTGACAGTGAGAATTGAATATTAGCTCATGCAGTAAGCTATGCTATTTTGTCACCTTATTTTGATCATGCCGCTTTGCTGTGTTGTTCATGCGGTCCCAGTATCCATTGAGTTCATGTTGTCACCAAGGAATGAAGATCTAATGGAATACCATTCTGAAGCAACAACAATTAACATTTAATATATCACTAGTATTAAGAATGGAAGATTCACACTTGGAGAGTGTTGCTACTATCATACCAACCTTCATTGACTCCTTGGTCCAGTATTGATTCAAAGCCAGGAGTGAAACATCTACATAATTGCGACCATGTAATCTCAGGCATTACATTCTTCTTTGTCCACATCCAATGATGCTGGAGTGTACCTTGCAATGCAGGGTCATGCCATTGTCATAGCATGGTATGGGCATTTGTGATACCATAATTCTTGGTGCCAGGATTGCTTTGCATCACCATAGGCATATCTAAAATGAAAATCCTGTGAATCATTGCGAGTAATATATGGAAACACTTATGACTGAGAGTCTGGATGGTATCTAAATAATCACTGAGGATGAGCTGTGGATTCCTGTTAAAATGCTAGACATGGATCCACATGATGCATCCTGAGAATGGCTTAATTCCAGTATGCAACGCAAGACTGAATCTTAACCATTTATCATGCTGATCTACAGCAAATAAGTTATTGACCCCTGCAGCCCAAAAATGTTTCCTTTTCAATTGTCATGCCTTCCACTCCTGCACAAGGTCTGGCTCATAGATTGCAAAATATGCTTGTATTGTAGTCCTGTGTAAATCCCAAATGAGTTGCAGGGCTGCCAAGTGACAAAAAAAAGAACATACCTGGCTACACTCATGCCTTTTTCATAAAATAGGAGGCTAATCATCTTCCTTGCTCTGGCATTGGGATAAATTTGGCAGAGGTCAAGCATCACTTCATGAATGGATTCAATGGTGTGCCCTTGCTGATAGTGTGTTGAGCACCCACCCAAGTCCATAATGTTCAGTGTTGAAATGTTTCCACAAACCATCCACAATCTGCTTGTCTGTTTGATTTGTCTTCCATAACTGAAGGATATGAGGTGCAACTCATCAAGCAGCACTAGGGTTGATTCTCAACAGCAAAATCTGAAACCAACAAAAAGATACACACAAGTTGGGTTGTACTGGTTGGGCATGCCTAGTATGAACCTGCTACTACTAGGAGAAACATGAAATACTTAAAGTATTTAGTCCCAGGGCTACCAAGGATAAAGTACAAAATTTACATGTCTGCAGCTAAGGCTGAGATTCCCATATTCAAAGTCAGGGGCACAATATTGAACAAGTTCTTACCTGACTCAGAAGAGTCATTGAACTAGGCCAAGTCTCACTGTCCTCTATCTCTGTTGCACTGTGGCTGCTCTGTTACCATGTTCAACTGAACACTTGTGTGTGGTGCTATGTTGAACAAGTTCTGCAGACTTGTAGTTTTGTATTTAATGGGCAATTCCCTGGCATCTAAGTTCCCCCACCTCCGCTCAACAAACAATGTCTGGGTATGAACTGGTATCTCAGTACACTGAAGATGCATTTGCTAAGGACAATCAATTATGTGAACATCCTGCCTGCGGTGCCAAGATTCACAGAGGTGATCCTTGTTTTTATGTGGGCACTATGGACCCTGGGAGACAAGGCCATTATGTCTGTGGTTCTTGTCATGGATGGTACTGAGGGAAGCTAGCCACATCAGTGAGACCTACAACTAACAGTGAGTTATCTACTGCTCATACAAGTTCAGCACTGATGTTTGGTGTCTTGCAGGGCATATAATGTTGAACTGTGAATTGCCAGATCCACATGTTATCCAACAATCTGTCAATGCTGCACAACAAAAGTATAAGTCAACTCATGGCACTTTACATTGTCTGGGTCTGACAGTCATTTAGCAACACTTAACCCACCACCTGTTGTGGCCATGGCACGCCCTACTATAGGTCCCAATGTCTCTGGTTACTCTTTGCACCATGCTCATTAGTCTGAACATGAGCGCTGGGCTAAGCTTTCATATGCTGTACCACCAGCACAGACCATTGCTCTGGAAATCTCAGCTGTTCATGAGGGTGGGGTCAGGTAGTCATGGCATTACCATTGGGGTACATGTTTTATCTGGAGAAATTTGGTTTAGTTATTGACAATATATCTCTAGAATATTTGCAAGGGCATAAAAGATATCAATGCTTGTATTGATGCACCTGGGCTTATAACAATCACACTCAATACCATCACATTGACCAAAGACTGGTTGGTTAATAAACACAAACTGGAGAGACAATGGTCTCTTATATGAATATGTTGACCAAGACGTATGTTGGTTAATCTTCAATAAGCTAGTGAAAAATTCATTTCTCTTCTATTTTATCCCCTCCTCTACAAACAACTCATCTTACAAAAAATTTATGTTCTCATAGAGAAATAAAGTGTTTTGTATTCATTTCTCTATGAGAACATCAAATTTTTTATAAGATAGGACATTCATAGAGGAGGGGGTAAAATAAGATGGAAATGAAGTTTTCCCTATGAGACCACAATATTTCAGAAGATGAGTTGTTTGTAGGAGAAAGGGTAAAATAGGAGGGTCATGAATTTGTTTGTATTAGGCCACCTTTTTGTTAGATGAGTCAGTCATAGAGAGATAGACTGTTGACATACATTTTGTTAATATAGATACATGTATATTATACCAGAAGAATATATGCTGCTCTCATTGTATGTAGAGTCACATGCAGCACAATACTAAATGTTCTAGGCTATTTGTTATGTGAAGAAAGACTAAGATGAAAAGAAATCATGAAGAAAATATGCCCAAGTGCCCAAAAGATGAATATTGATGGCAGGTGTACACATTGTAAAGTAAAGATTACAAGTGAGTGTTGTCAAACATTTCAACAATTTTATCTCTCATCAATGCAAGCATTTCCTGTGCTCTATACCATCTTGAACACCTTGGCTAATGAATACATCAATGTCCTTCTTGTGGTGATCAGTGTCTGCGTCTAGCTGCTCAACATTGTTGTTGAGGACATTAAGCATTACTTGCTGAAATTGCACCTCTTCTTCCAATGCATCAATGCACTCACATTGCCTTTTGAGCTCCTCATCATGCTTTCTCCACAACTCTTCAACCTCTTGAAGATGCTTCATGTGCATCTCCTCAAGCTCCTCTCTATCTTGGAACTGATTGGCATCCAAATATTCAACATCATACTCAACTCTTTTCAATGTCTTGAGAAGCATGTAGGTATGCTCCCTCATGAGGCATTCTTGTGTTGATAAAGGAAGGCAGTTGCATTGGTTCTCCTTTATATCTGTAGTGCAGTTAGTATCAGATACATATTCAAGAACAATCCAAACATACATTTGTTGTCCCTTCAGCTAAATTTAAATCAAGGCATATTCATTTGTGGGCATAAGATCTGCATCCACATCAGGTTTTGATCCAGAAAAGCACATAGTTAATACAGTTATGAAGCTGAATTCAACACTTTACTGACTATGGATAATGTTTGAATTTGGAAGCAGAGGAATGAATGAACAAAACATTCAGAATTTGCCCCAAACATATATTAGGTAATCATAACCACTATCTCTACATACCATGCTGCATCGCCCACACTTAGCTGATGTGTCATATGCCATTCTAGACTCCTAACTCTAAATCCGCTTCTCTGGATATCCAGATCCAAGATCTGGATCTCTAATGATCTGATCTATCTTCATCTCCCTTCCAGAATCCAAACCTTATATCAGCACCCAACCCTATTTAGACTTCCCCTGTCTCTGGACTCCAGTTAACTATGTTTCCCTTCTGATTACTGATCAGTTACATACATTTCATTTCTGGTATTCATTATTAGTGATCTGTCCTACTTACTAATAGACTTTGCATATGCTTCGTACATAGCCTTTGTGTTTGCTTACTGATTCCTATATGATACCTACAGTATATGAACCTCCTGTAACTCTTAGAAATACTTCAGTTTGAATATCATCTTAGTTCCTGCTCATTCCTGGGTCCTCTGGACTTGAGTTAGTTCTCTCATCATCATATCATCCGAGTCTTAGGATTGTATCCTAGACTATATCTCTGGCTCTACCTTAGGGTAGTCTATCCTCTGTTAGTTTCTAGTCTGGACTTCATCTGGATTAGCCTTATCTGCTTGTCCAATCAACATCCAGATGTCTGCCAGATTTATCTCATGTTTCATACCTGGATGTCTATTGTCTACCCTAGTCAAAACCTGGAAACTCCAGATGACTGTTCAGCCCCCAGAAATTAAGGGCACATACTCAGGAAAGGGGCACAGCATACAAGCTGAGGCCAAACCCTGTGATTTAACCCCCCTTGAGCACATGACCTTAACAGGATCCTCTAATTCCATGCACTCCTCTATTACATCCATCACCTCAAGCTTGTGCACCTGAGCTAGCTCAATGATCCTATGCATGGTAATTGAGATATGCTCCCTGATGGCCTCATGCTCCATCTGCTTCTTTTGTTGTTCAGTTTCATCTTATTCACCAATGTCACCACTGAATGTAATCATGCTATAGAGGGATCCTTTCCAATATCTCTCCATACTCATCACAAGTGCAATGATGTCATGCAGGTGCTTTCTGACATGCATTTTCACTGGTGTGTAGAGCTCATGTTTATTGTCAAAATACACAAGATTGGCAGTAGGTTGATAGTCAATAGTAGGTTTCATAGACTGATAACTTCATGCTTTAGACCCTAACCCTACAATATGGTTATGAAAATGGTTTAGGGTGTTTGGTTGGTTAGTTGGTTAATTTAATTATTATTAATAATGATATCCCAAGATGGCCTCTTACAGATGTACTTCCAAAATGGATCAATATTAACTGCAATAGAGAGTGACTCCTGTTAAGGTCATACTCAAAGGCTAACAGATCCTAAGGGCTTCAGCCTCAGCTCATGTGCTGTGCCTCTTACCCAAGTAATGCCCCTTATTTCAAAAGGGCAAGATTAATGTGTCCGGAGGGTCAGACAGGTAGCATAGTGAATCTGGATGACTTCTGGATGGGGGATAAGTATTGTAGGGCTAATCCAGACAAGTCCAGACTAGAAACTAACGGTATTGGACTGTTGTAGACAGAGGCAGATATGGATAGACTATAGGAATCAATCCTAAGTCTCAGAGAGTGACAAGAGTAGTGGTACTCAGGTCCAGAGGACAGGAATGAGCAGAACTAAGTTAATATTTGAACTGAAGTGTTACAGAGATTTACAGGAGGTTATATACTATAGGTATCTAACAGAATGATCAATCAGCAGGGTCTGAGGCTATGTACAAAGCATATGGATAGTCTATTGGTAAGTAGAAACAGATCACAAATCATGAAACGGAAGTCAAACATAGGTAATGGGTCAGGGAGCAGGACAGATATACAGATAGCCAATATACTGGAGTTAGGGGATTACCAAAAGGAGACAAGCACTGGTTGTGGATTTGGATGAATTGTGGACTGGACTGGATGAGTGGACAGGATGGATGATGAGATGTTGGAGGGAGATAAGATGTGGATAGGATTGAAGATAAGATGTGGATTGGATCTGAGATGAGATAAGGATTGGATCTGAGATCCAGATATGCAGATATGACAGGTAATATCTCTATGGGAAACAGGATGGAAGGATAGGAGGTCTGGAGGACAGGAGGACTGGAGGACTGGATGTCCAGAGGTCTGGAAGGAATAGGGGCTACATCAGGTGAAGTCTGATATAGAAACAAACAGAGGTAGACTACCCTAAGGTAGAGTGGGAGAGACAGGAATTGGACCTAAGTCCAGAGAGAGGGTAAGTGCTAGAAAGGCAAGACTCTGGCCTAGGGAATCAATCCCTAGGCCTGATGGATAGGACAGAACTTAGGTGGACCAAAGTCCGGATAGAACAGGAACTAAGATGATATTCTAACTAAGGACTCTACTGGAGTTGTACAGGGGTCATATACTAGAGGATATCCAAGAGGATCAGTAAGCAAAGGAGTAAGGCTATGTATAAGCATGTGGAAACACATTAGTAAGTGAGACAGAACATAAGTAAATGAACTTGGAGATAAAACTAGTACAAGGATCAATCAGCAAGACAGAAACAGAGATAACTGAGAACTGGAAAGGTGGAGATGCCTTAATGGGGATAGGTGCAGGATCTCAGCTGGAGGGTGGGAATAGGTCCAGAGATAGTAACAGTTAATATCTGGAGGTCTAGAGATCTGGAGATCTGGAAGGCAAGGCAGAAACAGGACTGAGATGTGTGAGGTGGTGGATGTAGTCTGGAATCTAAGAGGAGGTAAAGTCCAGATGTCTTGCTGGACAGAATGTGCATAGGGTGGACAGGATAAGGGTAGTGAACATCCAGAGGTCTGGAGCTCAGGGGTAATTCCATAGCAGAGCTAATCCTGCTTAGATATGGAGCACATGGTGGAAGGGGATCTGGGAATGAGTTGGAGGTGGGGTCCAGAAATAGGCCTGGAAGGTGTGTGAATATTATGGGATCTAGGTCTGGCATACAGGATATGATAGATCCACTTCTTTAGCATCAGAGTCATTGCAAGCTTGACTCTGAGCACAGGAGTAATGAGTTCATTGCACATGTTTGCCTTGAGCTGATTATGCAGTTGCTCATCTGACAGGTGAGCAGTATTGCCATATAGCAATGTGTTGAGATTCTGTAGTTCCAAGGCCCATTTGTAGAAGCTACAAGTACCCTGTTACAAGCCAAAAACCTTCTTGGAGTCCCAGTGGGTCTCTAGCCATGCACTCTTCAGTGCAGTCATACATATAGTCCCTGCATCTAAGGTTGCCCTTTGAGTCAAGTACCAGGTGTGCAGGTGTGGGTCCATCATGCCAAACACTATTGTTTTCACCTGGTTCTTTTCTTCTGTTTCTTTGTGCATGAAGTAGGTCAAGCATGTGTTGTCCCAATTGCAGGCAGCTTCAGGGGTCAGTTCTCCCACTAGAAGCTTTGGCAGCTTATTAGGGGCAGACTGTTCTACTACTGTGTACTTGGTCATAGTTCAAGATGGATAGTGGATTATATGCAGAGTATCTGTTTCAGAGTCTGATGAAGAATTATAACATGTGTCATATTCCACAATCTGGAACCACATTCCATAATATTCCCATGCCTTCCAAACCTATGTCTGGACCCCATATCTGACTCATTCCCAGATCCCCTTCTGCTGTGTACCCCACACCTCAGTAGGATCAACTCTGCTCTGGATTTACCCCTGAGCTCCAGACCTCCAGATCCTCACTGCTAGCCTGATTCATACCACCCTATTCCATCCACCCTATGCACACTCCATCTAGCAAGACATCCAGACTTCACCTTGTCTTGGATTCCGGACTATATCCACCTCCTCATATCCCAGTCCTGTATCTACCTCATCTTCTGGATCCTCAGATCTCCGGATGTATTCCCACCCTCTGTCCGATATCCTGCACCTATCCCCATTTAGACATCTCTGCCTTTCCAGCTTTCAGTTACCTCTTGTTCTGTCTTGCTTATTGATCCTTGTATGAGTCTTCATCTCTGAGTTCATTTACTTATGTTCTGTCTTACTTACTAATGTATTTCCACATGCTCATACATAGCCTTGCTCCTTGGCTTACTGATCCCCTCAGATATTGTCCAGTATATAACCCCTGTAGATACTCCTGTAGTTTCCTCAGGTTGAATATTATCTTAGATTTTGCTCTACTCACCCAGTCCTCTCTTGGACTTTGGTCCACCTAAGTCTGTCCTATCAATCAGGCCTAGGGATTGATTCCCTAGGCTGGAGCTTTGCCTTTCTAGCACTTACCCTCTTTCTGGACTTAGGTCCAATCCCTGTCTCTCCGACTCTACCTTAGGGTAGTCTACCTCTGTTTGTTTCTACATCAGACAGAGTCTGATGTAGCCCCTATTCCTTCCAGACCTCCAGGTGTCCTGTCCTTTGGATATCCCACCCTCTGTACCTTTAGACATCCTGTTCTCCTAACCCTTGGATGTCCTATCCTCCTGCCCTCCATACTTTCAGACATCCTGTCCTCCTAACCCTCAGACATCCTATCCTCCTGCCCTCTGTACCTTCGGACATCCTGTTCTTCTGTCCTCCAATATCCTGTCCTTTGTACCTCTGGACATCCTGTCCTTCTGTCCTCTGTCCTCCTGTCCTCCTGTCCTCCAGACCTTTGGACCTCCTATCCTTCCATCCTGTTTCCTGTAGAAGTATTACTTTGCAGTGGGAACTCTCCTGAGCACTTCCTGCATTCCTCTGGAACTCTCCTGTGCTCCTCCAGAAGTCCTCCAGACTTCGTTAGACCATCATTAGACTTCCTCTGAAATGAAGGGCACATACTTGGATAAGGGGCACAGCATGCAAGCTGAGGCCAAGCCCCTCTGAGTCAGTCTCTCTCTCCCTTGAGTAAAATGGTTCTTAATAGCATGGTTTAACACTGGTATTGGGAACTGGTGAGGTGCTGTTTGAGGTCAGTGAAGGTAGTGAGGGTAGTTCAAGAGATACAGATGGCAGTTGGTGTCTCACACATGAACATGTGATCAGAGACTGTTTGACAGTTGGGTTCCTTCATTTAGAAGGCAGTTTGATTGTTTGGAAAGTAGGCAGGTAGCCCAGTGGTTTGAGAATTTATTCTAGTGAAGTACATAAGTTTTTAAAAAAAGTGGAAACTCACCAGGGTAATGGCAGAAAACACTAGACAAATCAGGTGATGATTAACAGGACAAAACCATGGATTTCCAAGCATGCTACAAAAGGGATAGATGATGGTAGGTAAAAGACCTGAGTCTGTACGAAAATGACATTGAGTGGTGATATAAAGGAGCAGTCATGTGATGTAGTAATGTTGTAAGCAACTAGCTTACTAATCTATATGCTACCATACAAATCATGGGTAAAGTTTCAAATTGACTAGGTGTTGCCCACTCCCACTACATGGCTCTGATGCCCATCCTCATTGGGAGTGAGCTGCCAGAGGACAGTGACACAGTCTCCACTGATCTCTGTCATCTTGAAGATGTCAACATAGCTGGCTTGGGTGAGTGTGCCAATGCAGGTGAAAGGTGTGACATTGATGACATGAGCTACATGGTGGGGGTCAAATTTGGAAAGGATTTTGAGAATGGTGATGTTGAAGTGATTAAGGTAGTGTAGGACAAGGTCACCAATGGATAAGCCTATGATGATGACTCTGATGCCTGAATCAGCAATTTCTTTGAAGATCTGTTCATTGAGTGATGGCTAGTAGATGTAGCAGGTAATGGGATGGAGAACATGCCCTTTCAAGTTGTTGTTCCTTGCTGCATGTGAAACTGAGCATTTCATCTGTGTTTTTGAGGATGGTGCCTTTTGTTTTGGTTTGGGTAATGTCAGTACACATGAAGGCAGCTACTTTCACACCTGGAACTTTTTTGATGATACTTTGGAGGGGATGTGAGTGTGAGTGCTGTATCAAGGATTTGAGTAGAATTACCATCCAGTTCACAACCAAATAGTACAGCTTCTGCTACAAATGACATCAATATATTCTTGTAACTGTATTGTTATGATGCAATAGCAAGTTTGAGGGCTATAATAAGGGATTCTGTTAAGGTCACGTGCTCAAGGGGGGTTGAATCACAAGGGCTTGGCCTCAGCTTGTACACTGTGCCCCTTTCCTGAGTATGTGCCCTTAATTTCTGGGGGCTAAACAGTTGTCTGAAGTTTCTGGGTTTTGACTAGGGTGGACAATGGACATCCAGGTAGGAAACATGAGATAAATCTGGTGTTAAGAACTATGCTCAAAGGAGAGAGAGACTGACTCAGAGAGGCTTGGCCTCAGCTTGTACACTGTGCCCCTTACCCAAGTATGTGCCTTTCATTTCAGAGGAAGTCTGATGATGGTCCAACAAAGTCCAGAGGACTTCTGGAGGAGTGTGGGAGAGTTCCAGAGGAATGCAGGAAGTGCTCAGGAAAGTTCCTACTACAAGGTAATACTTCTACAGGAAACAGGATGTAAAGATAGGAGGTCCAGAAGTATGGAGGACAGGAGGACTGAAGGTCCAGAGGTCCAGAGGTCCAGAAATATGGAGGACAGGAGGACTGAAGGTCCAGAGGTCTGGAGGACAGGATGTCTGAGAGTTAGGAGGACAGGACATCTGAAGGACAGGATGTCTGAGAGTTAGGAGGACAGGACATCTGAAGGACAGGATACCTGGAGGTGCACAGGACAGAATGTCTGGAGGTCTGGAAGGAATAGGGGCTACATCAGACTTCGTCCAATGTAGAAGCAAACAGAGGTAGACTACCCTTAGGTAGAGTCAGAGAGACAGGAAGTGGACCAAAGTCCAGAAAGAGAGTAAGTGCCAGAAAGACAAGACTCCAGCCTAGGGAAGCAATCCCTAGACTTGGGACAGAGACATAGGGGACAAATCTGAAGGTCCAGAATTCCGGCCTAGGGAATCCATCCCTAGGCCTTATGGAAAAGGACAAACTCAGATGGACTGAAGTCTGGAAGAAGATTGGGCAAGTCTAAGGTGATATTTAGACTGAGGACTCCACAGGAATTGTACAGGGGTTATATACTAGAGGATATCTGAGAGGATCAGTAAGCAACAGAGTAAGGCTATGTACAAACATGTGGAAACACATTAGTAAGCAAGATGAAACATAAGTAAATGAACTCAGAGATGAAACTAGTACAAGGATCAATCAGCAAGACAGAAACAGAGATAACTGAGAACCAAGATCTGGGGATCTGGAAGGCAGGATGGAAACAGGACTGAGATATGTGAGGTGGTGGATGTAGTACGGAATCTGAGAGGAGGTAAAGTCCAGATGTCTTGCTGGACGGAATGTGCATAGGGTGGACAGGATAGGGGATCCAGGAATGAGTCAGATATGGGGTCTGGAAATAGGTCTGGAAAGCGTGGGAATATGATGGGATCTATGTCTGGCATACAGGATATGACACTCACATGAATCACAGAAATGATATTGGCTGACTGAAATGTGGTTAAAAATATGATGTCAGACATTGGGGTCAATGCTGATACAACACCATACATGGCACCCCCAGGTGAAGAAGGACTGGACCTCAGTTATGAGGGTGGAGAATTCAAGGCCTTTGATGGCCTATCAGAGCAAGTTATGTCACTATCTGGTTGGTATGTACCCACAACCTTCACCTTTGAATCTGACTCATAGTAAGTTAATTCAGTCGTTATGTAGACCTGTGCACTCGTCATGATTGTATTGAGGTTCAGACTGGGCACTGGAACACTCAACTCAGCCGCCTGGTTGATGTGTATCTAGACTATCGGGATTGCAACCAGGGTGATGGCATGCCAAGCATCCCTGACAGTTTCATAATTCCTGATGTAAACCATTGCATGTCACTTGCTGATATTGAACTTGTTGATCTGTTTGGTGCGTGCTTACTTTGTTTACTTTGCTTTGGTGATAATATCTGCAGGTCGCTGGAGAACACCATTGCAATCACAACCATCCCACATATATCCAAATGAAACACTAATTTTCTATGGCTATCTCAGTTGTTCCCCACTGTATCCGATGGTCACTATCTCATTGCACACACTCACTGCATACCACCAATTGCATCGGACATGTCCTTGGTTTAGCATCCAAGCACAATGTAAAACATTGTGCCATCTACACAATGTAAAACATTGTGCCATCTACACAATGTGCACCTTGAAATATTTTATTGTTGTCCATCTGACTGTTCATAGATTCCTTATCACGCTTATCTCAACACTCAATTCTCTGCAGCATATGATGTGTATCTCGAGATACTACATCACGTGAAGACTCGCCTCAATGATGCTCTTGGCCAAAATACTCCCAACTGGTGGCTTCTCAATTCATGTCTGTGTTGTGTCTACAAACTTGAAGGCGAGCCTCCCCTTCCTTTTGATTGGCTGGTGACTGTAGATGGAAATAACAGCCTCAAACATTGGGCGTCATCGACATATGGCCTGCAACCACAAGAGGATTCACAGCAGCCTTGTTCAGATTATTGGGTTGACCAGGTGGCTGTCAACAAATTCCAGAATGAAGTTCGAACACACATGATACGTCAATCTATCTTTGTATGTACAAGCACTGAAATGAGATTCATAGCCTGCAACTTCAAGTCATCACTGACAAGATGACTGGGAAGATGTTGGGTCTGAAACGCAAGGATCAGAATTCAGATGCACTGAGAGATGGCAAAATGCGGGCCCTGAGCAACATAAAAAAATGTTTGCTGTTTTTGATGAGTCAGGGATTTTCATTGCAGCATGTTGGCACCATTTTGTGCTTCTTGCCTGTGATATGGTTCGAAGCGGAGAACTGTTAGTGCATTATTTTTTCACCATGTACAAAATTCACAAAACTCAGGGCAAAATACCCATTGGCTCTTCTTGATCATTTGATGTCCATCTTAGGTGAAAATGGAGGTTGTGCTTATGATATTGGGTGTGCTTTTGCCAAGACTCTGGCAAATAGCAGTTTGGGACCCTGTGCCATCAGCCTCAATTTACAGATGATGGTAGGTGCTTTTCATGGGCATGCTCATAACCAATGCTACCAATTGGACTGGCACCCAATGTATATTGATGGCACTGGCCATACAGAGGGCGAGGGGTGCAAGCATGTGTTTGCGTCTTCAAATGAACTTGTACAAAGCACAAGGCACACATCTGCATTCCACCAACACCAGACCATTGAAGAACATTTTGCATTCTGGGACGATGACAAATATGCTACATTAAGTATGATTTCACTTGTCCCTCAAACTTAACTAATTCAATCATTTTTAAGGCACTTTTTTGTGAAACCACTATTGGGAAGTGCTAACATCAATCAAGACCCTTACAGCTGAACTATCCATTTTGAAAGACACCCTTGGCTTAACCAATGCAGATTTTATTCAATTTCACTCCCAAGAAAGGTTGTATCTTGACAACCTGAAGGAACCACCTCTGAAAGAAATTCTTCACATTTGCTATGTTCAAGTCCTACATGAATTGGCCAAGTGAAGGCAAGTCCAACAATTATCTATTGATTTTTCTCATTATGTCCACAAAGATCTGAGTGGGATTTGGCATGCAAAGCTGCAAATCAAGCACTGACCACTATTGCAGCCGGTGATCTCAGCTGAATATTGGCTGCTCTGTCTCAGGCCAGGATTTGCATTGATAGTGGGTATGCTAAACTACAGAACACAGAAGCCTTAACTGCACATATGGAGATTCAACTTGGAATTGAAGAACACTGGGAGATTGGGGGTGACACTTATAATCAATATGAACAGGAAGCATCTCAGTGTCAATATTGCACTGCTTTAGATGATTTAGAACAGCTGGTTGTCATGCGTTTGTTCGAGCTCTCAAAACTTTCACTTTCAGGAATGGGTGTGCATTTGACCTTTCACTTACTCATGTGGAGATACTGACTGATTTCAAGGCTATAAACTGCACCAGCAAATCAGCAAGGCATTGCAGTGGCACTCTGAGGCAATTTGAAATGTGCTCAGCCGATACAATGTTCAGGCTGCTGCATTAGATCCTCTGTGTCTGCAGTTGTCTTGGAAGGACATTACAGAGTACAGTTTTTTAGGCGAGTTTGATTTTATGTTGTCTTACAGTGACATAACTGAGCATAGCTTCTTAGGTGAGTTTGATCTACTCCACCATTCATGCACAGACATTCATGAGCTTGACTGGACGAAGCCTGCCCATTGTGAAGCAACAGTAAAGTATTTCAAGCTATGTCATGCTCACAAGGAGATCACTCAGCTTAATGTGGAGGTCCACCAACTACGCACAGCAATTCATGACAAAGCCGCCCAGATGACAACAGTCATTACTGAACTTTTAGTTTTGGATCCTCCATTAGCGCATGAGCTACAATGGCAATGGAAAGCACATGAAGCTGTCAATGCTGTGCATACCTTTTGGTTGGATCAGATCACACTTCAACCAGGTTTTTCAGGTAGTAGAGGGATTGGCCAGCGGGTTGGGGCTATCATAGCAGCACTCAAGCCTACTAACACTATCTCACACAGTATGGCTGGAGGTGATGGTACATTTTTCTGCTTTGAAATATATACATCAACTAAACTACTGCCTCAACAGAAGCTTGCGCCACCTCAGAGCTTGCTGATGAGGGTGCCATGGAGCATGAGGAGCAGTTGCAGGTTACACAAGACATTGCTGATTTTTTTGCATTGATTGTTGATTAACAGACAGCCTTGTTTAAATTTGATGTATTAGTTGTATTGTATCTGTCTTTCTTAAAATAAAATGCTTTCACAGTTCAATTGCAATGTAAGGACGAAAAAGCAGAATAAAAATCCTTATTAGATGCAGTGGCACAAGCCTGGCTTGTGTTGCTGAAATAACCAGCCTGGAGATTGAGCACATACATGAATTGAGGGTCTGGGTCATACCAGATCTCCATGGCTGCAGTCACAGTATGCAATGAGGTATAGGTGAGCTCTTGCTTGATGTTCTTGGCAAGCAGACTCTCTTCAGCAATGTCAGGCTTGAGGTAGACAGTGAGGGAGGGTGATTTGATTTTGGTGGCAATGTTGATGATCTCCTTCAGACAATTAATCCTTATTATAACTGGATTAGCAGCAGTAATCACTCTTGACTTGCCACTATCTAGTGAAATCATTGGTTGTCTTATCTGGAACTTACACACATGTACAGGTGCCTAGGCTCACTTTACTCAATCTTACACACTACTTTCATTCTTCGCCTCCAGTGTCTCTCCTCGTTTTCAACACCTACCAACATGTCAACACCAAAATGTCTCAAAAAACCACTACTGCAACAAGCTGGGGCTGAAGATTCTGCTATGCCAAGTCCAGAGAGCCTCAGAAAGCCATGTTTTACACTTGCCAGTGTTGCAGCGCTGTATTCAGATACCTTTGTGCCAGGTTTCAGCAATGCAGAGCGCCATGCTGCAGCTTGTGCTTTGCTCAGGCATGAATCACATCAAGATGGCACCCACTATCACACAGAGACCCCCGGTGGTCTTCACCCCTCATTTATCAAGTTCAATGAGATCTTGATGTTACAGGATCAGAAGATGATAACACACGAGGAGTTTGTAGAAGCAGCACTTGAGGATGTTTTTGATGTGGTGCATTTGTTTTTCAAACTCAGTCTGTATGATTTTCAATGTAGTATGTATTGCAGCTTTGTATGCAAGACTGTCTGGATGGCAGAATCTCACTCCTCATTCACTACCCTGGGTCTCAGGTGACAGACAGTCTGATGGCTGAACATATTGCTGTCGATGTCTATGTCACTCCCCATGAACTTCACGAGTTCCTGTTAAGAACCATGCTCAAAGGAGAGAGAGACTGACTCAGAGGGGCTTGGCCTCAGCTCATATGCTGTGCCCCTTACCCAAGTATGTGCCCTTCATTTCAGAGGAAGTCTGATGATGGTCCAACAAAGTCCAGAGGACTTCTGGAGGCTGGCTACTCTGGTGGAGAGTGTGGGAGGACTTCCGGAGGAGCGTGGGAAATGTCCAGAGGAGTGCAGGAGAGTTCCCACTGCATGGTAATACTTCTACAGGAAAACAGGATGGAAGGATAGGAGGTCCAGAGGACAGGAGGACAGGATGTCCGGAGGTCCAGAGTATGGAGGACAGGATGTCCGGGGGTCCGGAGGACAGGACATGGAGGTATGGAGGACAGAACGTCCAAAGGTACGGAGGGCGGGATGTCCAAAGGACAGGATGCCCAGAGGTATGAGGGACAGGACGTCTGGAGGTCCAGAAGGAATAGGGGCTACATCGGACGAAGTCCAATGTAGAAGCAAACAGAGGTAGACTACCCTAAGGTAGAGTCAGAGGGACAGGAAGTGGACCTAAGTCCGGAAAGAGGGTAAGTGCTGGAAAGGCAAGACTCCAGCCTAGGGAAGCAATCCCTAGACTTGGGACAGAGACATAGGGGACAAATCCGAAGGTCTAGAATTCTGGCCTAGGGAATCCTTCCCTAGGCCTTATGGAAAAGGATGAGACTCAGATGGACTGAAGTCCAGAAGATGATTGGCAAGTAGAACAGGATCTAAGATGATATTCAGACTGAGGACTCTACTGTAGTTGTACAGGGGTTATATACTAGAGGCTATCTGAGAGGATCAGTAAGCAAAGGAGTAAGGCTATGTACGAGCATGCAGAAACACATTGGTAAGTAAGACGGAACATAAGTAAATGAACTCGGAGATGAAACTAGTACAAGGATCAATCAGCAAGACAGAAACAGAGATAACCAAGAACCAGAAAGGGAGAGATGCCTAAATGGGGATAGGCGCAGGATCTCAGATGGAGGGTGGGAATAGGTCCAGAGATAGTACAGTTAATATCCGGAGGTCCGGAGATCTGGGGATCTGGAATGCAGGGCGGAAACAGGACTGAGATATGTGAGGTGGTGGATGTAGTCCGGAATCTGAGAGGAGGTAAAGTCCAGATGTCTTGCTGGATGGAATGTGCATAGGGTAGACAGGATAGGGGATCCAGGAATGAGTTGGATATGGGGTCCAGAAACAGGTCCAGAAAGCGCGGGAATGTGATGGGATCTATGTCTGGCATATGGGATATGACAATTCCCAGAACAGGTTGGAGGGGATGTCTCACTCTTTGTCCAAGGATTCTGTGAGCAGATGGCCAAACACCACCTTCAACGCTTCACAGAGCAGTGTCACATTGAGGACATTCAACCTCCCCATCACTGTGAGTCTTTGTTATCATTTTTCAGGAAATTTGATTGTCCTAACACTGTCTACAGATCCAGCTCCTCAGGTGAATCCAACTGGGTCTCAGGCCTTGCCAGCTCCTTTGGTCCTGACTGGCTCATGTATTCAATGCTCTGCCCAGCCTCCACTCAATTTAAATCACAACTTCAAGATCCTCTCCACCAAACCAAAGGATAGTTCCGACACTTCAATTCATCCACCATCAAGCTTTGTTCAGCATGCTATAGCACTAGCAAGCACATCCCTTACTACTGGTAGCAACACCAAGCCTCATCAATGTCAACTTGCTGATGCATTTTCACTCCCAAAAAATGCTCAACCAAGCAACTCACCCACACCTGTCATTGTGTATGGTCCTCTGATCATTAGCATTGGACCGAATACCAATGTGGTGCTTGATTGCTTCAAAATGGGGGATGGCTTGATTCCCAGGCTCCATGAGCTGGCAACAACTGTATGCAACACCTGTTGGGAGGCTACTCTGAGGTCTCCAAAGTGGGGTCTCACATTCGAGCAGGCAGTGCATCTGACTAATGCACTTAACGCTGACCTGCAGGGGTCCAAATCAGAGGCAATCATGGTATGAACCTAGTACTTTACTAGTCTGAGAATGCTGCTAACAGCTGCTGCAGCCGAATTTGATGTTAGCTAAGACTTTTCAGGTGCTCAGGATCATGGTGTGCTTATGTGTGCTATACTTTTTTGGACTTTTATTCATGTAATATAAACATTGATTGCCATTAATGCAGCACATGTTTGTTTTTCGAAACTTATAAATCTGTTATACTAACCCAGTCTAAATGGCAGGTCATGAGCTCCCAGACTTTTTATGCATCGAGCACTTGCTCGAAATGCATCCAGCCCTCACCTCATCACTGTCCAAGGGTCCATCTGAGCAAGGAAGCACAAACCTTGCTTGCTGCCTCTCGTCATGAAAAATCCTGCCCCTTCAAGACTGAGCTTGATGATGCATGGTCCCAAATTGATGAATGTGTGAAGACTATTGCATCCTCTAACGGCAAGACTATTTGCCATGTCCAGCATGACTTATACATGGGTCAAAGGCTCTTGCAGTCAAAATGTTCCAAATTGAGTGTGTGGAATGTGTTCTGCTGGAAGAAGAATCAGACCGCAGACAAAGAAAACAGTACATATTTTTTTTGTTTCTAGTTCTTCTACACTTGCCTTATTATATGCTGCAGGTTCATCAGGGAAGGTGATCTTATGGGACCTGGTCCAGGAGAATCATGCGGAGTATCATGAACTCTCTGACGATGCAAAAGCTAGCCTCTTGAAGGAGTATGAGGAGCATAAGGCCATGAAGACTACCGGTACTCACATATCCACCAAATCAAAGGTCAATGACGTTACACAGACCCTTAAAGCCATCAAGAATGAGGTATGTAATCTATTTTATTTTATTTGAACAATATAGCTAACAATAATTGTGTAGTTGAATAGCTTAAGATGTTGGACTGGGGCAGAAACAATACTATATACAACACATGGCTCCACTGACCTGCTGCTCTGTGGAATTGCCTTTGCAACTGAAGATGTTCAAGATTTCATGGAGTCTGTCATGAACCTTGATAACCAAGACCTCATTAGTAAGATGGAAGGCTTTGCCATGAGTGGGATGTGCGGTAAGTTTTTCCCCCATACTTTAAGTTAGTGTGGCTAAATGTTTTTTAGGTGCAGCTAAAAATCATCAACAATGTTGCTCTGAGATTCACAGTGCAATCCAACACAAAATCAACCAGAAATTTCATGAGTCTTCTCAGGTGTCAACCATTCTGTAGTCTCACTTATGTATTTCAGAGGAGGCTACTGGTGACCCAGATGTGAAGATGCAGTGGGTTCACTATTGGCGCAATGTCATCCAGTGATATCTTGTCATTTGCGAAGGATGGCCTGTTGACATGCCTTTTGAAAACCTCAGCAAAGTGTCTAACTCATTAACCGATCTCAAGATGCTTCTATGTAAATGGAAGTCTGGAGATATTTACTAGAGACAGATGGAAAACAAGGAGTTTGAGGAACTTCATCACAAATGAAACAAGAAACTCGACAGTGGTGAGGTTATTGAACGTCATTGCTGGACTTGTTCAGACAAGGGCAAAAAGTGCACTCACACTCATTCTCCTGACGACAATGATGAGAACCCTCCACCAAGACACTGTAAGGCAAAGAAGCACACTTGTGCTGATGAGAATGACGAGAACCTTTCTCCAAGACACCGCAAGAAGACATACAAGAGTCTTCCATCTGTTGACACTGATGCTGACACTGACAATGACAACAACATCAACACTGACATCAACACTCAGCTCAAACCTTCAGGATCTCTTACTACCAATGACAATGAACTGGCCTCATTGAGTGGGACAGGTTGATTGGTGTTTAGAATAGTCAGACCATTTAAAATAGTTGGGCTGTTTACAATAATCATTCCAAATAAAGTTGCTTTATTGCATCAAATGAATGAGTGGGGCACAAGCTAGTACCAAAGATGAAGTGCTCGCATTACAGAAAGCACCAACATATCCCCTGGTATACACTGCCATGACTACAAGTCATATTGACTGGTGGTGCAGAGCATACTAATAAAATCATTAGAAAAATTGATAGTGAGTAAGGAGTGTGCCCACAAACCATTTGATTGAAGGTTGAGGTTTCAGAACAATAGTAGCACTGTAGGTGCAGTGGGCAGTAGAGGGCCTAATGTTGATATTGATCGGAATGGACAGCAGGAGCCTAGTGTTGACATTGAAAGAGAGGTTAACATTGGCATTGAGCAAAGGCAGAGGAGAGAATGAGGAGGAGGATGGTGTTGGCGTGCTCAACATTGAGGTTGAACAGAGGTAGGGAGATGAGAATAAGCAGGACAGCATTGGCCAGCCTGAAGTTGACATTGAGCAGAGGCAGGGAGAACAGAACAAGGAGGAGGATGGCATTGGCAAGCCTGATGTTGATGTTGGATAGAGGCAGAAAGGACAGAACAAGGAGGAAAGCATCAGCAAGCCCAACGTTGATGTTAGGCAGGGAGGAGAGGAGGTGGAGGCAGAGGATTGTGTTGATGAGTTTGGGCAGAGGCAGAGGCAGGGAGGACAGAACAAGGGCAAGGATGGTGTTGGTGAGCTTGAGCTTGAGCAGAGGCAGGGAGGGCAGAATAAGGGTGAGGATGGCATTGGTGAGCTTGAGCAGAGGTAGGGAGGGTAGAACAAGGGCAAGGATGGCATTGGCAAGCTCAATGTTGATGGTGACAGTGAGGAGACAAAGTCATGGGAATAGTTTAGGTAGCCAGCTGTACATACAGTGGCTCAAAAAACTGTCCACATGTTTTTGCATTTTTTACTATTTACAATATTGTGTGAGAATACATAAAGACCTCAGTGACATGCTGATACCATATTGTAGTGCTGCTTCAGGGCTTTGGATTGAGCACCACATCATGAGAATCAGAGGAGATATGGTGGAGATACAAGGCTTACAAAATCATGACTCATGCAGACAGTTTTTTGAGCACATATTAAAACTATATAAATCATCATTTATGACACCATAACAATCATGCCACCATTAAATAAATTACAAAGTGGTGTCATTATGTCATTTTAAAACCATATCTAACTATACAAACCAAAAATTTCCATATGTCATGGTTATATTCACCATGAAAGCCACCCCCCCTGCTCAAAGGGATAATATCCTCTCTCTTTCCTATTCTGGCCTCTCTGCTTGTCAAATTTCCTCTAGAACTGGAGTATCCAAGTCCACTGTGGCCAAGTTCATCAAAGAAAGTCACACAGACAAGGAAAACTTCTGTGAAGGGTGTCCATCCAAGCTCCCCTCTACTGATAGGAGGGCTATTATTCAACATATCACTACAGGAAAGGCTGATAATGCTGTCCAGGTCACCTATTACATCAATTCCACCATCACATTCCCTGTCTCTTCACACACTGTGAGAAACATTCTCAAGACAGCTCATCTCAGGTCAGTAACAAGGAAGAAAAGGCTCTCCTCTCTATCACACATATGCAAAGAGGACTAACCTTTGCCTTAGCCCATCAGAATTGGATTACATGGAATGGAAGCATGTTATATGATCATATAAGACCACAATAAATAGGATTGGGTCAGATGGCAAGGTATATATGTGAAAAAAGAAGGGTGCTAGTCCTCTCTGCATATGTGTGATAGAGAGGAGAGCCTTTTCTTCCTTGTTACTGACCTGAGATGAGCTGTCTTGAGAATGTTTCTCACAGTGTGTGAAGAGACAGGGAATGTGATGGTGGAATTGATGTAATAGGTGACCTGGACAGCATTATCAGCCTTTCCTGTAGTGATATGTTGAATAATAGCCCTCCTATCAGTAGAGGGGAGCTTGGATGGACACCCTTCACAGAAGTTTTCCTTGTCTGTGTGACTTTCTTTGATGAACTTGGCCACAGTGGACTTGGATACTCCAGTTCTAGAGGAAATTTGACAAGCAGAGAGGCCAGAATAGGAAAGAGAGAGGATATTATCCCTTTGAGCAGGGGGGGTGGCTTTCATGGTGAATATAACCATGACATATGGAAATTTTTGGTTTGTATAGTTAGATATGGTTTTAAAATGACATAATGACACCACTTTGTAATTTATTTAATGGTGGCATGATTGTTATGGTGTCATAAATGATGATTTATATAGTTTTAATATGTGCTCAAAAAACTGTCTGCATGAGTCATGATTTTGTAAGCCTTGTATCTCCACCATATCTCCTCTGATTCTCATGATGTGGTGCTCAATCCAAAGCCCTGAAGCAGCACTACAATATGGTATCAGCATGTCACTGAGGTCTTTATGTATTCTCACACAATATTGTAAATAGTAAAAAATGCAAAAACATGTGGACAGTTTTTTGAGCCACTGTATGTGTTAGCTAATAGTAATATGGCCAGCTGTTTCCGAGAATAGCTTACCAGGTATAAGGTATTTGCAGGGTATTTGGGGCAGGTTTTAATGCTGGTGTTGAGATTTAATGCAACTAAGCCAAACAATAGTTAGCAAGGCACTTGATCACCCAGTATAGTAATGCTTACATACTGGGAAACCCAGGTGCTTGTGAGCTGACTTTGAAACCAGCCTATGTCACATGTTGTGACTTACAGTGACATTTGCGTGACTGCCGACTTCTGTGGGTGCTGATCTATAAAGTAAGGTGGAACAGGTTTTGGGATGTCACAGGTGCTTGCGTGGCTTTCACTTATTTCACGTATTTTGCTAAAGGCCACATGGGAACACTTAGCTCACTTAAACCTTGATTTGGGAATCTCGCATGGCCCAGTCACAGGTTTTTGAGCTCTGACTTAATACTGTTGCCCATTTGAGTGCAGCACATGTCAATAAATAATTGATGAAAAATTGAATGAGCACAGGGGAATGGGGGAATGGGCCAAAGGCGTGAGTGGAGCAAGCACTTTTGGTCTGTTCCCCCATTCCCCTGTGCTCTCATTCAATTTTTCATCAATTATTTATTGCACATGCTGGGATGCAGCTGAGGCCAGGAAGCCAAAAAGGAGCACAAAGCACTCTGTTTGCTTCCTGTGCCAAAGGCACAATGGGTGTGAAGCTAGTTGTAGTGGAAGGGATAGTAGGCAAGGGTCTATACCAATTGACCCTCAGTGAGCTAGCCCAATCGAGTCTGATCAGAGATAGAAAATTAAACACGTGTTTTGGCCCAACGTCCTGCAAATGGCTGTAAAAAACTTGTTAAAAATCATTCAATGGTACCATTTGGCCAGTGAAGACAGCTTTGCTGCATGAGCATTAATGCTTTCGAATTCATGCCCCACTGACTTGGAGTATCTTGTAGACTCGTTTGTGCCTCAGGATATATGACCTCTGTCTGATACAGAAGGAACGATTGTCCTTCTATTAGGGCCTGCCTGAGGGCCCCTGGAAATGTGCCATGATATCATATGTTGTTTGTGGGATAAACAGTGTGGCCTGCGAAGTGGCCATGCATATGGCGTCGCCTCAGGGCTAGTTTTACTAGTAGTATTCAGGACCCACAGTTGAGACAGACGTAATAGTTGTGAACTATCGTCTTATAAGCTGCTTGGCTTCAAACTCGAACAAAAATACAAGCGAAAACATGATATGATGCTTATCGGAGATTGAACTCATCTTCGTTCTTGTATCTTCTGACAAGGTTCTGACCAAGTTCTGATATCAAATTCCGGGCCGCTTTTATCCCTTGAGTTGTCTTTGTAAAGGTCCGCGCTCCGCGGCTTCTAGAACTGAGGTGACAAACGCTGGCAGTTGTCTTCGACCGGCCGGGACTTCCATCTAGAATCGCCGCCAGATACAGTGCCCACTACAGGACATACACGGCCAAGGTTTGACTCATACTTATCTTGCTTGAAATGCGCTGTAGGCCAGAAAATTGGCATAAGCCTTGAAAAGAGTTCTTCAAGGTAATTGTTCCTTTATTTTCGTCAAAATAGTACAACCTCGTAGATCTAACAAATACAACCAGCGCCTGTGAATATTGGCTTCTTAACTCAGTAAAGACGGCACTTCGGAACAATTAAGATGCTCTTCCGCATCAAGGGCTACAGCCTTGTTAGCGCGTGTACAACACGTTTTTGTGAGGGATGGACCCTCAAATGTCAACAGAACCTATTTGTTGGCTTGCAAGGCCGATAAGAAGGTCGCCTTGCGGTGAAGGTGCACTTCCATGCATCTTATCCAACACATTTCTCTAACCATCTACCTCATCTGACATGCGTCTGCCGTCGTCCAGCGACTACAATGAATACTTTGTGTATCCCGAGGATTCAGAATCCTTCAAACGAGAAACCGAGCTCCCATCGAAGCTCGATTTCATGGATGGTTTAAGGTGAGTATTGTAATTCTATCTTGTCAGCTGAATGGTCGATTGACTGACTGAGCACAGAACCTTGGAGTTCGAGTCATCCACAGCACCAACGGTGTTGTGGTCCTCTAATGACCTCGATCCTCACCTCGAGGATATGGACGATGCAGCATACATCGAGAATCTGGCTATCGACCAGATGCAGACATCTGACGTGCGTAAACTGAAGATCCCGCAAGCCCATGCTGACATATGTGTCTTAAGACTACCCGATATCGGTATCTAGGATCGTCTGCAACTGGAGACTTCTTAGGTTTACCGCAGCTGAGCCCCGACGAATCACCATTCAGTATCGCGTCGAGTAAGTCCCCCTTGACTCCGCAAGGCGGCGCCCTTCTCCCCGACCTCTTCTGTGGTTCACTGGGGGACTTCGGGCTTCTCGATGTGGCAGTAGATTGCAGTCCATTTTTTGAGCAAGAAGGATTTGTGGAAGACTCGGCTTATCCTGAACAACTGCAAGAAGACCTTGCCTGCAGGGCAGTCTTGGATATACCCCCTCCAGTATCATCCTTAAAGAATGTCTCTCAGCCGATACTTCTGCTTCCAGTTGACGATGCCAAACTGGTGCATGACTCGTCGTCTATCTTGCCAGACTCTAATCCCGCGGAGCGATCTCGTTTCCTAAGATTTACAGAGGACTTGACGGAGAACGTTACATCACAAGTGCAAATCTGCATTTCTCCAAGCCCATCTCCCTGTCTGCTCCGTACTAATGTACGACGTCCGAGTCAGCTCTCATCGCCTTTCAGCCCAAGTCATGTTGATATTAAACCGGCTGATGTTTATCGAGGAGTCAAGCGCCGGCGGACCGATGATGACGATGACGATTACCAACCCAGTCGCATCCATAAACGTGCAGCATCGTCCCATACGCTGTCGCATCCAGCAGCATCCAAGAAGGCTCGAAAAGTCGGTCATCGTTCCTCAAAAAGAGTGACAAGGCACGAAGGAGCTAAGGAAGAGCGATTTGACTGCTTGATGAAAATTCATGGCTGCAAGAAATCTTTCTCACGCAGAAACGACATGGAGAGGCACCTGGGGAGTTGCAGGTTTAGCCCAGACTTGCCCTCCATGACAGTCAAATGTCCTCACTGCCAGAAATCCCTGTCTCGTAAAGATGCTCTGTTGCGCCACATTAAGCAGAGCCATGTGGATGTCCAGTAGCAAGACATCACAATGTACATAGACGTTGGTTCACCATCCAACCGGACACTAATCGGCACTTGAGCTTGCTTCAATCTGGTCCAGTTCTTGTTCTTGCGCGTCACAACTACATGTAGCCATAGCAGTATCAATCCTTATTTGCATCTTCAACCCACATTCAATCATCGATCATCGAGTCTGTACGGATTTAAGACATGATCATATTAATTTACTTAGAATGAAAAGAAATTATATAGCTATTTATGTTAGGCAGATACTTGTGCATCACGCGCTGTCAGCCCACTCTTGCAAGTACAATTCTGCGACAAGACCTCGCTCCTACAGAGCAAATCTACTGACCAGTGACCATATTAGGGAGGTTCTCGGTAGGGCTGCACAGCGCTTATTTTCTGACGGCGTGGGGCTCTGGCCGCAGTATCAAACACGGTTTTATGTGGGTGCATTACCCCCACTCGCTAGTATTGCAGTACTGCTGACACTGGCAGTGGTCAAGACAAATGTGGGTGTTTTACCCGCATGCGCAGTCGAGCATAACTCTATCAACGGGCAATCTGGGTGTCTCATCCCCACGCTCTTCCGCTGGTACGGCGAAAGAACCTAGACTGTTGTCACGATTGCCAGCGCAGGTATGGCATGTGCATATGATCATAGTATTAGGTTCACGGGTCATATCTTGGGAGACTGCAAACGACGTGTTCGTGCTTTATTAATGCTGGCACACCATCTTCTCGTGTTCGACAATCACTAGTTACTCTTACCTTACATAGTTTGCGATCGTTACTTTGATTACTGACTTTTTCTGAGTCTCGCGAATAACTTACTTAGGTATCTGAGATTCTGAGCGTAGATGGCCAAATATATTCTCTCTCTCCTGTGGATTATGTAATGGGTATTGCCGAACTCAAACTCAAATTCTCTACGTTTGTCCTTCAGCTTCCCCACCAAGACAATATTCACTGCTGCTCTGGTTTGTCAATACTCAAGTACTAATGATCACAAATTCTGAGAATATTCCTGCACAACATCCGCAAGCAGACAAGGACGACTCATCTTTGAGCACTCATCTCTGGTTCCCAGAACCCGAAGCTCAAGAGCGAGTTATTGCCATACCCCAGGCATCCGGCTCATCTTCGCTATTGAGAGACCGTTTGTATATTGGAAACCTGCATCCCACTGTTGATGAGTGAGTGATTTAGTTGTGGCTTTTCTCATATCCTCTAATTGTGGATAGATACGCCCTTCTACAGGTTTTCACCAAGTTTGGCAAAGTATCGAAACTTGACTTCCTCTTTCACAAGACGGGTCCAAACAGAGGGAAGCCGCGCGGATATGCCTTCCTACAGTATTTGCATGAAGGTGTAAGTCATGATGCTGTAAAGCGCCGTCGCTTGTTTTTGACTCGTTTTTCTCGCGATTGCCTTGACCTATCATGGCACATGTGGCGGCCATTGTCCTCTCAAGTCATTGACAGCTTGACTGACAAATGACCTGCACCAGGATGCCCAGACGGCATTGGAAAACATTAATGGAAAACTACTGCGGGGTCGTAAGCTGACGGTTACTTTTGCTCATCAAGCTCCGCTCGAACAGCCCGTTGGAAGTCGACAGGTGGGCAGGGCGAGAAGAGTTGATGCGCGGCCGACTACCCTAAGTATGATGAAAAGTGGAATTCATACTCGGTCAGAAGGGTGAATTTTATCTTCAAAAGGGTACCTATCAACTTACTTTTGAATTAGTACAGATAGCAAGATTGCGATGATGGAGGCAAAGTTACGCCAGATGGAATCAAGCACCACCAATTCGTTTGACTCATTACCACCAAAACCACCGCCATCTACTGCATCATTGGGTTCGACCTCAAGGCAGTCCCTTGGTTCGGGGGGTTCTCTCTCTTCCAGAAATCACGCAGGCCCAACCGTTCGGCGTCCCGCCACACCCGCGGAACCTACTGCCTATCTAGGGCTTTCTGCGGACGCTGATCCCACCCCTTCAGCATCACTACCGACACTTAATACTCTACCGGAGGTTGTCAAGTCATCCATGTCTTGTAAACGAATACCTGGTGTGAAGATTGTCAAAGAGCGTAGTAAATGAAGGTAATGCTTAACATCACACCTTCATTATATTCACAACGATTCTTCGCCAGACCTGTACAGTCGACACTCACCGCTGAGATCATTCCGATGATATCAAATCTTTCTCCCCAGATTCGTCATACATCCTAGCGCACTTCCGAGTTGTCCTAATATAGTTCTACTATCATCATGTCCGAGAGTTCTCAAATTCTCACGAGTGCTTTGCGCAATGACAGTTTACACTCCGACCACCAACATGAGAAAGTGAGGTCATTTCTAGCTCGAATTGTGCATTGACCTAGATCCAGTGCATAAATCTTCGTTGGCAACTTGGCTGAAACTTTCCCTATGCCGATGGCCGAACTGGAGAGTTCTTGTATATCAACTTCAGCAATCACGCGGTATCCAGTTTGTTCCGATGTCTCACACCTCACAGTGATTCACGTGTCATTCAAGTTGTTAGTCATTCATGACGAAACTGTCGTTGGCTGACGAGTCGGGTCCTGGGCTGGATTCTCGGCTGATGTATCAGAGCCTTCGCTGGGATGCGTTCGCGATCAAAATCAGTGCTACATTTTATCAGTGGAGTTTCGAGTCATGACAGCAATATTAACGTTTCAATGGTGGCCTAGAAGCTCCTGGACGTCAGGCTAAGTCAGGCCGCCGTGTCATCCAAGGGCATGGTACGTACCGAGGCTCAGGTAGACTTTCAAAGCATAAGACACGTTTCCTGATGCAGGTGACGAGCCTCGTGGCGCGAGCTAAATTTTAGCTAGCAACTTAGAGTCTGTTTAGGTTGTTATTTGAATGTCTCGCAAGGTGTGCTAATCGCGTCAACCTATAAGGGTGAGGGATGACGCGATGGCGGAGTGTGCAATGTCTTCTGATCTTGATGATTGGTTATTCACGAGCGGCTCCCATCCTGAGTCAGGTCTGACCGTGCGAGCTCAATTCAGTCGAAACGTTCATTCAGTAACAAGTACTCACGATCTAACTGCATCTTTCCACGAGACCCTTCCAATAACAGAACTGCGTCTCCATGGTTGGACAACCAACTATCCTTTTTTGTGTTGCCTCGTTTATTCGCAGCGCAATTGGAAGATATGGGTGACAGGGGTTTCAGTCAGTAAGCCATTTGTCGACCAAGTGTCATCATTGTCAGATCTGATGAACTATTCTCGTGCATACAACACAGCTGAGTCCTAATGGGTGCATAACGGAGGGCTCAAACCATTCTCGGAGCACAGTGGAGCACCTGACCATCCCCACGTATTCGTAAGAAGGTTCCCAGCGGCGGTACTTATAATCCACTGGCCATCTCTCATAATGCCCCCATCTTTCTCTTGAGCATTCATCATCTCTTGATCATGCCCTCCCCGCAAGTCTTCGCTGCTACAGATGGCGCAGTATACACCACCTCTAATGGTGCAGCAGTAGCGCATCCCCTTGCTGCTGAACGTGTTGGTCCTGTGGGACCCCTCCTCCTTCAAGGTTGGTTCACTCAGCCAATATAGATTTTTATGCTGATCCACATATAAGACTTCCACCACATCGATCTTCTTGCTCATTTTGATCGGGAACGGATCCCTGAGCGTGTGGTAAGCGCAACACTCAAATGAACAGGCTTCCATATCCATCATATGCTAGGTGCACGCCAAAGGCGCTGGTGCTCATGGCTATTTCGAAACGACCCACGATCTCAGTGATATCACCTCTTGCAAACTATTCACTAGCGTTGGCAAGCAAGTTCGAGTAACCGCCCGCTTCTCCACTGTCGGTGGGGAAAGTGGTTCCGCCGACACGGCTCGCGATCCCCGTGGTTTCGCTCTGAAATTGAAGACGGAGGAGGGTAACCTGGACTGGGTGTTCAACAACACACCTGTGTTCTTCATCAGAGATCCCGCCAAGTTCCCAGCCCTTCATTCACACCCAAAAGCGTGACCCCCAGACGCACCTGAAAGATGCAGACATGTTCTGGGTAAGATCGATTTCACTTTCAAAGCGTCCGATTCGAAACATTTTTCCTCGTAGGATTACCTGTCTCAAAACCCGGAATCGGCGCATCAAGTCATGATACTGTTTTCTGACCGGGGAATACCTGACGGCTACCACAACATGCACGGCTATTCCGGGCATACTTTCAAGCTCGTGAAAGATGACGGCTCATGGGTCTACACCCAGATTCACTGTATTGCTGATGGCGGCTGCAAGGTTTGCATAGCCTTTTAATATAACGGTTTGTTGTCAATGTATTGCATAGGTCCTCGATACTGCCACGGCTCGTAATTTGTCCGCAGACAACCCCGATCACGGCATTCAATCGTTGTTTGAAACCATAGACGCTGGTAACTTCCCAGTCCTGGACCGTCTACGTTGTCAGTGATGTATCGTTTATGCCTTCAACTTCAATAGCTAACCTCCAATTCAGCAAACTATGACTCCAGAGCAGGCTGAAAAATTCCGTTACAACGTCTTGGACTTGACCAAAGTTTGGCCCCACAAGGACTACCCCTTGCGCCCCGTAGGAAAATTCGTGCTCAACGAGAACCCGCAAAACTACTTCGCTGAAATTGAGCAGGTGACGGGAATTTGTTTTATTCCACGACAATGTGGGCTAATTGATATATTTAAATGACTATCAATAGGCTGCTTTTGCGCCCAGCCATTTGGTTCCCTACTTCGAGGCCTCTGCTGACCCCGTACTTCAGTCAAGACTGTTCTCTTACCCTGACACTCACCGTCACCGACTTGGTACGAACTACCACCAACTCCCTGTCAATGCGCCCATTGTCCCTGTTGCCAACTTCCAACGCGATGGTGCCATGGCATTCAACAGCCAAGGAGCACGCCCGAATTATCAGAGCTCCATTACGCCCTTGACATACTTGAGCAACAAGGGATCTATCAAGGGCACACCCAGAGACTATGAACGAGCCAAACAGCATGAAAGTTGGCTTGGTGGAGCATTCTGGGACTTGAGCGAGGTCACCGAGCGTAGGAGGCTAAAACACTATTTGTTGGACTTCAGTGACAATGACAAATTTTCTAGTCGACTTCGAGCAACCGCGTGCACTCTACCAAAATGTCTTCGATGAGGCAGCCAGGGCGCGCCTTGTTTCCAATGTTGCTGGTCACCTTGGTGGTGCCAAAAGCGCTGAAGTTAAGGCCCGGACTCGTACGTTCAAATCTGATCTCCATGATATTGTCACTCAACTAAAGACTAATCCAGTTTCTTACTTTGCATCTGTGGACCAATCTTTGTCTGACCGCATTGCCAAGGCTATCGGTGCCCCCACTGCAAAGCCTTTGACTGTCAAACCTGCGTCCGAGGCAGTTCGCTTCAGGCATGGTGTCGGCGCTGCGCTGTAAACGTCGAGGGAATTATTGTAGTAACCATGGAAACAAGTTCTCACATGTATTGTTTTAGTACCAGGAAGTAGAATGAAAATTTTGGTGTCACTATCCGCAGGACCAGAATTTGGCGACCCGGTTCAAACGAGATATTTGCAATACCCAGAATACGGAGGGTGCTGCATCTCACTATAGACAACGAGCAAACGACACTATTGAAGTCTTCGAAATCCTTCTGCAATGCAGAACTATATTAGGTGGTAGGTTGGCGAAGGAAAATAATTTCTGGCAACCCTCCGAGTCACTACTTGCGACGCCAGATAGCGGATGTAGGTGCTACATGTTCCAAGTGTTCTGGCTCATCAGCATGACAGACCTACAAGAATTACGCATCCTGAGGAAAGTGAGGGTTGGCCCAACATAGATCCTACAGGTACAGAGAAGAACAAAAAATAACGGAATTAGGGCGTTCTAGCATCTCGGATGCCTTCTGGAATTTTTCTTGGAGTTCCAAGTTGCCAATGACTTTGGCGGCCTGAGCCATCTGACGAAGTAATTCACCAAGGCGCCTGAAGACGCGTATCAGGTTTCCCTCAAATTGATCGGTCAACTGTGTCCGGTCAATAGGTCAGCAAGGTCATGATGAACAATAGGGTCGACAAACTTTGCAAATGTCGGAAAATGAAGCTCCTCTACACCACTGGAAAACGGCGTCCATTAATTCGACTTTAAAAGACGAAACATATTCTTCCTCGACCAATGGTAATTTTGATTCCTGCGACACCTTTGCTATTCGGCGCGCGATTTCTTGCATGACACGCAATGGCGCTGCTAACTCTTCCGTGAGCTTGGTCACATGTTCACTCTGAAATCAAGATGTTAGCTAATTCATTCAGACCGAAATCACCCCGGATACCTTTTCTGTGAAAACAAAGCAGCTAAGTAGACTGGCACATTGCTCAGGGAGTAGGGAGTTGAAAACGCCATTGAAGATAAGTTCAGTAAGAAGAAGTTCATCCCCAGTGCTGATTTCGCAAGCTACGCGACCCTTTAGTTCCGCGATATCGGATGAGTTCGTGCACTCAAGTCGACGGAGTACACGTTTCCGGTATTTCAACTCCTCGAGTTGCAACACATCATGGGTTGCCATAATACGCTTCTTCAGATCCCGTATCTTCGTTTGCGCTTCCTGCTTTTGGGCGTACAGCGTGTATAGTTCTGGAAGGCGAGGATCATTGTGCAATGGATTTGAGAACATTCTTTGCTCCATGATGTCAATTTTCTGCCCGCAATATTAAATTTCACGCGATACATTGGGAATTGACGATTACTTACATTGACTAGGGCTGTGAACTTTTCGTCTTTGATATCCATATTTTGCACAGGATCAAGAAGGGCAATGCCATCCGGAAATCTGCGTTGCACTTCAAGAACGCTCTTCCAGACAGTATCCCGCGCTTGATCTTGTCGAAGATCTTTCGGTAGGAAGACACGGATGTGGCTGATCGCGTCCACGGTTGAAAGGAAAATGGGCACTACGAGCGGCGAGCCTTTATTGCCAGGGAAACAAGGGAGTATCCCGCCTGGTGTGGGTGTGGATATTGTTTTGTCTTTCGGTAGGGTAGCACCATCGTTGCAGTTCAATAGCACGTCGAGGACATATTGCTCGTGGGGAGGGACATCCGCTAGTTGATGTTCTTGCCACGTCTAAAGAAGGATGAGTATCTAATTAACTTTGCCTGACGAGGATAATGACCTTTGGTGGCAAACGCTTCTGGTAATTTACGACCACGCCCCACCCAAAGTCAAGGTCTTTATACTTCACCTTGATCAGGCGACCGGGCTGCAGGAACGGAAGCGAATAGTTGGGATGGGTAATTACTTCGCGGAAATCCGCTGCCATGCGATCCAGTTGTTGACGGTAATCGTAATAAGTAGCAACGATGTTTTCGTCGGGAATAGTGATAGCGTCTCGCCGTTTTTCCTCCTTCTGCAGCTCTAAGCGGGCATTAATGATTTCACAACACATATCCAAGATACTCACCATCTTCCAGGACAGGAATCCCAGCGCTGCTCTGGAACTGGAAAAAGCATCGCTCGAGCATGTACTCAGGGCTAATGCCTTCGACCTTGAGCAAGTTCAAGATCATGTTATAACCGAGGTGGAAAGCAGAATCTAGCCGGTCAGCCTCTCCCTTGATCATGTCTTTAGCGGCTGATGGCTCTAGCTTTTCGTCGCACATCATAATGACAACGCCTCGGTCGTCAAGACCACGTCTACCTGCACGGCCAGACATCTGAATGTACTCTCCTGAAGAAAGGTTTCGAAATTCTCTTCCATCGAATTTACGGGCGGCGGTAAAGACTACTGTTTTCGCAGGCATATTGAGTCCAATGGAAAATGTCTCCGTGGCAAATAGAACCTTTATAAGGCCTTCTTGGAAGAGGATCTCAATGACTTCCTTGAGAATAGGTAGCAAGCCGCCATGATGTATCCCAATACCTCGCTTGAGCAACGGAAGGATATTGGATATTTGGGAGAGATTACGATCCTCTGTCGAGAGATTTTCGATGGCGTTCTGGAAAATATTCGAAACAAGTTCCTGTTCATCTGTGGAATTGAATTCGAATTTAGACATAGTAAGCGCAAGAGCCTCGCACTCTCGCTTGCTGAAAGCGAAAACAATGACAGGATTGTAGTTCTTGAGCATGATCATTTTGATGATTTTGGAAATATCGGATTGTCCTGGTAATGATTAGGCGGATGGTGAGATACAGACAAATCAGATACCTTTCTTTTCGCCTCCTTTTTTCGTCTTGCCTTTACGACCTTTTCCGCTGCGCGGGTCGGCGGGGTCCTCCCCGGTTTTGTCTTGAAGTGTACCCATCGCTTTGCTGAAGTTGTCTTCACGAAATTCTCCTTTTTCATTGACGACAAGATAGATACCTTCGCCTCCTGCAGGAAATAGATAGTGTTGCAACGGTGTTGGACGGAAGTCGGTATAGACAACATGACACGGTTGATCGTGGGATTTACAGATCCACTCAGCGAATTGCATGGCGTTCGGTATAGTGGCGGAAAGAAAAACGTAGCGAACCGTATGGGGTAGCAAGATGATAGTTTCCTCCCAGACGACCCCACGCTCTTTGTCTCGCATGTAGTGAATTTCGTCAAAGATTACCCACGCAACTTCACGCATTATCTCGGACCCTCGATAGAGCATCGACCGTAAGATCTGCCGCAAGACAGACTCTGAGCTGGTGAGAGGATAATTATGAACTACACATACCTCTGTAGTCATTACAAGGCATGTCGCAGAAGGATTTATAGTTACATCTCCGGTCATAAGACCAACGTCCCCGAATTCTGCTAGCATCTCACGGTACTTTTGATTACTCAAAGCCTGTTAGACTTCCAGTTATCCCTTCGTGATTACACACTAAGGCTGCTGCTCACCTTGATCGGACTAGTGTAAATAACACGTTGTTTGTTCTGTAGGCATTGCGCGATAGCGTATTCTGCGACAACCGTTTTTCCAGCACTCGTATGCGCCGAAACCAAAACACTTTCGTTACGCTGGATGGCGAAAACCGAGACTTGCTGAAATGGATCAAGAGTGAACTTGTATTCCCTTGCCGGTTTTTGGGGAGGGGTATGTTGGGCAATCGGCACATAGTGATAACCTGGTGGTATGGCAACTTGGTGGCGGACCTAGCAAAGTTATAGATCAATGAAAATTATCCGAGTAATTGGTTAATACCTGATGTCTCAGTTCCAGCCGCGAACCAGCTTCAACTGACCCCGTGAGCCCTCCACTTGCGGCCATTTCACGTTTGGCCTCGGTCTCAAACTCATCTACGACAACTGGTACAGGTGATGATACACGGGGTTTCTTGGAAGTAAAACTGCCAGAAGCGTGATCACCCGGAGGATCCATGCTTGCACGACGCTTTATGTTCTTGTCGATGTGACGCGGCTCGGGATCATTTTCGTCTTTATCTTCATCCCCAGGAGGCGCCCCATCAAGGAATGAGAATAAGTCAGGCGTGGACATATGGAGTGTTGCTGTGAGTAAGTGCGGATTTCGGCGCCAGGCTTGGTTAAGTTATTTATTAGCCTAAGTACATCAGTACTGGGTACCAGCGCGGAGTTTCAATGACCGGCAATGACCGAAAGTGAATTTTCATGAGTAAGATATCGGTGTCAGTATACAGATTTTGCATTGTGCAAACATGTCGCGATTCTTCAGACAAGCTGGCGATTCAGACTCTGATACAGAGGAGTCCGATGAGGAGCTCCTCACTAGCGGTGATGAAGATGCCGCCGCCCCAAAAACTACTGCCAAACCGGCCATGTCAAGATTCCTACGCACAGCGGGAAGCGATTCTAGTAGCTCAGACTCAGAGTCATCCGATGAGGATGAAAGTGAGATGTCAGATGAAGAGCCAACACAGAAGAAGAAGTCCCGATTCATGCGTGGCGATTCGGATGAAGACAGTGAAGACGAGGATGTCAAACGTGTTGTAAAAAGCACCAAGGACAAGCGCTTGGAGGAAATTGAAGCTACCGGCAAGGTCATGGACAATGGCCTTAAAATCAACGACTGGGTCGCCATATCAAACGGTCAGTCTTGTCGAGCTTTTATCAGATTCACTGACCGTGGTTCTCTTAGAATTCGACAAGCTCTTGCGTCTCGTGCAACGACAGAGTAATGCTGCAGAACCGTTACCTCCATTTTTTGTCAAAACCCTTCTAAGTCTAGAGAACTCCCTTAACGCCGCTCTAGCAAAGGAGAAGGAGGCAAAGAAGAAGATGAATGCCACCAATGCTCGAGCGCTCAACTCCATGAAGCAGAAGGTCCGCAAAACTGCTAAAGAGTTTGAAAAGGAGGTCCAGCAGTATCAGAATGTAAGTTTTTTTAGACCACTCTATCACGATCCTTACCTCTCGTAGGATCCAGAAGCATTCGAACGTGAATTTGCCGCTCACGCTCAACCTGCGGATGTTGTTGTCCCCAAATCCAAGAAGCCGAAGAAGGGTGCAGACTCTGAGAGTGACGGGGAACCGGTATTAGATGATCGGTTCACCACAGTCGGCAAAGGCGGCAAAGCTATGTCTTTCTCCGCGGACAACATCTTTAAAACTTTGAAGCTTGTTCATGAGGCTCGTGGCAAGAAGGTGCGCATATTCTCTTGCGCTCTTCTTCCTTCCAATTAAAAAGGTCGTAGAACACTGACCGAGGAGAACAAATACGGATTCTGGAGAAACTCCTAGAAGTAGCGGTCACATCATACCAACGCATCCGCATCCTCTTGGCGCTTGTTTCATCCCGATTTGACTACAATTCATCGATCACATCGTATATGCCAACTGATCTGTGGCTCTCGGCGCAACATGAAGTCGATCAGTTGATCTCAATAGTGGTCGCGGACTCGTCCTACTCTGTGCAGGAGGACACTGAGGATTATGATGAACTCGTTGAGCGCCATCCTGCAACCGAAAGTGATGGGGTTGTTCGCATTCGTGGCAGCATCATCAGCTTTGTAGACCGTCTGGATGACGAGTTCACGAAGAGTCTACAAAACATCGATCCTCATGGAACGGAATATATCGACCGTCTTAAGGACGAGAAAGTACTTTATCGTACTATCAGTCGTTCGCAAGCTTTCTATGAACAGTCGAGCCAGCCGGAACCCCTTGCGAGAGTGATCATGCGACGGTTGGAGCACATCTATTCCAAGGTTAGTTGAAGTCAGCCCATCGCAGTACTTTTTTTTGACAATGTTCGTAGCCTGATGCTGTCGTATCTGCTCTTGAGTCTTCATTGGCTTCGTCGGAGATAACTCCCGGCGTCACCCTGGCGTCTTCTGCTACCACTTCGTCCTTGATTCACTCCCTTTGCGTTCATCTTTACAAAGCCGACAACTCCCTTCTGCGCACTCGCGCCATGCTCAGTCACATCTACCATCATGCGTTGCACAATGACTTCTACACGGCACGAGACATGTTACTTATGTCGCATCTGCAAGAGTCAATTCATTCTGCAGACGTCGCAACGCAGATCTTGTATAATCGAACCGTTGTACAGCTTGGGCTTTGTGCTTTCAGATGCGGGTTGATAAAAGAGGCTCAAGCGACACTGCAAGACATCTTCACAACACAGCGCGTAAAGGAGTTGCTTGCTCAGGGTGTCCACCAACAGCGTTTTCAACAACAACTTACGCCAGAGCAAGAGAAGGCGGAACGGTCACGTCAATTACCATTCCATATGCATATAAACACTGAGCTTCTCGAGGCGGCTTTCCTCGTATCCAGTATGCTCGTCGAAGTCCCCCTTCTTGCCAGCATCGAATCAGAAGAGCAGAAGCGCAAGGCGATCTCAAAGCCATTCCGCCGGTTACTTGACTTTGCCGACCGTCAAGTGTTCACGGGCCCTCCTGAAAGCACGCGCGATCACATCATGCAGGCGAGCAAGGCGCTGCAAGACGGCGAATGGGAGAAATGTCGTGACCTCATCCAGAGCATCAAGATTTGGAATCTGATGCCTGAAGTCGCGTCAGTCAAAGAGATGCTTGCAAAGTACGTTTTTACATTCCACCGACAATTCCACCTCTGACCACGATGTACAGACGTATTCAGGAGCAAGGACTGCGCACGTACCTTTTCACATATGCCCCTTATTACAGCACTCTCTCACTGTCTCTCCTGTCGCGCACATTTTCTCTTCCGCTTCGCTCCGTTACATCGATGATCTCTAAAATGATTTGGAATGAAGAGCTGTCGGCGTCTCTTGATCAGTCAACTGGTGTAGTGGTGTTTCACCGCATTGAGCACTCACGTCCGCAGCAGCTTGCTCAGGTTATTGCGGATAAAGTCAGTGCACTCCTCGAGCAGAACGAAAAGGTCCTTGACATCAAGCTTGGCGGTAGCGGAGGATGGGGTGACAGGGGCGGTGACAAGGGTGAGAAACGGGGTGAACAAACTCAAGAACGTAGAGGAAGAGGAGACAGGACGCGAGGAAGCCTGCGCGGTGGTCCTCGTGGACGCGGCTCGCGATTTGCCCAGGGTCTTGGTAATCAGATGACAAGAGTACGATGAGCTTCTTGTTGTGTCAATATTGTCTTTTGGAACGTGTGCATGTAGTATTTTACAGAATTGACAAATTCCCTTGAATTTTCAGAGGAATCTTGAAATAAGCTTATGTGCAGAAATACAACGTTGCGAAAGACTCAGAGTACATCAATTCATGCAACTACTGAGTCCAACTTTCTCTCCATCCACACTGACGACAACGACGACGGACAACGGTAATGCCTAACAAACGACGACCACAGTGCTTCAGACACAGCGAACAGTGATTTAAGTATCAGACGCAGCAAGTTATTGCAAAGCACCGGAAAGAATACGGACCAGGACCGAAAGCGCAAGGGTATCGGGAACTCAAATGAGTCCCGTCGATGCACTAACCATTGGCTCCTCAGATGAATATTTGTAGCAGAGCTAGCAGGTCCCCGTATGGTAGAAGAGGTTATCGATCGAGCGGTTTTGCACGAGCTGGAGATGCAAGAAGTTGGAAAGTCTGGTGCTATTCGCGATCGGCCAATGGAGAGACGCTCAGGACTGGATTGAGCTCTCGGGGTCAAGTGATGTAAACCCTCGCCGATAGCTACGTATTGTCCTTGGAATTGTTGCAATCGAAACCTCAGCACCACAAAGATTCTCCCGCAGTTGACCTTGCATTTCAGTGAGGAGAATATCTGGTTGTCACTCGATACACGCCTCAGGGAACTGAGAAATCACACATAAGTGATACTGAAAATAGGCAATGGCTAGTTCCTGGTGCAGGTGCGACGGAGCTGTGAGCTAGGCAAGCGCGTTGAGGCATATGGGAGCGAGATGAGGAAGCTGGCTGTGAAACGGTATGCTATATCACTCGAAGTCATACCTCGAACACTCGCTAAGAATGCACTGCGAGGTGCTGAGGGTAACGAGGTTCTCGGTCAGTCGTGGGCTAAGCACGAACAGAAGAGTGGCAAAGCCTGGGGCGTCAATATCTAAGAAGTAAAAATGTGCCTGCTGGCAGCCGCATACCCCGAAATTCGCACCCACCGATCACCCGCTACCTCCAGTGTGTCCTCGACGCACTCCCGTCAGTCAGGCAGATACCCGACTCCATAGATACTAATGAGTCCTCAGGTATACGTTCCCTCAGCCCCTCCTCCACCTTCTGACATCACATCTGCTATGCAATCCATGCTGCACGTCCTTTTTCTCCCAACGCCTTTCAAGAGCAGTGTGCATGGTACGTGTCCTGCACTTAGATATGTCTATCCTGACTCTGTTAGGGCAGCATAAATCACCTTGGCCGACTTTTTCGTAGCATTCGATGTCGCTACCATCAGGGAGGGCAAAATCATTCACCCAGTAGCTGAGCTCCTTGTCATGGCCTCGTAAGCTCAAGAGTCCGAGGTATGTCCTCCATTCCACTGCCTATTGACTTAATCCAGATGGGCGACTCTATCAACACGGTCATCTTGTTTACATTTTCTTATGAAGTGGCTCGACATCCAGCCTACCGTCCCCTTTCACGCAGCAATACGGTCATAAGGACATATTGTTGTCATTTGTAGCAGAAGCCGCGCTATTTGGTCGCGAACCGGACGGCAATCCTACTCAAATCCTCGATACAGCACTCACACTCACCCCCTCCAAAAGAATCAAAAAAAAATTCTGGCGTGAAAGTGGCCGCCTTCACGTGCACTGGCATTGCCCAAGCCGAAACAAAGACACCGTCCTCAAAAATGCAGACGAAATGCTCAATTTCACGTGCAGCAAGGAACAACAACTCGAAAGGGTATGTTCTCCATCCCATTACCTGCTACATCTACTAACCATCACTCGATAAATAGATCTTCAAAGAAATCGCTGATTCAGGCATCAGAGTCATCGCAGGCTCGTCCGTCGGCGACCTCGCCCTATACTACCCCAATCGCTTCAACATCAAAGTCCTTTCCAAATCCGACTCCCGCCGTGTAGCCCACGTTGTCAACGCCACACCTCTCGCCCGCGTCAGCACACTCACCCCGAAGGAAGCCAGCTACGTCGACATCTTCGAGATGACGGAGATCGATGGAGACCGCGTCACTGTCCTCTGTCAGCTCGCTCACGGCGAGGACGGGCATCAGAGCCACGCAGAGGAGACACGTACAGTGCTTAGAGGCCGGGGGCGATGGCCAATCATCTCGACTACATCGAGCGCGCCATTGAGGCTGCTACTATGATGATACAAACTGCGAATTGAAGTGATTTTGGGACAATACAAGGAATCTGAACTACGTCGTCAACGGAAATCAATTGATCCCTAAGGATGCCCTTGGTACCCAGCTTGTCAAGCACTTCCTGTAAGCATGCCATACTAAAGTCAGAGTGTGCGACATGACCTCGATCTCCCTTGACTTTTCTTTTCAACACTATGGTAGCATCAGCAAATCTGGGAATTTGTGTTATGCTCGGTGTTCATAAGAACGACTAGACGGAAACAAATGATCTAAAGCGTACACCTATGTATGAGTCATGCGAGTTAAGCAGTATATTGCAGGCCCTGGTCTGTGTAGGTCAAGTTAAAGAATACAAGCATAAGAGATAGAGTTTAAATAAAGGAATTAAAGTGGAGTTTTAGTGAATGAATTGGAGATCAAAAGTAAATAGCAAATCAGAAAAGAATCATACAATAGAATGTAATGGAATGTCTAGGAATGATTAGTAATGGTGAATAAGTGAAGAGGTGAAAGGAAAAGAGTAGAACTGTAACAATTTGAGGGCTGACTGACTGATATGCGACCATGATAGTATCAGAAGTCCTATGGTTGTAATAAAGTTCCGTGACTGGATAGTGTAGTGTGAGTCAGATAAACTTTGAGTGTAGTGATATAAATCATACAATTGTTGATGCCTTTTGTGCTGGCAAGGTCATACTTCCTTTTGGCAGAAATCTGAGTCCAAGCTATTTCTCCGAGTGTTGACAGCAATCAGCAGGATTGTGAGTGGTGGGTAAAAATATGGACATACCTTGAAATACATCATTTGCAGCTTGCCATTTTGCCATGGTTTCTTTTTGGGCCTCCTGTTGAGCTTGCAAAGTTCCCACTTGCACCTTTAGCGCCTCTCTTTCATCAACTTCAGCTTCCTGGCATCTCTTCATCAACTCTATCTCCATTAGGAGGCCCTAAGCCCGCCAGATTAGTTACACACCTTCAAATACTTTAAAACTTACTTCAAGTGTCTTGGTTTGTAAATGGTACTTCTTCACAAATTGTCCCCACACACCAGGCCGTACCTTGTCTATGGTATATGATTTCAGGTTCTGGCAGGACAAAGAGAGTATTTCTTTGAGTGTTCTTCCAGATCTGTTGACAGGTATATTCTTCTCAAGAGCTTCTTGGAGGTTGGATTTGGGAGAACCATCAGCCAGTTGGGGAGTCTTTGACCGGATCCAAGGCAACCTCCCTGCCCTTTCTTTCAGTGGTGACAATTTTAAGCAGAGTTCTATCAAATATAAATGTGGTTGGTGCCATGGTGTGCTGGATCTGAGGATAGGAGACAACTGGCTTGCTGAGCATTACAGGCTGACCACTAAAATATCATGTGATCTTGAGCGGCTGACTGGCTATCTGGTCTGGAATCTGGATTGAATCCATTCTCTGCGACCCTTCAAAGTTATTGGTGGTGTCAGATTTGATTTCGTAGCGACTGCCTTTGTCAACACATGAAGCCATGTCTGTGTCTCCATGAGCGAAACCATAAGTAGTATGGGCAAGGTATTCTTTGGATGCGTTCAAAGGTGTACAGGTGAGATCTCCCGGTGTCAGTACTAGTGTGTTATACGACTGACAGTGGCAGCGATTCTAAGATAGGCCCTGTGGTAAAGCCAGATACGAATTTATCTGTGCTGGAGACACAGATGAGAATTGGGTGTTACTAAGAGGTTCCAGGTTAGCAATGACGAATTCCTGAATGTGACAGCTATTGGCTTTAGGCGGCCTCACTAGGTGCTGCCTTGCGGCACATAGCATATATCCCAACACGCTCACTCATCACCCTGACTGCCCAGCTCTATTGTGTCACTGTGCACTGTCACGCCCTCTTCTGTGTCCTTTTTTGAAACACAGACATGTTTTGCCACACCTTCCACGATGATGACAGCACCCTCGTCGATTGTGCTGCGTATGAGACACCGCGGGGCTCTGTATGGACGTGGGATGTGGGTCCCCCAGACTCATGGGTAGTACCACATCATACGAGCGAAGATACACACCGGCAGTGAGTGTTTTACTTGTCCTTACAAGCTGATTTGACAAAACATGTCAAATGCATGTGCTTCTACACAGATCCAACCATCTGGTCACACCTGATAAGATGGCATATCCATTACAAGTGCTGGCAGGTTGACCTGCGACATCGTCCGGAAAACATACGATGCAACAGTTCAACTCACTAGCATTTGAATGGCAGGCTCACATAACCGCTCAGATCTCGGGTACGCACGTGGGGATAATATGGATGTCTCACCTTAGGCGAACTTTAGGCTCATTTTCAATTATCTTCCCCGCATTCCTGGAGACAAGGGGGTGGTTTCTTCCGAGTTTCACTTACAAGCATTATGACTGATCGGGCGTGTTGGACAGCCTTTTAGCACATTTTTATTAGTTCAGTAAAGCAACCTGATGGAGAATATAAGATGACTGCCACAGATTGCCACATCATTGCACAATAAAAGACATTGCTTCTCTTCATGGATGACAGGACACTTGAGATGTACAGCAAATGTTTGGAGAACAGAGGCGGCTAACTCTTCAGTGTACCTTGATGGTGTCTCAGTACACGGATGCTTATCCAGCTGTACTGGTATCGTACGTAGGCTCACAGAAGGATACGAGCTACTAATGGTAGTATTGAGCCCGGCCAGCCAGCCGATTTCAAGGACAGTGGACACTGACACATGGGAAGTCATGGGGTTGTCCCGTCTTAAAACAATCGTGCACTGCGCTTGATATTTGAAACATGTGAGTCTTCAATTTTCCGCCCCACCGGCATGACGCCCTTTGCCCTCAACTTCATTTCCATATCAGAGTCATAGTGCCTAACTATTCGACCACTTCAAAGTTTTGACCACGAATTCGAACAACACCCGGACCCATACAGTGGGGGCCGCCTACTTGCTGGGACTGAAGCCTAAGGTTCATACTTCCTGGTTTCAAGCTCATGTCTGGCAGTGGGCTTATTACAAACTCTTTTTCAGGTGTCCGCACCAGGATTGGCGTACGGTATATCTATCTTGGTGGTTTTGTAGTGTCGGTCCGTTTTATCTTCATCTTAAGCCCTGCCAACTGTATGTTCAGTTCAACCACTTGTCAACCACTACCATCTAGTTTGCTCTACACCATCATTGCTCATTGCATTCGCAACACACTGACCATAGTTGAGCTCGATGGTATCCCTCCTACTGAAAAAAGGTGTGATAGATATCCCACCTGCCGTAAACCCTTATCCGATGGTCTATACCTTCCCCAGCTTTATATCAAGAAAGTCGTCCTCGGAATGTGCTTTGGGATCATCATAGGCCCTCATGCTACCAATATCTTCATACCTCGTTCATGAGGTTCCTTGGAGAATACCATAATATTAAAGGTCATGCATCACCGATCCATTTCTATAAAGTTAGAACAGGGACTGATGATCAACTCAAACCATTCGTTTAGTGTTAGTACATGAGAACATTCAACACTACCCCTCAGGTGGTATCAAAGTTATAATACAGGCGTCATGTCACTTTAGGTGCAAATATGGTGGAGGTCGGGTGACTCTTCTACAACATCAATTTTAATGGAACGACCAAGTATCTTGATATGCGAGATCGAGGAGCTGGAAATACATGTATATCGATTTTACTTCGAAGAAACTCGTGAAACGATGAATGTCATGCTGACACTCATGTCACGGTGAGAAACTTGTAAAGCGACCGTTAAGTACTTACCTAATTAGGAACACTGGTTCAAGTGATCATTCCGCTGCAACGTACAGTTACTGTCACGGTCTGTGTATCCATAACCTGTTCGCGATCGCGAGCATACCCAGTTGTGTGAGGTATTTCAACGCTCTCTTAGATAACTTGCTCTGCTTCCTATTCACGACCATCACTCCGAGATTGACAACACATTTAGACACCACCTTATACCTGGATATCCCGGCGAAGTTATTCAATCATCCCAAGACAGCTTACAAGCCGAACTCAGTTTCAGTGGCCCATACCACTGCTCATGCCAGCTCCTCGTCCCTCTCAGAGTACAGAAGCCACGCGCGCTGCTGCGCTACAGGCTGAGTTTAATGAAAAGAAATGGGTTTGGGTACCAGACGAGAAAGATGGTTATCTCGCTGGCTGGGTACACCAAGAAGATGATGAGACTGCGGAAATTATTATGTCCTCCGGGGGAGAGGTACCTTTATCTTAATTTCCTTCGTAATGTGCCAATTACTGACGCGAAACGCGTTAGATTCGTCGAGTTCCTTTGTATGCACTCTCCAAGATGAACCCTCCCAAGTTCGATCGTGTGGAAGACATCGCGGATCTCACATTTTTAAACGAGGCGAGCGTCGTGCATAATCTCCGTCTAAGGTATGGATCCGGAGCTATCTATGTGAGTCCTCTTCTGTCGGCGATTTCTTGCGCACATTCACGATCATCCTACTTGGTACACCTACTGAAACACTCCGAGTAGACATACTCTGGCTTATTCTTGGTCGCTATAAACCCTTACCAGAACCTGCCGCTGTACACAGACGCAATTATATCTCAGTATCGCAGTAAACGACGGGATGAGAACCCTCCTCATATCTTCGCGGTTGCCGAGCGCGCATGGGTTAACATGGGAGAGGAGCGCGAAAATCAGAGCATTCTTATAACGTCTGCTATCCCTACATTTCGGTGAATCATGCAACTGATTCGCCGCCCACAGAGGAGAATCTGGTGCAGGAAAGACCGAAAGCACGAAGAAAGTTATACAATACCTGTCTGCCATAGCGACTGATGCGCACCCGCGCCATCCTTCACATTCACATTCTGCCTCCATGGCATCCTCGTTCCCCGCATCCCCACCTTCGGGTTTGCCAAGAAGAGGCTCTTTCCATGCAAAAGCGACTCATGTTACGTCTAACAGCACTGGAGGCGCCAAGGGTCGCCTAGGCTTGCTCGAGCGACAGATTCTCCAAGCGAATCCCATCCTTGAGGCGTTTGGTAACGCGCAAACTCAGCGGAATAACAACTCAAGTAGATTCGGGAAGTTTATTAGGATTAGTTTTTCTCTGGACGGGAGTATATCTGGGGCGAACATTGACTGGTACCTGCTGGAGAAGAGTCGAGTAGTGGTTCGCAGTGCTGCGGAGCGCAACTTCCACGTATTTTACCAGTTACTATCGAGTGGTGGATCATTAAAGGGCAAGTCTTTAACGCATCCTCTCCCCACTTGTTTTGATATTTGTGCTTCTACAGATACTCTTCTGCTGGATCGACCTCTGGACGAATATGAATTTCTCAACAGAAGCAGGCGAGAGGTCGATGGCGTCAACGATCGCGAAGATTGGGACGCTCTGATAGTACGTTTCGTGAATGCGAAGTCTTCGATATCCGAATAACATGCTCCCAGAATGCTCTTGATATTGTTGGCTTTACGGTCGCAGAACAGTTCGACCTTTTCCGCATCGTCGCGGCAATTCTTCATATTGGCAACATCGACATCCGTTCTACGAAGTCGGACGATGCGTTTATGCCAGATCCTTCCCAAGCTGAGCGTGTCTGCCATTTGCTCGGTATTCCCATCGCAGAGTTCACGAGAGCTATCTTACGACCCAGGGTTCTCGCTGGACGTGAGTGGGTCACACAAGCGAGGACGGGGCAACAGTCTCTTGACGAACTCGCATCCTTGAGCAAGTCGTTGTACGAGAAGTCCTTCAGTGCGCTGGTCGAGCGCATCAACCGTGCGCTAGATCGTCCGTCCTCTAAGTCGACGTTCATCGGTGTTCTCGACATCGCTGGCTTCGAGATCTTCGAAATTAATACGTACGAGCAATTGCTCATCAACTATACCAACGAGAAACTGCAGCAGTTTTTCAATCACCATATGTTCGTCCTCGAGCAGGAGGAGTATTCCAGGGAAGGCATAGAATGGGATTACGTGAACTTCAAGCTGGACTTGCAGCCGACCATAGACCTCATCGAGAGTAGTGGGAACGCCATTGGCATCCTCAGTTGCTTAGACGAGGAGTGTATCATGCCCAAAGCCACCGATCTCACGTTCACGGAGAAAGTACATTCGATCTGGAGCGGAGATCTGCGCGCAACAGAGCAACCTCATCCAGGTCGGACGAAATACACCCTACCGAAGTTTGAACAAGGCTTCATCATCACGCACTACGCAGGCAAAGTCGAGTATCGCACCGACGGGTGGTTAGAGAAGAATAAGGATCCCCTCAACGATAATCTCACACGTGTACTGGCATCATCGTCAGAACCTTACGTGGCTTCGCTCTTCCAAGATTTTGCTGGCGTCTTCGCCGACATGCCCCCATCTTCCAGTGCTGGGTTCTCCGCAGGGAAAAGGCGCCCCATCAAGAGAGGGGCGTTTAGAACAGTCGGGCAACGGCACAAGGAGCAATTAGCGCTTCTCATGGCTCAGTTACAGGCGACACAACCACACTTCGTGCGTTGCATCGTGCCAAACGTCAACAAGAAACCTGGAAGGGTGGACGTGCCTCTCGTTCTCGATCAATTACGTTGCAACGGTGTTTTGGAGGGCATTCGCATAGCGCGTCTTGGTTATCCCAATCGGCTTCCGTTCGTCGAGTTTCGCCAGCGCTACGAGATCATGACTCCAGGCGTTATTCCTCGTGGATACATGGATGGTCGCAAAGCGTGCATCCGTATTGTGGAAGCTTTGGATCTCGATACCGAGTTGTTTCGTGTGGGAACGTCCAAGATATTCTTCAAGGCGGGAGTCCTCGCCGATCTCGAGGAGCGGCGGGATGCCCTTCTATTCGACGTCTTTTCGAGACTACAGGCTGTTGCTAGGAAGTTCTCCGCACGCAGACAGATGAAGAAGGTTCTCAATCGCGCAGTGGCGATACGGACGATCCAACGTAATGCTCGCGTGTACGGGGAGTTGCGAGATTGGCCATGGTGGCAACTATACACGAAAGTAAGGTGGCTCTTGTCTATCTCGAAGTAACTTTTTGATCATTTTAAACAGGTCCGTCCGTTACTCGCCGCGACACGAAACGATGAGGAGCTCAGAAGGAAAGACATCGAGCTGCAACTTGCGAAGGAGAGAGCGGAGCGCGATCAACGGGAACGGGAAAGCCTAGAGAACGTGAAGATGACTCTTCAGGCGGAGAAACGAAAGATCATCGACGAGTTGGAAGCAGAGCGTGCGCTTGCCCTCGACAAAGATGCCATGTTAGACAGAAGCAAAAAGAGGGAAGCAGAACTCGAAGAAGAAATCGTTGCCTTACACGCCGACCTCGACGTCCTCGATTCGCAACTGGACCGTGCCCTACATCTTCAGAAGGACGCCGATGAGAAACATGAAACTTTGCGCGTTGCATTCGACCAGGCTGCGGAGCATCTTGTCCGCATGGAAGGTCAACAAAATGAATGGCGAGCTAAAGAGGCGGAGCTTTCGGACATTGTATTAACGCAGGAGAGCAGCATGGTTCAGCTGCAACAGGAACACCAAGCTCTACAAAAAGCCAATGAAGACCTCAGAGCCCTTGTTTCGCAGCGCGATGAAGATTTAGCGCGTGTCAAGGAGCGTTCTGAGGTTTTAGTGAGCGACTTGCAAGCCAAGCTCGGTGTGGAAATTCGATCTAAGTGAGCCTCCAAGCTTACTGTAACATTTGGTCTGATGTTTCGCGCAGAGAGTCGCTCGGCAGCAAGGTCGACCAACTGGAAAGAAGCTCGAGTTACCTCAAACAGCAGCTAACAGAGATGGCTCGTACATCCGCTGAGTATTCTGCTATGGTCCAGAATAAAGAGGACCAAAATTCGCAGCTGCTTTCTACCATCACCGCATCTGCAGACGAGCGTTCTCGACTGCAAAAGGAGATCGTCGAACTCCACGCTACATCTGACAGACAGCGAGCAGACATCCATGCTTCTAGGACCGATGTAGATCGTGCAGTTTCCGCTAAGATAAAACTTCAAGGCGAGCTGGACGAGCTCCGCGCAATCATGGAGACCAAGACCTCCGAAGACGCCCGCCGACTCCAAGTCGAGAAAAGCAAAGAGGAAGAACTTGCCGAGCTCCGCCGTCAATCTTCCCAGTTGCACACGGAACTCAGCGTGCTACGGGAAAACGCTTTCGACAAGGAAAGCAAGCTTGGTACCGAGCTAGACGAGATGCGCCGTCAGCACAAGCAGTTGGATTCAGCTCACAGCTCTCTTTTGGAGCGCGAGCGAGGCTTGAAGGAACGGACGTCGAAGGCCGAGGCAATGGTCGTGGATCTGGAAAAAGCCAAAAGAGTGGTCGAATCAGAACTGCAGGCATTGCGATCCCGTCAGATTGAGTCGGATGGTCGGTTAGCGGAGACATCGAGGGAGAAAGAGGTGATTAGACAATTATTTGCATTTGTTGGACAGGATGAATCTTACTTCTACTTTATTAGATCCTGGAACGACAACTCCACGCTGCTCAGACCAAATATAATGAGATCGAGGATGCGGTTTTGCAGATGGAAAGAGATGCTCACACTAGCGAACGCCAGTTGGAAACCTTGAAGAAACAATTAGAATCAGAATCAACCAAGTGCAAGAACCTTCAACACGTCACGTTAACTCAGAGAAAGGAGTACCAGGAACGCATTGCGAAGTACGACCATGACCTCAACAATGCAATCACTGATCTCAAAAATCGGGAGTGGGAGCTCAAGCAAATGGAGAACAAACAAGATAAGACGATTGTCGAACACGTTTATGTTCTGGAGAAGGCCAAGAAAGTAACCGATCAGCAACTGAGGGAAGCGCAAGAGCAGCTGCAGAAGGACGCCGTCTACATTCGGTCTTTGGAGAAAGCCAAGGCAAGCCTCACCCGGGAAGTGGAAGATTTTGCCAGGGGAGGTGGGGTGGACCAGGCAGAGCGTAGGGCCTCTGAAAGGGCTGCTTACAAAGCACTTGCCAGCGCAGAAGCAAAGGAACGTGCTGAATCTTCTGGTAAACTTTAGACTCCTCCGCCCTGAACAATACTGATCGCCAAGATAGTTCGACGCGCCCTCACTGATTTAGAAAAGACTCATAACGATTTGGTGGCAGAAAAGAGGACACTGGAAGAGCGTTTCCAAGACACTCAGCGGAGACTCCGTGAATTGGAGGTTCAGATCGAGGCCGAAGATAGAGAATCTTCTGAGTTAGGCATTCACAGGCATCGTTTAGTACAACAACTGCAAGATGAATGTCAGCAGCATCAGAAGGACCTCGCAGAACGTGATTTCGCCAGCGACCAGACGCGAAAGAAATATCAAGGTTGGTGACAGCTTTGGTAAAATATCCTTTCTAATGAAAGCTCCAGCTGAACTAGCACAGTTGAGCGAAGGTGCGTAACTAGGAAGCTTTGAATGTACTTCACCGAACCGTATTCATCCTAGAAATGCAAGCGCAGCGAGATGCGATGACGAGGCTACGAGAAGATAACCGCAAAATACATTCCGACTACGACGAGCTGCAGCTAAGATTCGATGACGAGGTCTACAATGGAGGCGCATGGAACAGGGAGAAAGACCGGATGGAAACGAAGATTGCCGATCTAACTAAAGCCTTTGAATCATCGACTACAGCTCAATCCGACCAGCAAGCGCAGATCGTATCACTTCACTCGCAAGTTCGAGAACTTCGAAGCGTTCTCAACGATGCTGAGGCGGACAGGGCAATGCTACAAAAGGCACGCCGCTCTTTGCAGGCGGAACTTGAAGGCATCAAGCTTGACCATGTCGATGCAACGAAAATGACTTCAGATCGAGAACTGCAGAAGCTACAGCTGAAGAAACAAGATCTTGAGCGATCTCTGGAGGAACAAGAAGATCGTGTAGCTATGGCCTTTGACCGCCTGAAGAGAGCTGAGGCGCACGCCAACGAAAGCCAGCTGGAACTTGACCGGATTCGTGTCGAGAATACTGAACTGGATAGAGTGAATGTAAGTACCTGAAATATGATCTCCAGCGTGCTCACTCTGTCCTACAGGCACAGCTAGAGAAGCAGGTCAAAGACCTAAACGTCCGCGTGGTTGACCTCGAAACGAAGTCATATGTAAACTCTCCTCACCCATCCTCCGCTGTCAAGCAGCTGCAGAACCGTATCGATGAACTCACCACTCAACTCAAGCAAGCATCAAGCGAGAAAGTCGACTCCAACCGACTGCATAGCTCTGACAAGGCAGTTCGCGACATGCAACTGCAGTTAGCTGAAAGTGAAAGGCACCATGTCAAGTTGGAAGAGGAGCGAAAAATATCCGAGGGTCAAATAGTTTCGCTCCGACAGACACTGGACAAAGTTGTCAGTCTTACCTCTTCATTAATCATCCAGTTGCTTGGCTAATTCCACTTCACATCAATAGCAATCAAGTGAGAGTGAACTTGAGCGCGTTAAACGTCGCCTAGAGCGAGAGGTCGTGGACTCCAAGCAGGCAGTGCTGAAGTAAGTTTAATCCGAAGGTCTTGACAAATTAGAGTGAGATATTTACGTGTCACTTTCTAGCCTGCAACATGAAGTTGAACGACTGCGCGCCCGCCTTAATCGACCGATGTCAGTCGTTAGTGATGGAGGCTCTACCCTTGCAGGCTCTGGATCTCCTCGCAAGGCGGCTCCATAGTGTTCAATTGTTCATCATTGATTTATGACATAGTCACATCTGAGATACTTCAAGTCTGTGTATATCATTTCAACACCATCCACATATGTATCGTATAGACATAATCAACTTCACATACTGCCTGTGTATAACGTGTATCAGCTGAGGGCTCAGCTGAACCTGATGCTCTGCAACCGAAAACATCAATATTGACAATGCTTTCGTCCCGGGCCGGGACGATCTGGTATACTCTCGGGAACTTGCGAATAGCTATCAAAATAAGGTTCAGCCACCGTGTTCCACCAAGGTAGCTGGAAATCATTAGATATGGTAAGCAAGACCTCAAGACTCAGTACTCCGTCATGGTGCGCTCACGTCCGCTGGCCATTTGGCTCTCTTGGTCTCATTGCTTATGTCTATGTTAGCCCAAGGAAATCCGAGACATCAAGCAGTTCATCGAGATCGCGCGGCGGAAGGATGCTTCCCGTGCGTTCATACTGTTGATGTATTTCAACAACACGCTGACTTCACGTGCACTGATCTTGAACGAAATTTCACGTATTGTATTATCCATCCAGAGGCCCGTATCAAAAAAATTGCCGCAAAATCAGCAGCTGGGAAGGTCCAGACTAAATTCAAAGTGCGGTGTTCACGATACTTGTACACTCTTTCTGTGGACGACCCAGAGAAGGCTGAAAAGCTGAAGCAGAGCTTGCCCCCAGGTGCGTGATCAGATCAGTCTTCTAGTGCGTTTCATTGCCTGACGTATGTGCGCAGGCTTGAATGTGGTAGAACTCGGCGCAACACCGAAGAAGAAGTGAAACCCTTCTTTCATCTCACACTTTAGTATGATGCGTGCGTCGGAATGGAGGGGCACCGATCGACTTATGCACCACGGTCCACCGACCTATGATGAATATGCATGCAGGTCACATGTACTTGTCTTATTATGAACAAAGACAGTTAGCTTTCACCTTGCTTGACTTATACAGCCTTTGATTCATACAATCATCCATTCTATAATACCAAGCATGACGCACAACCCTAAAAGCGTGCATGTACCGATCGTTACGAAGGTTCGAAGTGTCCGCTGTACTCTCCTTTCACGCGGACGGCCTCCACGGGTTCTCAGTGCCTCGATGTCGAGGATGGTTGAGGGAGTATGAAACCATCCAGTGAAGACCATTTCCAGTAAAATTATTAGCAATTGAGATCCATCCAATGCGGGCAGAGGTAGCGAGTTGAGAAGATATAATGAAAGATTTGTGAGCTTCAGATACCTGCCCAAAGTCAGCCACACGGTAGTGGTTAGTCTAAGGGACGTACTGGAAGAAATCTGCGAATACGAGGGGCAGTCCTAGTGGTACAACGGCGAAACGCGGTGCGAGTTGGGTTGTTTGAACTGATAAAAGTGAATATCAACCACCACACATGCTTGAATCCGTGTATCTTACCTTGCTCCCAAACCTCGTACCTGGGGCCACTCCAAAGCACGATGCGCTCGTTTTCAGTCCCTGCCCCTTCGTCATTCACCGTAATCCGTAAGATTTCTCGGTCTCCCCTCGGTTTGAGGCATGACTGCGAATCCAGACACGATGTTGAGGAGTCGCATCGGTTTTGTATTTTTGACAGTACGGCTACCGGATCGGTACAATACTCCTCCATCGCACTTTCAAATGACACAAAACAGGATGACGATGATGCACTATTATTAGTATGCACGCAACATTGGTGATCATCTGAGCAGGCACTAAGTCAGGCAGGATGACGCAGGTACTATGCTCACCACTAAGTCGCGGCGTATCCACACACCACCCCTGCTTGTAGACAGCTGGAGTAAGTTCCGATAGATAGGTAGACCATGCATCACGAGATGAGTTCAACGGAAGATCGTCAAGTGTCGTCAGGAAAGATCCAACGGGAAGATGCATGCTCAGAGGGGAATCCTGCAGAGATTCAGCAAGGATAGTGAGGGCAACATCTTAGGACCATACTAACTGCCTCAACATGGGTCACGATTAACCCTCGGGTAAGAACATCTTCGTAACCTACTGACAATATGCGTTGTCCGATACCAGACCAGGCCACAGCCAGTAGAATCAGCCAGAGCGTCAGGTTATGAAAACAGCCTGAAGTAATGACCCGTAAGCGATCTAGTGAAGACAATTCCTCTACCCTTGCAGAAGGTAACGTTACGAATGCGGCGGGGAACATGAAGGTTATAGATGCTCCTGCCGCCAACATAGGAATCCGATGACTAGGAAAAACACAAAGCTGCAGCTAATGGATTATGTTGTATGTGAGGAGAGACATACATTGCTGCGGTGATAGCGTGCCCACTTTCATGCACAGTTTGACTGATGCAAAGGGAGAGGAGAATCAGCGGTAGGTGTTTTAGTGGGACGGTCAAGCCAGGTATCTACACGCAATAAAGTGAGTGCTCAAGTTGTTTAAGCAAGTTAATGGAAGTAATTAATGCATATGCATTGCATTTAACTTACAATTGGATTGACAGCATGTGTGACTTTAGAATATGTCGTTGCGCGAGTCGCGACTTCGACAGTTCTCTTCAACAATGATGTTGAAGTATTTGGCAGCAGTCACTCGTAGGAAAGTGGAAGACAATAATGACACCATAGTCCATACGAGCAGAACAACAGCAGTGAACATTCCAAAGATAACCAGTACGCTGCCAGTATCATAGAACATGAGCAAAAACTTTCTTGTCCGCAGGTAGTTTCTACTGGCCAACCGCAAGGAAAAGATGTCGTGATGAGCATTGAATGCTCGAGTCTGCACACGAATGTGAAAGAGGCTTCTTGGGATCCCGGCAGCGAGCGATATCATCCTCTTTGGCTGAATTCTGTGGAGCAGGTGCATGGTAAGTGCAGTAATACCAGTATGGTTCACTCACAGTGGCACCGGTGATATGTACATAATATGTACATAATCGGACTCTGAGCCGGACTGACACGCATTTACATCGATGGCGCAGTCAAAGTACTTGTGCCTCTCACAACCATGAAGATCTTCTCACTCTCAGTTGTTCTCGCATCCTCCTCAGGTCCTTGTTCAGTTCTTAGCTCTGCTTCAGATGTCTCCAGTTTCTCGTTCTACCAGAGAGGTTCCGTCAGCGAGTTTTTGACGTTCTTCACCAAGACAGTCGTGGAGAGAACTCCTCAGGGCCAGCGCCAGAGCGTACAAGAGAACAATTACACTGCACACGTGTACAACAGAGGTGGTGCCGAACAGCTTGCAGGTGAGTCAAAGTTTTGGATGTAATGGAGATATCGAGCTCACTTCCTTCCTCAGCTATCATTATCACTGACCAGGAATACCCCGTTCGACCTGCGTTCTCTCTTCTAACAAAGCTACTTGATGATTTCACTGCCAAAGTCCCTCAATCTGCCTTCGGAAATCCAGCATCAATATCATTTCCAGAGATCCAGACCTATATTCAGAAGTACCAGGATCCTCGGCAAGCTGATACAATTATGCGAGTACAACAAGAGCTAGATGAGACAAAGATTGTTCTGGTAAGTCTCCCCTCATTGTGAGCATCACTTGGTTGTTTTATCGGTGTGGCGGTGTATTGTAGCACAAGACCATCGAATCTGTTCTTCAACGTGGAGAGAAGTTGGATAACCTTGTGGAGCGGTCGAATGCTCTATCCGTGCAGAGCAAGATGTTCTACAAGACAGCTAAGAAGGTTAGCGTCTGTCCTCTATATCTGGGTGGCTCGGTCTAACAGCCTCACTAGCAAAATTCATGTTGTGTGATCATGTAGACCATGTTTTACTTTCCTCATCCATGTTTTCTCTGTGTGGCGGTTGTTGTTACGTCAAACCGGCAAATTAGTAACACATCCGTTAGTTCTATGTTTCACTTGTTGCGATCGCATGCCACGTCAGTGTGGCAAGTATGTTGACGGGCCATTGCTTATCATCATCGACCAAGTGAATCATTGAGTTCATGCTGCGCCTGGAGATGAGGCCGACTTAGTCTAACAATTAGAACAATACAGCATAAATTCTGGCTAAAAAGAGCGTCATCGAATACAACAGCATGCTCAATGCATTAAGAGGGAATCGAACCCCCGGCGGGTCGATGGCAACGACCCAGGTTACCACTACCCCATTAATGCTTGGAAGAAATTGGTGATTTTAAATATATCCACTACGTGCCAGCTACAGAGCAGTGCACACGGTGCATCCTCAGGCCACACGGATAATCGGGTCACTTTGATAAGTCGTACGATCGGGTATACTTTTCATCGATCCCGAATAATCTGTTTCGGATCCCACTGGCATATAAAGCCAGCACGATCATGATACTTGCAACGCGTTTTTCATCCATTTCCAAATTTTCATCTCCCATCACTACCTGATCGTCCATCCTGTAAAATGGTATGTTCCCATCGGAATCCTATATTCTAAACAACAATATTAATCACTCACAACTTTACAGCCTGCTCATGAAGCTGTAATTGTTGCTGCGTCCCGTACACCTGTCGGATCTCTGTATGGATCACTCAAGACTTTGACTGCTCCCCAACTTGGCGCTGTGGCTCTCAAGCATGCTTTCGAGCAGTCAAGCGTTGATCCCTCTGTAGTTGAGGAGCTCTACTTTGGCAATGTTGTCCAGGCTGGTGTTGGTCAATCACCCGCACGTCAAGTAGCACTCGCTGGCGGCATGAAGTCCGCATCTGATGCTACGACTATCAACAAAGTCTGTGCTAGCGGCATGAAGTCGATCATGCTTGCTGCCCAGAGCATAGAATCTGGCTACAAGACCGTAGTTGCCGCTGGTGGTATGGAGAGTATGAGCAATGCTCCGTAAGTGCTACAGTCCCAATCGCCACTTTGCATAAGATTTATATGTCATCTAGTTTCCTACTCCCCCGTACGAACCCTTTGTTCGGGAAATTCGAGACCAAGGACTCCGTTGAAACCGATGGTCTCTGGGATGTCTCCAACAACTTTGCCATGGGCAACTGTGCGGAGGCCGTCGCAGTGAAGTACGAAATCACCCGAGAGTCACTCGATGAGCACGCAATCGAGTCGTACAAACGCTGCTGATCGCGCATGGAAAGCGGGTGCCTTCAGTGCCGAGATAGCACCTGTCACCATCAAGGGCAAGAAAGGCGACACCGTGGTCAAGGAAGATGAGGAGTACAAGAAAGTCATCTTCGAGAAGGTCCCATCCCTCAAGTCAGCCTTTAAACCAGGCGGTTGCATTACTGCTGCCAACTCTTCAAACCTTAATGACGGCGCCTCTGCTCTGATATTGATGTCAGCAGAGAAAGCAAAAGAGCTCGGCGTAAAACCGCTCGCCAAAGTAATTTGTAAGATCGACTTCTTGTGTGGCTGTACCAGTCGTCTGATGTATCGTTTTCTGCAGCATATGCAGATGCGGGTGTTGAGCCCATTGACTTCCCTATGGCTCCTGCCGTTGCTCTCCCAGAAGCACTTAGGAGAGCAAACCTGACCGTCGATGACATCGCACGTTTCGAGGTCAACGAGGCCTTCTCGGTTGTTGTCCGCGTCGCCGAAAAGCTCCTACAACTGGATCCTGCAAAGGTCAACATTGATGGGTGAGTTTTTCTACTTTGCATTCAGGGATTGTATTTGCTTACGAGATTCAACAGTGGCGCTGTTGCACTTGGGCATGCGATCGGAAACTCGGGCTCTCGCATTGTGGTGTCCCTCGTCCATGCCCTAAAATCTGGCGAGTACGGTGCAGCAGGCATCTGCAACGGGGTAAGTGACTTGTCATTATCCATGCTGTCGGGTTACTCAAATGATGTCTTGTTTAGGGTGGAGCTGCTTCTGCCATTGTTGTTCAAAGACTATAGTTGTTGTAACACTTTTGTACTTTGTTTGTTCCTGGACGACGTACGAACAACCCATCTGCACTGTATTTGTATTTTCCCAATAGAACACATCAAATTTCAAGCTTTGCATAATGTTGATCAGATTGGTGTGAAAAGTTAGAACCTTGAACAAAAAATTTTATCCAGAAGTTCGAGGAGGTCCGATATCGATGTCTTGTTCAACTCTTGTTGTTCGCGCTTGCTTCTCAGCTTCTTGATCAAATTGTTGATTCATATTACATCGCACAACCAAGGCGCCATATTTCTCGTCATCCTAGGCACGGAATTGACATAGCGCAGGGCTTCCTCGGTCATTCTGGGAGTCTGAAGGGAAAAGAACACAGAAGCCATCACGTTCCACCTTGATCAGGGTGGGATTTTCCAGGTAGTTACATGATGCAGTCATTTGGAAAGAGCGCAGACAAAGGAGCTCGCAGCTTCTAGGTCGTAACAAGAACCCCCGAGTCTGGCCTGGACTCGATCTCCAGAAGGTGTTGCAGCGTGAGACTCGTCGGCACCGCACAAGTACTCAACAATCATTTCCGTGGGGTGTTGGACGCTTTGGATGGCGGCCATGCACTAGTACTGTCGAGATGTGCATGTTCTGTTGCCGTACACCTCAGCACGTTATTCGACATGTGCAGTGATTAACGTCATCTATCATGCTCGCCTCGACCAGGGACAAGGCCTCGTGAGGCAAGCACTGTTCGGCATGAGGGTTTCGGTCCTGCAGACGACATAAACCGCACCATATCTGGCAGAGAGGACAGTCTATACCTTAAGAAGACTCGATTGACTGATGGACGTTGCAATAATAGCTCGATGTTCATGGCCTTCCGTATGGGTGACGTTTTCGGTGACATGAACCGCATCACACGACATCTGGCAGGTTCGACCCAGCCTAGTACTTCTTTATGACCATCGTTTATTCCACAAAGAGATAATTGGTTGCATAACTTGACTGGCATCGACAGACGATTCATGGCCGGATGACGTGTTCGGTCATGTAGATGACGCGAACCGCATCACCACATCTGGCGGTTCGACCGTCTATACCTCAAAGGGACACAATGAATGGTATTCCCTAATGATAAAGACGGTCGAATGCCGGGATAAGTATTCCTTTGTATCCATGAAATCACACCGACACTTCGTACATAGGCGGGGGAATGACGGCGCAAGCCTGAATAATAAATTCATCAGCGCCCAAATCGAATCGTACACATTCCAGACGCATGCGTGACGAAGAACCACTGCACTCGATCCGAAATGAAACACAAAGTCAGATAACAAACTATTTGACGTACAATCGGCGTGAATTATACGTCGATCGTGCTGTGATATTGCACGACGTAAAGCGAACCCGTCGTGGACCAGAGATATATTTGACAACTGAGCAACACCCGGTGCTAGGCGACATGAGCGACATGCGCCGGCGTATCTCGCCTACGCCACCTGATTGGATGGATTGATGTAGAATTGACGTTCTCTACTGAGCCTTTATGCCTATCGATGGCGCGAAGCACGACCCAGTCGCGTGCATCTGAATACCGAACAGTCATAACCGTAGAGAGGAGGTTGCCATCAAGAGTACAAATGAAAATGACCGGGGACCCTATCAAAACGATTCGTAAACGAGGCAGGCAAAGTGACGGTAGAACACAGAAACGCACCTTTATGAATCATAAGCCCGCCAGTGGGAATTATGAAGATGAGATGCGAACTTTTATAGCTAGCCGCCGAGTCCGAGTTGTTGGCCTCGGAGTCATCAAGGGAGACTTGACAATCTATCAAAATCATAGAACGGTTTCCTGCTAGAAATGATCTAGAGAGGATAGGACTACACGATTCTTGAGCTCAGTTCGGGAATTATGAAGATGGGATACGAACTTCTAGCCTCCAATTGAGCTAGACTCGACAATCTATCAAAAGCCATCGAACGGTTTCTTGCTAGAAATGATCTAGAGCTCAGGATACTGCTCAATTCGTCACACCGTCATCGCCTATCGTTCGGCAATCACCCAGCATCTGCGCGTCAACACCCATAAATATTAATATTAATATTAACGCGTCGGTCGATCCCTAGCTATAGTAGTGTAGCCCGTTTGTGATGATCAGACTAGTAGCTTGCACGTTCGCATGTCCGACTCCCCAACTCCTTTCATAAAACTACACACCGAAAATAGTCTCAAAATTCATTCACGATCGGGATTTTACTAGTACAAGCAGTATAACAATGTTATAAATCTTTGCAGTGTGCACGTATCTGCCCCCGCGAACCCATCACCAGTGATAGACACTGCAAGGGATCAATATCTAATATCAGAACAGACAGACAGTTATCGTCAAGCGTCGTCATCATCCACGAGCCCGAGCTCACTGGTCACCTCCAAGACGTGCTTAAAGTTCAACCTGTGTTTAGTACTTGCAGTGGGCTGATCCCGCGAATTGAGCCTGAAGCTCGGGTTCTTACATCCGTTACAAGCCAAAAACCTTAAATCTCTATCCTAAAGACTAAGCGAGGCACAAGTAAACATTCCAGCTACATACATAGTCAGGGGTCAACAAGTACAAGCTTCACGTTGCAATATTCAAGTATGCATAATATTATCATCACCTCAAATCTTGATACTCGCGACGTCAAAAAGCTTCAAGCCTAAAACAACAACAAGAAAGAATAAACGAGCGACGAGAACCTAAAACTATGCTATGTATGATGTGGATATGATGACGTCTATGTCCGCGGCACGTATCGTCGTAATTCTAAATATCGCCAGAACAAAGTCACATTCACCAGAAAGCAATGTTCACGTAGAGTCCGAGTCTGTTCTACGTCCCGCACAGATTCCACATCTTCACGTAATCACTGTTCCCAAAAGACCAGCATCAGCATAACGCCGAAGGCACAACAGATGGTGAATGTAAAAATGCGACTCACATCCTAAATGCACGATCATCCGCGCTCGAAGGCCACGTAGCGCTCCACGTATCATGAGCAGCTGCAAAATCATGCATCGCAGCTACATCGCGTCAAAATCAGCCTCCACCAAAAAAAAGAAAGGAAGCAAAGAAAAACGTACTGGCAGACCCATCATACCACGGTTTCCCACCTACACTATCCGGGAACCACCCACTCGTCCCGCCAACCGCCAGATCAATCACAAGATAGAAATCTGTTCCATGCCAGTATCAGTATCAAATTCCGATCCCCTCAAAAAAAACACTGACCCTGATCAAAAGGCGCTGCAGCACTTCCACCAAACGCCGTACTCCACGGATCTTCAACGACCACTTCCTTCCCACTTGACGCATTCATAGCTACACCCGGGAACCCACCTGTGTTGAAGAAATAGGAGTCGGAAGATTTAGAGGAGATTTTCAGGTTGATCATTGCCTGTTTTTTTTGGTCAGCGATGGGGACGGGAAGGGGACCGCGGGATGACAACGCCATGAAAAAAGAGAACCGCGGGGTACAGCAAAACGGGAACGGGGAAAAAACTGACCTGCAACCGATCATCCGTATAAAACCTCATCCACTCGCCAGTCCACTCAAACGCATAAACATGGAACCCATCGGCAAAGTTCCCGCGCTTTGTGCTTACCCAGCCGTAGATGCTCTTGAGGAGGTTGGCGGTGGTGCTTGTGCCTGAAGAGAAGTGTATGTTAGGGGCGTGAAAAGTGGAGGGAAAGGGTGAATAAAACGTGACGAAACAGACGTAAAAATGAACGGGTGAACCAAAAAAGCAAAGCCCATCCCAAACACGAGGAGTGGCACGAGTCCATGAACCGAAGAACGTCAATTGAAAACCCAAAAATACAAAAACACGAGTGTGAACCAAGCCGAAAAGAACCATGTCCCTCTCCGAAACAAGCCCACGCTTGAAAGGAATAAACGCTCACCTGTAGAGATAGGCGTACTCCCGCCCGCAAACGGCCCGTAATTCAGGGACGAGCGGACATAATTCGATCCTTGGGCGGGATATGAAGGCAAGTTACCGCGGGCTTCCATTATCTAAGTGAACCATGAGCCAAGTGACAGGGGGGTGCCGAGAGACTCACATCGATCTCCCCGCTCATGGGCCACACGCCATAAACACCCGTCCCCTGACTAGTGCTAGAGTTTGTACTGTTACCCTGAGGAAGCATCCAGATAGCGGGCCATAACCAATCTCCCTGAGGCAGTTTTGCACGGACCTAGGATCTGAAATGAGCGGGGGGTAAAAGATTATGAATGAAGGAGACGGACTTCAACACGGCCATACTTGATAGTCCTTTTTCCACGAGTATTAAGTCGGCCGCTCATGACAGGATTGATGACGGTGCCGCTCTGGGCATTTGAAATGGCAGTGCATGGGTCGCTGGGTGTGGTAGTGGAATTACTACTAGTAGTAGAGTTACTTGAGCCGGTGGTTGTGGAATTACCCGAGCCTGTAGTAGTCGAGTTTCCTGATCCAGTAGTTGTAGAGTTGCCTGATCCAGTTGTTGTAGAGTTGCCGTTGGTAGTCGAGTTACCTGTGTGGAGTGAGCGATTGAGCGTGGGAATGAAGTTGTACGCACCCGTGCCGTCGTTTTGCCGACGTTGAACCCACGCGCCTTGGTCTGTTACTACACGGGATGAGCTCGGAGATGACTGGCAGGAGCCAAACTTACCACCGCCTTGGGCTGTACAACCCGAAAGCTGATAACTGCCATTGTTCATGATAGCATCCCAACCGCCGTCGATGGAGTCGCTGGTGAGAGTGGGCATGATGTAGAGCTGACCATTTGAAATGTAGACGTTTGAAGGATCGTTTGTTGTCATTTCAAATTCGCCGTTGCTAATGAAATGGTTAAACAGGGATAGTGATATGGAGTGGGACGTACCCGAAGCCACTGAGGGCGACGTCAAGAGTCCAGTTTGTGTCATCGATAGAACTGGAACCAGAAAAGTCTTCATCCATGACGATGCAGAGTTGGCTGTCTTCGAGGATGTCTACGCTAGTCCAGCCTTGGTAGCAGAGTGCTGCTGCTGCGAGGAATCCTAGGAGAATTGCGAAAAAGGTGACCCACCAGCTGCCTGATTCGCAGCGACGTTTTTTTGTGAGCCATGGTTTATCGTCCTTTGTGAGTTTTGATTTGAGACGGGTTGATTGGAGAGGTTTCTTCTGGGTGAGTGGGAGTGCTACGACAGAGGGAGAAGCAGACAAGGAGGGTACTGGGGGTGGAGACCAGATGGTAGAGGGACGTGAGGCGGGGGATAGGAAAGGGGATCTGAAGATGGTAGTTGCGCTGCTGTTGCGCGGGAGTTGTGGATCTGTTGGTGAGCGATGCAAGTTTGCTAAAGAGAAGGAGCCGTTGAAGGATTTGTAGGGGGATTCTGAAATAAAAGGAGGGTTTGGAGAAGGCAGACGAGGGCTGTCGAATGGGTTTCCGTCGAGAGACCTTCGATGGTCTGAATTGTATGGAAGGTGAAGGAGGATGGGGGTGGGTCACGCCGTCTTTTTCTCTGTCTTGGTGAGTCATCTTCTTGGGATGAATGGTCGTCTGAGCTTGAGGCGGTTAGAAAGAAAGGACGAGGTGAAGCCATGAGGCACTGACTGTGAATATTGTCTGCTCTTATCTCTTCCAAACACGTAATTCCCGGTGACGCGTGTGTAACGTACACCGAACAGATCCCAGATCCCAGATCTCCAGATCTACTATCACCGCCCTCATTTATATCCAACGCTCTCTTAACACACATTTCCACTCACCCGACTATGGACTACGACAGATACGACGCTACCCTCCATTACATCTTCAAACAAACTCAAGGTGACGCTTGGTTCAGGCCACATGAAGATTCAGTACCCCCAGGCGTATGTCTTCGTACACATGACGGTCAATTCAGAGTATTCCCATACGAGACTGCCGCACTCGCTCCATTCGAGGCTGCAGTAGCTGCACTCAATCCACTCGTAGCAGTAAAGGTTCGAAGCGCTGCTGTACACGCTGCACTAGCAGAACAAGCTGTCGATGACTGCATCTATGTCGACTCGAATACTCGCATCCAAGTACTCGATTCCATGGTTCTCCTTCCACAAGCAGAAAAGGATCAAAACGCTGCTTTCATCCGTGATGAACGTGTCCTCGTCGTTTGGAGCGACTCCCTCGATACAATCATCCCTATCGCACGTGACTTTGAGGATCGTCTCATTCGTCTGCTCTGGCGTACAAAACCACCTCCACCCTCCACCCACGAACTATCCATATACTCGGAGAAACCAGTCGATCCTCGTCTAACTCCCTCATCCACTGTAAACTCTGAATCTCCAAAACCGACTGTCGAACAAGATCCAGAAAAGGTTTCCCAAAAACAATCTCATCGTCCAATCATGCTATACGCTCCTGTATACAACGGTCTCTCCGCTGCACTCGCTCTCAGTCCGTCCTCATCTTCTTTTCAAACTTTTTTGCTCACATTCTCTAGTTTTCATCGGCAACGGCATGAGCACACTCCTTAAAGAATTTCGCCTAGACGGCAACTACACTCATTTCGCTCTTTGTGCTGTCATGCCTCTTCTCTTTTGTGTATCCTTGGTACCTATTCCTTTTACCTTGTACCCACTCGCTCACTCTTTCCAGTTCTTCACTCTTCAAATCTTTCAAAACATCACATTCGCAATCGGTCCTATCGCTCATTACCACCAAAACAGTCGTTACTACTCTGCAATCCCACCACTTCCAAACCCAGCCATAGACAATACACTCCCTCACATCACAATACAAATGCCCGTTTACAAAGAAAGTCTCGCCACAGTCCTGTAAGCCTCTTCCTTGTTTATTGATCACTGCTCATCCATCGCAGAACACCCTCTCTCACTTCCCTCAAAAAAGCAATGCAGACCTATGCACGCCACGGCGGCACATCAAGCCTCTTCATCAACGACGACGGCCTCCGCCTCCTCCCTCCAGACCAAGCCAAGGAACGTATCGAGTACTATGCAACCCACGGAATCGGCTGGATTGCAAGACCACGACACGGACATGAGGGTCAGTCCTATCCCCTCCTTCCAGTCAACGCTAACCAAATCACGCACAGGCTTCGTGCGCCCGGGTCGCTTCAAAAAAGCCTCCAACATGAACTACGCACTCGACGTCTCCCTCCGCCTCGAACGCATCCTCGAGGAACTCCAATCACCTCATAACTACAACTCGTATAGCCACCCTGCCTCTTTTGCCCATCAAACCCAAATCCCCAATTCAAGCAGAGATAGCAACATATTCACCCCTCCCAACCCGCCCTTCCACCGCGCCAGTGTCAGTACCACATACAGCGCTCACACTGCGCAAACAGAAGGAGGGAGCATCGTTAGTGTACCCGGGCAGTCCCCTGGGACGTACGGGGTGCAGTACATCGGGAGAGATGGAGACGATCAGGGATTTATTCCTCCTTTTCTCAACGGGAGTGGTAACGGCAGCGTGCCCGGAACGCCTAGACCGGGCATGGTAGGCACTCCACGGACCATCAGCCCTGAACCTCCTACACTCGCAGGGACGCATATCGAAGACATCGAAGAGCGGGCTCTTCAACTAGCCATGGAAGAAGGTCTGTGTCAGTATCAAGTTTTGATCACTGACGCTCACTCGAAATAGTACTCCAAACATCCCAAACAGGACACAGACCCTGGGCAGCAAACGCCCGTGCCTGCCGAATCGGGAGCATTATCTTATTGGTAGACGCTGATACAGTCGTACCGGCAGATTGTTTTAGGGATGCGGCAAGAGAGTTTGGGGAGGACGAGGGTGCCGAAGTTGGGGTTCTACAACACGAGAGCGGTACGTTCCTCCCTTCTTCCCTCGAGTAAAAAATTCGCTAATCCAAATACAGACGTCCTCCAAGTAGCCCACCACTACTTTGAAAACGCCATCGCTTTCTTCACCCGCCGAATTAACAAATGTATAAGTATGATGTGCGCAAACGGGGAAGTGGCGCCTTTTGTCGGGCATAATGCGTTTTTGAGGTGGAGTGCATTGCAGGATGCGGCGTTTGGCGGGGGAGATGTTAATTCTTCTTCTTCGGCTGCACCGTCTTCTACTCCTAATCCTGGGTCGGGTCCTAGAGCCCAAGTCAAGATCTGGAGTGAGGATAATGTCAGTGAAGATTTCGATATGGCGTTGAGGCTTTTGAGACAGGGGTATATCGTTAGGTTTGTGTCGACTCGGTTTTTCTCGAGTCGGGTTGTTGATGTACTGCCGTGCAGATGGGCGACCTACTCTAAAGGCGGATTCAAAGAAGGTGTATCGCTCACTGTCGATGATGAGTTGAATCGGTGGCAGAAGTATGCGTATGGGTGTAATGAGTGCGTTTTTCTTTCTCTCCCGTGCACGCTTGATATTCACAGCTCACTCAGGCTCCTCTTCAACCCCTTCGTCAAATGGTTATACAAAGGCCCCATCAGCCACCAGATCCACAGGTTCATATGGAGCCCTGCACCACTCCATTACAAGATCTCGATGATGGCTTGTACGTCCCCCTCCTATCTCTTCGATGCTCAAACTGACTGCATTACAAATAGACATGTTCTCATACTGTACGTCCCTTCTCTATCCAAAGTACAAGACACTAACATGAAAACGCTCCCAATAGACGGAATAGCAGCCTCAGCGACCATCTCCCTCATCAACTATATCATGCTCGGTTTCCAATTCCCCACAGACGATTTCTACATGCACAGTTTCGAAATCTGGCTCGCTACCTTTGTGGTATTTTTCGGAGCAGGGAATGTGGGGCTATGTACTTTTGCAGTATAGGCTTGGGGAGAGGGGTATCGTTGGCGGTGCTATTGAGTGTTTTGGATGGATTCCGTTTTTGTGAGTCCCGTCCCTGTTCTATGATAGTCTTTCTACGGTGCTTGGAGCTGAACTGACACGATAATACAGCTTCTTCTTCTTCGGCGGTCTAAGCATCCCGCTCTCACAAGCCATCCTCGCTCATCTGTTCTCGTATAACATCACGTGGAGCGCGACGAAGAAGGAGGTTGAGAGGTCGAATTTCTTCAAGGAGGTTCCAAAGATTTGCAAGAGGTGCGGTTCTGTTTTTTTTATTGCTTTTTTCCTTGTTTCTTTTTTCACTTTGATTTGCGTTTTCTTGCCTTGCTTCCGTTTTGGATTGGAGTCTGGACGCGTCGCGTTGCGTTGGCGCCCACTTTTGTCTCCGCCGAACATACGCATCAGTAACGATATCTCCGTTTTTGGGGGGATTGACCATGATCATCCTAGGAATTCGGATGATATGGCCTCGGGACATGTGCCTGGGCATTGCACGTGTATGTGGAGCTGGGACGAATATACGCCCCTTGTGCTGGCACATTGCCACCGTAGTGCTGGGCACGCACATTCCCGCCATAGTACTGAACGCGGACATGTGTGTTCTGATCGGAAGACATGCATTTGCGGTCTTGGAGCCCACAGCTACTGCACATGTGATGCGCCCATATGCATGAACTAACAACCACTTTATCGCTTCGTGAACTGGTCATTTCGATCGTCACTCAAAACGCCGCACCCTCTTTGTTGACTCGAAGGGCTGTCGTGTCCCCGTTGCCTCGTTTCACGTGGCAAGATATCCGCACTTTACTTCTCTTCCTTCTTTTTTTCCACGCCTTTTCCTTTCTTGATGTCATGCTGACGGTTATCATTTGGCCTGTTCTCCATATAGATTCTGGTTCCCCCTACTCGTATGTATTCTGCTGATCGCGGGTATCGTCATCGTCAGTACGCCGCTAGTGCCATATCAATGGCAACTGACCGGAAATGCGTGGGCTGTTATCTTCCCGCTGTCGGTTGTATGCGCTTGCCATATCCTGTTCCCGGTACGTTTTACGTTCTTTTCTTCCATTCTGCGATTGGGGTGAGCGATCGTCCTCTATTTGGGGATCACGCTTCTTCGAACGTTTTACATCTCTCCATCCTTGTTCTATGCTTCCCGAACGTTCTCATTCCTTTTCTTCTTTGCTTCGGCGATTGAGCATATCACTACCCCCCTTTTGCATTCTCCTACCTTTTTTGGCCTCTACTCGCTCATGAAGTATCCATGCTAACACCGATCTATATAGATTGTCCTCAATCCATGGCTCATGATCTTCTCATACTGAGCATGCACAGTGACTCGGGCAGGATCCCCGAAATCGAATGCACACCTTCTCTCCTTACTAATTACACACATATCATGCCACTTAGAGATCAAGAACAATCAACAATCTTCCAAATCATCATTCTTTTTTTCATCTTGTCGCGTCTTTACATAGTTCCCACACCAGGGCGCAACCCGGATCCGCAATCAGACAGGACTTTCGGTTGTTGACTTGTAAGTCTGGACTTATTACCATACAATACATACTCGCGTTTTTGGACATGTTGTCTCTGTTGTTGTCATCGCCATCGTTTTCACCGCTCGTGATTGTTGCCACGCCCTACGGCACTCCGCTCCTTTATGAACTGTCCACGTATCGTATATACCTTGTTCGACTGACTCGGTTGTTTCCTGAGTTTTGTTAGCAGGCTGTTGCAGAACTGTCAGTAATCGTTAATATTATAATGCTTTCACGTTTCCTTGGGTATTGATTAATGATAGGCTATGACGTTAACGTTGCCGGGCGCTCTCTTGCAATCGATCATGTAGATAGTTCCTTGGGTCCATGGACATTGGAGCGCATGTTGTTGTTCTTGGAATATCTTATCATGATCCATAAAATCAATGATCAGGTACGCAGCCCGAGTACTGTAAATAGTGGTGGAGTATCATATCATGGAACGTTGATCTGTCAAATGTAAAAGTGGAGATTTTGTCCTTGGCTACGGAGAACTAGGCCTGGTGCTGTGTTAACTTATCGTTCAAATAAACTGTTATTGAATAGGGTTAATGAATCTAATCTAATGCCAGAGTCGTGCCTAGAGGCCCAGGTATACCATCGCAAGGACCGTTCACCTGGACATGAAGACTAATGACCGCGTGTGTCAGGGAACTTCCGATCTCATTCTACAACCGCCGATGTTGGTTGCAAAGGTACGGTAGTGGTTCAAGTGCGGAAGCGACTAGCGTTTGCGAGGTGGAGGTATACGACGACCATATGCGGGATTTGATGCAGATGACCCGCCTATGACGTCTGGACTTGGCGCTTTAATCATGCAGATAAGATCATCAAGGACCCGAGAAGGGGATATCAAGCTCAGCCATCTAATATTGGACATCGAGCGTTGACTTCAGCTTCCACTGAAGTAGGTAGCAGACTCGTAGCGCCGCCGATGTGGAGATTCGGTCGGGGTTCTATCGCGGACTCTTCGAATTTCATCCTTACCTCGTTGACTTCGTACAATGCAAATGCAATACTGGAAGCAAGCAGAAGATTTGATGTCATAGTTTAGAGGTGCCTGAATTATATAGACTTTGCCAAAGTAGCCAGTCGTACTCCATTAGATGATAAGGTCTGTGGCGGTAAAACGTTTTTAGTCTCAAGAAGACGCGTGATAGGAGTGCCTCAGAAGCGGACATTACGGAAAGGAGACTGAGGGGATACGGAATTACCCGCACCGGACTAGTCACCTGCAGAATTGAAGCTTCGTAGAGGTGCGTACGGATCTATCTCCGAGCAGTGATATCATGCCCCGGGCGGGAAGGAGTCGTTCATCCGAGGTGGTCCGGCGGTACCGGACAGCACTACAAGGCCTTGAAAGCACACAGGGGGATTTAGGATAAAAGGATTTAGCATGTACCCCGCAGTTCTCTATATAATGGCAATTGCAATAGTATGATAGTTGATTTTCCCCTAGCTCTAATCGAAAAAAATATCACCATCGCGTACTATTACCTAGGTGTGGTTTTATGCAAAGCAATTGGATCGCCTTCCAGGATCATCCCGACGCGATCTGACGCAAAGATAGGATAAAGTGGCAGCCCGAGCACGTTCGTCGGTGATAACGGTGGATGCTGAAGGTGTCTGTACAACAAGGAAAGGAGATGCCTAGAAAGTACGAACCTATCTCGTGCTTCAAGGTTCTCGGAAAACTGACACAGAAGGTGCAATTATCTTCTACTGGGCCCCATCTAGTCTTCCTAGCGATAAGTAAATGACGCAGGACAACTGCCACGTCAGCCCAAGAGGTCAAGAGCATTGGACCCAGCATCACCTCGATACTTGACATTATCGAATGTCCTCACTAACATCATGATCTCTAGCGCCTAGCCAAATCGAGGTTAAACGCCACCTGGCAAGATTCATGGTACATACTGGACTCCAAACGGAAGGAGGATTTCCTCGTATATCACTGGCAACAGATAGTTTTGGCCCACAAGCAAGCATTAATATTGTTAGTGACCAAAAACGAAGGATAGTGTCTCCACCACGAACCTTTGCAGGTATTAGCATGGACGGTTGACCTCTATTTATCCACAGGCGCAGTGTTGCTATGAATGTGAGGTTGTTTAGGTCCAGGTGGGCTTTGTAAAACCTCAGGCCTCAGTACTGAAGTGGTCAGCTGGCCATGCTCGAGCGCTCGGGTTCCAAACGTAATACCACCCATGGCCGTGCGCCGAGTTGTCCCTTGCGCCAGATATTGCCGTGAGATGGGCCTGCCAAGGTAAGATTACATAACCAGTGATCATACGGATCAACACCATCAGTAGCGTAGTCAGCCAATGAAAATCGTTTATCGTTTAACATGGTCAGGCACCCTGAGTAGAGGCTATAGCCTACATCAATCTCACGATGTCGACTCCTCCCTGGTGAGCCTTTTGAAAGACTGTACTACGACACTCGTTGACATGACTGCTACTTGGGCTTAGATTTTGTTATACTTGGTCGTGTTCTAACCGCGCTATGAAATACAGATCCGGCCGCGCCAAATTTATGGGACCAACCACATAATTATTAAAGTAGGTCAAGTCTGGATCAGATCAGTAGTACGCCGCATGGATCAACCCTGGTGCCTTGCCAAGAATCTTGTACAGGCTCACTGCCTTCGCTAAAGCTTGTCTGACCTGAAAAAATCAATGCTTGGTTTCCGATAAAGAGCACGAACTTAACAGACGAACACGACGCTAGCTGTAATCCTCACCATCGCCATGCTGCGTCTGTTGTGTATCGTGCTGTCTCTTTTCTTATCCCTTCAGCTCGCTGTTGCGGACTCTGCCTCAACAGTCTTACGAGTTTCACGCCACTCTAAGTCATCGTCACTAGTACTGAACAAGTCTCTACTATCAGCTCTCTTGGTTCGGCGAGGAAAGTTCATTGCTCGACAAGGCAGTAGCGGGTGCCCTAGCGGTTATCGTAAGCAATTCACGCGCTAGGTACTCAGAAATACATCACTGACCCACCCTAGAGCAATGTACTAACTACCCGGACGCATGTGCCCCTACTGGCAGCTACTGTGTAAGGTTGCATGACGAACCTTTTCACTGTGATTAATGTTTTCTAGTGCAACGATTTGTATAACTGTCCAGACGACACCACCGTACGTGCCTTCGCGTCTTAGACCCAATCGTCAAAACTGACCGACGAGCGTTACAACTAGTGCTTCGAATCCGAGTGAGACGAAAAGATTTCGATCAACTTTCTTTTCTTTTCTGAAGGCTGCTGTAGATGTTGTCCCAATACCGCGCAAACGTGCAATGGAAATACCTGCTGCACCTCTGGTAGTGAATGCTGCAACGACAACAGCTGCTGTGAATCCGGCTACCTCTGCTGCAATGACTCTGTCGGGGGATGTGTGTTATATTCCCTATCAATTGCATGAGCCACTCTAACATCTATTTAGGCTGCCCTACTGGAACTACGTGCATTGCAAATTCTGACCAATGTTCCGCTGGAGGCTCAGGTGGTGGAAGTTCTGGAGGTGGAGGCAGGTGGAACTAGCGTCACGGTTGCTACTGCTGCTCCTTCCAAGTCAACTGTGCTTCCAGGAACCACTTCTTCCAGCAGTGTTATAGTTACATTCAACGGCCCCACAACAACCGGGTCTTCGAGCAGTCATTCACTCACTTCTTCGACGGTTTCATCCGCAGGGTCTACTTCCACTGGCTTTAGTAAGCAGCCTCTTTCCTCTGATTCGTGATCTAGCTTACACCGTACACTTAGCGAACACTGGTGCTGCTCCTCGTGGTATCGCACTCGCACCTGGGAAACAACTTGTGGCCTTGGCTGCAGTTGTTGGTTTGCCGATTCTTCACAATGTTGCCCAGGCATTGTGAGCATGCAATAGGACTTCTCTTATTATACCCGTCATTGGTTGTTGAGGTTGTAATTTATGATGTGTCAGATGGTGTTCACTTTGTTGCATAACGGGACTTATAATACGACATTTTGCCTGCAGATCAGTTACAGTTGGTTCACGGATTGCGAGAGATCAAGGTAAATTAGGTAGTGGCTAAATGACTAGCAGGCACAGGGGCGCATTGCAAGTTGGAGGCATATGAGGACCATACAGATAGTACTGCTTACAACGGCAATTGTGTTAGGACTCGGTAAGTAAGTGACACAATAGTGTATAACGTTAACATGACATGCCCGCTTACTACGTTGGCAGGTACTCATGTGGCACTTCAGTATTAGTCACGACCGCTCTAGCGAGATCGGAGAGGCGGTGCGTACGTGGTATATATACTCTGTTCAAACATAAAGATGGCCATAGCCAGCTACATAGTATCTGATTAAGTTTGATTGTCAAACCGTCGCTCCTCCTGGCATCAACTTGAACTCTTGCCAATCTCGCGTATACTCGTTGCCGGTGTCAAGCATGTCTTTTGCTGTCGAAGCTTGTATGTTAACTGAAATCAGGCCTATATAGTCTAACTGTCTCTAGTGAGAAACTGCTCGAGCCGTACACAACACTCACGACTGAGCAGCTTACTAGTTGAAGGTTGTGTCATAGCACTTCATTGTGTACAGCGCAACATACCGTCAAACTTCCGGCCGCGTCTGCATCGCCATCATGACCTGTCAACGAAACCGTCTTCCCGTAGATCAGTCATCAAGCCCAGTAGCGTGGCACAATGGCGGAGTACTGCCAACAACACTAGGAGACTTTGTCTCTTTACAAAATATATCTTCTGAGACCTTGAGCTGTGTACGAGGGGTGCGCTTTCTTTGCCTGACTTCATTAATTGTTCCCCCTGCCTATAATCTAGGATCTTCTCCCTCTCGGTACACACTCCTACATCGACCGCTTGCAAGGAACACTTGCCATCATCATCGCACCTCCTCGTGAGTTGGCCAAATAAATACCCGACGTCCTAGAAGCGCTTAAGCTACGCCCAGAAGGCGAACAGAAGGGTGCATAGGGCTCTACACGTTGTACCCGACGGTTAGTTTCTGGCTTGCTAAGTGGAATCGCAACTCGTGCGCATGAGAAGGTGTGTCTGTATAAAGGTGTTCCTATTCTTCGACCCCAGGTCAGCTACTAGATCATCTGCGAAATACATCTTATTTTGACGTTGGAAAATGCACATGGTTAGTTCTGCACGAAGCGGACCGCTTGATGGAGCTCGGTTTCGAAGATACTAATCAAAGGATCATACAGAGTCTGGATGGGAGGAGTAAGCTCGCGTTTCAAGCTGTTCAGGACAGTAGGACCTTTGAGGTCGGGGGTTGGAATCGGGACCGACAGACGGACGATCCATTGTTCTACTACTATCTGTGAAGACGTGCAGAAACTAGCAGGCACCACTCTAATACGACCACTGGTAATTGAGGGCCTCGACAAAGAGAAGACGGAAGATTCGCCTGCATCAAAATACGACAACAAGCCAGCTACAACCAGCACTGAGAAGTTCACTCCCCCGCCACAGCTCTTCATGTGATTTCATCTGCAGATGAGTGGGTTCATAGGTTGCAAGGGATGAAGGTAAATCACATCCATTGCAAACGAAATTATGTACATGCTTTCGACAGGAAGCTAAAACGTAGAGTCGGGCATGAAGTAGGTCGTAGGCGACTCTGCTCGTCCGTGGCAGTGAACAATTTTACCTTCAGTCCAATTTCAGTCTTATAGTTTGACAGCTGTAGCCAACCGAATGTGTCTGGCCATATTTTTGTCTCCATCCTTTCTGAGCATCTATGGTGCAGTAATGCATGGTTCTAGTAGAGCTGCATCGTAGCTTTTCATCCATGTCTTGCCTCGGATACAATTGGATGATATATTACAAACCGATTTCTCTTAAACAGTGCGAGTGGTGGTAATACATGTAATGTAGGTGTCTGGGTTTGTAATACAGTGACGAGGATCGGGCGTTTGTAGTGTCCGTGTTAAACATCATACTACGATTGCGTGTGAGTGGTGATCTTATCACATGGCAGCGTTCACTCACCTCAACGATCATTGAAGTGGGTATGGAGATGTCGGTGAACCTCGATGTTTGCTCTGCTTCAATGGATTGAAAAGAGCCTACAACAACGCAATCACATAACTTACCTGCGTCAACGCGCGTCCCCTTACTACGAGTAGTGATCTGAGGACGACGAATAGAACCTGCACTGAAGATACTGCAGATGATTCCAGGGGCGATCTGGAAATTCTCAAGTCTCCCGTCAAACGCAAAGCACTTGCACTTACCTTTGAGAAGACATCCCACGACAAAAGGCTGGATTACCATATCTACGTAAGCTAGATACACGGATAATCGGTAGACGCACCCAGTTTGCTTCGGAATGGCCATAACTTGGCCATCGAGAGTGATACGCAAGACAGACGACTTTAAGGACGTTCAGACTTGCGGAGAGCCACGCTGATGCTTTGAGATAACTCACCTCGTCACTCGACATCATCTTCATCTAAAGTTAGTGCATGTTTCGAATGAAAAAGTCGGGGACGAACGTCAACGTCCAGATCTGAACATTTGGTTATCATACACCAAGTCGCAGAAAATGCAGAGGGCTTACTGAGTGCTTTGCAGATATACCGCAGAACGGCTGGGTGCTGTTCTGATCCTTTGTCTTGACAACTGGAAGCAAAGCCGGAGTAGTCCTCGTTTTGAGCGTACATGTAGTATTTCACCACAGAAGCAATGACAGCGGAGAACAAGGCCGCAGAAGGGATGATCTCCTCGAACAAACACAATGCTATCTCCTCTATCGAAGCCCGCGGGGTGACTCTGAGAACCTCCGAGAGGAACACTTCACCTTTTTGGGATGACAAGTGATTTGAAAACAGAAAATCACATATGCCATTGATTGAAATCTGGTTCACCAATTGAGCAACGGAGCATATAACGAAATGTAGGATAATTACAATGCCATCAGAGAGTCTTTTCAAATGGCTCTCAAGGTATAACTTGATCAACTGGGTAGAGCGCATGGCTTTCTGGCAAAGAGTCCAGTCGGAAGCAGGATCTTTATTCAAATACAAGTAGCTGTGCACACGTCAGTGACGGGAGGCTAATCACAACGGATAGACTTACTGTGCAATGGTGAAAAAGGCTTTGTACCAAAATTCTGGAGTCATTTGCGACGATGATTTGTCCATCGATGGTAATCCAACCTGACGAAAAAAAACAAGTTCAACACCAAGCAGTTTGTGTTGATGTATCAGAAAGAGGACCATGATGTCGCCCACCCAATAAACAGGAAGGAGGTTCAGGATTTCAATTATGTCGACTTGCTCGTCAACTTCGCGTCTCTTGCGTATCAGCTCACTTGTAAGGTGCGCAAAATGCGAAGTAGACGCGGTGTATTCAGCAACTTTATCAGAGATGGGCTTTCTGATCTGAATATCAAGCAACGATGAGAATCAATAGATAACGGACAGCGTAAAAAGGCCTTACCGCTTCGTTCCGTACCCTGGGAGGCATGTGTAAGTTCGAAAGTCGACGCTCATAATCTCTGACAACGTTCATATCAGCAGCTACAAATGCAGCTGGCTGAACTGTCGAAGGCCTGTCCCAATCGTAAAGATGCCGGACTTCGGCACTGCGCGGCGCCTTGGCCATGCTCGAGGCAAGGAATTCTGGGGTCAGGAAAGGAAAGTGAGCATAGACTGAGCCCGCGGGGTAGTGATCGGGAAGCATGCGAAAGAGAAGCTTGGTGAGCATGCCACCATAGGATCCATCCATTTTGTTGACCATGCAATGCTCGTAACCCCATGTTGTCAAGTTGAACGCTACCATGAGAGGCTCAGTATCGATGAAGGATGTACAGGCCCGAGAATCAGTTGACTCACGAGTGAAGTCTACTGTAAGAAACCTGTCTCCACGGGTCAAGCATACGGCATCGGCGAGGATGGCACGTGAGATGGTGTATCCAGGGCAAAGGCCAGCGCCAGGAATGGGAGGTTTTGTTTCCTCAGCCTGCAGGCCCACCTGAGTGCGAATCAGCAAACGCAAACCATCTAAGCTGTTGTCGAGACTTACATGCAACTCCAAGTTTTCAATATCCCCGTACAAGCGTTCGGCTGCGACCTATTGATGGTCAGCATGCGGGTGAGCACACACAACGGGGTTGATCCCTACATAAATCTCTGGATCGGGGTTCCATTCGCTGAAGGTCTTGTACGCTGGGAAGGCAAATTATAAATCAATAAACTGGCGGAGAGAAAACCACCCCACGTTTCAAACCAATGAAGCGACGAAATTCGTTCAGCTGAGTTTCAATACTTAGTATCACTGCGTGTCTTTGCAACTTACAATGGACTGACTGAACAAGCGCCCCAGGCTCGTGCTCGCACCATGCCTAAAATCTCTACAATTCGCATCACGGCCGGAACGCCCCTCGCACGAAAGGCACAAGCCCTCTCGGCCGTTGCATCCTGTAAAACACGAGCGATATCGTCGTCGCTGAATCGACCATCCTCCTCACGGGTGAGACTGTGACTTGTTAGCTAGCAATACATGATAAAGTAAATACTTCATACCCGCCAAATGTCCAACTACGAATGTCAGGCATTTGAGCACTACTCTTGTGGACGGCAGCCTTGAACTCTTTGACAGTGATCTAAGGAAACAAATACAATTCTTAAAAACTCCATATAAGGACGGATATACGTACAGTTGAAGGGTCTTTTCCAGGGAGAATGCCTTTGAAAACGTGTTCAATCCACACTTCGTCTTGATGCGACATTGCCGCATGCCAACGATAGAGCATGTTGAACTCCAATGAAACAGCGTTCCCAGCTCCTCGTTGGGAAACGTCATGCGTCTGCTCGCGAAACCCCTGAATGAAAATCAAAATGGATAGTGAGTATTACGAACAATTCCGGACCTGAAGTGGATTTAATCTCCAAGTCAGTCCATCTCTGACAAGACCAAGAATGCCTCCAACGTAGTCCGTTAAGATGATCTGCATGAAGAACGCTGTATTGACCAGTCGAGCACGGTGAAAGATCTCATCGCACTGGGCAGTACGTTTCGCTTCATTAAGAGGCGCTGGGGATGTGAATGTCCCTCGCTCGTTGAGGCTAAGGATCTTGTTTGCAATATACTGTTGAGGGGTTAGCATTTCTCAATTTATACAGTAAGACAAAAACTGACATTGTGGTGACGACTGAATAGGACTGCAAGGGCACCCACGGAGGGGGGCATGAACAAGAGACGCTTGTCAGCAAATACATCTTCCCAAATGTGACCGGTTCCGTCCTTCTTGCGTATGCTATCGACCTGCTCTTCGTTGTGCCCATATAGAATACTCAGGTCGAGGTAGCTGCTGGCATTGTTAATCGTCCAATCGTGGGAGTTCGTATCAAATATGCTGTGAATGATGAGATCTGCAAATGCGAAAAACAAACTGGAGAGGCCCCCAGGATGAGGGACGAAGTCATTCTGACGGCGACGCAGAAGGGTATCAAATACCTCTCCTGGATCTGGTAACGGGCGACGCGATGAAACGTGCGTAGAAGGCACAGATCGCGCATATGGTTGACCTGCTTGACCAAGGCTCGGCGTAGACATCGAATAATTGGAACCATCAGCACTACGGAAGACATATGGCATGCTACTGGAGCCGGACAGAGGCGTTGTTACAGGAGTCTTCAAGAAGCTGCAAGGCGGGTGGGGAAGGTCCTTGTAAACTAAACACGCTTGATCAGAACTGTACTTATAAGTTGTCGATAAAGATTACACGTACGGATATCGATCACGGAGATCTGAAGTTCTTTAGCGAAGACTGAGTCGTCGGGAAGGCGCGACATCAATATCAAAAGTTTTTCTAACTAAGTTACAAATAAATAAAGCAGCGTGAGTTTGGATCCAAGGAAAGACGACGCATACACCTACCAAAAACTCCCGGTCATTGATGCCCGACTTGAGGTTCTTCAGTGCATCAACATATGCTGGCTGATAGTAAATGGCTTGCATTCAGCTCAAGTTTCACAGCGGACGACAGCCTACGCACCAGGTCTGCCAGGGTAAAGGGGGGTCCTCGCGTGATGATTTGTTCGAAGTCTTCCACTGACTTGATTTTGTCAAAGCACGCGGGGATGCCAGGCTGGGATATGCATGGAGGAATATCGATCCTCGGTACAAGTGACGCTGCTGCTCGTCTCATGGTTTGGATGTTGGAACTGAATATCGACTTAGTTAACTTGGAGAGAGAGCGTTGTCAAAGAATGTGGTGTGCTGAGAAGGGCCCAGCACGACTGGCTATATATGCATCGGGTCTGAAAGGTATTCAGTGACAGACGCAAAAGGCCGCCAAAAGGAATTCCAGTGTCGAGCAACAATTAAATGATAAATGATACCCTGGGGATTCAAATGTTCATGCACATGGTGCGTGGGGGAGCCATTGATACGAATATATGTGCAAGCGCCAAATCCGAAATTCTGGCTGCTGCCATGCTGCATATCAAGTACTGTCTGGCAGCGCTAGTAAGCTCTAGTTAAGAACTAGGTCGGTTACAGCGTCGACGCGTCGGTGGCATTCGCGTATGTAATACCAATTGCGTGATACATACTGACATAATCACTATTATTTCAAATTTAAAACAGTTCCTTCAAGTTCTGCAATTAATGGTGGACGCGTCGATGGACGTCGATCCAACCATGATTCTCTCAGAAGCATGACTATTTCGAACGTTGCGCTGTAATAATGTGAATGGCTTGTCAAAAAATCTAGCGGTAGACTGGGCATCTTGTATCGACCTCTAGCATCTCAGAACTCATCGTCGATATTGTTGCCACCACATCACAACGTATACATACTGCGGCCTACATGCATGAATTTATACTGGCACGATGAATCACTACTCGAACCTTTGGTAGTTCTTCTTTGCCTGCCGTTCCGAGGGCAACCAAAAGAAGTGAAGCAGGTCCTCGACAGCTGGTTCCTGCTGGTGCTCCCCTCCGTCATTTCCCAATTGCTGCAGTATCAGGGGAACAATGTCTTATGTCTACTAAATGTCAACAACGGAGTAGCCGACCGTGTCCAAATATCGCCGTGGTCTCCAAAGGTGGACGCTCGCCCGAACAAACACCAGAAGACCTGCAGGTCCTTGGATTTTTGTACGATTGGTGGTATAGAAGGATTGTGCAATAATTGAATACCACCAACCAGGTTAATCATACTTTCTAGTCAACAATTCACTACACCGCCTGTTCCTCTCGCCCACATTAGAATCGTTCGCCTGTGATGCATTATCAAGCGCCCCAACGGATAAGGTAGAGCAATTGGTTGCTACTCTTCCAGACGGCCTGTGGTTAATGTTCACTATGGCAGTACCTCTCAAGAACATGCAAAAGTCGAGAACTCGTCCTGATCGGACTCGCTGCCGCGTGTCCTATGATGCACAACATTGTTAATCTCCAGCCTCTGCACTTCCTGCAATCCCTGGTACTTTGCAAGAAAAATCTAGTGGCATGCAAAACACATCATGAGATGATATGCCACTGGAATCAGGTGCCCTCAAAAACTTCGTGGTCTATACCAATCGCATGCAACGGTGCACGTATTTCCTTCTTCGCGTCCTAGTCCCACGATTGTCCAGTTTTTCCATCACGTATTGGAAACGTGCTAGAAGAGGATGACAGAGAGTTTGTGCTATCTCTCCTCACATCTTGCTAAACATTCGCGTTCCTGGAAGACATCTCTGTAGTCAGCCGCCCGCAGTACTTGGACCCTCACCTTGCCAGCCTGATCCCTTGTTGACTTGGTCAACGTGGATACCATCCCAACGATGCGTTCATCAAATGTACTGTGGTTTCCTGGCCAGACATTCGTGGGTGGAGGTTTGCCCCTAGGTACACCGATACTTCAAGTCGCTTCCACCATGACACCCTCAAATATCGAGAGATGAGTGACCGTTACCGAGAATACGAGTCTGAAGAGTCCTAGGGTGCGGTGAAAAATTAACCAGTCAGTTACCTATTATCTGGGTCATGAACGCAAGAGTTGATCTACACGACAAGTCTACAGCATAGTGGTACATTGGTGGCAAGCGGCTAATTAGGGATAACTCCAGATAGTTGAAGCTATAGTCACGACGTCTCGCATATCCTGTACATCATGGACTCTCACAACGCTTGCGCCCTGTTGAATAGCACAAGCCACGGTTGCTGCCGTTGCCCATCCTCGTTCTTTTGGTTGGGTTTTTCTCCCCTTGTATGTCCCATCCGCATCCGGGCGTTCTAAAATCGCACCGAGAAATGACTTTCGAGACGATCCAATGAGTTGCGGATATCCTGCGAGTCTATTCGTGGGAGTGTTCGCTATCATCGAAGAAGCTTCGCGAAGCAGTGCGCAGTTTGCTTCGACAGTCTTGCTGAAACCGATACCTGGGTCAACGATAACGAACCATCTTCGTACTCCGCCTTTGCCCTTAATAATTGCCTCCACTTTCTCTCCCAGCTCAACCCGCACACCTTCTAGAACCCCGCCCTTGTACTGGCTGTAATCTTTGTTTGAGCCTGCATCACCGCGTGAATGCATCAAGATGACAGGAACAGCGAGTTTTCGTGCCACCTCTCGCATTTTCAGGAGGTGCTTTGCTGAAGTTTCTGTAAGGGGGTACTCAGGACCCGTGAAGGAATATACATCGTTGATGCAGTTTGCACCAGCCAGGACAGCAGCTTCCGCGACCTCCCAACGGAATGTATCAATCGAAATAAGAGCGGAACTGAGGTCTTGATCTTCATGTGACCGAATAGCCTGAATGACAGGCACTACACGTTGGCACTCCTCTTCGGGTGAGACAAATGCTGCTCCCGGACGAGTTGAATAACCCCCTATATCGATAATATCGGCACCTGCTCGTACGGAAGTTGCAGAGTAAGTCAGAGCAGCTGACAATGTATTATTAACAGAACCATCCGAGAATGAATCTGGAGTCGCATTCAAGGTGGCCATTAGCCTCACTTTTGTCGGTCGCTGAATTTCATTTGAACAATGGGTGCTCCAGTACCTTCCCATGGAGGGTACCTGAATGATGCCTGGGAGCTGTCGTGTTTCTGCAATCGGATAATCGGTGAAAGGGGTGACTTTGAGCATTGGGAAATCGACGCTCGACTGCCTGACAACATCATCCAGAAGGGTACGTATTGATTTCTTATGAACCGGATGCACGAATTCTGGGATCATGCTGATTTTGCAAATTTAGTCTCCGCCAATAACCAAAACTGTTCCACACACTCAGCTAGAGGGCGTAAAACAAACTCTCGTTCTGCCATGCGTGGATGTGGTATGACAAGCTCATCGGCCAGACCATCAAGGGTATCTCTCAGGCCTTCAGCACGGGTATCAACGATCTCGTTGTCGTACAATATTATATCCAAGTCAACCGCACGAGGTCCATTCTGGACAGAAGGCACCCTTCCCACTGTCGTTTCAATTCTTTTAAGTAATTTCAATAATATCCGTGGCTCCATGTTCGTCTCGATCTAAAAGGCTCCCAACTAAGTAACAGACTGTGGCCATCAGTTATTGAATGGACGAACTCACTAAGCACGCACAATTTGCAAATCTTGGCTGGTCTGTGACGTACATGGGCGCGGTTTCATACATGAAGCTCGTATCAACGACCGATACGGCGTCAGCAGCCACGCTGGTCAACAGTTGATTGGGTTGCTCAATCAAGCGTAAAGCGATTTCGATGTTAGCGAATCGATCGCCAAGGTTCGAGCCTAGTGCGATTGCCACGCTGTGCCTCGCTGTTGATGGGGTAACATTCCGAATCATGGATGCTAGGAGGCCAGCCATAAATATTAACAACAGACACTGAAGAGAAAAGACTGCAGTACTCTGCAGCGTATGAGAACGAGTGCCGGGATCACGGGATTTGCACAGAGTTTTATGATTATGTAACCCTGATATCCTTTTGACAAGAGAACCACGACGGTCGAGGTTGCACTTTACTATTTTTCCCTGGGCCCGCAAACATGACATTGCCAAAAGATAACCCATACCTTGCCCATCGACATCCCACTGAGCGAGCTACTTTAAGCGCAAGCATTCCCAATGGTGCCAGCGCCTCCTCGAGAGAGCCTCTCTATGGTTTCGTTCCTCGGATGGTCAATGCAGATCAAGTCCGTCAGGCATTGGTATGTCCTTTCAATATTTAGCGTCGATACTGGCTAGCTGACTCTGGAATTTGCTTAGGAACATGATTTGAACCCGTTCACAAAGCAGCCCCATACTGCACAATACAAAAAGATACTGGAAGCTCGCAAAAAGCTCCCTGTGTTTGCACAGATGACTGAGTTCTACAAAATAGTAAGCTCCTATTCCAATCCTACCCCATTTACCCCGACTTACGTTTACAGTTCAACAAACACCAAATCATTGTTATGGTCGGCGAGACTGGCTCAGGCAAGACCACACAGTAAGTTGGCACCCCCAAGACAAATATTCTCTCTTGTCATTTTTGAACAGTCGCTTATAGACTCTTTTTGTCAATGATAGAATACCCCAATTCGTCACCTACTTTGATCTCCCGCACACCAAGAACAAAATGGTGGCATGCACTCAGCCCCGCAGAGTCGCTGCCATGTCTGTGGCTAAGCGTGTAGCGGATGAGATGGACGGTCCGTTTTTTTTACTTCGTGTTCTGACCAAATTTTGAGCTCGTTTCTTCTCCTAGTCCAACTCGGTCGACAAGTCGGTTACTCGATACGTTTCGAAGATATGACTGAGCCTGGTACCACCTTTCTCAAATACATGACCGATGGAATGCTCCTTCGTGAAGCCATGAACGACCCTGATCTCACTCGCTACTCCACTATCATCCTCGATGAAGCCCACGAACGTACCCTAGCTACCGACATTCTCATGGGCATTCTCAAAACTCTTGCCCGACGTCGTTCAGACCTCAAACTCATCATCATGTCCTGCCACTCTAGATGCCCTCAAGTTCCAGAAGTACTTCGGTCCCTCTGGCGACACCCCCGCCCCGCTCTTTAAGGTCCCAGGTCGTACCCACCCCGTCGAGGTGTTCTACACCCAGGAACCGGAGCCAGACTATGTCGAGGCTGCCATCCGCACAGTGCTCATGATCCATCGCGCCGAGGAGCCAGGAGATATCCTATTGTTCCTGACGGGCGAAGAGGAGATAGAGGATGCGTGTCGGAAGATTAAGCTCGAGGCGGATGACCTTATCAACTCCGACTCCGAGTCTGTAGGCCCCCTCATGTGCATCCCACTATACTCGTCGCTACCGCCACAACAACAGCAACGCATCTTCGACCCGCCACCGAAAGCAAACAGTCCGGATGGTCCCCCAGGACGCAAGGTTGTAGTCAGCACGAACATTGCAGAGACATCGCTGACAATCGATGGGATCGTGTACGTTGTCGACCCAGGATTTTCCAAGCAAAATGTATATAACCCGCGCATCCGTGTGGAGAGCTTACTCGTGAGTCCGATCTCCAAGGCGTCGGCACAGCAGCGTGCAGGCCGGGCCGGGAGAACGAGGCCGGGTAAATGCTTTAGGTTGTACACGGAGAAGGACTTTATGACGGAGCTCGAGGAACAGACACACCCAGAAATTTTGAGGAGTAATTTGGCGAATACTGTGCTGGAGCTTGTCAAGGCAGGGATTAAGGTAAGGGTGACGTGGGGGGATATCTTTGAAGTGGGCTGACGCGTATGTAGGATCTTGTCAAGTTTGATTATGTGGATGCGCCGGCGCCAGAGACGCTAATGAGGGCACTGGAACTGCTGAATTACCTCGCTGCGTTGGACTGACGATGGGAACCTCACCGCATTGGGGAGTATCATGGCTGAATTCCCTCTGGATCCACAGGTAGGCGATTATTCTGGTGGCAGGGGTTGTTCCTCACGGTTCTGACGCACGTTCCTAGCTCTCAAAGATGCTGATCTCCAGCCCAGAGTTCAAGTGTAGCAACGAGATCTTGACGATCACCGCGATGTTGTCAGGTGCGCACTCAGCCTCGACGTTTACTCCCATCTGAAGCTCTTGCAGTACCAAATGTATGGCTGCGGCCGAATAACCAGCGAAAAGAGGCAGATGCTGCAAAGGCGCTGCTTACTGTCCCTGATGGTGACCATCTAACGCTTCTTAACGTGTACAACAACTACATCCAAAGTACATTGTCCTCTTTTATACACGCATACTCATTCACATCCACCCCTAGATCAGTACGACAAAAATTGGACCTGGAACAACTACCTCTCCGCTCGGGCGCTGATGCAAGCAGACAACGTGCGCGAGCAGCTGAAGCGGACGATGGAGCGGTTTGAGGTGGAGCTCGTCAGCTTGCAAGATCAGAAGAAGATGTTTATGGCGATCAGGCAGTCATTGTGTTGTGGGTTTTTCATGCAAGTTGCGCATAAAGAGGGAGAGAAGGGGAATTACATGACCGTGAAAGATAATCAGGTGCGTTATGATTGTTTTGGGTGGTCCCAGCATGCTGACGGTTTTTATCTTGCGGAAGGTCGTGGCACTACATCCATCGTGCGGGCTGGATACGCAGCCGGAGTGGGTGCTTTTCAATGAGTTTGTGCTCACGACGAGACCTTATATACGGACTGTTACGGATGTGCGACCGGATTGGTACGTTCTCAGGCTTCTTAGCTCTGTGGATTTGCATTGACGTTCCGGCAGGCTCCTCGAATATGCGCCTTTGTATTTCGACTTAAAGAATTGGCCAGACAGCGAAACGAAGCGCGCGTTGTTGAAGACTGGAAAAAAGCAGGCGGGAAAATACGGGGCGCGGTTTGACCAGGCGGAGGTGGAGGCGTCAAAAGAGGGAGGGGGTTCGACGAAGAAGAGGAAGAAGAATAAACAGCAGGGGTAGGATAGGTACTACAGGGTTCTCTTTCGTGTGTTATGCGTACTCTTTCGTTATTTTCTTCGATCTAGAATGTATATGCATCTTACCTCTGAAGGGCTATAATCTGCAGGTTTCCTGCGCAGTTTTGCGTTCCAACTGTTTGGACAAATATTGCAATAGGCATGTATTCTGCTGGACAGTAACTCCGAAACTCTACTTGACAGTCAAGAGTGGATGTAATCCTATCGTGTCTAGTATAAACTGTTGGCTGGTGCACGAGTCCAGAGCGTGGAGACGCTCATGTGTAGAACTTCCTGTTCTCATTCGGCCCAAACAAGTCTCTTCTAATCTCGGGGAGCATCTACAAAAGTATATTAGACAGGAATGGGCCCAACATTCAGTCAGACTTACTTTGTCCTCTAGGAGTCTCAGTCGTTCATCCAACGTGTTGTCGATAGTAATTCGTCGCGAGCTACTCACAAGCTTGACGCCGCCCGCACTGAAATAGGTTTGTTGAAAGAATAATACCCAGGAAAGTCGAACGACTTACCAATCTTTGCTTAGAGTTGTCTCCAACTCAAAAGACACCTCGCGCCCGCTGATCTCAGCATATGAATCTGCGGCTGCTTCTCCTGCCTTTTGCATGATATCGGCATCCTGTTCACGAACATGTAATGTGACCCTTGTCTCCATGAGCTGGAGAAAGCCTTGCACGACAGCGCCTTCGAGGAACTGAGAATAACGCCCTTCGTCTTCGGCGAAGGTCAGAATTGATGTCCGAGCGATAGAGAATAGTTCCTGTAGTTGCTCCTCGCGACGCTGTAGAAGCTTCAATCGCGATTTGTTGGTCAAGTTAGACTGTGCGCTGAAAAACACTAGGCGATTAGTGTGACATCCCAATATCAGGCGAGTGGGCACTATACATCTTCTGTGCAACCTCAGCACCCTTGCGCTTCTTCTCGAACTGTGCGTCAATAGCCTGTTGTTCTTGCTTCACGAGTTTTGCCTTTCGAGACAGACGCATTGCGCATTAAGGACTACGAAGTGGAGCAACGCTGCGTACCTTCTCGATAGCAAACTCCTCGTCCGCTTTCACTTTGATCTCACGCGCTTTCTCCAGAGCCTCCTGCTTGATGAAAGTAACCTATGTACACGAGCTACGATGTTAGATCCGTTTGTATTTCGACCGAGGAGGAGTAGGACATCGACATCATATATATGCTAGACCATGTGCAGACGTACCATCTTATTCATCTCACTCAGGACCTCCTCATCATTCATTGGTCGTGGAGGCATCTTGGAAGTATAACCTGATAAGCAGGATGGACCACACTGACTGGAAAGTGACGGAGTAGTATGTAGTAACTCGTCGCCTAATGAGGAAAGCCGAGTTTGCTGCGGCAAAATCCGCAAATCCAAAAGTTTCTGTCCTGCTCACTGTCAAAGACGTCCTTGAAACAGAAAAAAACTATGGCTCATCAACGCGTTGCACTGTGGGCTGCCGAGCCAGATCTTGACGATGACATTAACGATGCTGATGTCGACATCCCCATTCCGGTCCCCTCGTCAACCAATGAAATGTACGATGACCCAAATCTTCAGCTCAACGAAGGCTCCTTGCAAGCAATGCAACAGCACATTGCGCAGCAAGCTGCATTTGAACAAATCCCAGATATTGTCAAGCGCGTGAGCATTCTATCGTTTGGTTCATGATCTTATACTCAGGAACTCGTAGTTTATCGTCCATTTTCACCAAGCCGTCTTGGACAATAACCTCCAGGAGGTAACTCTCGCTTACGAGTCAGGTTGGACTCGTCTCACCGAGAAATACTATGCAAAAACGGAGTGGCCAGAAGCAGAGACCATTGCACCATTAGTCAACGATGATCAAATCTTCCTCATCCTTTATCGTGAACTGTACTACCGACATGTGTACTCAAGGCTTCAACCCAACGTAGACGACCGGTTCCACTCATATGAGAATAGCTGCGAGCTCTTCAACTATCTCCTTAGTACGTGCCTAAATTGCACTTCGATCACGCTTTTGATGAGATTTGGTAGACTCCGACGGTCCTGTGCTTTTATCCCTCCCTGCAAACTGGTTGTGGGACATCATTGACGAGTTCATATATCAGTTCCAATCATTCGCTCTTTTCCGCTCGCGTCCTGCGTCAAAAACCGATGATGAGCTGACCATGCTTGGCTCAGAAGGCGGTGCCCAAGCTTGGAGTTCGTATTCCGTGCTCAATGTCTTGTATTCGCTTATCCAAAAGAGTCGCGTGAATGAATGGCTGAAAGCACGTGCAGAGGGGAAAAGCGATGAGGAAATAGAGTATGTCAGTTCACTTAACAGTCTGCTTAAATTGACCGATTGTTTTGCTAGAGAAATAGTTGGCGAATACGGAACGAAGCCTTTGTATCGCATGCTTGGATATTTCTCCATAATCGGCCTTCTGCGCGTACATGTTCTGCTTGGTGATTTCACTCTTGCCTTGAAGGTCATGGAAAATGTTGGACTCGGTCAAAAAGCTCCCTTCACGGCGCCTACAGCTGTACACGTCTCTACTGCCTATCATGCTGGTATATGTTACTTCATGCTGCGAAGAATTCCTGATGCAGCTCGTATTTTCACTGGCGTTCTTAACTGGGTGATGCGCGCGCGGCAATATCACACTCGCAGTTACCAATATGATCAGGTGAGGACTCACTGTGTCTATACTTTTCGTTGTTTATGCTCATTCTTTGTTAGATCAACAAAACAGCAGATCGGATGTATGCTCTGCTTGCACTTTGCCATGTGCTTGCGCCGACCAGGCTTGATGACAATGTAATGAATATTGTGCGTGAGCGATATGGCGACCAAATTGGGCGTATGGGCCGAGGGTATGTGTCTGACACTACCGTCCAAGTGCGGTCACTCAATGTTTTTCTAATTGATTTAGCGAGGAAGGTCTGTCGACATTTGAAGAGCTGTTCTTGTATTCCTGTCCCAAATTTATCTGTGCCAACTCCCCACCATATGATGACCCTGCCGCGCTCGCTTCGATGCTCATCCCACCAACGCCGACCTCCCCATCCTCGCAGAACCCTAGCGTAGTCCTTGGTGACCCAACCCAGCGACACCTCCGAGCCGCGTCAGCCCATTTCATGTCGCTTACACCAGTCTCGAGCCTTAAGAGTCTCCTGAAGCTCTACACGAGCCTTGATGCACAGAAGCTGACTGGCTTCCTGGATACATCAGGTGCTGGTGTAAACGAAGAGGAGGTACTGAGTTGGATGATGGTCATGAAAAACGCTGGACGATGTGTTGGACGCGTGAATACTGGTGGTACTGCTGCGAATGGCGAGAAGGACAACGACGAAGGATCAAGACCATCTGAGAGTTTACTTGATGGCGAGTGGATGTCCATAAGTGACTTGAACTTCGTGATAGACCAGGTTCGTTATCTTCTTCATTCAATTACTTTGAAGAGCTCAGACGATCATGTAGAACATGGTACACATCGCTGAGTCAACAGTTGGCCGGCGATATGCAGGGTGGTTCATCCGGAATTCTGAGCATGCAGCGCGCGTGCTCGACGGCATAAAAGCATCACCGTTACCACCACGTACAGTTCCTACTCAGGTTCAGAAAAAGGGTGGTGATGGGCCAAAAGCAGAGAGCGCACCGAGGACGACTGGACAGAAGGTTGCATGGGGTGGGGTCAAGGTTGCATAATAGGTTATGTTGCCCTGTTGTGTACTTGCCATGAATATAAGGATTATTTGCAATGCAGAAGAACTACAGGAACAGCGGGTGTACTTAGACTTACATACATGCTGCGGTCATATGAAACAAACAGGAAAATAGCACAAAAATTAACGATACTTTGCATTAAGAGGGAATCGAACCCCCGGCGGGTCGATGGCAACGACCCAGGTTACCACTACCCCATTAATGCGATGACGATCTTGCTCAAATCGTGATCCTATGTAGATGATGGATGCGGCTAAAAATAGCATCTCTCCCATCAATGTGACCTTGCATCTTTCACATACTATGGATCTAACACTGTAGGGCTACACAAATAGATAATTTTCCTGGGCGCGTGTTCCAAAGGAGTTGTCCGCTTCTAGTACGCTTGCTCTTCGTCTCAAGTGCGCCCTCTAGCTTTCCTATCAGTAGGAAGGGACTCGGAGTTGCGAAATCAACGTCCGGCAAATCTTCGCCGTTGTTCATTCACTTCGCAAGTTTAGAAGTGACTAGCAAAGATGGAGGTATTTCAGGTCCTTAGAAACTCCCTCTGGGCCTGTCTCCTCCCAGCTTCTACGGCTCTCCATGGAATCCTCCCATACTCAGCCCGAGAACGCTTTCTGAGCGCTTTGGGCATTGTGACGTATGTCTCCTTGATACCTTCTGCGCCTCCTAGCTTTCCGAGTTCTGGTAATGGTCTCTGGTATACTGCACCTGGGACAATCTGGGTTCAAGAATTTTTACCCATTGGCAATGGGTACTTGGGTGGTGAGTAATGCTTGCTCATGGTCACTGTGACCAAATGATATTCAAATATGCATAGCGATGTTGCCTGGTGGTACTAGCCAAGAGGTCACACAACTCAACATCGAGTCCCTGTGGTCGGGAGGTCCCTTCCAGGATCCCGTGCGTGTCGCACTTTGAAAGCCTTCCGATGTATCGGATCCAAACGTACTAACCATTCACATAGTCGTACAATGGGGGCAATCATATGCCTTCCCAGCAGTCCAAAATAGCCGGGAAGATGCAGAACATTCGCGAAGCTATTTTTTCTAGTCCTACAGGGACGATTGACAGTATGTCTCCAAGGTTTTGGTGTAGTCGCGCAGCTTTCTCATCTCCGATTCTGTCATGAAGATATCGATGAGATTATGACACCTGGTGACACATATGGTAGGTGGACACATAGTTTGCTTGAGGGAATTCTCGCACACCTGCTATCTATACTCACTGTTTTCAATGGGTGGCCCGTGCATTTTCCAAAGGTTCATACGCCAGCGCGGGACACTTGGTCGCAACGTTGGATTCAACTGGCCCGGTTTCGAAGTATGCAAGGTGGTTGGACCTGGATGAAGCAGTGTCTCGTACTACCTGGTCTGATGGGAGTACTACTTTTCTCCGGTTTGTCCTTCCTTGCCTGTGTCAATTTTGCTGTCTGACCACTGTGTTTAGGGAATCCTTTTGCTCCCACCCTCTTCAAGCATGTGTACAATACCTGAACAGTACGACTTCTCACGTCCTTCCAGCTGTGACTTACGCCTACACTGTTGCCGGGGTCGATGGCCTTCCGGCTCCGAATGTTACCTGCTTGGATGACAGAACGCTGAGCATTAGGAACTACGTCTCCATCCCCGGTATGCTTTATGAGATTCTCGCGCAAGCGCAGGCACCTGGCGGGTTGGTCTCGTGTTCTGCGGTATCTGGGGCATCTCCACCTAATGCTACTTTGACCGTCCTTGGTGCATCTGAGGTGTGGATCAGTTGGGTCGGGGGAACGAACTACGACATGGCTGCTGGAAACGCAGCTGCCAATTACTCCTTCCAAGGACCAGATCCACACAACAATCTTGTCACGTTGCTTTCGTCTGCTAATCGTACATCTTACGCTGAGATGTTGAATGAGCATATTAAAGATTATACCTCCCTCGTTACCCCTTTCTCGCTTTCCTTTGGGCAGACTCCGAATCTCAATACACCCACTGATCAAATTCTCGCTGGATATCGGACTTCTGTTGGGGACGCTTACTTGGAATGGGTTCTGTTCAACTATGGAAGATACCTCCTAGCCAGCAGCGCTAGAGGCACCCTGCCTGCAAATTTACAGGGTTTATGGGCTGATGGGTATTCGAACCCTTGGGGCGCTGGTGACTGATTTGATGCATAGGTTGACCGCGATTCTGACCAGCTAATAACAGATTATCGTAAGCACCTTGCCTCTGTAGAAGAAGAAGTCCTTATTTCACGACTAGATTCTAATATCAACATCCAAATGAACTATTGGGCTGCCGAAATGTCTAATCTAGATGTGACTCGGTCACTCTTTGACTATATTGAGGTGATCGGCTTGTTGGTATAACTGACACATGGCTGAAGCTGACCTCTTGTTTTTGCAGAATACGTGGGGACCCCGCGGGGCGTACACTGCTCAGGTTCTGTACAACATTAGCAAAGGATTTGTGACACACGGTGAAATGAATGTGCGTTTTCGGAGGACTTGTTTTAGAATTGAATGCATGAACTTTCGAACAGATCTTCGGCCATACTGGTATGAAGCTTGGCGGGAACTCTGCCCAGTGGGCCAATTATCCAGGTACAATGGCTCTTCTTAGTTTTCTTACTGAATGAGCGCCCATGTTTATGTCCTCAGAATCTAATGCTTGGATGGTACGTATTCGCTGTTGGGTCTGCAGCGGGCTTAGTCAATTGCATCATAGATGATACATGCATGGGATCATTTTGACCACACCAATGATGTACAATGGTGGAAGACTCAAGGATGGCCGCTAGTCAAGGTGCTCCACTATCATAGGGACTTTTGGAAGCCACATTTAGCTGAATTTCGTACAGTCCGTTGCCAGCTTTCATCTAGAGAAGCTCATCGAGGACTTGCACTTCAATGATTCGACCCTTGTTACCGCACCTTGCAATTCACCAGAGCAGGTCCCTATTACTCTCGGTCAGCTGGACTCTGAAAACTTTTGAATTTTGCTGACCATCACGACAGGTTGCGCACATGCTCAGCAGCTGATCTGGCAGCTCTTCAATACAATCGAAAACGGTTTCGAGGCAGCTGGTGATACAGACACTGCATTTCTAGATGGTGGGTAACCATCGCCTATTCGTCTTGCCTTTTGCTCATGGGATGCACAGCGGTTATTTCCAAACGGCAGCAGATGGACAAAGGGCTGCGTATCGGACGATGGGGTCAACTGCAAGGTTAGTATCTTGCCCTGTGTATCCTTGTCATATTAATGCTATATTCAGAGTGGAAAGTCGATATGGATATGCCGGACGACACTCACAGGCATCTTAGTCATCTGATTGGCGTAGGCCCTTGTTTCACAACTATCATCTGGAGCTTACAACCCTTACTAGTTATACCCCGGCTATGCGATAGCATCTTATTCCCCTGAGTTGCAAGGTGGTCTTACTGTCAACGGGACCTTCATGCATTATACCAAAGAACAAATTTTGAGCGCTGCGAAAACTAGTCTGTTTCATAGAGGCATTGGAAGGGGCCCTGATGCGGATGCAGGATGGGAGAAAGTCTGGAGGGCTGCGGCGTGGGCGCAGCTTGCTAACGAGACTGAATTTTACAAGGAACTTACTGTAAGAATCGTCGGTTATATCATGTCGCTAATACTAATCCAATGCAGCACACCATCGAGAGCAATTTTGCTCCCAACCTCTTTTCCCTGTATACCTCTGATGGAATCTTCCAGATCGATGCAAATTTGGGATATCCTGCCGCTGTTTTGGTGAGATAATCAAGTCATTTTATCTGCGAAATCTACAGCTGAACCTTGAATTCAAATCGATAGAATGCACTGCTACAAGCCCCTGACATTGCGAACATCAACGTTCCACTCCAGGTTACGCTTCTACCCGCTCTTCCTCTGACGTGGTCGACTGGCGAAATGAAGGGCGCGCGCATACGTGGGGGGATCACTCTCGATTTTGCCTGGAATGATGGCAGGCCAACGACAGCAACCTTTACCGTCGATCAGAACGTTGCAGGTAGGGAGAGAGATGTGATAGTGAATTATGGTGGGCGGGTTGTAGCACAGTTTAGGAGCAATGGGGGATACAGCCAAACCGTTTCTTCATTTTAAGAACGTCAATCTGAATTCTGATTAAAGGACGAATTTCTTGTAATCGTGTACTATTATTATAATGAGATACGTCATCAATGACTTCGCCGCATTAATGGGGTAGTGGTAACCTGGGTCGTTGCCATCGACCCGCCGGGGGTTCGATTCCCTCTTAATGCATGAGGAAATTTTTCGTGTTCGGAACGGAATTTCTACTTTCACATTAAACTGAGTATTTACATTTTTCACCATCCACCATTCACGCACATGCTCAATATTTGTAGCTAGCACTTGTTCTATGGCTTCGCGCATTGTGCAAAGCAAGAACTACTTGTGTAATATTACGCAACTGACTCTACACAGCGTTCCCCAGCACCAGCCCGAATCCTGTAGGTCATATCACTTGGTTGTCCAGAATCCATTTATCAATACTCATGTGGGTTTACCGATTGTCTCTGCTGCATTCGCCTCCTTACCACCATAACAGAATCATGCGGCATTTGCATCTGGTGTTGCCTTGCGTCGGATTCCCCGGCGTGTGAAAATAGCGCAAAGATGGATTGTCTGCAGTGGCATGATGACTAGTTTCAGGCCTTTGACACACAGTCGATCGTGTGGTGCGGGCTTTTCACGCGGTGTGCACACAACTGCTGCACCTGCGCTGCCCAATGATGAAACGGTCAAGCATAACCTCAAAAATGTAATTTGTCGGTTAAACAAATCTGCCTCTTCATTGGCTGACTTCCTACTATTCATGACAGGCCAGACATGCCGAGAACATTAGAATAGGTGTGTGTAGTGAGCTCGCCGTTTCCTTTTTCACATTAATTCTGATTCTCGTCAGATTTCCCACTAAATGATGCTAACCACGACATTAGTTCAAGTTGGAATGACAAGAGAACCAACACAAGAGACCAGTTAATTCGCAAAGTTAGACATATCATCCGATACAAATATGGACCGAGATATGACGTGCAGCCCTATGGAAGCTCAGTGTATATGGCAATGAAAGCCCTGTCAAGAACAGGAGATGGAGACCTGGACCTTGTTGTGCTTGTGAGTTATTAACAATCAACCAGCCACTCGTGTTCTTGTTGATTGATGGCAGGATACCAACTGGCCTCAAGGTTTTTCCCCGGAAATGGACATGAAACATCTACCTCGTAAGTTATGTTCCATTCGTACAACTGAGGTATCAATCAGGCTAATATTTAGAAGCTATCTACCATACTAGGTAACCTCGCTCACGAGCCAACGCCAACGGAGCTAATCAAATGACAGAAAGCTTGCTTGGACAATGCGACATGCAGGCTTTACTGACGTTGAAGCAATTCCCTGGGCCCGGGTTCCCATTGGTTCGTCACCACGAATTGGGAGGGTTGTTTCGGGCTCCTCACCCTCTCTCGATTTATAGTTAAGCTCACCGATCCTGTATCCGGGCTTCACATTGACATAAATGTGAACGAGAGGCTGGGATTGATGAACACCGACCTTATCAAGACATATTGCGATATTGTACCCAGCCTTCGTTGTTTAGTATCTGCCATTAAAAAATGGGCTCGTCCAAGAGCCCTCAATCGACCTTCTGCCTCTGAAACACCCCGAACTTTTAGTTCCTATGCATTGGTGCTTATGACAATTGGATGGCTCCAGGTGTGATCTGCATTGCTTCGACTGGATCATTGGAACCTTAATGTCTAAGAGACACGGGACTTAGCTCCGAATCTACAAGCTGGCCTTCGATCAATGGAATCCAACGAGCATCTATTTTGGATGCGGCCATCAAACCCATCTAAGCGGATACCTTGTGACACACGATATTGCAAGCACACGACGTGGGTAGCACCACGCATCGATTCCCTGGACAACCTCGTAGAGCAATGGTTCAGGTGAGAGGTGGTCGGGAAGCTTTCATTTTGTGACTGAGACTTCATCGCTCAGGTTCTGGAGTCAATTTCAATTTTCGCACCATGTGATAGACATCAAGCGGGGAGGTATTTCCCCCCGTATTTCGCATTCCGAAGAAGCTGCGAAGCCTGACCATGCCTCCCGAGGCTCTCGATCTGAATCCTACAATAGTTGGTCAGCATTTCTCAGTCCGGATGTGGATTCAACGACGATGCTAGAGAGTTATCCTATTTCTGTTGTAGATCCGTTCATTCGATCAAAAGTACGTACGTGTGGAAAGAGATGGTTTTTCTCCTCTGACCTGTATCTTCTCAGAATGTCACCAGGGGCATTAACGCTCAAGCATTGCGCATGTTTCAGGCTGAGTGCGCAGGTGCTGTCAAGCTATTGGAGCTCGGCACTGATATGACGGACATCATTGATGGATTCGACATGTTCAAGCAGGATTACAATGGACATTGCACGGCCAGGCTACAGCGGAGTCGAAAGGACCTTCACGGCCAGTCCGCAACAGTCTTGAAAGCGCATGCTGAGGAGGTTGATGTTATTCCTCACTGGAACCTTGCTTCACGACAGCTACCTGAATTGGCTGATGTTCTGCAACACAGGGACTCAAAACGTAATGACCTATCTGTTGATGGACAGATCTCATCATCAGACACCCTCGAATCGTCTCATATAGCAAATGGGCAAATCAAGGACGATGAAGAAGGCTTTGGGCTGAAGTCGTCTTACTTTCAGAGGACTGGTCGTGTGTAGAGTATCCATGTTATACCTAAAAGTCATGTTATTGCAGCTGAAAGACACGCATTCTACACGGGGTGCCCTAACGCATCTAAAGATCCTACTGTTACGACACTCCTCACAGCATATATACCCACATTACCTCATGGCGTGGGGCAATGTTATGATGATCAACGTCGGGCACCCGCCGGTAGTGGCGCTCAAACCAGTGCTAACTTGATGATAGTCTAAGCAGAGGTCATGAGAAGAACAGTATTAATATTATGAATGCTGTGACGGAAGATATCTAACGGCGACCACATCATATGCATACAGACGGATAAAGAGGAGGTACATGCCATTAATAATGATATATTGATCAGAACTAGGCTGTTCTGAACTTCTGCTTATGTATAACATCTTATCTTGAGCCACATAACTCATAGGCTACTACAGTCGCCAGACCGACATCACCGCCCGTATTACGCCTTCTCGTTCTCTTCTCACAGACCAAATAGCTCTCTTTATTCAACCTTGTATATTTCCTTGCATCCAACATGTCCTGGAAACTAGGCACTTCCAAAAGTAAGTCTATGCGCGCCGGACCCCTTTGCTGATCTCCCATCCACCGGCCACTCTTTTCCATGAGATCTCATGTCCTGACTACCACACAGAGTCTAAGGACGCCAAAGAAAATGGCGTCGTCTCACGATCCGTCACACCGATACCGTCGCGGCCCACAACTCCCAAGCCTTCTGGTGCCCTCGACCAGCAAGCTCATCTTCGATCTGGTATGCTCACGATTCGTATCTTCTCCGGTAAGCCGACTATTCGACCTTCCATCCTGAATACACTCTGATGTCATACATATACAGGACGCGGTCTCTCCTTAGCACCCGGCGTGCATGTCCCAGAGGTCATCCAAAAAGCGCTTGACAACCCACCCGCACGAAGGTCGGCCAGCAACCGTGAAAGCATGCAGAGGAGGCGATTGTGGTGGCTTCCATATGTTGTCCTCGAGTTCGACAACAATCAAGTTCTGGTAGATGCCATGGGCGGAGATCTAGCCAACCCTGTGTGGTCGTACCGGGCAGACTTGTGTGTGGTTTATGCGCGATAACTCGGGCATATCTGATCGTCTATGTCACTAGTGACGTGTCCCGCACATCAACAATATCAGTCTCATCATATCTTCGAACCGCCGCTGCGGTACACAGCCAAGAAGATATGGGCAACGACCTGCTCATGGCTCGTGTAGATCTTACTCCTGTACTTGACGGACATGTAGGTTCACTTGTTTGAGCTTGTGCTGTCCCCTGAATACCGCATTTTGCATTCAGCATGCTTCGGATCAATGGTACATTGCCACTGCTGGCACTGGCTCGTTTCACCTCAAAATCGACTACAGACCAATAAGGAACGAGTCTTTGACTATCGATGCATTCGATTTGTTGAAAGTGATTGGCAAAGGGAGCTTTGGTAAAGTGATGCAAGTGCGCAAAAAGGATACGCAGCGGATATATGCTCTCAAGACGATTCGAAAAGCCCATATCGCATCACGCCCCGGCGAAATCACGCATATATTGGCTGAGCGGACGGTCTTGGCACTGGTCAACAATCCATTTATCGTTCCACTTAAATTTTCATTCCAAAATCCTGACAAGTTATACCTCGTAATGTCATTCGGTGAGTATTTTATCTTTACTAAGTTGGTGACAATTTATGTCTGCCCAGTAAATGGCGGCGAACTCTTCTATCATCTGCAGAGGGAAGGTAAATTTGATCAAGATCGCAGCCGATTTTACGCCGCAGAACTTCTATGTGCACTTGAGCATCTGCACGGATTTAATGTAGTTTACCGGTGCGTTCTTAATGCGGGTAGCTGTGCCATTTTGCTGACGGTCCCATAGCGACCTGAAGCCTGAAAATATACTACTCGATTACACAGGTCATATCGCTCTTTGTGATTTTGGTAGGTACATTACAATCTAGGGGCTGATATGCTGATTGTCGTCCGGTTAGGTCTTTGTAAACTCAACATGTCAGAAACAGAGAAAACAAACAGTGAGAATGGCTTTGACTTTAATGGGACGATATAACCGGTCGCTATAGCGTTCTGTGGCACACCGGAGTACATTGCTCCAGAGCTACTCGAGAGTCAGGGGTACACCAAGACGGTTGACTGGTGGACGCTCGGTGTCCTGCTCTACGAAATGATGGTGCGTCCTTCGAAACATTTGCTTCTGACCATAACTTACTCAAACTCACAGACGGGACTACCCCCTTTCTATGACGAGAATGTCAACGTGATGTACCAACGCATCCTCAGTGACCCACTTCAATTTCCTTCCGATATGCCATCAGAGGCCAGGAGCGTCATGATCGGTCTCCTTCAGCGTGATCCTGCCCGACGTCTGGGAGCAAATGGTGGTGAAGAGATCAAGCGTCATCCTTTCTTCGCCAAATATGTTGACTGGAATAGGCACGTATCCTATTCTTCGACTATTGGTGCGTTACTCATGAATCAAGCTAGGCTCCTCCACAAAAAGATCCAACCACCGTTCAAGCCAAGTGTTGTGAGTAATCACGGTCGTTTTCCTCTTTGTTATACCGAGCAAAATATGCTTTTAGGAATCCGTGCTCGACGTGGCTAATTTCGACCCGGACTTCACTAACGAGGACCCTCAAGACTCCGTTGTCGAGGACTCTGCTCTTTCGTCTACCGTGCAAGAGCAGTTTAAGGGATTCACGTACAATCCAGCCAATGAGCACCTCAGCGAGAGCGTCAACTATGGACACGCAATGGGTTAAAGACGGGCAATGATCGTTTATTATTTGCAGTGCGCTGGCGTGCTCTCGAAAGGTTTCCGGATATTTTTTCGTTCCGGTCCGCTTTGTGTGTATTTATACATTCGCATGCACTCGTCGTTTTCGCCTTTGTGTGGTTTTATTGCACCTTTTCTTTCCGATCAGTGGTAGGCATGTCAACTTTCCTCTATGTAATGCAGGCTGTTCTGTCTCTCGTGCTCGTCTGGCTATGGAAGGGTTATGATAGTACAAGCGGTGGCCGGTGAGCTTCGGTCGTTGCTTTTTATTGGCACACTCGTGTCATTTCACTACAAAAGCAGACATTTGTACACTATATTTGCACTATCCTTCTCTTCATTTGCTCCTGAATATAAGCACAGCGTATCTCGACGGCTTTTGTTGCGAAACAATGCAGTATATAGTCGACCATGAGCAAAAGGATCAGTTCTGAGATCCAAAACTGTGCGAGAGAGCGTAAGACCTGGGCAGCCATTGAAAGTGGCTAGTCTCAAAGGAAACTGTTCGCGATTTACCGTCTATCACAGATAATGGCTGCTGCTTCTCGAATGAAGTCGGGGTGCGGTGAAAATAGTTGTATTCAGCATCATCAGTGACGGGTATTCTGGTGAGCTGTGCGCCCACAGTCATAAGCGGGTGCACAGAGGGCACTGCTGCCAACGATCAACATGATGTATCCGTGTGCTCGCAATACAGAGGATAATGCTTTCACCAAAAAAGTCTTTCCTCGTCCTGGTCGACCCTCCACGAAGAAAAGACTGCTCTCGTGACTTTGCATGGTAAATCTGTTCGAAAACACGTCGTCGCCCAGCACTAAGCCGACTATACATTTCTCCCTCTGTGTGAAATACAGCCTTATTCCTCCGCAAATATAGTTCCTCGTTGTATACTTCCAAAGGTCTCCGTCGTGCGGCTGGTAGTCCGTAATCTCCGAAATGTTTGCCACAGTGCGTTGTGCGATAGATCGTCGTCGATGGTTTGCAGCGTGTAGTCGCATCCACTGACGTTATTTCTCAGTCTGAGGATGTTTTGAAAAGCAAAAATGAGAAGGTGGGCCGTGGAAAGAGGATCAGAGCGTGCGTCAGCGCTGCAGTGTCGTGTTCTCGATGTTCTGTTTCATCAGATAATACCCGCATCATCTAACATTCCAACGACGAGCACGGATATCGGGCTCCGGCGGATGGGATTGAAAACCCTGCACCAAATTCTATAGGCGTCCAGACACTTGCCGGTAGCATTTTCGAGATGCTAGGGAGGCATCTGTAAACCTTGCAACTCTCTTCAAATCTCAGTTGGTCGATTCCATCAGTACATTTTCGCTTCAAGAGACCCCCGTCAAAAGCCACTGCCCGGGTATGTGACGACCGCGGTACACAGCACCGGTGAAGATCACCTTCCATCCCTCAAACTTGTTTGCGACTCCGTGTCATGTTATCTCCTGAAGACTTGTGGCTTTGCATCAAAACCCTCGGATAATTCGGTCGACAAGCTGACACAAACATTGCGCTTACTGCTGCAGAATGCCTTCTCTGGAGTGTGTCGAATTCGGTCCAAGCAAAGCGCAAGAATGCAGAGATGAAACCGGAATATAGCGCGCTGTGGATGTATCTGCCGCTGGAAGTGCTGGGTCTTTGTACTGACGCTGGACACGAAGTTCATGTGGATGCCATCCAGACCATGACAGACCTGGAATGAGGTCCTCCTTGAGAAAAGGTCAAAGATACACCTGGTAGATATGCTCAAGCGGATCTATAGCTACCATCTCCCTTGGTGTCTTTGACGAGCCGTTGAAATTCGTACTAGGTTGAAATACATTGGCCTAACCATCTATCAGTATCCCCTGATACGACACAATCCACGAATACCCACTGGTATTAGAGGAGCAATTCACGGTGGCAATAAAACCGGAGAAAGGTAGCGGCCAAGAGGCAAGGGGAGGACTGCCACACGATGTTGAATTCGCAATTGGATTGAAGGTCGTACACATAGTCTTAACAGGGACGACTCTTTTCTGAAATGGCCGGTTTGGGACAAGGTCGGGATGCGGCAGGCACCTCAAAGCGGAGTATGAAAGTTGCTGTATGCCATCACTGTTTCTCACGCCTGCAATAGCGCCAAGGACTTCCATGGATGTTGGGAGCTTTTTAAAAGTACACAATGTCCCAAAACGTGGATGTATTTGATGCATTAATGGACTGTTGATCTAACATCACAGTGTACCTTTGCCATCGGCTTGCCCGACTCGGAGTTTCTGTTCAGGTCGCTGTGACAGATTGATTGGCACGGCCACAGTCTACACAGTCAAGAACGATGCCAATTGCCGACGGACGCAGAGGGTAGGGCATCATGCATAAACATGCAGCATTCCGATAATGGCGAGATGTGGGCGGCAGCGGCAGGTGCGTTGACGGAATGATTGGCATGGCTGTTGGAAACATCGAGCGAGGTTTGAACTCCGCTCCTAAGGAGTGCCGTTGGCTGCCATCGTGTCCCAGACTTTGGCCCGTACTTTGGCCCAGACGTTGTCCTAGACTGGTCAAATCTCTGATCCTTCAAAGCTTCAAACTCCACCATAGACAGCCCCACGCATACCCCATATGAAGTTCCTCCATTCTACTTCCTCAGTTTCCAGGATGATACAGAATCAATACGTGGTTACAAGCCAGGCGGATATCACCCGGTACACTTAGGCGATACATTTCCTTCGCAGGATAACCCAAGGTACCGAGTTCTCCACAAGCTAGGATTGAGATCAATGTCAACAGTCTGGCTCGCCAAGGATGCTGTAGAAAAGTGAGCTCTAATGTACCCGTCTTGTAGCCTGTTGGTTTATTCGTGCTTGGGATGTCCTCACAGTCGCTGCGTGACGCTAAAAATAGTCATTGCCGATCTTTCAAGCAACAACGGAGATCTGCTATCTTACAATGGCTGAGCACTAGACCTCGTGACCATCCCGGTGCCAAACATATTGTTCAACTACACGGCTCCTTTAAGATACAGGATCCCAACGGAACGCATCAAGTGCTCGTGATGGACGTACTTGGATCTTTATACTCGCTTGTCCCCCAAGCCGTCTTTCATCAACAATGGGCGAGTGTATGCCGTCAGGCTGTGCTGGGATTAGCATACCTTCACCAGGAAGCAGTAGTGCATGGCGGTAAGCGGACGGCAGCGGCTCTTTTAGGTTTTCCAAGATTGTTGACTGTCGCGATGAGTACAGATCTACACTTCGGGAACATCGTTTTCAAGATACTCGGTATCGACCAATACACAGAGGTTGAAATGTATGAACTCATAGGGGAGCCAAAATTGATTCCTGTGATACCACACGATCACTCAGTACTAAGTGGTTCTCTTCCAAGGTACCTTGTGGCAGCGCCGGAGACCACGCACTATATGCCTGAAGAGTTCGCGGAGATCCTAAAAGACCAACTGACGGTGGAGATTATAGATTTTGGTAATGGTTTGTTACCCTTTCTAGGGTATCATAACGGACAACTAATCCGTGTGGATACTAGCATTTCGATTACAGGATGGGAGGCCTCTTAAGCATCCAGATATGCCGCGTATCATCTGCCCCCCTGAGTTGACGTTCTACAAGCTATCCGATGGTCAAGTCGAAGATGAGTGGGGCTTGCCCAGCGACGTTTGGTCGATGGCCTGCACGGTAAGGTCTCTTCCTTCTGATTGACGCAGAATGACAACATGTCTCCACCATAGATATGGGAGATAGCATTCTCAGACGTGATGCTCACATATGGCAGCGACAACGATAACATGCTTATCTACGAGACAATGAAACTCGTTGGCCCATTACCAGAGCGGTGGAAACCATACTGGAACTCGAAACCTTTCGAAGACTCTGATGATACAGTTACATCGTGGTTGTCGATTGCATCACTGACATGTATTTTTAGGCAACTTCACGGTTGATTCTGACGCAATATGGAAGAAAAGATGTCTTACTGAGAACGACGACGATACTGACAGTGCGGTCACTGTGCTGCGTGACATGTTATGCTGGGAACCAATGTCCCGTCCTACAGCGGCTGATTTGCTTCGACATCCTTGGTTCGCGGCCTAATCATCAAGCTGGGCTTACCTTTGCGAAACTTGTATCTCCAATCATCAATGGTCGTTGAGACATTACCACTTGGCTCGTTGATACAAGACCACCAACAATACGTTCTGATGTCTAATTTTTGTCGCTACGTTCATACAGTCAGATAATAACTATATTACTCGTAACGCCATGTAATAGATCGACTCGCAAAACATGGTTCTAAGAAGTGTCTTTGCAGGAATCTTGATTCTATGTAGACAATTTGAAATCTGTATCTGCATCCTGCATACAGGATGTGTTGAGGAGCATCCGACCTGTTCAAAACTAGCTTATCCATTAGTTGTACAAATTCGAGAACAAGTTGGGGATCAGAGTTTTGCACAAGGCATCAAACAAGCGAGCCCTTAACAAAATGTATACCAAGAGTCGACTCTTCATAACCCGAGGCCCGGAGTAAATACGCGTGACGAAGTGGGGGTACACCTGGCGGTGCCAGTGAATCTCAGACAAGGTTATTATTATGAAGTCTCAAAGTCCAATTCTGAATTTCTTATCTCTGTACACTTCGCAATTAATTGGTGATTGACGCCATTTTCTGCGGCCACACGCTCCATTTCAATAGCAATAGGTTTCAACCGCCTTTCTGCAACCATCCCGCGGTGCATCCAAAAGGATTTAAATAACGAATTACCATACGGAAAACATTAGGACATAGTGAGTGTGTATTGAGCATAGAAAAAGTACAGGGCATTGCCTCCAGGAAATACCAGGACCTAAACGAGTGTAAGAAGGCAGCTATTCAGGTGAGTTTGGTTCTGTAAATAGGTAGGTGGATGAAAATGAGAATGGGGTGATCCAAAAACAAGGTGACTTGCGTGGATGACCAAGGACAAAAGCAAGCGACAACATAAATGACAATGGTATTTCAGGGGATTGTGGAGGGAAGCGGTGTGACTTCGGTGACTGATGTGATAAGATAAAACGACTGGTCAAAAGGAAAGACAACAAGGAAGATGAAGGGGGAGTGGCCGAGGTCTTCCGGTTTCTGGATGTTGAACCTGCAAGCTGCGCACGTCAAGGCATCTGCATCAAGAATGCTAGTCAAGGTGTGATACAATGGAATGCCTCAGAAGATGCAGTGCATTGCCACAGCCTACGTGAACGTGGACGTTAACCTTCTTTCCTTCAAAACCATGAGACGTCACATTACCTTTGTTCGCCTGGTACCCGCAGAATACAGACCCCCTTCAGCTCCACAAGTTCAGTCGTCCGAGTCGATATTCTATCATTACACATCCACGTATATCAGAATGGGTTCCCCAACGCCCTCAATCTCGGGAATGACGCATTTGAGATCAAATGCCTTGGCGAGCACAATTTTGAAGATCTTTTGAACGTTTATCGACGCAGATGTCGAACAGAAGACCAGCGAAGCATGCATCGCACGAGCAAATCGTTTTGCCTAATCAACTTTGTTACAAGATTACATCATCTAAATGATGTAAAGACGTACCTGCTTGGTAATCTCCTCCTGTTCGTCTCTTGGGAACGTCGCGAACGTATCAAATTTCGTGCCAATGAGAAATGGTATAGCAGTCTGATAAGAGCAATAAGCAATGCTATTGAACAATATCCTACGAAATATGAAAAAACCTTGTTGAATCCTCGAGCCTGGCGGTACCACTCCTTCACCGAATTTAGCGTTGACTTTCGAGAAAGATCAAACATGAATAGAATCGCCACAGCATCGTTACAAACAAGCGGCAGCATGTTGACGAACTCTCGCTGGCCACCCAGATCCCATATTGAGAACGTGATGGTGGTACGCCGGACAGAAATCGTTTTCTCCATGAAGTTGACACCTGCGGCCCAATTCATTAGAATGGCGAAGCGTAATGCAAGAGATAATAGGTCCTCACCTAATGTCTGGATATAATCCTCATCAAAACTACCTTCTACATACTTAACCATGAGACTCGTCTTGCCAATCTGTGAATCTCCAACCATCCCGACTTTGATGACTACGCTATTCTTCTCTTCGTTGTTCTCCAGCATTGGATGCGGGTTCTGACCACTAGGGCCAGCGATTGAAGATGAAGACGCCGAACTCGTAGGTGGGGACATTGTTGATCAATGTAGAGTGGTATCCAGCAAGAGGGAATAATTTTGATACTGTGGTGACACAATACGAAACTGGAATCAATGGGTAACAGGGTATCAAGTTGGGAGACTGTGGATGAATCAAAGGAATCGGAAGAGCGATAGAAAAGAAAGACGTGTTCTGTCGTGCGTTGGTGAGATGTTCGATAAGCGCTCCGAGTGAGAATTGCAGCTTGCAGGCCCACGCTCAGTATTGTACACTGAGACGCGAGCGACTCAACTTTTGCGTATTAACGCCCGTCAACCGCCAACGCAGAGAACAGACTGAGAGAATGTGAAAGTTGAAGGAAGGATGTAACCCGTCGTAGAGTTAGGTAACGTGCTGTTTGGTTTGCAGACCTCGCTTGACAGACGCGGTTGTGTCAGACTCACAAGTCTGTTTTCGAACTCAACATACAACTTCAAATTTACACCTAAGAAGGATCGCGGGGTGGTTTGGCGTTTAGTCTTTCCTAGTCAGACCAATCGCAGGATGATAGTTATTTCTTCGTATCAAGGTCGGCACTCAACTTGTCTCACTATTTACAACTTGGACCGAAATTGAAGCAGATTATAAACCAGACCAAGCCAAGAATTGATGACTTGGATCTAACGTCCAGACGACCTCTCCGGAAAGCCATGGAGCAGTACAAGAATATTGCCAGGCTCTAGCAGAGTGCATACCATACGGTAGCCTACTAGGGTTGGTTCAATTTTTATACATTCATGGTGCGGTGACCCGGTCGTTACATGTACAGACAACGCTACTGATACAATTAAGATCTAGATGCGCTTCTGCTGAAGTTCCAACTTATACATCTAGCCTTACTGGCAGAGCACGTTCTTGACTTTCACTTCAAAGATGCTCACTTATGATGTTCCCGGCTGCTGTAAGACTCCAATCGGAAGCATTACTGGAGGTTGCTGTCACCGCCGAAAACGTTAAATCCTCTTTTTCACGACTGTCTCAAGAGCGAGGATGTTTGCATAAGTCGTTCCAGTTTTCACTCCTTAATTTAATTAATAAATGATAGGATTGATGCATTCCACGACGCCTTGGTAAAGATGAAAGCCAATGAAACTGATGCCGCTGCAGCGTATCAATCCCATGCTAATGTTGTGTCTCCGCGACGACATTCTATTCACAATCCCGGTCTCGTCGCAGCCACAGATAACCGCCCCAACCTTTCGAAAATGATGAGTGGAATAACCGTTCTCCTCGATATTGTATTTGGTGACAAATATTTGTCGCGTGACTCGCTCGCATCCAACGATCAACTACAGTCACGCCTCCCCGAGTTTTACCAAGTGAATTCGCATTAATCGGTGGGCAGTCGATGACTATCATCCCGCCTTGTCTATCAGATCTCTGGTAGATGGTTGTCATCGCATCATCCCAGCTGGCTTGGTGAACAGTGAACTTTATATATATATCTATGCCATGAGGATGACAAGAGCTACCACATACCCGTCGACGACCAGCTTGATATCCTTGGCATCATCGAATGGGAATAGTGAAATATTACTAGCAAATCTATCACATTTACTACACCTGTGATGTTATTGATACTCGCATTTGATGAAGGCGATAACCAGCTAAGTATTGCATTATGAAGATGAAGTTGCGCAGATAACCGAGTTGCTTGGGCAGGCAGATATGGCCACATCCACCGCCGAATTTCGTTGATCCTCAGCATGGGGGATCATCACTCGTGACGTGTGTAAGCCACACATGGAAAAACCTTTACCGGCTGCTTAGGAACGGAAGTTGCGGAGTGGGAGACACGGCATTTGAGTGCCGTGTGGATGTATCAAACCGAACATGCAGCATCCTACTGTTACGTCGAGCTGGTCATTTTGTAATATCGGATGGGCCAGCGGATGCCCCGCACCTCTCGCGCGCGAAATAGAACATTGGACACCGTGACGATCATCGAAGCCCCTTGAAGTACCCTGGTCTATCATAGGTTAAGTAACAATCATACGACCATTGGTATTGCCACGCGGACTTACGACGTACTAAGAATTTGCATTATGGACGGTCGTACCTGGCCAAAGTTACACAACTGAGTTTCCTCGTTCGAAACCCTTCTTCTAGAACTCAAGGCCCGAGATGAAGAGGTCTCGTAACTAAGTTTCAAATATAAAATGCAAAAAGGTGAGGCTTCTCTCATACCTGATTGCTCACTACTACACAACCCCGCTCTCAGTGACTCACCGTCTGTTAGTAAACCATGCCGATACTCACCAACGTCGATTAGCTAGCCCTATGTCTTGTTGGGGTTGGAATGTATCTAGTAAAGCAAGTGCTCAGCAAAAAGAACCCTGCACCATGTCCACCCGGCCCTCGGGATGGTCTCTTGTTGGGAACATCACTGACGTGCCTAATATCAAGCCCTGGCTCACCTTCGCCAAGTGGGGCAAAAAGTATGGTGAGTACTTCTTGTTTTTCCAAAGTCATTCATTTCAATCACTGCGTGCAGGTGACATATCGCATGTCGAGGTACTTGGTCAGTACGTCGTGGTGCTCAACTCTGTCGACATTGCAGCACAAATGCTAGAAAAAGAGTTCCGTGTACTCTGGCCGTCCTGTATTTCATATGGGTGGCGAACTTGTTGGCTGGAAGCACTCCCTGCCTCTTCTTCCATACGGTGACCGTTTACGCTGGTACCGAAAGACTTTCCACCACTCCATTGGCGATCGTGCCATCTTAGACAAATACTACCCGATCATACAGATGGAGACCCACATATTTCTGAGACGGGTGCTTGCGAAACCAGACAAACTGGAGGCTCTCATGTTCGACAGTATGGTTTATTTATTTTGATGTTGGCTTGATCTTCAATGTTCATAGCACTGCTGGCGCGATCATTCTGCGCATCTCTCATGGATATGAAGTGAAAGAAAATGACCCCCTTGTTGACCTTGCAGACTGTCCAGTGACATTCGATAAGTAGACGTGATTCGGCGCGGAGGCCCCTTGGTTGTAGTATGTGGGTAGGTTGCTATGGTCTGTTTGACTACTAACTTCAAGTTTGCTTGTTGTTCTCGTCGTCTTCAGTAAGTTATGGCGGCAGACAATGATATACACCGCATTGGAGCAGTGTATCTGCGACTGTGTGCCTGCGTGTCGCGAGCAAGGCTGCCAAGGCAAGAAGTAGTGAAGAGTACCACGCTAGCCTTACGACAACTTGAAAGATACTGAGTGGCTGACTACTAAGCTACGATGCTACTCCGTCCCTCGCCTAGGGGTCACCCACTCCAATGTATCGAAGAACTTGCCTCTGGCATCAGTTCTGAGCGATTCTGAATTCCATGACCATTGTCTCTACAAGATCATAAACTTGGGTGAGTACTAAGCCAACAGAGGCCCTGTCAATCATTCATCATCAGCTACTGCCAACATATCAAGATATGCTAGAATGAACTTGCCCAAGGATCTTCAGCTCGTCCAAGGTTCGTTCCTTGGAATTTAGAACAAGCCACATCGTCATGTCCATTTGGTACGATCTGTGAATGCCTGCCCCAAAGTTCGGTAACATAGGTTCAGGGGCCTTGGGATCATGATTTCAGAAATACACCAGGCTGCACGTTGAAACTCACGATACTTAACCCGTCAGTTCCAATGTCAGGTTCCCCCAATGTGTGCAAGAGCACGCGGTCGTCTAACACACAAGGTATTAACTTTGCAGAAAATGCCCCATTGAACTGCAGTTGACTTACGAATTAAAACTCGGCTGTTTGGTCCCATGACCTTGCGAATGTTACGAAGGATCGTTGTTGCATCGCGGTCCTGCCAGTTGTGGATAATATTCCTTAACTATATAATAAGATGCTCGAGTTACTGGGGATGCGAGGAGGAAAAAGAGACTCTTACATAATAAACATCCTTCCCAACAACAGGCACGTCCTCGAAAAAATTAATTGGCACGAACTCCACGCGCCCGTCTAGCAGTGCCTCGGGAGCATTCACCTTCCATGCCTGATCGAATACGAATAAGGTACCCGCTGAGATGATTATGGGTACTGGGTGTTTGAACTCACATTTTGTGCCTCCAGAAGAACCTCCGGGAGATCCTGATTAGTTATTCTGAGATGAGGGAACATTTTTGCCAGAGGTGTGGAAAATGTCCCAATGCCAGATCCAATATCCACCACAGATGAAATATTATCCCAAGGATAATCTAACAACCTACATCAGTCACACCAACGTTTCATAAATAGCAATGACTTGCGATGCAGAACTGCAGAAGCACCCATCATCTCATTTTGGCCAAGCATGCCCCTGTGAAATGCCTATACACGTGATTCTGTGAACTGGCAGTCGTCGATGAAGCACTCTGCACGCACCTCTCGTTTTTCATCCTATAAAATGTGTCAAGTAAACGAAGGGCAATGTGACGACGAAAGCTCACGTCATCATTGATCATTTCCCAGTAGTTCCCCTTCATACCCTCCTTCCTGAAGGCCAATACTCGGGGTGCTTTGTCGAGCTCATGTGAATGAGAAAATTCTTCGTCAATCATACTCTCGTAGAGAACTCCGGCGTATTTCGCGACGTCCTGAGAATGAAGGCCTGCAAAACATCCAGTGTTGTTTGTCGACTTGAGTATGAGGGATAGCCGAGTGTTTACGAAGACGTCTTGTTCCACTGTTTAACACATTACAGACTTCAGAGAAAGTCGTCAATTGGCATACACAATACCTTCTTTAAAGCAACCCATGAGGCATAAAGCTCGTAAGACACGCGCAGTCTTGCTCCTGTCGAGGTTGACTGCTTCAGCCAGTCTGTCCACGCTAAGACCTTCTGGATGTTTGTCTAAAACATCTGCAATACGCGCTCGCAGGGCAACATCGATGCAAGCCCAATTGTAATTCAAAACAAACTTAGGAGATGAGCAACGGGGGAGAGAACATTTGCAAGAGGCACTCACGTTCATCACTGTGTGTTGGGGGGGAGCCAGTATTGCGCTCAATTGGTGGTAAGCACCTTCGAGTAGCCTAATTGCCTTTCTGAGAGCAACTGTATCCATCGCCGAGTCGAGAGGATGGAAGGTGGTTGCGTTGGCACTAGGGACTCCATGTCCTGTGTTCCTGTATTCTGCGATTGCTTGGTGTGCAGAGGAATTGATGATGCTTAAGAGAGCTTCAAGTTTGGCCTCCGGTTCATTCAAGTCCGTCATCTTTGGGGAATAATATGATGAAGAAAAACGGTGCTCCCATCAGTGGTTTTATATCATGCCTAGTAATAGACAAAGATAAGTGCCGTGATAAATGAGTAAATGCACGATACACAGTGGTGACGCACCAAACTCAAGTACTGTACACATGTGTTGGCTTTTCAGCCGAGTCGTTGGCCCACATCTCTGCCACATCTACTGAGATAGGCCCTCAGGGAGAACTCTCAGTGAGAATATTCAGCGCCGATTCCCATGAAGAAGTTCCGCCCTAATAGCGGGAGTCAAACATCAGAATCGTTGAAGCGGTAGAAGCATTGAAGCGGCTCCGCTTCAACGATTCGTGGTTCGCTGGTGCAATGCAGAGAATGTCCGGAGAATGGCCACTCTGGGACTGGTTTGCGTAGACTCTAGGGCCAGTCTGTGGCTTGAGTGCTGCTCAATTATAAAATTACATTGTCAATGCCAATTGAGTACCGTACGTGAACTCGGTTGCCACTTCCTACCCAAGGTACGCGCAGACTGCCGATGCTGCAGTGCTGCTCAATTCTAAAATGTCAATGTCAATGTCAATCGAGCATCATGTGGTTGCCGTCGCTTACCCATGGTACGCGCAGATTTCTGATGCTGCAGCGCTGAAGCGTTGTTAATTCTTAAACGACATTGTCAATGTCGATTGAACATCGTACGTGAACTTGATTGCCTTCGCTTATCCAAGATACGCACAGATTGCTGCTCAATTCTAAAACATCGTTATCAGTGACATTTCCCAGTAAGAATTAGTCGGACGTCCTCGGACGGAGAACGACGAAAATCGATGAAGCGTAAAAAGTTGGATGTCCATTAATAAGTGTCGACAAACGGTGTGTTCCGTCGATACTCAGGTGACAAGTAGCAACACTGATTGACGCCAGCCTATGAAACATCGAGTAGTAAGATTTCCGCTAAGCTTGAATATCATTTGGTGAACACAGTAAATATGAGCAAGCATTACTCACCACACAAGGACCCATTGCCGATGGGTGAAAATTCTCGAACCCATATTGTCCCAGGTGCTAGTATACCTGAGACCATCACCGGAACTCGGAAAATTAGGAGGCGTAGAAGATACCGAGGAGACAAACGTCACAATGCTCAAAGCGCTCAACAAGCGTTCTCGGACTGAGTATGGGAGGATTCCATGGAGAGTTGTAGAAGCTTGGAGGAGATGGGTCCAAAGGGAGTTTCCAAGGACCTGAAATACTTCCATCTTTGCTAGTCACTTCTAAACTTGCGAAGTGAATCATCAGTGAACCGGTGAGTTCTTGCTGGCCATTATGCTGATTGCGGTGCATTTACATGGTCATATATTGCTTTATATTCCAATGTGACGAAATCCTTTCCTATATATTACGATATATAACGATATATGACAATATCTTCTTCTCACCAGTTCTCTGATGATGAACAACGACTAGGTTTCTTCCGAACGTTGGTTTCGCAATTCCTTTCAAGTTCCTACTGATAGGAAAGCTAGAGGGCAATACACATGAGAGTAAGGGTAAGCACACAAGAAGCGGACGACTCTTTTAGAAGGCACCACCAGGAAAATTATCTATTTGCGTGGCCCTACAGTGTTTGGAGATCCATTGTATGTGAAAGGTGCAAAGGCGCAAGTTGGGGGCTGCATTATGTAATGAGGGTGTACGCTATTTTTAGCTGCATCTATCACGGTGCAACCACGAGCAAGATCGACAATATTGTAAATGACTAACAATGTAAATGTCTAGAGGCCTGAGGGGGAAGTAGGGCGAGACGATGGCTATATACATGGTTTGTATTCCTATGATTCAACTCCACAGCGCATGCTGCCGTCGCCGAGCACGAGCAGGCCTATAGTAATCAGGGTATGGTTGTTCATGCATGATGGGGCGCTGTTCTGCAGGACAAAACCAGGCTCCTACAGGAAATAGTGTGCCCCAGGAATTGCCAAACCCTCTCATGCGCGCGGGGCATGCCGTGCTCACCCGAGACGCAGGAACCGCCGTCGAGAGGTGCGTTTGGTATCAGCATTGACGTTGTCGTGAATCAGTGCACGTCCAGCTCTGTCAAGTGTCAGCAGTAGATAGTTCACTTTTATTAAGTCTCGCTGTTGCACCTGGACAACATGCATTCCACAATATTACACGCTATATTACATGACATGTGCAATGGGTTCAGTAAATACCAGGAATGAGACGGTACTTGACTACCTTAGCCCAGTTCTCCCACTCTACTCTGGAAATTGACTTTACCGTTTCATCCTCGTGCCTGATCCTAAGTACGAGGCATGCTACGACAATCATTCTCCCCATCAGTACTACCACTGCAATCGCTTTCAATGCAGGGATGTTTAAAACCCCTGAGCGTCTAACCAACGAAGACAGCGATCCGTGCAATATAAACTGGCCGATGGATAGCAGGGCAGCTCCTGCGTAGGATGGATGGCGGACGACCCCGTATGGTCCACTCGTGACAAGCTGGTGCCCTTTGCGGACACTGAGCTTGAATGTGAAAAAACGACCAAGAGTGCGAAAACACCACCAACGGATGAATCCTCCAATGACAATGAGTGTGGTGCCGAAAAGGAAAGGGAAAGTGATGGAAATGTCTTGAATCGCTCGAAGTGACCCGATTACAGTTTGTAATCCGTTGGGAAAAATGTTGGGATCTATAAAGTGTGAGGTAGTGATAGCGAGCTCTGTGAAAGCAATAGCCCAGGAAATTGCCTGATAATTTCGTTAGAAATGATTGCGGAAAACCAATGATCAGCTACTTTTGTAATTGGCAGCCCGTAGTTGGCATCCTGAAGGAGAATCCACTCAATGAAGTTCTCATGGACAACATCGCCACTGGTGGGGGTGTGGGGAGGTGTGAACGCTACGTGCATCGCAATAGGGGGCGAGAGAATGAGTGGTATTTTGAGAAGGGACTCCATCTTCCTGAAGAATGCTCGACCTTCGCAAACGCTTTTTATGAACGCCACATCAGATATTGGAGCTCAGATAATCAATCCCTGCGCAATGACGGATAGAAGGTGTGAACTGGGAATTTTTAGAGACTCCAGAATGTGAGGTCCTGAAAATGTGTATCCACGGTTCAGATTGGTAGTAAGATTGAGAAACTCTTACCGGTCAGAGAATCTGAGGTGTCGGCATGCGTGCAGTAATCCCATCCGATCACTAGCACATTGATCGCTTGCAGATATAAGGAAGATAGACAGCTAAAAATGGGGGCGATAATCGCACCCGTTGTAATCTCCTTGCAGGGGCGGGGGGCTACCGCTGGGTTGGGTGCGTCGTAATCCTCACACTTTGAGTCGAGTACGCCAGTCAAGTTACTTTGTCCAAAGCAACTAAGATATTATTATCAGTATACCAGCCGACAAACAGCCAAGAACCAGGTGAAAGTGAAGGGCGAACATACGAAGCATCCATGATGACGATACCAAGCAGAAGTGCACGCCCCCAGGCTGTTCTTTGTCAGAATACATGCAGATATTGAGACGATAGACAGCTGAAAATGAGGGCGATAATCGCACCCGTTGTAATCTCCGACAAACAGCCAAGAACCGGGTGAAACTTGAAGTGATGTTCTTTGTCAAAATATTTGCAGACTCGGATGCAGGGCCATCGCACGTTAACATAACGGAATAGATGATAATCCACCGTGCCGTGAGGGCGAATATGTCGCATGTATGTATGTAGATATTGTTGAATCACTGCATGACGACAGAATTCAATGGAAAAACTATTAATGTCCATCATGATCAACATGTGTCGGAAAAAGGTAAAGGACCATAATGCCGCCGGCTTACAATGCTGGTCACCTGACTTTCAAGGCGCCTTAGGCACTCGGTGGTCGTTTCAAGCGTGCGCGTGAGAGCTGCATCGTGGTACAGCACTTATCATACAGTCATTTCTTCAAAGAGTCAAGCTCAAGGATTAGAGCCAGGTCAGTCTTCAAGGGATGACCAGTTTCAAACTGTCACTTGCTCTGAGATTGTCTCGGCGGACACCGCATCAATACCTAGAGTTACAGGTGTTCCATCGTACCATCGTACGCCTTTTTCTGTAGCTTATGATGAGCAATTGGATTTCGTTGCCTTTGACAAGGTCCGTCAATACCTAGGTCTGAGCGAGCGATACAGAAAAAAATATCATACTGCCAGCAGATGTTTGAAAGTCCCTTCCAATAAGTCTTACCACAGGATGTGCGCGATACATAAATATGGCTCTCATCAGGTCTTAAACACTACAATGAGGATGAGGAGTATTAGTATAAGAAGAGCAATCGTGACCGTAGAGCCTAAACGCAATAAATGAGTAAATTGAACGTTCGCAGGTCATTAATGATAGGGAGTTACCATTTCGTTTCGCGCCCTGAGCAACACGTTCAAGTTTGCGCCTCGCACTGGACATGCGGGCACCGGTACCATCGAGCTCAGTGTCTAGGGCATCAAGAAGTCCCGTATGTGCCTCGAGCTCGTCGCCTATCTGGAGCGAAATGTGATGTTGTCGACCAATTGAAGAAGAAAGGTGGTCAAGGTGGACATCCTGTGCTAGTGAATCGGGTGTTAGAAATCATGAGTTAGGTTTTGGCGGTGAGCTTAAGCCTTACCATCCATCATCTGCCTCTGTTGCATCAAAATCCCATTCTCATCTGGATCCGGTGAGGGTTCGTCAGTATATGGTTCGTAGGTTGTCTCAGGACTCGGAACACGTTTAGCTAGAGGTGGGGGTGACGGTGGCATCGGAGGGGGTATACTGGCATGAGATTTGAGAACACGTTTGCGATCACGGAAGGCACAACATACGTATGCAGTCCAGCCTTCTCTGCTGCTTCTTCCCCAAACATACCGCGCAGCCGTTCGTAGTGTGCTCTAAGACTTTCCGCAGCTTCATCGTCGGAAGTGTTGCGGAGGGCTATGACACCATCCCTAATCTTATGCAAGTTGGTTGATATTATTTGCAGATGTAGAGTGGGATGGGAGGCCTGGAGACGCTGCCGTTCGAGCAGGAGAGAAAGTGTTGAGGTAGCAAGAGATGTCAGCTTCGCAGCGGACATGGTTTGTGGATAGAGGTGGGACTCCGGGGCCCCTCGAGCAGAGTGGATGAACGGGTGTTGAGAAGGAAGAGAAACTTTGAAGGAGCTTTCTTAGAGTCTGAGAGCTGTCGATATTAAAGCTTCGCAGCCCTGAAGCAGTTGGGCAACCCTTGGGGCCCACACCCCGAGTCACATGACATATCACGTGAAAGATAAACGCGTCCTGAAGCGATGCCAGCAACTAAGCATCTCACCTTCATAAATACACACTAGCAATGTGAAAGCTACCAGAGGCTTTGATGAAGCCCTGATATTTGCAGCAAGCATGAGATACACATGTAGAATTATTTTACCAGCGAATTAAATAGTATCTTATCTTATCTTATCTTATCGGTACACATTTAGCGCACATCAGGTGACCATACTGGACTTGAAGTTACCAACCCTTCAAGTTACTTGCAATCATCATGTCAGATCAGTCCCTGCCTTCCGGTGCTCTGGAGGCATTACAACGCCCTTCGAACGCTGGAGACCGCTCCACAATTCGCAAACTATCTGATTTCGATCAAGGCGTACTTGCGGTTTCTGCATCGCACGATGAGGATCTGGGAGAATTGACACACAAATTTGACCTTCTTTGTCCCCGTAACGGATGCGGTAGCGTAATCTTGAAAGCGGGCGTCGGCCGATGGGTAGAGCGTGATAGTGTCGAGGTCTGGCTCGTTTCTGATTAATCTATGCCATCGACGTCACTCAGCGATGTTGTTAGCTCGATATTTCAAAGGAGCCTCTTCACCCAGACCTGCCAACACTGCCAGCTCCACCTGCGACTACGCACTGGTGGTTGGTGACTCCAAATATAATAGAATTTGAGAACATTGGTTTTACAAGGCCTGTCCAGAAAGACGGTCAGTATAACGCTGAGTTTTGTTCCTATCCACCTGCCCTGATAATGCAACGCCAGCAGTTGCAGCACAAAAGCTCAAGTTCCTGATATGCGCAGAGTGCGACCTTGGCCCATTGGGGTGGTGCGAAGAAGGGGGTAATGAATTCTGGCTAGCTTGTTCGCGGGTGGGATATCGCTGAGACACCTTCTGTCACGTTAATTGGGAACCATGTGTGTTTACAGACCGATATTGAACAAGTCACGAAACCGGATAAGAAATAACAACTGCATGTGTAGCAACGAACTGGGATCTGCCAGTGCTGAACTTCGAGGTGGCACCTCAGAAGGCTTGACTCTTACTATGTTCAAATCCGTCTTCTCAGAATGGACTCGGATTGCTCAAGAGACCCTAATGAAATGAGCTTAGGCATGAAAGATCCTGACGTGTCTATTGAATTTCGCAGAGTCTTGACGCATATCACATTGATGGATGCTTGAAGTTCAAAGCTGAACTCACCCAGTCTGTTCTCGTCATCTCAAAACTTAGGCGCTCACTTTATATCCTCTGTTGCAATAGCGCCCGCGTTATATCATGGTTGTTTGATCATGCCCAAGTACGCACTCGGTTGGAGAGGCAGGGGCAAGTGCACCAGCGTTTGGATGATGGCCCTGTGCTCGACACTCACAATATCTTCGTGTTTCCAGCCAAGTCTTCATCACCCATGGCCCTCTGTATCATACCACGAACAGTCGTAGAGGATAAGTCCTCGTCAGTGAACTGGCTCTAACGAGATATGTCCAAATGAACAGTGTAGATGACAAGCAGACATTACTCCCAAAGCATCTTGAACTTGTATAGGCCCGATGTACCAGAACCTGCGACACTGGATGAGTTCTTAATACATCTTGCTACACCTGCCAGTGATGGCTTCGAGATACATTGCTCATTCTACTCCCATGATACCCCACAGTACCTTTCCAACAACCGCAATTCCATCATTTTCATTGCCCGCATGACTCCGGCCATCATCGACAACTTCAGTACGGGCCGAGAGTTCTCGCCGTGCGCTGAGGAACATACGCGTTATGGACTCTGTGGATTCAGGACTGGTGAGAATATGAATATCAGTCAGGCGGAAGTTCAAGGGCGGTGCATCCCCCGAGGATTCGGACTGGGAAAAGCGGACCATCCCATGATTTAATGAATGATCAGACGAAACGATGATATGGAATGATGACGGCTCGGTGGGAACGTGGTCCCGATTCATCAAATGAAGGTTCTTCGTGAGAACATGAGCACAATAGCAACGGAAACTGAGGAACTCCAACCAAAACACCAGATTCGACCCCGTATACTTTCTTTCCAAGCTCATTTAGTCGTAACCTTGTTGCGGAAACTTCACGCGTGTTGCGAACACATGTCCCGCCCATGGCAGGCCCGACAACCTGATGTCCGAAGCATACACCTGTTGAAGCTGATTTCAATGCTTGAAGCGTATTAGGAGATATATTCACTGACCGAAAATTTTATCCGCGGTTTCCCTGTGGCGACATACCTCACGTACTCGATCGGTTTTGTGATCCATTCATTGCCTGGCTGGTCATATTTCGTAGGCGGTAGCAGCTGCGCATAGGACGGGCAGAATTCATACGCACACACATCCAAGTATTGAGTCCGAACAGGTAGCATGATATGTGATCTCTGCTGGTGTCACGTATGTTTGATGAGTTCAAGAACATTTCGCGGGCTCGATACATGACATCTTATCTTAAGGTCGCTTGCGAGTCTGCGTCGGTGTGCAATTGAGCCTACGGAGTCCTTTTAGAATGCACACCAAACCAGCTGAACGAGTGTGATTTATTTGCTGGAGTGATTTATCTAGCCAGGTCCAAAATCCTGTGTAGTCGCCATGCTTTCCCGGATTACATCCACAGGTACATCGCATATGAGAAGTGCGATACGGCAATGCGGACTCGGCTCACACATCGCGGGAGGCAAGCTATCAGCCGATAAGATCGCTGGCTCCTACTTTAGCAGGAAGGTAAACTCACCGGACAAGTTCTCTTGGCGAAACCATGTACACCTGCAGCCCGAACTAAGGCGAGCCACCGATATATTGTCATTCTACTCTGCTGTGTCACGTATGTTGATAGTTCAGACATTTCGCGGGCTCGATACATGACATCTATCTTTAAGAGACAAGTTCTCTTAGGAGAACAATGTTACACCTGAAGGCCCCGAAATAAGGTCAATACAAATTTGTCATTCTACCCCACAACACCCCATATGGCCTTTCAATGACCGCAACTCCATCGTTCTGATTGCCTGCACGACTCTCACCGTCATGGACAAGTTCAGGGCCCAGAAGCTCTCGCCGTAAACGGAGAAGTAGATGCATTATGGACTCCGTGAATTCGGGGTGGCCTTGACTGGTGAGGATATGAATATCAGTCAGGCGGAAATTCGAGTGCGGTGCGTCTTTCGGGAACTCTGATTGGGAAAAGAGAACCATCCCGTGATTCGGCGATTGGCTAGACGAAGCAAGAACATGGAATGATGGCGGCTCGGTGGGAACATGGTCGCGATTCATTAAATGAATGTTCTCAAGAAATAATGAGTATGATAGAAATGGAAGATAAAGATTTCTAACCAGTACGCCAGATTCGACGCCGTACACTCTCTTTCCGAGTTCAGTCAATTGAAGCTTTGTCGCAGAAACTTCGAAACGAGTGTTGCGAACACATGTCCCGCCCATGGCAAGCGCGACAATCTGATGTCCGAAGCATATGCCTGTTAAACGAGTATCAGTACTTGTAGACCTCGTACGAGATGTATTCATCGACCAAAAATCTTTATCCGCGGTTTCTCTGTCGCGACAACTCTCACGTACTCGATCAACTTTTTCATCCATTCTCTACCTAGCTGTTCATATTCGTGGGCGGTAGATACTGCACATGACAGGAACAAGGTTCATACTCATGGCATACACATGGGTATGCTTCCACGCACCAGAGCCCGTGATTAGCATTGCATCGTATTCATCCTCTTTAGGGTAAACCTGCGCGCGCACGTCGAAAGGCTCAAGTGTGAACGTCGTTTGTGAGTCTGGGTCAGTGATGTGAAATCGAGCCTCGCAGCGGATTCATAAATAAATGTACAACGAACCAGCTGAACGAGTCTCATTAATAGGCTTCAATGATTCTTCTAGCAAGGTTCCGAAAATCCTTGTGTAGTCCCCATGCTGTTCCCGAATCGAATCCGCGGGTACATCGCATATGAGCAGTGCAATGCGGCGATGTGTTCCAGGGCCATACATCGCAAAAATCAAAGGGACACACTAGGTGCAGTCAACTGATAAGAAAAGTACTGGACTGTTTACTGGTTGCAATGTTACATTGTTGTGAATCTTGTGATTACTGATATAGATATACAGCCCGTTGGGATGGCCGGGGTTCGATTACCCGGATTCCGATGGTAAAACGAACACTGCCACTGACAACGCATTGACATTGAAGCTTTCACTTCAATCCGTTTCAAAGTTCTCGCAGCATCATCATCCGTGGTCTCTTTCAATGAGCGAAGTCGTGAATGCTATCGTTGCTTTTGCAGTCATTGTCATCATCTTCCGATGGGCGACTTCATGTAAGTGACAAGCCATCGATTCTACTAATATCTATGCTTCTAACAAGTTTCTACGGCAGCCAGCGACTCTTCCAGTAGGAGGTCAGCATCTTCAGCTCTTGGTTTCAGGCCAAAGAATGTGACGCAGGACATGGTTGGGCTGGAATCTTTTATGCCGAGTCATTATGCTGAATCCCTCGCAGGTCAACCAGATACATTCCATGTTTCCAACTATACCACAGTATGTTCGTGCTTAACCGCATTATTTTTTACTCACAATTTTCACAGAGATAACATACGTTATGACTTGCTGAGGACAGGGAGTGTCGAGATCACTTCGAATAAAATACTGGAGCGTGGATATCTTGATGTGGTGAGTAAATATCTCACTAACGTCAATCCCATGCATTCGAGCATTCTCTTTATAGCCACCGCCAGCATATTTCACTGTTTATCCTCGCACAGAAGTTTCCCCACAACTCCGGCAAGTTGCTCCTCAAGGGCAAACAACAGGTTTAGCACCAACCCCGAAAGACAACCTTATATCTCGTTACAAGCTACAAGACCGAGTAGCATCTTCCACTTTCTCACCTGAAGATGATCTTGCCTTCGGCAAAGCCAACTGGGAAGATACGTCGGAGAAGCGCGAGGCTAGTTTGCAGGAAAGGAAAGCACAGATGATTTTGGCCGCCAGACAGTGCGTCTCTATCCTTGAGTCAATGCTCTTGATAATTAAATATTCTCAGGCGACTGTTGGCACAACAAACTCAGAAGGAAGGGACGGGCGTAGCACCAGGTTCTTCGTCACACTAAACATCTCATGTCCTCGCAGCAATGACTTAGATGCCCTGACTCCTTGCATGATAAGCGTTACCAACCCCTGCTCTGTACTTATTGTTGCTGTTTTGCTCATACATCTCATGTCTTATCACATCCTGGACCGACTGTCATCATTTGCAATTCTTTTCTCTGCAGGATCCGACAGCAATGTGATGTAATACCTGTTCATTCCTGTCCATTGTGTCCCATGAAGCTATCCCCAGCATGATCAGCAGGAATGCTGGGCTTTCGAACTCAGTGATTTGAGGCTGCCACTGCTGGTGAGTAACAGTGCCTCACTTATTTGATTAACTCACGAAAGCCATATCTAGCTGCTCACGACTGCATGATGTGGTATGACAACCATGTTCATCTCATAACCTAGCCGATGACTGACGACATTATTGCCCTGGCGGTCTAATAAAACTGAATATATTAAATCGTACCCTGGGATTAACATCGATACTGTCCTACGTTGACCGGTGATGACCGATGAGCAACTGAGTAGCCTGAGCTCACACCACGCAAAGTTCTGACAGATTCTCGGGATGCGGCCGCCACTTTCAACTCAGACACAGTACGCACCTGATTGCGAGGTGTGGGTATACACCGGGTCATCACATGTGTACGGCTCGCAATCAGATCCGTACACTGGCCACCTACGCTCAGCTTGTAGTCAAATAAAGGTACCCGAGTGAAGGAAAGCAATTAGAGGGAGCACTAGGATATTTTCTGTTCTCGCACCATCGATCACTAGCGACCGGAAGACATTTTAGTGATACTACTGGGGCACAAATAATTATTTTCACAGGAAAATGAACCTGCTTCATCTGAATCGACGCAAGGCTCGCATACTTACATCGTCAGAGGGCGAGCGAGCTCGAGTACTTGAAGGTAGCAGAACATTAATAAACAAACGGCGCGGCGCAGGTCTCCCCTAGCCAGATCATGTAGAAGGAAGACAGTCGTTTCTTCTTGATTAGAAGCAGAGAGCGCTCGATGTCAGCGCTCAGCGGGAGCGGATAATGATCGATTGAAAAAAATACTTTTAGTCCATCAGTAAATCCTGAAGCCCTGGCCGTTGGAAAGAAGGTGTCAAGAAGTCTCGTGTCTATCTAGTGTGTCTTGTTGCGCGGGGTCAAACGTATGCGCTGTTGGGCAATTCGAACATTTTGAGCATCTTTCAATCATTGGAGCCATCATGGCCCGTCTGAGTAGTGAACCAACGAGCCGGGCTTCCGCGGCTTGTTCCTGCTGTCTCGTTCGAAAGCCTATGAATCGTGCACTAATCTCGCATCGCTCCGAATCTGTCGATGTCGGCGTCGGCGTCGTAGACGGCGAAAAGGTGTCTGGTTTCGGTGAGAGGATTTCTATACTTCTATATCACAACAAATAAAGGAAACTGTTAAGACGCAGTGCCCTGGGGGCTGTCCTGGGGTTGTTGTACGAGGTAAGAAAGATAAGTATAGTACTATATACGAATAACTGAAGGATTGAGTGAATCCTGCAAATAGTGACAAACATCACCATCGGCAAGCAAACTGGCCCGATGGACTTCCTGACAACCTTAGACTTCCATTTGAGTACTGATCATCGATCTGCAGGCTTCCATTGCAGAGCAGTCTCCATGCTCAGTGCTCAGCGCTGCAGCCACAGTGTTGATACCTGTGCAAATATGAGGCATTTACTATCAACGAATTCTTCCTCGATGCTACCCTCAAAATTTTGAAACACGCACGTTGTTGCTCGCCTCGCATTCAGGATCGTCATGACCTGAGAAACTATTAGCGTTAAGTTTTGACTCAGTCACTGGGAATGTCAGAGGCATGCACAATGTACGTAACGCCTACATCATTATGAGGCCAGTTGCGAAATGTTACATGACTATGAGATGCCACGACTAACGTGAGTTGCAATCATGACTTTTTCACGACACTGTCCGCGTTAAAGACGCAAACCGATTTAGTGACTTGGGCTGTCGGGCGCAATAGAATGCTTAGTCGTAACTCGCGCAGTCCTAGATCAAGTCAACGCTCATCTGCCACGCCTACAGACCTCGGGTTGATTATGTTCAGTGATCCCCGTTCGCACGATGCGAACAACCGGGAAAGCAATTGACTTTCAACAGGTAGCTTAAGAGATCGATATCAAGAAAGAATACCGGTGCCGGTCGTTCTTGACACGTGATATCCTCGTGCTTGGAACAATACGGCATCGCGATTCGCATTTGAGACCAGCGTGAGGGGGGCATTGCTTCATAGCGACAGGGGTTATCAGGTCGGTTCTTATTGCCTTAGACATGAGGTGAAAGCGCCAGGATCGTTTCCGCTCCGCATGTGATCCAGTCGTTGGATATTTCCGCTGGGACGCATGGGCAATCCGACATACCAGCTGCTCGAATACCTACCAGGCTGTTGTTGTGTTGACCTGATTAAGCTTTTAGAGTTCAGGGTAGTTTCTATAAGAAGCTGGGATACCTCAAGCACAATCACCGTGCGATTTCCGGACTTGCTTAGCAGCAGCTTGCTGTGTGCGATGATAGTGCGGATATCGAACAATCAATGTGCACTGAGTGCACGGCGCTGCAGGTACGAGGAGATAATAATAAAAGAGGGGAGTATTTATTTATAGAATATCGTAATCGGAGACTGAAAATGTGAAATTGTTTATGGCGGATTAGTTTGTATTCGTATTCTGTGTTCGTTCGTTGTCGTTATGGATGATGGTGAGCGAGAGCACGTACAGAACTGGTTGCTCGCTGAGGACAACGCGCGCATCGTTCTACTCACTGTCTCTTCTTTCGCCCTCGCTGTTGCATCCATCCTCCTCTGGCGGGCAAAGCACGCGGAGAACAATCCCGGGAACGACCACGAACCTGATTCACAGCGAGCTCGTTCTGCTCAATCCATCATCACCGCCGCTCTCTCCACCTTTCATATCGCAAGTAACACTCCTGGTGAGTGTGATATGACCGAACCGGAACAACCGAACACTCCTGAAGCATCATCTACATCTGTCGACATGGAGCAGAAAGCTTCTCGGTCCAAGGAGCGACGTAGAAGAGGAAAAATTCCGTATAAGGAACTTTTCAAGGGCGGGAAGAAGGCAAAGTCTACACCCAAGACCACACAGCCTAAAACACCCGTTCACCGAGACAACAGCGGTAGCGAATCTCCAATGTTCGAGTCAGAGTTCAAGTTAACCACAAATAACGATAATATCGCGCCAGTCGCGCCATCTACTTCTCGTTTATCTTCACCTACTCCAGACCCTCCTGAAGAGAATCTGGTATCCCATCCGAGTGTAGAATCACCACCAGCAGTTGAACCCCACGAGGACCGCCTGCTACCTGCTTGCGTGTCGGCATCCAGTTCTGAGCCAGCATCCATTTCGCGTCACGTCACGTCCAATAAACCCGCCATGCGTACTTCACGCTCTGAATATACGCACCCCCATGACACCGCTGACAACATCCAACCTGCTGGCAGCCCCTGTCACGACGATCCCGCCCCCTCCATGCTAGAATCATCTCCATCAACCACCTCCACAGAAGACCACGACAGTCATGAACGTGCATCCTCATCCACTTCTTACCCTCAATCTCGTTCTATGCCACTCCGCGTATCTACATCTACCCACGGGTTGGATTTGGACGAACAATCACAGGCATACAGGGCATGCGTTCACACCAAGCCACGATTAATGTCCAAGCACCGTGGAGCTAACAAGTCCAATGGGAGTCGCGTAATTTCAACCTCCATCTCGCACAATACCCCCTTGACATCGTCATCTGCTTCTCACTGTACTTCTCCCGCACCAATTACGTCATCCACCTCTGCATCCGCATCCAAATCCCCGTTACACCCAAATCTGGGATCGAGTATTGAACCTCCATCTCCCTCCAGTTCTTCCCCTCAACTTCCTCCTTCACCAACACTTTCACATGTCACATTTCCTACTTTGAACCCTCTTCAGGCGTCTCCTAATGATCACACCCATACCCACTCGAGCACAATCGAAAGTCCTGTTATGAATGGAAAGAAAGTTGCAGGTCCACCAATACCAACTGCTTCACGAGGCTCGACGCCTCCACCAGGAGTATCTGTTCATACTGCTCACATAAGCTTGCATACTGGCCCATTAAGTGCTCAAACCCAGCTCGCATCTATGCGTGGTGCACTTGAGGCTGCGAGACTACGAGAAGAGAAAGCTCGTGCGGAGGCTGAACGCGTGGGGAAGGAAAATGAAGAGTTAAAGTGGCGATGGAATGAGGATACAATGACTTGGAGGAGGAGAGAAGGCGAGGTGAGTATTTACTCTTCACTGAACCTCCCATTATGCGGTGGTCTTCGTTATTATCGTTTCACTAACCATATTCCTCAGCTACAAGCCCAAGTCCATCATCTCATGCAGCAGCTTCAGGCAGCATATTCTGTCCTTGCAACCTTGCAATCCCAGGCACAAGCCCAATCTCCCTCATCGTCTTACTCCTCTCCCACATCGCCTTCCCTACGCCTGCAACCACACAGTCCCAATATCTCTCACAACGGCCTTCCCCCAAATTTCAGTCACAATCCGCCCGCACACGTTCAAGCACTCCTTGCATCGTCCTACCACCTATACCCCAGCTTTCCAGGTACTTATGGAGGTGCAGGGATGTCGCCTTTATTCTCCGGTCTGGGAATGGCCATGAGTCCAGGAAGCAACGTGAAGAACGGCGGTGGCAGGGGGCAACATACCCCTGATACGATTTCCTCGGCGGGGTCGTCGCCATCACGTGGGAGGCGACGACGGCGCGATTCGGCATCTTCGTCTGCTCAAAGGAATAATAGTGAAGACACGAACATCAGCGAAGTAGAGGAAGACCAGGAAGACATATGGCAAAATAGTATATTGGCCGATGCGATTCTAAAGCGCCCTGAAAGCTTGCGCGTGTCCAGTCGAGGAAGTCTTCGATCTGATGGACGCATGAGCGCTATAGGGAGCGGGACGAGTGGGAAAGAGGACGCAGGACGTGTGCCTAGCAGGATGAGCGAGAGATCAGATGCTTCTGCAAGCGGAGGCAGTTATGGGGTGCTGAGTATGTCGAGCCTGTCATCGGGTAAGAGCGAAGACGAGACCAGTGGCGTCATCGCAGAGGGCGATTCTACTCTGGCAGAAGTGACCCGAGGTACTAAAGCTGACGGCGAGGGAACGTCAGATCCTGACGTACCTACGCAAGACAGCTCGTTTTGGAGTCCAACCCCAGCTCCTGTGAAAGGCGTTCAATAACCACCACAGGTCGGATTTTGACTTATAGCGTATTGTTTCCTCCTTCTGCACCCCCACGTTTTCTTCCACCACTTTCGTTACTTTTATACGATACGATCGATCCATGGGGACTTGGAATTTGGATGTCGAGTCTGTATAATGTATATCTTCAGATTATTGTCTAATACACGTTGCATGGTTGAGCCTTCGGTTGCGTCTGAGGTCAGTTGCGTCGACGCTTGAAGTGCCAGTGGATGACTTTCTGTAGGATTTAGGTTCTGGAATCTGGACGGACTTCTCTTTCAAAGCTTCAGACACTACCATGGACGACCCCACGCATACCACACATGAATTTCCCCCATTCTACTTCCTCGGTTTCCAGGAATATCATACGGAAAATATAGATGGTTACAAGCCAGGTGGATATCACCCGGTACACTTAGGAGACACATTTCCTTCGCGGGATAACCCAAGATACCGAGTTCTCCATAAGCTCGGATTGGGATCAATGTCAACGGTCTGGCTCGCCAAAGATGCTGTAGAAAAGTGAGCTCTAACGTACCCATCTTGTGGCCTGTTGATTGATCATACTTGGGATATCCTCACAGCCGCTGGGTGACGCTGAAAATAGTCATTGCCGATCTTTCAAGCAACAACGGAGAATCTGCTATCTTACAATGGCTGAGCAGTAGACCTCGTGATCATCCTGGTGCCAAACATATTGTTCAAGTATAAAGATCCAAGTACGTCCATCACGAGCACTTGATGCGTTCCGTTAGGACCCTGTATCTGAAAGGAATCGTATACTCGCTTATCCCCCAAGACGACTTTCATCAACAGCGGTCGAGTGTATGCCATCAGGTTATGCTGGGACTAGCATACCTTCACCAGGAAGCAGTAGTGCATGGCGGTAAGCGGATGGAACTGGTTCTTTTAGGTTCTCCAAGATTGTTGACCGGCCATGATGAGTCCAGATATACACTTTGGGAACATCGGCTTCAAGATACCCAGAATCAACCGATACACAGAGGTTGAAATGTATCGACTCATACGGGAGCCAAATTTGATTCCTGTGATACCACACTATCACTCAGTACCAAGTGATTCTCTTCCAAAGTACCTTGTGGCGGTACCGGAGACCACGCACTTTATGCCTGAAGTGTTCGCGGAGATCCTAAAAGACAAGCTGACGGTGGAGATTATAGATTTTAGTAATGGTGTGTCACCCTTTCTAGGGCATCATAATGGCATAATGGTCAATTGACCCTTGTGAATGCTAGCATTTCGATTACAGGATGGGAGGCCTCTCAAGCGTCCAGACCTGCCACGTACCATCCGTCCCCCTGAGCTGACGTTCTACAAGCTATCCGACGGTCAAGTCAAAGATGAGTGGGACTTGCCCAGCGACGTTTGGTCGATGGCCTGCACGGTAAGGTCTCCTCCTTCCGACTGACGTAGAATGACAATATGTTTGCGCTATAGATATGGGAGATAGTATTTTCAGATGTGATGCTCGCAAAAGGCAGTGACGACGATAACAGGCTTATCTATGAGACGATGAAACTCGTTGGCCCATTGCCAAAGCGGTGGAAACCGTACTGGAATTCGAAGTGTTTCGAAGACTCTGACGGTACGATTGCGTTGTGGGTGTCGAATGCATCACTGACGTGTACTGTTAGGCAAGTTTACGATCGATCCTGATGCAACATGGAAGGAAAGATGTCCTCCTAAGAATGATGGCAATGCGACTGACAGTGTACAATTTGCTTCAACATCCTTGGTACGCGACCTAATCACTGAGCTGGGCTCACTTCCGCGGGACTGACTGATATCTCCAGTCATCAATGGTCGTTGAGACATTACCGCTCGGCTCATCGATACAAAAGCAGCAACGATATGTTCCCTTGTCTAATTTTGTCGCTACGTCCATACAGTGGAAACGTCAGTGTTGTGCAAGTCTGCATGTCAAAAACACCCAGTTTTAACAGTCATCTTTGCTGGAATCTTGATTCATGCGAAAATTTGGCGGTCCAATGGGTGAGGTTTGCAGTCCGTGATTTGCCACCCTGAGAGGTGGCGAAAAAATGTATTTGTTGAGTGTCCGGTACAGGAAGAAGTGTTTGTTGTAGTCGGAATAAGTGGGGTGACTACGGTGTTGCCAATATGAATGTTGTATTATTATATTTGTTCATTACCAAATCGTAACGGCGCTCTGCTGCGCCAGTCCCATCTCCTTATGATCTGGCCGCCATCCGAATTCCTTGACGCGGTGATGTTGATGTTGTAGAATTGATAATTTCGCGAGGGATGTCTTCAGTCATGCGAACGATTCAATTTTGTATGCTGATCAGACTCAGTCGTACTATGGCATTCGTTCGCTTCCCAGTGCTGTTCTCTATCTTTTCCTCGACTCGACGTGCTGACGTGCGCAAAGTGTACTATGCTCGAAGCTGCGAGTGGTGGGTGCTCACCTAACTTCGTGCCGACATCTATATTCACCAGTATTTCCAGCAACAACCACAAGGTGAATTCTGTGATTGTGTTTGCCCTCTCCTGCGCTCGCTGTTATGTGCTTCTTGCAAAGGCAGCCATGATGGTAAGCAAATGTTCGGAATTTTTAGTTCATGCCTCAGTTTAATGTCATACTTGGTGTCGAACGAACCGTCGGGCAGTAACACAGCTAGTGCCAGTGGTGTTGCACAGTCTAGTCTGCACCGTCAGAATGTGCGTAGCCGCGAGGTGAATTGTAGCGGAGGATTTTCCTGATGGGCAAGATGCTCACCCTCGGCAAACTTCTCAAGTCCATGAATGAGAAGGGTTCTCGTGTGTTGATCTTCAGTCAGATGATCAGAGTGCTGAATATCCTTGAAGAGTATCGCCTGTTCAGAGGTTTCAGTATGTAACATTCAAAGTTGCCGTCTTCTGAGTTGACTGTTGTATCGATGACAACACAGCGCATGACGATCAAATCGTAGCCATCGACGAAAACAACAAGCCCGGCAGCGACAGATTCATATTCCTGTTGACTACACGTGCTAGCGGTCTGGGTAATCAACCTCACCACCGTTGACAGCGCCATTTTATATGATAGCGATTAGTTTGTTATCTATCTTTGTATCCCTCCGATTCGCTCATCCATTTGCAGGAATCTCCCGGCCCATTTACAAGCTATGGATCAAGCACATCATATTGCCCGCTAAGCAAGTCTACGTTTTCCGCTTCATCACCAATAACAGTGTCGAGGAGCGCATGCTTGAGTGTGCTGTGCAGAAACTCCGGCTCGACCAGCTAGTTATCCAACAAGGTCGCCAACAACAAGCAAAAGGTAAAATTTTGATCAGGGTTTTTTTTTACAAGGTGCTCACTGTTGGGTGCAACTGCCAGCAGGGACGAGCTGCTCGAAATGATCACACACGGCGCTGAGAAACTCATCAATTCGACCGGTGCGTGAGGTACTCGGCATTACACAAGTTTTAAATTTCTTGATCACTGCCTATCAGATTCCTCATCAATGATGACACTGATCTATTGTCCAACGCGGTGAGGAACGTATGGCAGAGCTGAACAGCAAGTATGAGGGCCTCGATCTTGAGGACCTAAATAATTTTGAGTCCGATGCTGCTGTGCGACAGTGGGAAGGCGAAGACTCCCGGCCAGGTATACATTTTTGTTGAGAGGACTTTTGCCTGATAGGTGGTTTATCCTATCCCTGTATTCATGTCTCTGCCATTGATCATCTACTTAAGAGGTCACGGACAAGATGTACCAGAAGATTCTCGCCGATCCGCTCGCCTTTGGCCCCGACATTGGCACAGAAGTCCGAGGCATCCTGGCTAGTCTTTTCAACAGAGATCCCTCGAAACGAATTGGAGTGAACGGCGTTGAGGAGATCAAGGAGCGCCCATTCTTCGTAAACCATATTCACTTCGGGAGGCTTCTGCAGAAAAAGATCGAACCGCCGTTTAAGTCGAGTGTATCAAGTCCCGTAAGTGCATGTCTCCCCGGGAGTACGTGTTTGAATGCGTCGATGTTTAGGATGCTTCCAACTTCAATACTGTCTTCACGGCTGAGGCGCCTATTAACTGTTATGTTGATTATTCCCACCTCTCATCCACCGTCCTCAGTTCGCTGGTGTGTCAGTTACGATGTCCTTGTAGATATAAGAAATTTGACCCACCCTGTCTGCCATAGGATTCTCGTATAATGGTTCCAACATGCCTGTCGGTTAATAGGCGCCATACTAACGCACTTTTTCGTCTGGTCAAGTAACTTCTTGAGTTGTGGCCTGTCCCTGGCATCGGTGACTGCAAATGCACTCATCAGGTCTCCTAGCTGAATCCTCATCAAATTTGCCCACGTCATGTCCTTCAGCTTGAGATGCATCCCAAGCGGATCAACATGCACGTCCCCATACCACTTCATTTTCGCAATCTGGTCGAGGACATCCTTGATATCTCGGCCGTACGGAACACATGGGTTTTGTCTCCTTGCACTGAAAAATCATACTCTGGTCTGCAACAACATGTTCTTGGCTTCCGTCGTTTGTGGCATTCCTCCAAACAGCGAGCGCGAGGGACGGGAGTCGCCACTGGCAGATACAGTCCTACCACCTGGCATGCGAACAAGTACTCTGATGCATATAGGTACTGATATACGGAAAGGCGTAATCACTGGTATTGCCAGCCAGCAATAATCACACGAGCATGAATGAATTAGATACCATCCTTACATATATCAGATAGTAGTGTAAGAAATACAGGTGACGCATCAACGTGCAGTAATTAACAATGAAAGAAACGTGGCAGCCGGAGTCAGCTAGATAGGTAATTGTTTTCTAGGTAGACGGTCATCCCACTCACGGTGCACAGCTGGTACACAAACTTTGAGTCCAGGAATGCAATGCGGGGGCGGAAGGCCCTTGTTTAACCACGTCTGGGTGGGTACAGGCGCTTCAGGGATCCAAGGGGCCTATACCATCTATACGTCAGACATGGCAAATACGTTCGCTTACACGAGGGGACATACCATGTAGTTCCCGGCGTCCAATTTATCAAAATCAATGTTTTCGAGCCATGGGTGGTCGAGAACGGAATCCTTAACACCCAGACGGTGCTCAGCCGTCGTGGTCAGAAGCGCTGCAACAATAGACTTGAGAGATGCGCCCACGCGGAGGCCTTTGGGCCACTTGTACTTCCCCGAGGAGATCCTTTTAAATATTTTGTTTTCGTCCATACCGAAGAATGGCTGGAGGTGATAGGAGAAGCATAAGAAAGGTCTCATGGAGCAGGATTCAATGGTACTGACCGTTCTCTTCGTGAGCATCTCGTACAACGTGACACCTGCCGCCCACCAGTCGACACTGTATCCTGTCATGTGCTGGTAACATAAGAGCTCGGGAGCCATGTAAAGCGGTGTGCCGATCATGAGCCATTCGGTTGCTGGTCCGTTGTCGATCTCATCCAGACGGGCGTGTCCAAAGTCTGCTATGGTTAGGTAGCCATCGGATCTAATCAGGATATTCGCTGGTTTCAAATCCCGATGAATAATCCCCTCGCCATGGAGAAAATAAAGTCCAGATACAATATTGGCGAAGTAGAACCGGGCAGTGGCAGCATCAAAAGGGCCGCGCGTTTGGATGACGTCGTAGAAACACCCGCTCGGTATAAACTCGAGCATAAGGTAAAGATTCAATTCATCCTTGAAGGTGCCTACGACACCATTCACCCAGGGACTCCAAGGCAATGCTGACAGGTGCATTCTCTCTGCATTAGTATCCGCAGGGTATTTCTTTAGAAAGGTTATATATAGTCGGAAAGATAATGTAGTGGAGGTGTACGTACCTGGTCGATTAGTTTCATCCTTTCTTTGGAGAGGACTTTCACGGCGAATAGTGACCCTGGGCATGCCAGTTTCCCTAGATTTGGTTGTTCACGCGCTCGTACGAGTAGAACGTGACCATAAGCTCCGTCGCCTACATCGAGTGAGTTGAATCTAGCTCTCTATGCTGAAACAAGGACGTCATACCTAATGTGCGAATACATTCGAAACCGTCCAAGGGAAGTGCGGGTGGGCGAGGGTCTACTGCATCAGGTGGCAAGATACCACCAGTATAACCAGGTAACCCATGGACGGTGATACGTGGCTGTATACAACAGTCAGTGAACATACTATGATTCAGAAGGACACCAGGGAGCACAGACCGGTTTAGGATCATAATGCGAAGCGCGCCGGGTCTTGGATGCTTTGAGAACATGCTTGCGAGCATGGACACCTTTGGAGGGCGCAGCATTCGCTTTCGGGGATCGAGAAGGATGTTTGGTAGCTCGCGAACTTTCAGATGGCTTGGTTGTTGAGGGAGTTGGGTATCGCATTCTGATTCTGATGGTATTAGATATTTCGTGAAGCTTGCGAGGGACAAGATCGTCGAACTGGGATGAAACACTCAAGGTTGTAAAATCCGGACTTTAAACATGGTCAATAAATACTGTGGTCAGGGCAGCAGTAATTCCACATCATAGTCTATTGTTTCCACAAGAAAGTGTGGCAGGCAGGTCGAAGCATGATCGTGCTTCGAAAGCGGAGTCGGTTTAATTAGCCCGGCGCTTGTTTGGCACATGCTGCGGCCATGGCCGGGTCAGCCTTCTACCAACATACACATACTACTAGCTTGCGGCATGTAACATGTTTTATCGATTATCGGTCGCAAAGCACACCTAACTCTGCCCAATCTCCGCAATGACTCCAGCATTGATTACTGAAACAAAACCTGAGGATTGGACATATGTCTCTGAGGGAGGGGTGACTATCGTATTCTTGTATCGAGGGCCTCACAATGTCCAATTCTCTGATCACGTCCTACGTCTCCGTAAGGTCGCTCACGGGTTATCAGACAGCACGCTGCTTGGTACCAACACTGAACAACCAGACGATCCTATGATCGCCTTCCAAGAGAACATCATCTCAAAACTCGTTCCTTCTGAGTTTCTGCCGAGTCTTACGGTGGTGGTGCTCGACGAAGTTTGGCTTAGGTCACTTGTTGTTCTACGCGACGGCGATCGCCCATCAAAGAGAAGGCAGACGGATCAGATTGATATTCGCAGGAAAAAGGGTGTGTTGGCCACGGATCTCATTGGGGGTACGCCCATCGCGATCGAAATCAAGGTGGTCGCTAGTCTATTGGGAGGATATCTAGATCTGACTGAGTATCTAGCCGAAATGGGGATTTTTACCTACAGAATGCCATCTCTCGCCTGAGAGTGTCACTCTAAAGACAACAACATGCAGATTTTGTATGCACACGAGCTTCAGAATGGAACAGGGGGGCATCGGTACGACCTATTGTCCCTTGGACCTTTTCTCTCGCGATGAGCCGCGTGTTAGAAAAGCCCTAGGTGCTTTGTGGGCTGGGTGGTATGAAAGCGGTGGGTCTCTCAATAACCTACGGCTCTTTGTCGAGGGCAGAATGGCAAAACCAGATGATGTACGTCTTTAGTACATCACGTTCACAGATTTCTGATAATTCTGGATAGGACCACTCGATGCAATTGTTGGCACATTTTTTTACGACGGACGAATCGACTGACATCCAGAATCTCCGGGAATCGTTCACATCTGCTCTTGCGCAGGCACTTCTTGACAGTCCCATTCTTCCCCTCCTGTCAACTTTACAACGAACACTGGATATCCTCGATGTGGAAGGCTTATCCAAGTTGTACACACAAACATCGTCAAGTTCCTCATGTGACGGTCTCGGGTCTTCGGTTCCCGATCCTTCTATGGAGGAATGGAAGGACTTCGTCGAAGTTTACCAGTCTGATCATCATTCCTTGGATGACACAGTCCCAAGTCCTGGACACCTCCGGTATTATCTCATGGCATACCTTCTTTCAGCGACGTTCAAGGATTGCTCCATCATTATCCGGCCCAAGTCTGCGCATGTAGGTTCGTTTGATGCCACAATCATCGACATGGATATCAAGAGCATGGACCGCTTGTGGAAGTGGGAAAAGTTAGATAGGGAAATCGTGGAACATTATGAGAATTCAGGCAGCCAGCGGCGTTGCATCGACAGCCAACGCGTTAGGCAAGCAGTGTGTACACGTATGTGTTATCGCCCTTTCGCGTTGAATGTTGCTGATAGATATATTTGAAGAACTGTCGAAGTGGCGTTAGCAAGATGTATCGTAGACTGATTTCTGAATACTTCTGGAGAATCTCTGGGATGAGTGATTTGTGTTCGACATTTTTTTCTTTTCGTAACTGCAACTGACATACAAGATGTATTCAAAGACCACACTGGCTGTGATGCATATCGACTTGAGTCTGGCTCATGCATCTCCATCAAACTATCGGACTCAGACTCGACCAACAATCTGCTAGTTTTCTCCAGCACAATTCAAGGGCAAATATTATGCTGCAAAGAATGCCGACAGCCCTTCTATACAAATTCGGACGTCAATGAACTTCTGTAGGGGGCCTGTCAGCAGACGATCCGTTGAAGAGTCGTTATGACTACTCTCCTGTGATTGGCTCGAACACGCGCATTACAAGAACGAAGGCAGAATCAAGGAATGATTGCTCTCCTGCGATTGGCCCGAAGCTGCGGATTCCAAGAACGAAGACAACGTCAAGGAGTGGTCCCCGTTATATTCTTTATTTATTAATGATGTTGTACGCAGAAAAAATAATACGTTTACAATGATGATCATAGTATCCTGACGCTAAATGTGATACTGTCTGAACGATACAGATTGCGACAGACTCCTTTACAACTCGCTTATGTTCCGTGGATCGAGTTGCTGCGCCTTCCACCTCGTGTACATGCTCTACGTTAAGTTCCTCTACAGCACCAACCTTGACTAATACAGCTATTGATGGACCTGTACACCTCTTCCAATAAATATATCAGCACCCGCTAATGTCGGTCTTCTCCCCCTGAAGGAGAAACGCTATCGGCAGATTCGGATATGCACCTCTCGCAATTTATTGTCCGTGGGGATTGGCTATTTTGTATGCATATTCGCCAGCCCCAGATTGTTGCATTGCCTGGAACTATCACAGCTTCCTTTGCCACCGAGGCAGCACCAGAGTCTCAAGGTGCGCAGCCCTGAGGTACGCTAGTCCTTTGGGGGGAAATAGTTTCTGACGTTGAGTGCTACTAAAGTTTCTCCCTGTCACATTTCCCATTCCATTTCGTGCTGATGCGTACTGAGAACAAAAAAGGATTGGCCTGTCCGCTTAATCACACAGGGCCGGTTTCACTGCCGGTCCGGTCTTAGTCATCTTGCAATCTTCAGTTTGAGTTCTGGCTCGCTCATTGCTCATACTTGTTATCTTCGCAACACTGACGCCTCTTGAATTTTGCAAACAGACCTTTTTTTTGCCATGGCTTGTAGCTCATCGACGTCAAGCCCTGCTGGACGACGCAGCCAATCAGCACAGTGATAGCGCTGATCATTGATGAAATACGTCTGACAAGGATCCTGCCCGAGTCGCTGCGTTGGGATTTCAGATAGTGGGAAAAACTACGATAGCATGCAACGACATGGCCGTAATAGTGTGCTATCTCAGAGGGAAGATTGCGAGGAAGACCGAGACGAATGGGTGTACATGACTGCCGCCGAAGCACGTATTGTCCCGGTACCATCAGAAGCACCATAGACGACGACTCGCTGCATTGGGATTTCAGCCCAGTAAAGACAACGGGGAAAACCGTAGTGGCATGCGACAACATGGCCGTGATAGTGTGGTATATCTCGGAGAAGACTGCGAAGAAGCCGGAGCCGAGACCCATGCTGACACGATGTAGTAAGTGACATAGGCTTAGTGCTGGCACCAGCCTGAATGGAGTACATCACATCGAAATCGTAAACTCAATTGTGTTTCTCCGCTGAACCTGCAATACAATGGTACGTGTACGTGTACTTGGACCGAAAAAGGGAAGGTCCTGGGATGGAGGGGCTTTGTGAATCCTAATTGATCAGATTAGAAGGCTAGCCACTGACCGGGAGGACTGTACTGGTAACCTCGAATCAATTTATGGAAATTTACGAAAGCCCATCGAACAATTAGAACAATCTAGAGATTCTGGACGAGCTTGAATGCATGGCTAGTGAAGCCCTTTTCGACACTCTTAGTTTGTGACACTAATTATGGAGTACAGGAACAAATTATTAATGATCATTGATCAACTAAATTCGACCTACTACCGTGCCTCGTGAACAATCGAGTGCGGGATTGGGCACCCCCCTATATGACGGTATCAGTGACGCGACTCTAGATTAGAAAAGGAGTGAAATGACCGGTGTTGAGGTGTACGTTGGTCACCAACTCGGCGGAGGGGAGCCTCCGACCTTTACCTTTCTTTCCTTGATCTTTCCAAAAGGTAACCTCACCGTTTCTGGCCACACCAGTACTGGTGCTAGTCACTGATATGAAGTAAGTACTGCCTCGATGTCGTAGGATATTAATATTCCTCGGGATATATACCCAAGCATTTCTCTGCTGGATGCATCAATCTACTGGTCTGCGTTCAGCCATCGGCGCGCTAGGTCGACAACGTCACTATCCGTGATGCATTGCACATCCAGCTTGGATAAATTGGCCGACGACATCCTCATACAGATACTTCAGGCATTGTCTGTGCGGGGAATATTGACACTGCGATGTGTACGTCTTATATTGTTATTTACATATGAACCCATATGCATTTTACCGTTCCCAGACCTCCAAACGTTACTATTCTCTGTCTAAGCTTCACTGCGTTTGGTATGTGGTGTTCTGTACTGAAGTATTGGCCCGCCACCTTCCTCCCCCCGGCCCTTCATGCTCTCTCAGTGCTCTGTCTTCTGCAGATCTAGAGTATCGGACATTATTAGCTCTTTCTCTCGAGAGCCGTTGGTCACGATCCAAGGCCAATGTCATCGTTTCGAGTGGAGAACGAGAGACTATCGACCAGATCGTCCTTGTTCCCGGAGGAATGCAGGTCTTGACAGTCCATGGAAATAAAGTGGTGTGTTGGCTCATCTCCGGCAAACTAGGCTCACACGAGCTTCAAAATATTGGAGCGTGGTCATCACCGGGTGACGATACATGCATAATTGTGAAGGACATGGAACGCCAGGGAATCATTGCCATCGGCTCTAGAGACAAGTGAGTCCCTCAGCCTCTCGACACCATTGTGAAGTATCGCTGACAACGGGTAGTCCAAACCGGCATGCTACAGTATTTTCGCTCTCCTTAAAGCCTGCTCTCAACAGGCTTTGCGACTACTCATTCATCCCTGGTACTGTCGCAGGGATTTCACGGCACCTCCTTTTCCTGGATACCACGTCACAGCAAGACGGGGGTGGCCTCGAAGTCATAGATTGGCACGCTAAGACAAAAGGTACTGCCCTTCTCCCGCGTATATCCGATCTGGTGAGTTTTCCAAGTGCAACTTCAGATGATGGGCCAATGTGACTTTTCAGTTTGGTGCCCTCCTAGACTTTGTCCATTTCTCAGACCACATACTTGTAACGTGGGAGGCATGCATTAGCGTGTTCCCTGTGCCTGACGTACCTGCCAAAGGACGAACTGTGGTGGCGCATACCAAAGTATTCATGTTTTATGAGTACATCAGCTCACCTGTCGCCTTTACAACTTGTGTTTCTCGAGGTTGGTCTGGTGCAGATGCTCCAGTATATGCACCATCACAGGAAACACCTTCCCTTACAATCGCTGCCAGAGGCAAATCGGGCGGGATTTCTCTGTCGATGCTTGTTCCGCTAGATAACGACGAGGGTGGGAAATATCCACCCAGTTTCCCGTATCGGCTTCTCCGACTCTCTCCGGTCGTTCCGACCGTAACACAAGATTTAGGGGGATGCACACAGATATGCCTGGGGTCGTCGGGGCGCGGGTTGTTTGTATTTAGAAGAAAGGTGCGACTTTGTGGGCCAAGTCTGCTGTTCATGCCCCCGTGTGAGATGCAATTTGGTCCTGAGTTTGAGACGGAAAGGGTTGTATATGAGATTGAAACCGGTGATGCTGTTGGTGGAGACAAAGTCGACTTTGACGAGGGGATGGGACGGCTAGTTGTTGCGAAGGGAACCGGGGGTTTTGATGTGGTGCAGCTGCTGTGACTGACATACTGAATTTGAAGTGTCTGCGCTCTCTGGCTCTTATAAATCTGTATAATATCCATCAGATTTAACGTTGTATAGTACTGAAGTCTACTTGAGAAAGCTTCAAATAACGTTCCATAGTAATCAACATCAACTGAGTGTGTTCCCATTCAGATCTAGCTTCCAACGTCAACTGCACTCCGTAGAAGAGGCGTTGCAGGCCTCTATGTGCGTTGCAGGTGTTGGTGCCACTATGTACCTGAAAGTAGCAACAGTAGAGAATATGTAAATCACGCTATGGTTCGTTCTGCTCACAGTTTCATAATTGAGACTTCGTGTAAGATAATTCAGTCAATATTTTAAACCCGCTTCACGTATCCATTCCTAAATAAATCTCGTACAAGATCCATGACCTCTATATCTTGCGATTGAAAATGAAAACCGTGTATTGTGCTGTCATGAAGGAAGGATTGATTCTTCGACAACCCTGAACTCAACTTTTCTCTTCACGGTCACGCTGCCATCCTGCCAGATTTTGACGCAGACGTCAGAGATATAAGTAGGTAAGATACGCGTTCACTGACCTCGTTGCCAAAGTACGCAGCCTGAGCCATATCGCAGAACAAACCAACTTCCACGACACCTGTGAGCATTTTTATTTTTGCCAAAATCTGCAGTAATACAATTTAGTGTAAGCCTGAGATCATGGGAGAATTTCTCGCACAGTGGAAGGGTCCATCATCATCTGTCTAGGGAACGGTGCAGTCGATGACGAAATTGCTATTGTCTGTTACCACAGGACCAGCTTTAGCCTTTGCCATGCGCAGGGTAGCGTTAGGGGAACCCAGAACATTGTGTAATTTACGCAAAACTTGGGCGTATGCGAATGGCACGACTTCAATTGGAACACCAGGAGTGAACTGCAAATGATGATTACGGCATGTCTCACTTGGAAGACCAGGCACGCACGTTCGTCCCGAGGCTACTCCGCGTTTTTGCGATAGTCGGCTACCACGATAAACCTACAGTCAGGTGATGAGGGAACCGAGATATCAAATATGATCATGGACACACGTATTCGCAGCCTCCGCGAGCACCTTTTCCCGCAAATGGCAGGCTCCGCCCCCCTTAATGCAATTGAGATTGAGGTCTACTCTGACGATGGTCAGGCTTGACAACTTTTCTGAGGAATCAGAAGAGACTTACTCGTCAGCACCATCTACAGTGACATCAATGGTAGGAAATTGATCAACATCGCCTAGGTTGAGGTTCGACATGACGATGAGCTCCTTCGACTGGAATCCAGTCGGAATAAACACGCGATCCTTGTTGAGCTCGCGCCCCTGTGCGACGATTCGCTCCACAACATATGGCACAGTAGATCCTGGAAAGCGGTAAATAGGAGACTGATCCCAGCCGTATGGTACGTGCAAACCAGATCCTATTCCGATAACCTTGCAGTAAAGAATAATAAGTTCCAAGAAACAAATGAGGATGGAAACGAGACTCACCTTATGTTCTGGGAGAATGTGTTTGTCCACAGCAGTGTATGCTGCTAATCGTTTGGACTGCTCAATGGCACTGAGCGTGGTAGTAGCTTGCATGCTGGTCAGCGTTCTAGTCGTCTTCTACGAGCAAAATACACACCAATGGGAACAGCTCCAGTCGATACCGGCATGGTGATGGAGCGCGGGACGGGAGTTATTCTGGACACCGTGACATCGAAGTATGTCAGCTCGGTTTTCAATCGATAAGGGGGAGTTCCGAGAAGCGACTCGGTGCAGCAAGATGTTAAGCTAGTCCCAAACCGTCTTGGCTCCAACTTGAGCAACTCCGAGCTCCGGGAAGTCGGAAAGAGCGAGTCTAGGTACACAGCAAAGTGAACCACTTACGGAGTCTGTGCGGACGCCAAGTGCGTTTTTGCTGAAGAGAATGGGCGGTGGTGATGGACGAATATTCGAAATGATGCAGCGCGCGAGGGGCAGCATAGATACTTATGAGGATTGCATAAATATAAGGACATGCGTGTGCTCGACGAGTCCATTCTCGGCTGAACATCTGTATTACTCACGCGCCCATCACCAGCCACTGCTTTCAGGCGCGCGTTTCACGGCAACGCTGAGAAGAATTCTGCATTCTTCTCATTGACTACCATTGGTGTTCCATAGCTCGTTCTTGGGAATAGCTCGCGCATTGACCGGATTGCGAAGGAGTGTGGAAATTTGTGAGCTCTCCAGTCACAGAAGTGGTGCGGTCGCCCAAACATGAGGGCCATTAAAGGTGTGCCCCAACACTTGACCCCTTTGAGGTAATTCACCATACGCAGGGGTGCTTTTAACTTGGTTTGCAGTCATTTTTCGTCTCTCAAAGGAACCATAGACCAATTGTTGGCACTTGCGCTTGCAGTGACTCGGCTGTCAAGCAAATACTGCTCACAATGAACGAGAAAGATCCTTTCGTTATTGAGGATCTAGATGATTATCATTTGGTTATCAAGGCAGACGAGGAATATAGAGTGAGGAGGGAGCTTGAAGCTGAGGTATGAATTCTAATGTATCTGGAAATCCATCTGATAAGGAGTTGCTGCAGTTGGAGAAGAACACTTATAGTCTAGAAACAAACTAGTCTTCACTCTGCAATTGCTCCCTCATCCCACAGCATAAGTACTTGCCCTGCTGCAGCCTTTAGGTCTGTTTGTGACGTTGGGCATAATATATCGGATTTGGTTCGACGTGGTACCTTACCGGTTGGGATTCACTCAGGGCGCGTCGTTTCTGCACTACAATGCAGATCATGGGGACCCATATCAGGTAGACGAAAAGGAATTCTATATAATGGGCCTTATCTGTGCAGAGCAATCTGCGAGATAGCTGATCTTCTCCAGTGAGTATTTCATTCAGCTGACGTGTGAACAGTGGTCACAAACATCTCCATCCATACGGTTCACCCATGCCAAATCACAACGAAACTTTCCCTTCACTCAGGTGAAACACGAATGCATATGTATGCAACCAGCTCTGGTAGTGTAGTGTCGCCCTGTCACCCTTCTACCTGCTTGAATCCGGAAACATGCGTTCTGCGACAAATAAATCATTCAGACACGATGAGGCATGTCGGAACGTGAAAGGACGCGGAAACGACTGTGAAGAACTTGTCATTTTCTTACCCACATCTTCTCTCGAATTAGCCCTGCGTCACCAGGTATCTAGGGGCTGGCCAAGCAATTACTAGGCCGCCGAATTCATGCAAGCTAGTTGCTTGCTCTCAGAGGTAGTATTATCGCAAAGATGCACTAATGGCACCGCAACCCTTGTTATTGCTGTCACAGTGACGACTAGAGGATGAAGAGTGCACAGGCATAGGACAGTGGACATAAGACGGACATGAGTTCCCTGCGACCCGATCGAAAAGCGAATAGTGCTATCCGACATCACCTAGACCGCCGTATAGGAAGTCACGCTACTAAATGCCAGTTATCTATTTCCAACCATGTGATATCAGGATGTACTGGCGCGTGCCAATCTCACACGTTCAAATATTGCGAGTGCATTATCAGTATCATCCAGAAAATCTATGTCGAATGAGAAAGGCATATGATGCAGTTGAGTCCGAGTAGGCTCACGGCCACTTGCCGGCACTTTCGGTGTTCAAAATGAAGCGTCTCAGGACGACGGTGCCAACACTGCCAATTAGTCTACACTATCACCATGATATTAATGCGCACACTAAGCCCACGCTATTCACCACAACGACGTCCCCTTGCATCCATTAGCTTGAGGCTAATGGTCACCGCCTTCTTACTCGTTCTAACGTGAAATGATATGAACCGGTTGCCAATTCGCATTTGAGCCGATTTATTCCCAGATTAGGCGCGATGATCACTATCAGACCATATTGATCGTGTTTCAGTAGTACTTAAGTATATCTCCTCTTCAAATCGGCTCTATCACGGTCTCTTTCCTTCCTTCTTCCCTTGACTTGATCGCAGACAAAAGAACACATTATGGACACTGTCCCGGACATCTTGAAAGTGTCCATTCTTGGACGAGAGTCCATCCACTGCGGTTTTCACTTGATCCCATACATTGCACGTACAGTGCTCACCACACTCCCTGCATCTGTGTATGTCCTTGTAACAGACACAAATGTAGCCCAGTTCTACCTCTCTGCCTTCGAAAAGGCCTTTAGTGCAGAGATCAACAAGGCGCGTGTCCTTTCCATTCGTTCATCTCATGTATTTGCCTTGCATTTCAATCTGACTCGCATTTCAGCTTTCTTCTGCGAAACCACGTTTTCTCTCCCGTATTATTTTACCTGGAGAGACGACAAAGTCTCGTGAAGGAAAGGCCGATATCGAAGATTTCCTCCTTCTCGAGCGCTGCACTCGTGACACCGTCATCCTCGCTCTTGGCGGAGGTGTCATCGGTGATCTTGTCGGTTTCGTTGCTGCGACCTTGTGAGTAGTCTATATAGTCTTCCTTGCAAGCTATCCTATCTCTATTCGTCTTTCTGCATGATTATCATCCCATCCTCATTTTTTCTTATCCTTCCTGTAATTTGTTCTCCTCAGGCTGCTACTAACCTTCTTACAGCATGCGTGGCGTGCGATTTGTCCAGATCCCTACCACGCTTCTTGCAATGGTGGATTCTTCCGTGGGCGGAAAAACTGCCATTGACACCCCTGCTGGCAAGAACCTCATCGGCGCGTTTTGGCAGCCCGAATATATATTCATTGATGCTGCATTCCTCGAGAGCCTTCCTGAGCGCGAGTTCAGCAATGGTATGGCTGAGGTTGTTAAGGTGCGTTTGTTCCTACCCTCCTTACAAATCCACTTTATGCTAACTAACGTGCCCCTAAAGACCGCGGCAATATGGGATGAAACCGAATTTACTTCCCTCGAAACTAACGCTCAATTGATCTACAATGCTATTCGCACGCCTTCCACCGGCTATGCAGGTCGTCACATCAGCACGCGCTCTACCTCTCAATCTCTCCTCCTCTCCGTTATCCGAGGTAGTATCTACGTCAAATCTCACATCGTCACCATCGATGAGCGCGAGACCGGACTCCGCAACCTTGTCAACTTTGGACACACAATTGGCCACGCCATCGAAGCCGTTCTCACGCCACATATGCTCCACGGAGAATGTGTCAGTATCGGTATGATATTTGAGGCGGAAGTCGCTCGGGCGATGGGCGTATTGAAGCAGGTGGCTGTAGGAAGACTCGTGAGGTGTTTGAGGGCGTATGGGTTGCCTGTGAGCTTGGCCGATCAGAGAGTAAGCAGATGTCCTGGTGCTCGCGGCCTTGGTGTCGACAGGCTCCTGGATATCATGCGCGTCGATAAGAAAAATTCCGGCCCTCAGAAAAAAGTAGTCATCCTCTCCCGCATCGGAGCCACATACGAGCAGAAAGCGACAGCCGTCGACGATGCACTTATTGCCAAAGTGCTTTCAGAGGCTGTTACAGTCAAGGTTGATCTTAGTACTACGCTGGGAACGCAACATGTGAAGATGGCTACGCCGGGCAGCAAGAGTATCTCTAATCGCGCCCTAGTACTAGCTGCGCTTGCGCAGGGCACGTGTAAGTTGAAGAACTTATTGCATTCGGATGATACACAAGTGATGATGGCGGCATTGCAAGAGCTCAAGGTCTGGTTTCATCTTCATCCATCATTGCTGTTGCTAACTCGCTTCGTATAGGGCGCTTCCTTTGCGTGGGAAGACGGGGGTGAGACGCTGGTGGTCACAGGCGGCGCAGGAGCCCTTCAAGTCCCCACAGCGGGAACGGAAATTTACCTTGGAAATGCAGGCACCGCTGCACGCTTCCTCACTACTGTCTGTTCGCTCGTGTCTCCCTCCGCCGCTACCAATGCCGGGACTGCCACTGTCATCACAGGCAATGCTCGCATGAAACAACGGCCTATCGGCCCTCTTGTAGATGCCCTGCGCGCCAACGGATCTGAAATTACTTACAACGAATCCGAGGGCTGTTTGCCACTAAGTATCGCACCCAAGGGTCTCCAAGGCGGCGTGATCCGCCTTGCAGCGAGCGTGTCGAGTCAGTACGTAAGCAGCATCCTTCTCTGCGCGCCATATGCGAGGGAGGCGGTGACTCTCGAACTCGTGGGTGGTGCTGTGATCTCGCAGCCATACATCGACATGACAATCGCGATGATGCGCACATTCGGCGTGATTGTCACGCGCGACCCGGGGACCGACATCTACCGAATTCCTCAGGGCACATACATGAACCCGGCCCAATACGCGATTGAAAGTGACGCGAGTAGCGCGACGTACCCGCTTGCTATTGCTGCCATCACGGGGACAACGTGCACGCTCGAGAACATCGGAAGCGCAAGTCTGCAGGGTGATGCTCGGTTCGCCGTAGACGTGCTTGCACGCATGGGGTGCGAGGTAGTGCAGACCGCAAATGAGACGACCGTCACGGGTCCGAAGAGGGGCGAGTTGAAAGCGATTGGAGAGGTGGATATGGAACCGATGACGGATGCGTTTTTGACAGCGTGCGCCCTTGCTGCCGTTGCGCAGGGCGGGGAGGGAAACACGACAAGGATCATTGGGATCGCGAACCAGAGAGTGAAGGAGTGTAATCGCATCAAGGCAATGATTGATCAACTGGGTGGGTGTTTTGAATGCATCTAATCGCTGTTCACTTTCATGACTGACTGAACCTTCACAGCCAAATTCGGCGTGCAGACTAAAGAACTGGATGATGGACTTGAGGTGTATGGTCGCCCATTCAACACCCTCACTCGTGGCGCGAGCGTACATTGCTATGACGATCATCGTGTCGCGATGGCGTTCAGCGTCTTGGGTACCATCGTACCCGATACAATTATCGAAGAGAAACGTTGCGTCGAAAAGACGTGGCCCAACTGGTGGGATGATTTGGAGAACAAGGTATGATTTACATCTTTCTTCGCTCTCCCTTAAGCTTGGTCCTGACATATATGCCCAGATTGGCCTTAAAGTTGGGGGCATTGAGCTCCCGCGTGCTGAGAGCTCTACCGCTGCCACTTCTGGAACACCCTCCCGTGCAGCCTCTGCATCCGTGATCCTCATTGGCATGCGCGGCTCAGGCAAGACACACGTCGGAACACTCGCGAGTGCTGCTCTCTCTCGCCGATTCATCGATGCAGACGCTTATTTCGAAGCCAAACATAACATTGGCGTACGCGAGTTCGTACGTGTCAACGGGTGGCCTGCATTCCGTACCGCAGAAACGGAGAGTTTGAAAGAGATCATTCAGGAGGCTGGAACAGGACATGTGATCAGTATGGGTGGCGGGATTGTGGAGACGCCCCAAGCCAGGGATGTGTTGAAGAACTATGCAAAGACAGGCCCGGTTGTACATGTCCTGAGGGACATCGAGGAGATTGTGAGCTACCTTGGTGATGAAACCGCACGTCCTGCGTACGGCGAACCGATTACCGAGGTGTTCAAACGACGGGAACCATGGTTTGTTGAATGCGCCAATTACGATTTCAGCAACCATATTACCGTCGATGGCGGTGAGGCAACCAATGCAGAGATCTCGCGTTTCTTCAAGCACATTATTGGACAGCCGAACCTCGCGGAGAATGTTGCCGCTGGGAAGCGTAGCTACTTCGTGGCGCTCACATACCCTGATGTGATGCCCGCTTTGCGACACATGTCAGACCTTACGACAGGTGTTGATGCTGTAGAGCTACGCGTGGACCTACTACGTGCCCCTGACGCACTAGGTGCCATCCCTTCGCAGGCTTATGTTACCGCACAGGTTGCTGCGCTACGCCGGGCGACGAGTCTCCCAATCATATTCACTGTGCGCACGATAAGCCAGGGCGGTGCGTTCCCGGACAACTCGGAGAAAGACGCGTTTGAGCTTCTTGGGCTTGCGCTGCGACTGGGAGTGGAGTACATCGATGTGGAGATCTCTGCATCTGAGAGGCTCATTACAGAACTCGCCGCTCGAAAGGGATTCTCCCAAATCATCGCATCGTGGCACGACTGGAGTGGCAAGATGAAGTGGACCGAGGATGTGGTGAGAAGCAAGTACGCGCTTGCGAGCCGACTTGGGGATATTGTGAAGATCGTCGGAAAGGCAGACACGTTGCAAGACAACTTTGCATTGCACGATTTCGTTGCAAAGGCTAACCTGCAACGGGGTGCGAAACCGATCATTGCCATCAACATGGGCGTGGAGGGTCAAATGTCACGTATACTGAATGCGACTTTGAGTCCCGTGACGCACCCACTTCTCCCCTCGAAGGCAGCACCTGGGCAGCTTTCCTTTGCACAGATTCAGAAAGCGCTGAACTTACTGGGTCAGCTTCCTGCGAGACGCTACTTTTTGTTCGGAAATCCCATTGCTCATTCCATGTCCCCGACTCTGCACAACGCTGGATTTGAGGTCCTCGGGCTTCCCCACACTTATGAGCTTCTCGAGACAGCTAATGTTGGTGAAGAACTCAAAGCCACCTTGGCTGCTCCTGACTTTGGGGGTGCCTCTGTCACCATTCCCTTCAAACTCGACGTCATACCCCTGCTTGACAAGCTTTCACCAGCTGCTGAAGCTATCGGGGCTGTCAATACCATCATACCGGTCATCGAAGGAGGAAACCGCATTCTCTGCGGAGACAACACTGACTGGCTCGGCATTCGTGAATCCATCCGCTCTTGTGCGCCATCCATCGGTGCCCCTGCTGCCGCGCTCGTTATTGGCGCAGGAGGGACCGCCAGAGCCGCCATCTTTGCGCTTCAGTCCCTAGGGGCTCAGTGCATCTACCTGTTCAACCGGACAGCAAGCAAGGCGCAAGCGCTCGTCGAAGCTTTCCCCGACGCTCCCATCAAGCTGATCGAGACGCTTGATGTCTGGCCTGCTGAGGGGCCTTCACCAACTGTCATTGTATCCACCGTCCCAGCGAGTGCGACAACTATCGATAGCACGAACCCGGGGGCCGTACTTCTTCCGCTGGCATTGTTTGACGCGACCACGAATGGCGTGGTTGTGGATATGGCATACAAACCCGCCGTGACCCCTCTTCTTATGCTCGCGAAGAGTGCAGCTCCGAAGTGGGCGAGGGTTATGGGGGTCGAGGTGCTCCTGGAGCAGGGTTATATTCAATTTGAAACATGGACGGGACGCAGATGCCCGAAGCATGTCGTGTCAAAGAGTGTGTTGGAGAAATATTTTGCAGCTGCCTAGGTGGATTTATGTCTGTTTGGATGTTAAAAGGTTGTTGATTAGCTTGGTGTCAATATATGTTGTATGATCTAGATGGCTATCGATGCAATTTATCGGCATGGAGTTTGTTTCAAAGATCCGAATTCTCTACTACATTTCTCCTCGACCGTCGAATCTTGATCCTACACCTCCCTCACTTTTTATTCCCCGATGAGCAACTGATATGACCAACTCCACAATCAAGAAGAAACGACTCTGTTCCTCCTATATGGTCTGGCTAGGAGACTAGATCAACTCAGCACATTCTCCCCTATCGGTGTGTTTCGTAGACACTTGTCTCACTTTCCCGTGTCACGTCGGATTCATAGCCATGTCGATTAGATTTATGCTACGCAGTTTATTGTCCTAGTCGACTTCGTCGTAATTGATACCCGAACCAAGCTCCTTGCGCTTCTTGTCTGGTGCAAAAGGTACGATACGTAAATGAATAAATGACAGATAAGTTATATCCCACCTCCACTGCCTGGACCGTCGTACCAAGCATATATTATAAAGTCGGACTTCAGCTCCTCGCGCTTCTTACCCTCTTCTGGGAGGTTCGTGTTAAGATTCTTTCGTTCGACTGAGTGGTGCATTAGGCATCTGAATGAATATGATACCGCTGATGATCATGAATACTCACAGGAACGTTTCGAGATGGCTCCTGGCGTGGGCGACGCTGCAGCAAGAATGGCGAGAGATATAAGTGCGCTCAGGAGCACAGAAAGCTGCATGTTTAGGAATAAGAGGAGCGACTATACACCCCATTGAGAAGGCTTTTATATATTCTCGTAGATCCATTCGACTCCAACCTCTTCCACAAACGATGATTGCACACATGTCCAGATCGTGGCCAGTGGACCTTCGTCAGTAGTTGTTAAGAGTTGTCTGATATGGGACCGAGACCCAGTAACCAATAAACAGGTTCGAGAAAACAGCTGTGATGGATTGCGTGGCAATTGTCCAGTGACTGATACAAATGAGTCCGGTGCGGAAGTTTCATCGTCATGGTGGATTTACAGTCAGACAACGTTTGGTAGTGTGTAAGGAGCTGCCACGTCGCAACCGGATTATACATGAATAAAAATTCAAACATACCGTCATGATTGCCAGCATCTCTTGCAGTTATCAAGCGCAGTTTAGTTTTGCCAATCTACAATGGAAGGATGAATCGTGATGGCCGAAGGCTAAGTACTTAAGTCTCCACACCTTGCCGGACTGCTACTGGTTGACATGACGTATCTGCCACGGGTCTTCGAGAAAAACACTTGGAATGGCGACATGCCAGCGAGTGATGTTTGAGATTCCTCGGAGCACCACAGAGGCCACGCGTTTGAGAGTAGCAGTATCAGGCTGCAGTTACATGATCGTCTCGTTCTCCCTCATTCTACAGCAAGTTTAGATGAATCGAGCAGACCGAGGAGCAGGGGGAAAATGTATAAAAGCCCTCTTGAAATTTTCGTGACGAACTTGAAGTAGGAGCCACTGTTCCGCTCTCAATCCTAAAACATCTTGCGCACTCACACTGTCCGTCATCTTCTTTCCGCTACGTACCTTGTGTACCCCATGCCAGGAGACATCATGACATGATTCAAATTCTGAGGATTCGTGACCTCTGTTGCAATAGAATGTGTTAAGATGTGAGAGCGTCCGGGAAGCGGACACTCTGTCACGGATTCCGTCTAGGCGTGTGACAATTTCAATAATTACTTAGTCAGCACACTTTTTGGAATCCCAATCCCTGCGAAGCAAATACATACGTAGCCTTTTAGCGATTTAGCAGGCGATGACACACCGATTATTCATCAGCGACAATCATTGGGTCTAGTGGCCTTGCGAAACAAGATGATCCGTGAGCAAGTGTCTGGGAATCAAGCGTTTGCTCATCATTCCTGTTCTCTGGCCTAGACATACAAGCCTTGAGTCTGATATTCTAGATTAGCATCAATCTACATCCCGCTTGTTTTATAGACTTAGATACGACAGTTCTTCCAAGGCACCAATAGCTACTCTCCTTCCACGGTATTCAGGCTGAACAAGTGCAGTGAGCAAGCAGGCGAGCAGCATGATATTCCTCATGCATCACGACGTGACGCGCTGAGGTGTAGGGAGGTCAACCGTATCTTCGAAACGAGTAACCTCAGATGGATCGATATGAACAGCGTGTTCGACAGACCAATCTATGATTTTCTCAAAGTTCCAGCATCGATGACGGGTGTTGAAGTTAGGGTAAGGGACCGTGTGTCCCTGCACCCAGTACCATGTGATCATCGTCACGTCGGCATTGCACATGATATTCTGCCTTATCATTTCGATACAGTGATCTGGACCGCAACGGTATATCATAAGCAATAGTGCCTTAAGGCAGAAACAATATTCACCAAGATGCAGACGGACTATTTCTGGGGTGTCTTGGAACGACATATCCGTGGGCTCATAATACTCCAACCAGGAGGCTTTGCGAAGCAAGTTCTACTCACGTGTGAGCCAAGCATGAACATATTGTCAGTGTAGTATGGCTTACCACACAATGCATTTGGTGAGCGGATTCCAAAGAAACCATGTAACCTCCACCAATTTTGTCCGGATACCTAACTTTCGAACGTAAATCTGTTGTGCCTGCTTTGAGCATCTCCTCACGGGTCATCCAAGTCGGCGTCACTGGGTTTTACTGAGGTGGTCAATTAATAACTGCTATAACGATACCAATGCCGCACCATCACGACCTATTCGACTCAAAGCGGCATCAATTTCTGGGGAAGGGGGGCCACGATAGATAGAAGGAAAGTCGAGGGTCCCGTTAAACTTTACAATCGCGGGCTCGACGGTGATATTTGCTGGAGCTGTGATGGATTAATAACTATACCGTTCGATGTAGTCCGTCCACTCACAGTATATACTAGGAATGTCATTACGCAGGTGAGTCGAAGGCGTACGCATCCAATGCCATCCATAGCGCGAAAGAGATAACCGATGTACAAACAAGTATGCCATGGGTCAACCACAGGCGGAGGGCACGCGACTCGGGACGAGGTTCTGCACCGAATCTTTCTGCATCACCAGATAGTTTCTCGTCGTCATCATCGAGAGTGTCAATAGGAGAGTACTGTGAGAAATGTTTGATCATCATCTTTGGGTAAAGTAACTCCGTTTATCACTGAACACGAGGGAGCTCCGAGCAGGAGTTGGGGTCTGAGAGGGATTGGGTCTAAGACTCAAGAGCCTTTAAATTTGTGTTAAATGTGAGCTATCGAAAATATGCTGCACCAATCACAAGTGCTGACCTTGATCATCGCATACGTAGTGTGCATTATATGAGTGTCGATGAATTATGAAGTGATGCACAGTGAATCAGTGGTCTAGGATAAGCATGTCATCACAACCAGGGCAAAGTAAATCTATGTACAATGCCTCTGCACACGTGGCAGTACATGTGCGCACGTGCTAGTAGAAATATTGTAGACTACTATGTAGTGACACGTCGGGACACGACGGTCTGTTCAAAAATGAACAAGCTGGCCACCCATACGTCATGATGTAGTTTCCACCTACTGGCATACAAATTAAGATGGTAAACTCGATTTACTACGTGGCAGCTATTCGAAACGAGATAACGCTGGACAACTACGAATTCTGCACATTCCATCAGGCAACTACACAACTCATCATGGCTTTGCAACATCTTGATCAGCGATCTTCACAAGTGTTGACGTGGACGCTCTCGATTATTTCAAGTGGCTACTAGTCATTCTAGTCCAAAGGAAATGAATAAAGAAACCTCGGAGTTACTCTGAGTCTGGCTGCCACTGCATAAATTAACGGGCCGATTGTGGGCGCTGGCCATTGAAGGACTTGTTTCAGGAATCTGCATAGTGCACCTGGGCCGGATGTTGCTGAGTGTCGGCATACCCGCCGGAAGTCGCGAGCTTTTGAAGGCAATTGAAGTCGCTTTCTACGAGTCCATTACACATTAATGATTCATTTGACCTACAGATGGAAAGCTGCAGGATCCAATTCGCGTGCCCGAAAGACAAGTAGAATGTGAAGGGTAGATACGTCATCGAGACCAGAGGATATCATTTGCCCTAGGAGTCTCAAAAGTGCTGCTGCCCACGACCTAACTGGGAGCAGCCGGGAACGCAATAGGTAATGTGTCGCCATGTCATCGTGAAACGTGGCTTCGAGGGGAGAAATGGTCTGGGAGATTCTTTTCTCACTTACTATGACCATCCAGACAGATCGCACCAGGTCCTCAGCACCAACTCAGGCCTCATCAGTTTTACCGAGCACTGTCACAGCTTCTGGGATGGATAAAGGCTTCACAGGTGATCAAACATCCTAGCTGCCTGGTTCAAACTCGGCTCATCAATTACAGATTTAGATTTTCTTTCGCAACTCATGCATAAGGAATACTACACTCAGTATTCTCCTTCCGATGTGGTCGACGATGACGGTACCAAGCTCCTTGATGGTGGTATAGCAACTAGTCCTCCACCAAGGTCTCGCTTCCTTCACTTACGGCCATTGCTAAGCCATGGTGTGCTGATGTCCATAACTTTGGTGTTCTTCACACTCTGGGCACAGGCGCCTTCGATAGATGACGTAGTTCTGTTTTGTAGGTGGATAACTAGAGTCAGAGCACAAGGTCTTACTTACCCGTCACAGCTCCAGCAAATGAGGCAGTTGAATCTATCGGCATCGTAAAATTCAACGGAAGTTTTGGTGCTACTTCCATATACCGTGGCAGTCCATCCTCAGAGCTCGACGCCGCTTGGGATAGGATATCTTATAATGGTTTCACCTTGCACTTTGTTCCCATCATAGACTGTTGCTGACGGGAAGCATTTTACAGCGCGCCCAATTCAGATGACGCATGAGCAATTGCTCAGAACAGGGGGAAAACCTTCTCCTGCCATGGCTAGGTATCCGGACAAATACGGTGGAGGTTACATGGCAACTGTAGAAGTCATTCATCAGCTTCATTGCTTAGTCAGTTGTCAAACAGAGTCTGGTCGATCCTTGCTCAATTTTCTGTAGGACATGGTTCGCAGAGCCAGCTGGGGTGACCACCACTCTCATCATGGGAACATGTACGAAACCCCTGAAGAATTTCGTACCCATCTCGGTAGGTGTATTGTTTTTTTTTGCTTTGCCCACAACCTGCTTATGTCGCACTTCAGACCACTGCATTGAGATGCTCAGGCAGTTCACTATGTGTACCAGTGATACGACAATGATAACTCATGATTGGGTAGAGGGAAGGACAACCCCATTCGCTGATTTCAACGTTCATCACCAATGTAAAAACTTTGAGAAGGTCTTAAATTGGGTCGATGAGCATCGTGTTTTTGTCCCTAAATCCGAGATGGTCCGCTTGGACGATAACGTGGACCTGCCTTCCCCTCCTTGACCACATTCTTCATGTATTCTCTCCTTATGAAGCATCCTCTCCCTATGATAGTAGTTATAGTCGCAGCATTGTCTCCAACTCCCACGTTAGTGGAGGACAAGAAGTGTGCGTTCGCAAAATGCCGAACACAGGGCTCGTCTTTAGATAAGCATCGAAACCTTAAAGTACAGCCACCCGAACTTTCGTAACATGCGTTTTGAGTTTCTCGCCAGCGGCCTCAAATCATGATAAACTCGCTTGTCGAGTACTGAGAAGGGGGTATTTTCACTAGTTTAGAACAGCTCCAGATAGTTATTTTAATGAAACATGCCCATCCAAAGATACTACCTGCTAAATGAGACATCTTGGATGTGATTTTTGGGAACATGTGACGAAAGTCATTCATGTTAATATCAATATGATGTGTCTCAAACGTGTCTCGCATCTCCTTCATCTCTCCTTAAAACTATCATTCAATATGTATCCTACAACCCTGTTGACATCGCATTGCCTTTTTGCACTATCTCGTTATCTTGTTCACCTTCGGTACCACACTGTCCGAGTCTTCTTAGCTTCTTGCACCTTATGGCACACTCGCATGTTAATCCTCCGGTCTCGTTACTAAGCAGTTCTTGCCACTACTTACATTGTCGTCTCGACTCTGTTGATACCTCAGTTTTGTTCCCCAACATAACTGAGGTATGTAGTATATTCACTTACAGACTCTTGACTCATACTAACGCATACACTAGTTGTTGCTCCCACATTAGGTACTTATGAATATAGTTTTGTTCCCCAACATAACTGAGTTGTTGCTCCCGTGTTAGTACTGCTAACACACACAGGTTATGAGCCCTGGGCTCTAGTTAGCCCAGATGATACACAAAGCAACAGCACAACACTCACTACGAATCTCTCTGTCACTAACAATGGGAAAATTCGATCACATTCCCAAGCTGACAGGCTCAGACAATTTTCTGAGCTGGTGATGCACCGTAGAACTAGCATTGGCTGGAGAAGGGCTCTGGAATCACTGTAGCAGTGGAACAGACCCTCTCGATATGGCCGAGTATGCTAGCAAGATGCCCATACCAGTAGCACCCACAACTCCCACATCTGCAGAGATCATTAGCATGAAGGAATGGATGAAGGAGGACACACAAACCAAGGCCATCATTGGCTGACAGATGTCTCCCATAGTCCAAAACATGCTTGGTGAAAAGCTAATGGCCTGTCAGCAATGGGAAGTCCTATTGAAGCGTTTTGTGTGCCTTGACATTACCTCTCAATATGAGCTTCATTCCCACCTCTTCTCAGAGAAACTGAAGGATGCAGAGGATGCACCTCATTACCTCGGAGTCTTTGAGAATGCCCATCATAGATTTGTGGAGATGTCTGTCACCTTCACTGACGAAGAAAGCATCTTCATGCTGCTTAACGGACTCCCAGACACCCCTCAGTGGGTAGTCTTCCGCAGCCTCACCATGAACACCTACAAAATCTCCCTGTCACCATCATCTACTTTGATGCCGTCACCAAAACTCACCTTCGAGGAGGTCGCAATGTCCTTCACAGAAGAAGCGAACCATCAGAAAGGGAAGCTCAAGCTTCAAGCTCGCCCTGGGTCAAAATATGCCAATGCAGCAGGCAGCTTCTCTCAGAGGTTGACAGAACAACACACTGTGAACCCAGCAACAGGCGTCTGGATTCACAAGCAGAACCCTAAGGGGGTGCCCTGCAAGAATCCGGTGTGCAATGGTCTCCCTAGGTCACTGATGCATGACTGTGACCACTGCCTGCAACCTGGTGGGGGCATGGAAGGAAAAGCACCCTGGAGTCAGTGCAGTGAATGAGGGGGAAGTAAAAAGAAAGACATAGCAGCAGCAGCTACAGAGACCAAGGCACCCACCACTCCTACAACCTCATCCTCCACAGAGACAGCTGCCCTCACTACCCATCATCATGACTGGTCCTGTGCCACAGTCAAAGAGCTGTTGCTGGAGTCCATGCCCAAACCTGAGGATCTTGCATGTATTGCCAGTCAAATGCTGTTGACTATCCTGGACTCTGGGATGACGTCAATGCTCATCATGGACAAGAAGTATTTCTGGACTTACAACACCAGCGATCAAGTCACAGTCAAAACAGCCAACCATGGGAAGCTCATCACCACAGCATGTGGTGACTGCATCGCAGACCTCACAGTTGCTGGACGAATGCAGTGCATACGGCTCAGTGAATGCCTTCACGCTCCTGGTGCAATGGTGAACCTGTTGTCAGTAGGGCGAATGTTGAAGAAGGGATGGTCCTGCCTCTTTCTGCCAAACCCTCCCTGTTATCAGCTCAACTATCAAGGTGAGAACCTTGGCGACACACCAATGGTGGGGAACTTGGTATTCTTAGACTTAAAGTTCATTCTCCCCACTACGCCCATGCCCCACGTTGAGATCTCAGCATTTGCCAAAGTCCCGTTGTTGTGGAACCTCTGGCATGCGCAGCTTGGTCATCCTGGCAGAGATGCTGTCAAATGTCTTAGTCATTTCTCTGTTGGCGCTTGAGTTGACTCATCACAGCCACTGCAAATGTGCGAACCTTGCATCATGGGTAAACACCCATGCAAACCTTATCCCCCATCAACAATGCCCAAAGCGTCACACATTCTCGACCTCGTCCATTCAGATCTTTGTGGACCATTCCCACTTGCAACTCCTCACAGCAAACACCATTTCATCCTCTTCCTCAACGACCACAGCAACTTGCTCAATCTGCAACTGCTCGCGACGAAAGATCAGGCATTGGAGGCTTGGGAGATGGTTAGGAAGCATTGGGAAACCTTGTCTGGTTGACAGGTGAAGGTGTTCCGTTTGGATAATGGTGGAGAGTTCATAGGTGCATCTTTCACTCAGGCTCTCACCACTGCAGGCATCACCTGTCAGCTGTCAGCGCTGTACTCTCATCAGCAGAACGGCAAAGCTGAATGCGCCATCCGCACCATTGAAGGCCGTCTTTTCGCCATGCTGGAGACAGCAGGTCTGCCAGCTGCATACTGGGGTGAGGCTGCTCTAACAGCCTGTTACCTGTGGAATCGCAGTGAATCCTCCACGTTGCCTCCAGGTGTTACCCCTTATGAAATCTTGAACAGCCGTAAACCTGACCTGTCCCACCTCCGTGTCTTTGGCACACGATGCTTCACACAAATTCCCTCCGAGCTCCAAGTGAAACTTGGTCCCCACTCCCACCACGCAATCTTCATCGGATATCCAGAGGGCACCAAGGGCTATTGTTTGCAGGATAAGGATTTGGGCACCTTCTTTGTAGCCTGCAATGTCATATTTGATGAAAACATGCCTTCCCTTGCCTCTGACTCTGACTCCGATGATGACAGCACCCCTCCCACCACACCTCCAGCGCCCACACCTCTCATGACTGCACCTTCCTTCACACCAGCTCTTCCATCCTCTCCACCAGCTCCCCCTCATCGTTCTTCTCGCCAACAGGTTTGGATGGCTGGTGGCCAAGCTTTCGCTGAGGAGATTGCTGCCTCCAAAGCATGTCTTCAGGCCTTGCATGATGCTCGTTCAGAGCGATCAATGTAGCTTTGCAAGGGGGTGAGTGACGCGAACCTCGACGATGAGAACATCACGGACATCAAGCCAAATGTCGACGTACCTGTCATATCCCATAATCTGGACCCACATTCCATCATATTCACATGCCTTCCGAGCCTACATCCAGACCCCACTTCATATCTAGCTCATTCCCAGATCCCCTTCCACTGTGCTCCACACCTCAGCAGGATCGACTATGCTCCGGATTTACCCCTGAGCTCCGGACCATCGGATCTCCACTGCTAGCCTGATCCATACCCCCCTGTCCCATCCACCCTATGCACACTCCATCTAGCAAGACATCCAGACTTCACCTTGTCTCGGATTCCAGACTATATCCACCTTCCCATATTCCAGTCCTGTATCCACCTTGTCTTCCAGATCCCCAGATCTTCGGACCTCCGGATATTAATGCCGGACCTATTCCCACCCTCTGTCCAAGATCCTGCGCCTATCCCCATTTAGGCATCTCTACCTTTCTGGCTTTCAGTTACCTCTTCTTCCGTCTTGCTTATTGATCCTTGTATGAGTCTTCATCTCCGAGTTCATTTACTTATGTTCCATCTTACTTACTAATGTGTTTCCACATGCTCATACATAGCCCTGCTCCTTTGCTTATTGATCCCCTCAGATATTCTCCAGTATATAACCCCTGTAGATACTCCTGTAGTTCCTCAGTTTGAATATCAACTTAGACTTGCCCAATCCTCTCTTGGACTTTGGTCCAGCTAAGTCTGTCCTACCCATCAGGCCTAGGGATTGATTCCCTAGGCCAGAGCTCTGCCTTTCCGGCACTTACCCTCTTTCCAGACTTAGGTCCAATCCCTGTCTCTCCAACTCTACCTTAGGGTAGTCCACCTCTGTTTGTTTCTACATTGGACTTTGTTTGATGTAGCCCCTATTCCTTCTGGACCTCCGGACCTCCTGTCCCTCATACCTCCAGGCATCCTGTCCTTCGGATGTTCCGCCCTCCGTACCTTTGGACCTCCTGTCCCTCGTACCTCCAGGCATCCTGTCCTTCAGATGTTCTGTCCTCCTAACCCTTGGACATCCTATCCTCCTGTCCTTCGGACATCCTGCCCTCTGTACCTCTGGACATCCTGTCCCTCTGTCCTCCATCATCCTGCCCTCCTGTCCTCCTGTCCTCCTGTCCTCTGGACCTTCGGACCTCCTATCCCTCCATCCTGTTTCCTGTAGAAGTATTACCTTGCAGTGGGAACTCTCCTGAGCACTTCCTGTGTTCCTCTGGAACTCTCCCGTGCTCCTCTGGAAGTCCTCTAGCGCTCTCCAGCAGAGTAGCCAGCCTCCGGAAGTCCTCCAGACTTCGTCGGACCATCATCAGACCTCATACAAAATGAAGGGCACATACTTGGGTAAGGGGCACAGCATACGAGCTGAGGCCAAGCCCCTCTGAGTCAGTCTCTCCCCCTTGAGCAACATGGTTCTTAACAGCTTCACACAATGTGCCATTGATCATGCAGTCTTCATTTACAACAAAATGACAGCCTCCACTGGCCACATCATCTGCATAATTGGGTGGCACGTTGACGATGGCATGGGAACGTCTAACTCTAAGCCTTTCCTTCTCTACGTTAAAGGTTGCATTGCTCAACACTTCGGTATCAAAGACTTAGGCCCCATCCAAAAGTTTCTAGGGATGCAATTTGAGCGTCATTGCTCCAGCTGTGATCTTTGGATCCATCAAGCTGAATATATCACATATCTCCTTGATGAATACGACCTCGATTGTAATCCAGTACAACTCCTCCTTGACCCCAAGTACCCTTTTGGACTTGACACTACCATCTACGATGACGTTGCAGACCTCCCTACCCACTATCGCAAGATAGTCAGTGAACTACTCTATCTTGCTGTCTGCACATGCGCCGACATCTCCTACACTGTTAACGCCCTCACTCAGCACTGCACCAAACCATCCCCCCGCTATTACGCTGCAGCCAAGCACTTACTTCACTATCTTAGCGGTACAGTGAACCTTCGCTCTCACTATGGGGGTGAATGCGCTGATGAAGGCTTACACAGGTATTGTGACACTGACTGGGTGAGCACACCTGAGGACCATCTATCCATTTCCGGCTACACATGGTTCTTTGCTGGGGGTCTTATTGCCCATGTTTTGAAGAAACAGACCACCCATGCATTGTCCTCCATGGAGGCTGAATACATGGCGGTCACACACGCACTCCAGGAAGGTATTTGGTTGAAGTCACTGTTCACTGAGCTTCATGTCGTGTTCCCTCATCCCATCATCCTTCACATGGATAACACGGGCGCCATCTCACTGTCAAAGGAGGCAAAGAACCATATCTGCTCAAAACATATTGACATTTGATATCACTTCATCTGTGAATACATCAAGAATGGCCTATTCCTCCCTCTCTGGATCCCATCCTACCGAAACATCGCAGATATCCTCACTAAGGTGCTCCCTTGGCCCTTATTTTTGAAACACTCTACTGATTTACAGTTGGTATCTTGGTGAGGGGGTGTGTTGACATCACATTGCCTTTTTGCACTATCTCATTATCTTGTTCACCTTCAGTACCACACTGTCTGAGTCTTCTTAGCTTCTTGCACCTTATGGCACACTCACATGTTAATCCTCCGGTCTTGTTACTAAGCAGTTCTTGCCACTACTTACATTGTCATCTCGACTCCATTGATACCCCAGTTTTGTTCCCCAACATAACTGAGGTATGTAGTATATTCACTTACAGACTCTCGACTCATACTAATGCATACACTAGTTGTTGCTCCTGCATTAGGTACTTATGAATATAGTTTTGTTCCCCAACATAACTGAGTTGTTGCTCCCACGTTAGTACTGCTAACGTGCACAAACCCATCCATCTGCTCACTATGATTCCTGGTTTGCTTTGGAAGATGAGGGCGAAACTTATCATATCATGGACCTCGAGGACAATTCATATCACACCACACATTTTGGATCCAATCATTCATCAAATCACTCTAATACCATCTGCACATCATCCAGACACTCACAGACCTAATCCATAGACTTTCAAGTATTTCTAGATTCAGATACACCATCACATAGCTACTCTTCCTGTATTCCTAGTTTATCTTCCCTGAATTCTCCCTCTCATCAATCATCAACAGATAGCCAATTATCAAATTCATCTTCAGTCCTGGCCATGATATCAGACTCAGAAATTGATGTCAAGGTGCAGTTCAAACTCAATACACCCAAATTGCTATATGCTTTATTCAAGGCAAATTGGCTGTGTTTTGGATCAGTTTGGGGACCAGTGGAGAATACTGTGCCCTGAGTGTGAAGACTGGTGTCAAACCAGTGTTCATACTACCTTACCTCTATGGGCCACTGGCCAGTTCAAGTTGCTCACTAACCACTGAGGTAGCAAAAAGTGTGCCACAACTGCTGCAAAAAAGCAACACCCACCATCTCAAAAAGCCAGTACATCAGCTGATCAGCCTAAACCTCCTGATAATGAAGGCACATTCATTTTGGTTGCTTTTCTTTAGTAATACCAGCTGATTGTTATCTCATTCACCTCATTATCAACAGCACTCATCAGAACATAATACATTCTGTTAACTGGTACATTACATGTCCTGGGATTCCTATCAACTGGCCTGATGACCTCCATACATTCTTCATGTCATTTCCTTGGGCATGATACCATGATGGACCTGACAGACTACCATTTACTGTCGACATTACAATTCCCAGACTCCCTTGTGCTTGCTCAAAATTCTGCACACATCTTACAATTCAGGAGGACTACCCATGCAAAGAGTGCAGTGAAACTTACATGCATATCTATCATCTCATCAATATTGCACATAATCCTAAGGCCCACACAAACTATCAATATCTTGGTCTTGCACACATGTGAGACATGGTCAAAAAATATGTGGATCAAGCTAATTAATTAAAGCTTCAGGTATGTTTTATTATTCTACCTGGGTCCTGTATGTATTCTCATTAACTCTTTCTAGGCCTGTAATGACTCATGCAAGTATATGTATGCTCTCACTCAGTTGGATGATTACAACTGCCTCATGATGGCTATCTCTGAAAATGACATCCCTTGCATTCATCAAGTCATCAACATTGCTTTGTGCCATGGTGCAAGCATCCAAAAAATCATCAACAAATTGGAAGATGCTCTAGAGGGCGTGTACCACCCATGAGGATATGGCACTGACATCAGGGAAGTGACGTGAAAATGGTAAAGTTTTGTCAAGCTTTACCTGATTTAAAATTGTATAATAGTGGTAGTCAGAGTGAATGATTTTGAGACAATTCAGCATGCAATTACAGGACGATTCAAAATGCGAAAATCATGTGAAAATCGCAGTTATTTTGAACACCCCACTTTAAAGTGCTTAGCTACCAATGGATTTTCAATGTGATTCTTGTGTATACATGTGTGTATGCTAAGTACCTTACTGAGTTGGACCACTCAAGATGCCACAATGGATGCAAAGGCAAGTGCAGGTACAGAATCTAATTATGTTTGCATTGCAGGTAAAGAAAAAATGAGTGCAAATCTACTTGCATCACCAATGGAGGCTTGAAAGCCTTACTACGGAACATGAATTTGATAGCTTGGATGCTGTTCTTGAGGACTGTCATATCTGCATATCCAGATCTCAGATCCAATCCATATCTCATCTCAGATCCAATCCACATCTTATCTCCAATCCTATCCACATCTGATCCCCCTCCAACATCTCATCATCCAATCTGCCCACTCGTCCAGTCTGGTCAACAATTCATCCAAATCCACGACCAGCACTCATCTCCTTTCAGTAATCCCCTGACTCTGGTCACCACACCCTAGCAGGTGTATCAATACTTACTGGCCATAGTAACACATCATGAATGTATACTTCTCAGTGCTGGTCAGTGGCTTCTTGTATCAATACTTCCCCTGCAGTACTAGCCCCCTGGCGCCCTGTATTAATACACTCCTTGTATTCATACTCTCCTCGGCACTCATCCCCAGGGTGCCCCACAATGCATGCTGACTAAGATCAATGATCATCAGATGTGTTAGATCTCTGGTAGATCACCTTCTCACCTTCTGTCTGAGGCACTGTCATAAGTATTCTTCTAGGCTTTGCAGCCCACACCCTAGTAGATCTTGTATCTGAATGTTATGTTTTTTTGTATCCATATGAGGAAATAATGGAAATCACACAAATTTGTTTCAAAATGGTGCGAATGGACACATTCTCTCAGTTGACATGAGTCATGACCACTGCTGGCAAGGCAAACAAGTGAATTCGATGATAGTTGTCAAGATTTAGTTGTCAGATACAAGAAACATATGGAAAAAAAACATAAAAGCATTGAAAAACATATTATGCAATATAGGATATAGTTGACTGAGTGAGGAGGCCAGGAACCACACTCCACAAAGAAAGACAGTGGGCCTGCATCAAATGTCAGATGTTAGCTTGCCATGAAGTGTATGCGATGAGAGCCTCATTCTCCTGCACTGCAAAATCAACCCTGGCAACAGCATGTTCATCCCACCACCTTCCTTGCCAATCAAAATAGGCAAGCACACGCTGCATCTCCTCCTGCAAGAGATCAACTTCTTCAGCCCACCTGTCAGCACATGTGCATGCTTTGCACCATTCCACACGCATGGCTGTGGAGAGCTCTTCCTCACCTGCGCCATGGTGTTGCTTCCAAATCCAGGAAACCGGAACTAATCTTCAACCCTCTGTTTCACCTTCTCCCCCTGCCTGTGCCTCTGTCATCCCTCGGATATTGTCATCGTTGAGTTTTGGGAATTTGACCTGCCAGGTGAGCTTTGAGAGTTTAACACTGAGAGAATCTAAGGCAGCCCAAGCAGTGCAATACTTTGTAGCAGCGGCATCTATCTTGAGCTGTACAGTATTGATAACTGCCTGTGATCTGGTATGCACTCATTGTCCTCTGATCCAAACCCTCTTGAAGCCAGTGAGATGCCGTTTTAGTCACAAATGTTTATGGAGTTCTTGGAGAGCATCATATGCCTGGGCACAACGCAGTTTCCACTCAATGTTGTAGAGGTTGATATCACAAGTCATACCCATATTCACCACCGCAGAAGGCATCCATAACTTTATACAGTGGACTGGCTCTTCTGGCAGGTTGGGCATATCAGGGGTGTTGCTTCGCAGGTGGGCAATGCATGGCATGTACAGCATTTGTATCTGTGCCCATTATTTGATATGGTGGTGCAGACCATTTGTTTGTTGTTGTAGTGTAGAAAGCTGATTGTCCATGGTGTGAGCACCAGTATTGGTACTATCTATAGCTAGGTGCTGTCTAAGAAATAAAAGATCAATGAATGGTCAGCAACCAGCACCATGAAGCACTTACTGCAGAGATTCAAGATCAATTCTGACTGCTACTAACACACTTGGAGATATATCTGGATGCAGAGAGGTGTTGACACCATGGCTGAGCTGTTGCCCTTTGAGTTGTGAGAGTTCGAGCCTGATGGAAGCTTGCATGGCGACTGTGACAAGAGTGTCAGACTACAATACACCACATGAACTTGAGATACATACCTGACGCCTCCAACTTGAAAGGATTTGGCTTTGATTGGTCCTGTTCCCATTCAGTGATCATGACCTGCCAGGCCACAAGACTGACTGGTGGAATTGCTTCTTCAAAGTCTCGGAGGTCGAAGATATGCTGGTCACGCTCAGGAATCACCTCTTTGAGTGTCCATAAAAAGAAAGGACCTAATGGTGACAAGTGAGTGCAAGAGAGACTAAAAGAGATGCAGTACATACCCAAATTACATACTTTGTGCCAGTTCCAATCTCCAAAATGATTGTCCAGGATGTTGCATCATGATCCTGGACCCATTTCCTGTGTACTCATAGCGATTGGATTGATGTTAGACCAACCTTGTTCAATGGCCTTGCCATCAGTCCTTGCCATACCCTTGATGAGGTTGAGGGAATATGTGGTTTGGCAAGAAAGGATGTGTGCCAGCAGATGGAATTTCAGAACTATGGATGTGAAGACCTTGTTGTTGGGCTGTAAGTGGATCCTGGATGGGTACCATGACATCTGGGTCCAAAGGTGTTTGGACCATTGGCATGCGATATCATAAGAGACGGTGAGCACATGGACATCACTCGCATGCTGTAAAGTCAAGAAGAAAAGATAATCCATATTGACATATCTAACCAAACGTCTATTAGGATTCACACTGAGACAGAATAGGAAATGAACTTACCTTTCACCTTTCTGTAGATCACCGACTGCTGATGGACAAGTCAGGTTATGGCATGCACAAACTATCGCCCCAACACCTGTGGCTGCCATCCCACATGTGTTTTTAGTGTCAGCGAGATTGACAGCATTATGGCCTGCGCAGGAACTTTTCTAAATGGTACAAAATCAGCCAGTCACATGTCACCAATTGACAAATGCTCACCTCTTGTAGCTGCCCACTGGAAGCATCCAGTACCTCCTTGAATCTAGTTCACTCCACAAAATATGACCAGCCATTACTTAGGCCTGGACCTGCTTGGTTGGAAGACTTGTTGCGATGGCATAACCAAAAGTTTGCATCAATAGCCAAAAATAATCCATACAGCCACCTGTCAAAATGTAAGTATGAATGTTGAATACATAAATGAGAACACAAAACATACTTTACATTTGGTGGAGCATTTTCCCAACCTTGCAGCAAATTTCTGCCTGGCTGAGGACAAGCTGGACAAAGTATTGTGAGCTCCCCTTCCTTTGTGCTGAGAATACCACTTGGATCATGACTGTGTCCAGCTCGTAAAAGAGAGGTGAGGTGAGGATGTTGGCAACTCATCCTTAGGAACAACTCATAATGGTCCTTAATATCTGTCAGTATGCGAACCACACCATTAAATTACTCAGTACCTTTGGTTGATGTGTCCCGGTATTGTCAGTCAGACATGACAGCAATTGATAGTATTCAAATGCGGATCCTTTGGATTCAAAGGTATACATCTGAAAGTGATCTAGAAGGCAGAAAGTGGCAGCCGTCCATGGATTGGTAGTGGTTGACGGGTACCAGTGAGCGCGCAACAGTTGAATATTGTGAGTTTGCACTGTAGTGCAGTTACAGAAATTGAGGGTGACACTGTGTATGCCATTGATCTCGAGTACAATGAAATCATTGTCAAATGCAGGGGCTGGATTGCAACACATGACTCCAGGAGGATGGCCAAGTTGAACACATAGGCCAAGGTTATGGAGTGAGATACACTGGAAATGGGTGCTGTTACAGTCAAGCCTGCCCCTATCCATTTTCCCAAACCTTTACTCACTTGTATTACATCACGACCGCTATCACTGTCGTTAGATGACTCATCTCTCTTATCTGTATTACATCATGATCGCTATTGCCGTCACTAGATGACTTATCTCTGACTCGTTCCTTATCTCTGACTCGGTTCTTATCTCTGACTTGCTTACTTATCTCCGACTCAAATACCTACTATAAATAGCCGGTCATGTACTCAGTAGAACTTCACTTTAATCCTACTAGGTTTTACCAGAACTTCCTTCGCTTAAGACCTCCAATCTTAAGTCGTCTGAATACTGATATTCAAGCTGGAGACACTCTCTCTGACTTGTCTTAACAACCTTACATTTGTAAGGTCTTGATTCAACTTCAGCCATCGCTCTTATCGAGCAGCTGTCGTTGCGACTATCCTAGTTTGTAACAGGTGCCCATCCAGATCTGAGCAGTGTGAACAATGCAAACCATAAATACAAATTAAAAAAACTTACCTCCATAACATGCAATGGCATTGCAATGTGTTGCACAACTGTGCATCCTTGACAGTACAACTGAAGCCCTTCACAGTCCCTGCAGCAGATGACAGCTTCGTTTGGGCATCCGGGTAAACCTTGACATGTTTGATACAACATAGTGTCTCTGTATCCTTTGAGTCAGATGAACTCCCTAAGAAATTTTTCCCACTCCAAAATCCACAGCTTCATAGGTTTGTCCTTGAACATGGTGAGCAAGATACAGACACAGAAAAGACAACTTACCCCTGCTGTGCGAATCTTTTTGGCTTTAATAGGCTCCATGTCTGTGGTAGTATCCGCAAGGAATTCTACATAAGCTTCATTGACCACGTCAAAATTCAAAGCCTCTGAAAGTCCTGATGGGGTTGGTGCAGGTAAAACAACATGCAGCAATGATATCGCTTGTGGCGCCCAATAATATGAAGTCTTGACTGAGTGTTGGACCCTTTGTGTGATGTTGATAGACATGTGAGTGTGAAACATGCTTCCTGGTGGAGCACCATCTTGAGTGTCATCATTATGTTGGTGCTTCGCCTTGGCAGCATGTTGAGCAGTGTTCTCTGCAATAAACTGGTGGGCATACTTGTTGAGTTTTCAACAATAACCTTTAGACTTAGCACGTGAGACCATTAGAATTTTGGTTGGTTACCTTGATCGATCGAAATTCAACAACTTACATTCAATCACATGATATCATCAAAGCACAGTATATTCGATCACGTGATATAATGAAAGCACAGTATAGGGTACGGTAATCAAGCATGCTGCCATACTAGCCCATCATTGAACAGGGCGTGATCCAGAGCTCCTGGCTCTTGGTCCATCAGAGATAAGATTTGCTCCTCAGCTGCAAGCCAGGGGCATGCTGTGTGAAGAAGACACAAACATTCAGATTTAAGATATGTGGAGCATGGACCCTCTAAATTTGCAACAGATGTTGACAGAGCTTCAGTGTCATTGAGCAAAGCGGTAGCCTCTGATACTTGCTCCAGAAACTCTGGTCTCACAATGCTCCACCCTCACGCATCTATATCCTGTGGAATAGCACCAACATGAGCTTGACAACCATTGTGATGGCAGCTGCCACCAGTATATGTCCGGCTCAGTATCTCACCCAAGGTGTCAAACACATTAAGTGTTGCCTGCAATGACCTCAGTATTATACATCAATAGAACTAGTAAACATACTTCTTGGTCTCCCTGTCTCTGCCTCCACCTGCGCTGTGCTTTGTTGCATTCATAACCAATATGCCTGTGAACATGTTCCTGACCAATAGACTAAGTAACATATACAACCACTCACCACAAGTAATGTACACGCTTGGTCTGCTGATGTGCTTCTCATTACTCTTGTGATGATTTGCAATGGCATCCCATAAGTATTGAGAAAGGGTGTACAATTATGTGTAAGATGTGTGTAAGGAATGGGGCACATTTGTATATACTTGTTACAGTCTGAAGTTGGTTGACTTACACATAGACACAGCCACAACTTTGGGACAGTTATTGTCCTACACTCAACTGACTTGGATGCTCTATGTATCATGTAAATACAATCATCTAAATAGATCCAGGGCTATTGAATAGTATTATTAGATCTCTGAAGTGGCTAACGGTGCGACAGGTGTCATATCAAAATATTTAGCATCACTCAATTGAAATTCACACAAGTGATTGACTCAGAACAAGGTATACATTGATGCAAGGACTTCAAGACATGTAAAATACATTGGTATCTAACTATGTAGCTAATCAAAGCGGCAAGCGTGAGACAGAACCATCTTTCTCTGCCTGTGTATATGCAGCCTGAGCAGTGCTAAGAGAGGAGTAGCAGCCAAAACAGGCGCCTGGCACACCAATAACGTGAATGTGAATGTTATGCCTAGCAAAACAAGCATTAAAAAAGATAGATTAACAAGTGAGATACGATGCACCACCCTTGAAAGACACCTGTCTCGCGTCCAACTGTAATTACATACCAGCACTGGGACACAGATGTACTCATGTGGAAGGTAGGTGACACTGCTTGGGTGGTGGCAGCCATAACATGAGGGACGGGAGTGATTGGAGCCACCACTGTGGCAGCAGTGACATTAGTGATGGGAGCTACATTGTTGATGAGAGAAGTGGTGGTACCTAAGGAGTTGGAAGTGGCAGTACCCAAGGAGTCAGAGTGGTTACTCTCAGTATCGCTATTGTCAGTTACATGGTCGGCTACAGCAGCTGCTAATGAAAAAAATTTAATGTTAGACTGACAAAGATCACATAACAACAACTTACTGTTATTGTTCAGTCTCCCTTCCACACAATGAGAACATGCAGGGCAGTAACCAGCCCAAATGTCATCCACAGCATGTGTGACTTCGGCAATTTGGTGGTCAGCCTGAGTGATGGCTAAAAACATGGAATCAGCATAGTAACAAGTAAAAGTCTAACAACTTACCATGTTGGCTGCATACCAACTCCAAAGCACTAGCAAGCTCAGACAAACTGAAAGTTTCGTCCTTTGCTAAGGTGGGAAAAACTTTCATTTTGATCAAACAGTGGCAGTGACAGTGGTTAGGGCAGTGATGCAGAGTGGAAAAACAAGCTGGGTGGGTAAAAAAACCTGAGTCCAGCCTGGCTATTATAAGCATTCAGGAAACTCCAGCTATCTCACGCTCTCATTGGTCAATCTGAAGAAAATTTCAGATTCCATTGCTGAATGCAGTATCGATATACTGCTCCAAGCATACTAACACTGAGTCTGATTAGAAAAACACAAGGTATGTGTCACCACATCCGGATTATGACATTCATTTAGCCTGCCAATGGTTGATAGATGTCTGGAATGTCATGGATGACTCATGAGCAGGCTGACTTCCTGAAAAGTAAGGTGGATGGCTTTTTCCTCAGTCAGCTGCAAGGGGAAGTGGCCGTATACTGTACTAACACCTACTGAGAGTGGTTTGAAAAATGGCCAGAAGCAGCAGTACATTTCAAAGATGATGCTGGTATTGCACTCACAAACAATCAATTGACAAACAACCAGATGAAGCAGCTGGGTGTGTACATCAAACAATGGCACTCTGTATGTGTCATATTTCATTTTCATTTTGGTTCAGCTAATTGTAATTGTAATAGCAAATATGTTCTTATTTGTACCATGTGTCCATGGCTGCTCATGGTGAGGAGTTTGTACATCACATGGAGGTGGAGGCAAAGATTGAGTGTGCTCATCGTGCGGATAAGGTAAAAGCTGATCTTGAGGCTATCCACACACCTACTGAGTCTCTGAAAGCACAGTAAGTACTTTTTCATGTGGTAAATGTTGAATCAGATGCTGAAACATGTTGAAGATGTCTTGAAGGCCTTGGTGGATTGGTTGGGCAATTATTAGATGCTATTCATGAGACAACTGGATGGCATGGAAGTGTCTACCTTGGGGGACCTGATCCTTGTGTGAATGGGGAGGTTCACGTCTTCAGGTATGTGCACATAGATACTTTCTGGGCTTTGTTCTAATCTAATATGGCACAGTTTCCATCATGGAAAGGGCTTTTCTGGTTTCAATTTTCGCGAGATGCTGCCCAATCACCATGGTCACATTGTTGAGCCATTCACTGCCTTTTTGAAAGGCACATTCAGTAAGTAAATATTCTTCTGCCTCAGACATTGATACTGATAGTGCTACAGCTATTGATGCCTCCTACCATTCAATGGACTCAAGCATGACTCTGCCTGTGGGAGAACCACTGGTCAATGAGACTTTGCCAGCATCAGCCCCGATATCACAGTTGTCAACGCCTCCCATCCTTTGACAAACTCAACTGTACAGTGGCTCAAAAAACTGTCCGCATGTTTTGACATTTTTCACTATCTATGATATTGTGTGAGAACAAAGAAATGGCTCAAGGACATGCTTATACCACATTGTAGTATGGCTTCAGGGCTTTTATTTGAGCCCTACACCGTGGGAATCGGTGGAGATATGGTGGAGATACAAGGCTCACAAAATGGTGACTCATGTGGACAGTTTTTTGACTCAAGTATTTTACAATAATAACCAGGTATTCTAGTATTTTGTATGACCTCCCTTGGCTTTAATTACTGCCTCTATCCTTCTAGGCATACTCTCAATTAATTTCTGGCAATCCTCAGCTGTGATCTTCCCCCATTCCACTGCTACTCTCTCCCAAAGCTCCTATACTCCTTTAGGGGGGTTTTCATAGGCTTGAAGCTTTTTCTTGAGTGTTCCCCAGAGATGTTCAATGATATTGACATCAGGAGACTGTGCTGGCCAGTCAAGAACATTGATGTTATGTTCTTCAAACCATTCCTTAGCTCTTCTGGATGTGTGCTTGGGATCATTATCTCATTATCCTGTTGGAAAATGATATCTTCTTCATCAATCCCTGATTCTGCCAAGCTAGGCAGCAAGTGGTCATTTAAAATGTCCACATACTGCTCAGCATTCATCTTCCCCTCAACCTCAGCAAGCATTCCCACACCATTCCATCCCATACAGCCCCATACCATTAAAGAACCTCCTCCAAACTTGACAGTCCCATTAACCTCTCTGTCTGTTAGGCCATCTCCCTTCTTTTTCCATACATATACCTTCCCATCTGACCCAATCCTATTGATTTTGGTCTCATCTGACCATATAACATGCTTCCAGTCCTCTACAGTCCAGTATTAATGAGCTAAGGCAAAGGCTAGTCTTCTCTGCCTATGTTTGATGGAGAGAAGAGGCTTTTTCTTCTTTGTTACTGCCTTGAGAACATTCCTCACAGTTTGTGAAGAGACAGGGGTAGTGATGGTGGAATTGATATAATGGGTGGCTTGGACAGCATTATCAGCCTTTCCTGTAGTGATATGTTGGATAATAGCCCTTTTGTCAGTAGAGGTAAGCTTGGATGGACATCCTCCACAAGAGTTTTCCTTGTCTGGGTGGCTTTCTTTGATAAACTTTGCCACAGTGGACTTGCATACTCCAGTTCTAGAGGAAATTTGGCAAGCAGAGAGGCCAGCATAAGACAGAGAGAGGATATTATCTCTTTGAGCAGAGGAGATGGCTTTCATGGTGATTATGACTATGATACAGTGGCTCAAAAAACTGTCCGCATGTTTTGACATTTTTTACTATTTACAATATTGTGTGAGAATACATAAAGACCTCAGTGACATGCTAATACCATATTGTAGTGCTGCTTCAGGGCTTTGGATTGAGCACCACATCATGAGAATCAGAGGAGATATGGTGGAGATACAAGGCTTACAAAATCATGACTCATGTGGACAGTTTTTTGAGCACATATTAAAACTATATAAATCATCATTTATGACACCATAACAATCATGCCACCATTAAATAAATTATAAAGTGGTGTCATTATGTCATTTTAAAACCATATCTAACTATACAAACCAAAAATTTCCATATGTCATGGTTATATTCACCATGAAAGCCACCCCCCCTGCTCAAAGGGATAATATCCTCTCTCTTTCCTATTCTGGCCTCTCTGCTTGTCAAATTTCCTCTAGAACTGGAGTATCCAAGTCCACTGTGGCCAAGTTCATCAAAGAAAGTCACACAGACAAGGAAAACTTCTGTGAAGGGCATCCATCCAAGCTTACCTCTACTGATAGGAGGGCTATTATTCAACATATCACTACAGGAAAGGCTGATAATGCTGTCCAGGTCACCTATTACATCAATTCCACCATCACATTCCCTGTCTCTTCACACACTGTGAGAAACATTCTCAAGACAGCTCATCTCAGGTCAGTAACAAGGAAGAAAAGGCTTTCCTCTCTATCACACATATGCAGAGAGGACTAGCACCCTTCTTTTTTCACATATATACCTTGCCATCTGACCCAATCCTATTTATTGTGGTCTTATATGATCATATAACATTCTTCCAGTCCATGTAATCCAATTCTGATGGGCTAAGGCAAAGGTTAGTCATCTCTGTTTATATGTGATAGAGAGGAAAGCCTTTTCTTCCTTGTTACTGACCTGAGATGAGCTGTCTTGAGAATGTTTCTCACAGTGTGTGAAGAGACAGGGAATGTGATGGTGGAATTGATGTAATAGGTGACCTGGACAGCATTATCAGCCTTTCCTGTAGTGATATGTTGAATAATAGCCCTCCTATCAGTAGAGGTAAGCTTGGATGGATGCCCTTCACAGAAGTTTTCCTTGTCTGTGTGACTTTCTTTGATGAACTTGGCCACAGTGGACTTGGATACTCCAGTTCTAGAGGAAATTTGACAAGCAGAGAGGCCAGAATAGGAAAGAGAGAGGATATTATCCCTTTGAGCAGGGGGGGTGGCTTTCATGGTGAATATAACCATGACATATGGAAATTTTTGGTTTGTATAGTTAGATATGGTTTTAAAATGACATAATGACACCACTTTATAATTTATTTAATGGTGGCATGATTGTTATGGTGTCATAAATGATGATTTATATAGTTTTAATATGTGCTCAAAAAACTGTCCACATGAGTCATGATTTTGTAAGCCTTGTATCTCCACCATATCTCCTCTGATTCTCATGATGTGGTGCTCAATCCAAAGCCCTGAAGCAGCACTACAATATGGTATTAGCATGTCACTGAGGTCTTTATGTATTCTCACACAATATTGTAAATAGTAAAAAATGTCAAAACATGCGGACAGTTTTTTGAGCCACTGTATTGGCTGTGAGCATGCATGGAGCATTGCTCCTTACAGGAGTAGCTAATCATCCATTTTATTTGCTTGCTCATGTTGACAGCTGAGATAGGCAATGATAGTAGAGTCATGGTATGGAGCCTCACATCTGGTGAAATGATTCAAGAAATTGTTTCACCAGTGGCAGGATATATTAGTGCAATCACTTGGATTGATGTTGATGATCGTGGAGAGACGACCTTTGCGTTTGGGGCATCGGATGGCAACATCCAAATCTATGAAAGAATCGATGATGTAAGTGTGATGGTAGTAGCACCTCTAGGTAACTGATAATGTTCAGTCCTGTTAGGCACTTTTCAAATTTTGCAGTACTACCATCGGTCACTCAGGTCTGGTAGAGTTGCTTGCTTGGGATCCTGTGCATCATCGACTGGCGAGTGCCAGTGATGGTCGACCCCACATTTGGAACTTCACACCAGACAGTGTGTTACCAAATCATAGTACTTGTGTTGCATTGACTTTGTATTTAGAAAATCTTGTTTCTATCACCTCAAAGCTCGACAAGCAGCCATATGTGGCGCACACAGTACACTTCTATGACAATGGTGCTTCAATACTAGTATCATATCTTGAAAGCGGTGAAATGTATGTGTACCATAAAAATTGTGATTTTGCTCTGACTGTGAGTCTAGTTTCTGTTATTCCATCGAACCCTGAGATTTAAAGTGGCACAAGAAAGTCCAGGGAAGGATGTGAGTCGGTGCATACTCTGTGCATACAATTATTGATTCTTAAGCTGCAAGTGGGAATACCACCCTTAAGGGCAATTTCCTCCTTGTAAGCAATCTTAAAGACAGGGTTGACAAATACTCTGTGCCTAGCCTTCAATGTGTCCAGTCTTACAGCCATGTGATCCTGTGCAATGTGTCTTTGCAAATCTCTGTTGCTTGACAAGCCAGGCTCATTTTCATTGGGGGCAACGATGGTTTCACTCATATTTTTAATTATAGTACTGGTGCATACTGAGGTCAGTTGGAACACGCCAATCAGGGTGATCAGATCATACCTGTAACTGTAAGTGTGGTTCTAGCATGTATCTCACTCTATCTAACAAGATGGAGGTAGTCATACAAAGGGCGCACTGGGTGCACTGTTGTTACTGGCAGCTGCTTTGATGGGCACAGTAGTGTGAAGGTCTGGGGGGAGGGTGAATTGGTATGTGTTGTTGAATATGTATTGAGGCAATTGCTCATTACTTACTACAGACATCAATGGAGGACAATGAGACACATAAGTTACCCTCAGCAGGATCTTCACCTGCCTCCCAGCTGCTTTGGTTGTGCATTATCTGCATGCTCTTCAGTCGGGCACAGTATCAGAGCTTTTCCTCTTACTTCAGGGCAATGTGATATGTGTCATTGGGGCTTCATAAATTGTGTATGCTCAACATTTACTATATGTACTACCAGATCTACAAATTGTTTGCAATATCATTAAACCAGCACAATCTTCCACCTCTGATGACAATCAGTCATACACCAAAGTCCTATAGGGTAGGAGGTTAGTACTGGAGCAAGACTTCTATAATGGCAGTAGAATTCACCCTATTCATTGCTTTTAGGACCAATTCAGTTCCCCAAGGCATCGAAATAGCGTGGCAAATTTTACTCTTACATACTGGAACAATATCAAGCTGGCTATTTAAAGCGCAGCTCCATATCTGTGCAGCCAAAGTCACTGTAGCCTAGAAAGGGGTCTTGGTACCCCACAGCTACAGGTAAGTAACTTCTGACTGCTGACGTAGTAAACCCACTGGTGATCCTCCACAGAAAATATGTGTTCAATAACACCCAGTACAATTTTTGCCAATGTGTTCTTGAAGAACACACAACTATCTGCCCATGAATAGTTGCAACTGCAATATTGCGATCCTGCTATGTTCAGCCGTTTATACTCAGTGATGTGGTCATTTCCAGGCAGTTGAGTCCCTGCCTTTTCCAATGTGTCACACTTCTGAAATAGTAGTCTTGATGATATTTGCTTCAACATGTGAGACACATGGAATCAGGTTCTGTTGCTGTCTGCAGGATGCCGATGTCCATACAAAATGCTTCTTCTGTGAATGGAGCACAGCATTGCTGCAGGATGTCAGCTGCTTTGTTGAAGACATCAGGTGCACCAGGTTCTTGAAGCATTGCCTTGATGCATGCAGCTGTGCAAAATGTCTCCAACATAGTTCTTTCTAACTCCCCTGAAGAACCCTATTCAGTTTGTCTCCCCTGTATTTCCATTCATGCTCACCAATCTTGTAGTTCATATTGGTCTTCTGCAGGGCTCCGATGATCCTCTCAAAGGGAAACATCTACCAGCCATACATAGGTCCATATCTTAGAAGAAACTCATGAAGGTGGAGACAGGAGTGGTGGTTAGGATAGAAAGAATGGCTTGGAAAAACATCTCGGATGGATTCCAGGTAGGCTTTCATACATATGAGGTACTGCTGAGTGTGGTGCATCGACGTTACATGCGATGTTCCCCATTGGATTGCCATCACCAGCAGCATTGTGCTATGAGCTAACTTCTGCCTCTGTTTTCCATTTTCATCACCAGGTTTCATACAATTGGTCCCCCAGAGTTTTGTGAGAGTCACCGGTAAGTTGAATTCAATTGCAGACCGCCATTGCTCTGCCTTGAGCTTACTGTGCTCTGCTTCCCCAGGTTTTTTGGTGGTCCGCAGTGCCATGAAGGTCATTCAATGCTGCGCAGTTCTGTTTGAATTTGATTGATCTCTATGTCTGTGAGGACTTCGCCAGATATGCCTTTTTGGTTGTTTTCCCCTTCTACTTGGGCCACGCACTGCTTTACTAATTCCTCCATGATAAATGCATTGTCATCAACCTGCATCCAGTCTCCATCATTCATTGGAGCACAGTGCATGGGTTCACCCTATCAAGTTGTCAATGGGGATCATGACTGTCATATCCCATATGCCAGACATAGATCCCATCATATTCCCATGCTTTCTGGACCTATTTCTGGACCCCATATCCAACTCATTCCTGGATCCCCTATCCTGTCCACCCTATGCACATTCCGTCCAGCAAGACATCTGGACTTTACCTCCTCTCGGATTCCAGACTACATCCACCACCTCACATATCTCAGTCCTGTTTCCGCCCTGCCTTCCAGATCCCCAGATCTCCGGACCTCCAGATATTAACTGTATTATCTCCGGACCTATTCCTACCCTCCATCTGAGATCCTGCGCCTATCCCCATTTAGGCATCTCTGCCTTTCCAGTTCTTGGTTATCTCTGTTTCCATCTTGCTGATCGATCCTCATACTAGTTTCATCTCCGAGTTCATTTACTTATGTTCCATCTTACTTACCAATGTGTTTCCACATGCTCGTACATAGCCTTACTCCGTTGCTTACTGATCCTCTCGGATATCCTCTAGTATATAACCCCTGTACAACTACAGTAGAGTCCTCAGTCTGAATATCATCTTAGTTCCTGCTCTCTCATCTTAGATCCTGTTCTACTTGCCAATCATCTTCCGGACTTCAGTCCATCTGAGTCTCATCCTTTTCCATAAAGGCCTAGGGAAGGATTCCCTAGGCCAGAATTCTGGACCTTCGGATTTGTCCCCTATGTCTCTGTCCCAAGTCTAGGGATTGCTTCCCTAGGCTAGAGTCTTGCCTTTCTGGCACTTACCCTCTTTCTGGACTTAGGTCCACTTCCTGTCCCTCCGACTCTACCTTAGGGTAGTCTACCTCTGTTTGCTTCTACATCAGACTTTGTCCGATGTAGCCCCTATTCCTTCTGGACATCCTGTCTTCTGTACCTCTGGATGTCCTGTCCCTCATACCTCCAGGCATCCTGTCCTTCAGACATTCCACCCTCCATACCTTTGGATGTTCCATCCTCCATACCTCTGGACCTCCTGTCCTCCAGACTTCCTATCCTTCCATCCTGTTTTCCTGTAGAAGTATTACCTTGCAGTGGGAACTCTCCTGAGCACTTCCTGCATTCCTCCGGAACTCTCCTGTGCTCCTCCGGACGTTTCCCGCGCTCCTCCGGAAGTCCTCCTGCACTCTCCACCAGAGTAGCCAGCCTCTGGAAGTCTTCCAGACTTCGTCAGACCATTATCAGACTTCCTCTGAAATGAAGGGCACATACTCAGGTAAGGGGCACAGTGTATGAGCTGAGGCCAAGCCCCTCTGAGTCAGTCTCTCTCTCCCTTAAGCATGGTTCTTAACAATGACTATGAAATGGACAATGCACCAGCAAGGCTTTGGCCATCTGTATTTTTGTGCTGCATTTACCAGCACCCGACAACACTAGCCCTGCCTCTTGGATCAGGGCTTCTAGGACAGGCACCCATAAGCGGGTCATTGCAGAGACAGTAGGGTTCAATCTCAAGAGTGTTCTTCCCCTATCTAATTCTGATGCATCCAAGGGTCTTTTATCTGGCTTCCTGATCGCCCTGATCGTCCTGCCAGCCTGTTTGTCGATGATAATCAAGTCCCTGAAATGATGTTGCACCAACCCAAGGAAGAGGTTGTGCATGCCATCTACAATGACAAACCTCACTGGATCCCAGTAAGGCAGTCATAGAAGCTCAGACCACCTCACTCTGTGTTGTTTAAATACTTTGTCATGTTCTGACTTTGTCTCTGCACTTTTCCATTCTTCTGCAGCTGCCCTATGTTCACTGCATGTACATCGTCTCCATGTCTTGCAGTCAAAATTCACAATCTCTGACTTTTTCTGCCAGCAAAGTCCACACATTTGATTTGCAGTGGGCCCCACACATCCTACAAGTTTGCAAGCAGCTGGTAAGTTGTTGATTGCCACTGCGATGACAGACCTTGAAAGTCTCCCTTCAGCATGTTGGAATGTCCTCATAAATCTTGTCCCATCTTTCCATGACAGCACGAAAAAGTCGATGACAGGTTGAAGAAAATGATTTATTTCATTGAGAGCTGGTTCTCTGGGTCCAGGTATAATGCTGACCAAGTACATGTTTTCTGGTTTGTATCAGAGACTGGGTGGCAGGTTCAGTAATCCCATTGTGATTGACCCAACCGATTTTTTCTTGCCAGAAGTCTTATTTCCATGAGGGTTAAACCAGTCCACTGAAAGACTCCATGCTAATCTGAGATCCTGCCTCTTCAGCCCATCCAAGAATGGTTTTCTGTCAGTGCCAAGGATCTCCTGCATCGCAGTGCCATCCTTAATATCCCACATGTGATACTTCTTGTTCATCATCGTTCCATAGTCCATGGCTTCCTCTATACCAGGCCAACTTAACATCTCAACAAAGAATGCATTAAAATCTTAAATGACATACAAGCACACCAACATCCACATTTTTCCACCTTCACCCTTTCTACATTTAACCATCAACTAACCACATGGCTTGCTACCTCAGTACCTCTGATGGGTGCAGCATTCAGGGTATAGTGATTTTTTTTTTGTAGGTGCGGGCGGGTATGTGCAAGAACACCTTGTGCAGGTGGCAAATGTTTGAGTAACTGGGTCCAAGTTAAATTTTTTACAGATGGTACAGATATTGGAGGGAATGGTGGGACAGGTCAACTTTCTGAGTGTAGTCTCAAGGAGAAGATTCAAAAGGCCAAGGACTGCATTGCACCATGGACAAGTGACATGTCTGAAGACATTCAAGATCAAGGCAATGAGCATGGTAAGGAGTATGGCAGGATTGGCATTGTGGTATCTTTGTTGGAAGCAGGGTCCTATTTGTGATTTAGTTATGTAGGCATTCCTACTAACAATTGTGTCTCACCTGTGTCGACAATTTTTGCACTATCCAGATCATCATTGGTTGCTCTATGAGTGATCATGTCCATGATGCTCTTCACCATGAGCCTCATTTCCTCCAAAGTTCCAAGAATTGTGTGCCGAAACTCCTCATTACAAGCATCACTATTGACTTGTATGTGTCTCACTTCTTCCTGCATAGTAGTCATTGTTTCATACTCTGCAGTAAGCATCCCCAGTACTTGTTGCCCATCAGCCAAGTGAAGCTGATTTACAGCGTCAGTTACAGTTTTAAGACAAGCATGCATCTCAATGTTGAGGAGGAAAAGCTTGCAGTAATTATCTGATACTTCTCCATGTATTTCCACTGAATGCTCCCTTGCAGCTCTAAAGGTTTCATTTGGAGTGCATCAACTTTCAGCTGTGATTTGCCCTTCTTCAATCCTGCCCTCAATCCTGTCTTCCAATGTCAATTTGAAGATGCTCCTGGTGAGGTCCTCATCATTCTATTCCTCCAAAAGTAAGCTTGATGTGAGTGTCAAATCACGATATTTAACTCACCCCTATCTTTGGCCATTGCTTTGTCATCATTTATCTTGCACAGAAATCTCGTGCAACAATTTGGATAGTATGAGTAATGTAGTGGGTATTTGTAGTGAATGTCAACTCAATGAAATTCCTGTTCCTGTTGTCATCCAATGCTCCCCTTGTATTTTCATAATGTACTTTGTATTTGTAGTGAACATAAACTTAATGAAACTCTTGTTCCTGTTGTCGTCCAATGCTCCTCCTTGTATTTTCATAATGTCTTAACTAACGAGCTGGTGTTACAGTCACGTATGCCCCTATTCATTTTCTCCACTTCAACCTACTGTGTATTATGTCACAAGCTGCATAATGCCACTGCTAAACTTATCTCCAACTCATATGTTGTATTACATCACAACTGTAGCTACCGTTGCTAGATGACCTATTTCTGTTATCACTTATGCATTTCTTATCTCTGACTCATTTTGTTCTCACACTTGCCCTCAAGCACAGTAGCCCACTATAAATAGTCCTCTTGTATGCTTTAGTTACTTCACTTTAATCTTACTAGATTCTACCTGAAACATCCTTCACTTAGGACCCCCAATCCTAAGTTGTCTGAACCGATATTCAAGTTAGAGACACTCTCTCTACCTTGTCTTACAACCCTTGCGTTTGCAAGGTCTTAATCGTAATGTCAGCCGTTGCTCTTATCGAGCTGCTGCCATTATACTATTCTAGTTCATAACAAAAGATTAAAGTGCAACACTGACCCTCTCCATCCGGGAGGTCCCAGAAGCCAGAACCAGGCAGAGAGAGATGTACCATCCCCTGCAAACAGAAACATCACTAGACCAGAAGATCAGGATGTCAGCACCTACCAACACCCCAGAACTTAAAGCCGGAGCACCAACATCTTACGACGGAACTCCCAACCAGGCTTTGAGATGGTTGTACTCGATTAAGGTGTACTTCGCCCTTAATGCTACAATCTATAACACCGATGAAAAGAAAGTCATCACCACGCTCGCATATATGACAGAAGATAGCGCCATGGGTTAGGCACTCACCTTTTACACTGAGGTTGACAACTCCATCTCCAAATCTTATGGAACTTTCGCAAACTTTGAAACAAAGTTCAAAGAAGCCTTCATACCAGCCAATGCCATAGGCACAGCTATGAATAAGCTCCATACCCTGAAGCAGACAGGCGATCTCACTTCCTACATCACCAGTTTCAAGACCCTTGCTGCACAGGCCCCTGTAAAACAAGATGCCATCTTAATTACATTCTTCAACGATGGGCTTAAGAAAGGGATCAGTAACACCATCTACCAGATGGAAACCATCCCCATAGATTTTGATAAGTACGTCGCTGCAGCCATTAGGCTCAACAGCAATTGGCAAAGAGGTGCTATGTTCCATCAGAACAATCGCACCACTACCAAGCCAACTGGACAGCAATACATACCCAGACCTTCCATCAATCGGCATGATCCAAATGCCATGGAAGTAGATCGGCTTACTGAAGCCAAGAGAAATGATCATATGAAGAAAGGACTATGTTTCACATGTCACCAGAAGGGACATATGACTAGAGCCTGTCCCCAGAAGAAGTATGGGAAAACCCCAGTTCATCACAAAGAAATTGAAGACAGCAACAAGGAAGATGAAGAAACAATGATCCATCGCCTCGCCGAGGATTTTTGATGTGGAAGACTGGATCGACATCAGTATCTTCCAATATAGCTATCAGACTTGTACAAAGTATTGGAATCAGAAAAGAACTTCATGTTCCCATTTCTCTCATCTCCAAAACACGTCTGAAAACTGTTGAAACAACAGCAGTTGTTGACTCCAGAGCCACCAGAACATTTATCTCAGAAGACTTTGTCAAGCTTCATAACATCCAAACGCATAAACTCACCAAACCATTCCAAGTCACTACTGCAGATGAAAGTTATGCAAAAGGGGGCGCTATCACCAAATATTGCATCCTCATCGTGAAAATTGATGAACGATCCATGATTGGAAAATTTAATATCACATGGCTTGGCCATCGTGATCAGATTTTACTCAGGATTCCCTGGCTACATGCTATGGACCCAGTAATCAAATGGAAGGTGCAAACCTTGGAGCTCCCTCGAAGTGAAAAGAGTGACCAAATTGAAGAAGAAGTTGATAATGAACAAAAGAAGAATGGTCTTCCACCTCTTTTCTGAAAGACCAATCAAAAGTTGAAACTGAATCCAGTTGTAGTGCTGCCAAAGGCACCTCCTGAGAAATTGGTCACAACTGCACCACCCAGAGAACCGATACCTTGTGCTACCATTGAAGAAATCCCAGATGAGGAAGAACCAGCATTACCGCACCTTGACCCTATCCCATGATGATGACAGACCTTTTTGACACCAAAGAAGACATATGGACTTCGAACTATGCTCCACCTGTGCATGAACTTGTCATGTATCATCTCGATGATGATGAATTTTTGGTTGAATACCCTGTCGATGCTGCTGAGCTTCAGGTTATCACTAACATCTCCTTGGATACCCTGTTAACCAAAGATGGTACTAGCATTGCAGAACAAAAACCCATGGTTACACCCCTGTCACGACCAACAGAATACATCAAAACCAGTAATAAAGCACAGCAGTTTGCATTAGCAGCTGGACTTGAGCAAAAGAAGAAATCATTCGAAGAACTTGTCCCTTCCTACCTTCATGATTTCACTGATATCTTTGCTAAGGACAGCCTCAACCAATTACCACCCAAACGGCCTGGTATTGACCATCGTATTGAAACTAAACCTGGTTTTATCCCCAAAACATCAAAGGTGTACCTGTTATTGGAAGTAGAGCGTACTGCTGTCAAGGCTTTTATCGATGAAATGTAAAGAAGGCTTTATCTCTGAATCGAAATCACCACAGGCAAGTGGTTTCTTCTTTGTAGGGAAGAAAAGTGGAGATCTTCATCCCTGTCAGGACTACTGATACATCAACGACTGGACAGTTAAGAATGCTTACCCTCTCCCATTACTGCTTTCATTAGTCACTCAGTTGCATGGTGCCAAATACTTCACAAAGATGGATGTCCGTTCTGGTTATAACAACATTCGTATCCACCCCAATGATAGATGGAAAGCTGCTTTTACCACAGAATATGGTCTTTTTGAGCCAAACATCATGTTTTTCAGCCTTTGCAATTCCCCTGCTACTTTCCAAGCATATATGAACTGGATGTTCCAACAGGAAATCAATGAAGGATGGTTGGTCATTTACATGGATGATATCTTAATTTTCTCAAATGACCTACCCTCCCATCACAATTGTACCCAATGCGTTCTGGAAAGGATTCATAAAGAGAAACTCTTCCTCAAACCGGAAAAATGCACCTTTGATGCAGAAGAAGTGGAATATTTGGGCATGATCATACAACCAGGATGTGTTGTGATGGATGTTGCCAAAACTGAGGGGATTAGGAATTGGCCTACTCCAACAACAGTAAAGGAGGTTCGGTTGTTTCTAGGATTTTGCAATTTCTATCGAAACTTCATCTCTCATTACTCCGACATCACCAGGCCACTAATAGATATAATGAAGAAGGCCACTATATTTCAGTGGTCAGATCTCTGCACCACTGCCTTTTCCATGTTGGAAGATTGTTTCTTGAAGCAACCTGTCCTTTGAAATACAGACCCAAGTTGGCAGTTTGCTGTAGCAACTGATGCTTCACTAGTCACCACTGGTGCAGTGTTGCTACAGATTGATGACAATGGAATGTACCACCCATGCGGATACCTATCACAAACCCTGAACCCCACAGAACAAAACTATCAGATATTTGATCGCGAACTCCTGGCCGTCATTTGTGCCCTGACCAAATGGTGTCACTATTTGGAAGGAAATCCCCATCCCGTCCTTGTCTTCACTGATCATAAGAACCTCCTATACTTCTGTTCGGCCCAGAAGCTTACTTGCTGGCAAGCCCATTGGCAATTGATTTTGTCTTGCTACGATATAGAGCTTCATCATGTTGCTGGATCCAAGCTTGCTGCCCCTGACGCCCTCTCCCGTCAACCTGATCATGGTGCAGATTCTGACCAAGATAACTCTGACGTCACTCTACTACCCGACTCCATGTTCGTTTGCCTCCTTGATGTTGAACTTATGACCACTCTTGCGAACCCTGATCCCTCCAATCCCGACCCCATCTTCCAAGCCGCCTCTGATGCCCTTGATGGGTTATCTCTTCCCCCGATTAAATCTGCACTCGCTGATTGGACAATTAAGGATGATATCCTTTATTATAAGGACCGAGCTTATGTCCATCCCGCTGGACGGCATCTTATTTTAGAATAATGTCATGATCACGCTACTGCTGGTCACCCCAGTCACTTTAAAACTGAAGAACTCATCAAATGAGACTTTTGGTGGCCATCTATGGGTACTTATATCCACCGATACATTGAGGGTTGCACCCTTTGTCAGCAAATGAAGTTGGATACCCATCCAACAACACCACCTCTTATCCCAATCCCCTCTGCCACCACTGCCCCATTTACCCAGGTCTCTGTTGATCTTATCACCAGGTCTTCCTCTGTGTGCTGGTTTTGACTCAGTGATGGTCGTGGTCGACCATGGCCTTACGAAGGGGGTAATCCTTATCCCTTGCACCAAAACCATCACTTCTGAAGGCATTGCCAAGAAATTCTTCAAATACGTCTACCACAGATTCAGACTTCACAAGAAAGTCATTTCTGACTGCGGACTGCAATTTGTATCGAAATTCTCAAAAGCCCTCACCAAGCTTTTGAATTATGACATAACCACATCAACCGCTTATCACCCTCAAACTGATGGCCAGACTGAACGGCTTAATCAAGAACTTGAAACCTATCTCCGTATCTATTGCCGAAACCACCCCAAAGACTGGGTAGAACATCTCCCAATGGCAGAATTTGTGCATAACCATCGGAAACATGACTCCCGCAACACTTCACCATTTTTCCTAATGATGGGATATGAACCAAGAGCTCTTCCTCACGTACTCCCTGACTCTACCATCCCCACAGCAGAAGAGAGACTCCACTCACTCCAGAAATCTAGAGAAGAAGCATTGTCATGCCATAATCTTGCCATGCAGCGAATGGCAGAATGAACTCACAGACAGAAGTATCACCCATGGAAAATAGGAGATAAGGTTTGGTTATCAGGAAAGAATCTAATCACACAGCTACCATCACGCAAGCTCACACCAAAATGATATGGCCCTTTCCCAATCATTGCCATTCTCTCCCCTATCACATTCACACTCCAACTACTGCCACAATGGAAAGTACACCCCACATTCCATGCTTCTGAATTATCGTCCTATCATGAGACAGAAGTCCATGGTCCAAATTCCATGATCCACCCCCAGACATCATCAATAACAAAGAAGAATATGAAATCGATGTGATCTTATCACATAAAGGCACAGGTAAATGAAGATGCTATCTCTTATCCTGGAAAGGTTACTCTTCTGCCAGTAATGAATGGGTCCCAGAAGAGAACCTTAGCAATGCCACCAATATCCTTACCGCATATAAAAAAACTCACAAATTGTAGACTCAGAACAATGTCTCTTGAACGCCTACACCTCTGCATACAGCAGCATCGAAGAACTCACTGCTGCTATGAACACTGTATCCGAAAACATCACCAACCCATTGTCCCTTCTTGACAACCAAACCACCACCGCCACTAACCTCGCCAACAATGCATCCTCCCCAGTAGTTTCCCCACCTTTATCTGACTCCATGCTGACCAGTGACTCCACCCTCACTGATTACTTCACAATCATTGATCAAGTCGAAACTAGCGCCTTGTTCGAATCCGCTCTCACGTCCCAACAATACGCTATTGAGATAGACCAGTCTCCTAGGAGAAAGAGGAGCAATCTCCAGTGGGCTCATCATCTGAATCATTAGGGACGCTAGTCTCATTGAACACACCGCTAATCTCCTTGATGATGAATGTCACAAAACCATATTCTGCCATCTTCATATACACATTTGTAATACTGCAATCCATCTGTTGCCTGATGATACTAGAGAAGCTATCAGAGAAGCTATCCACATCATCACAGAATGAATCACCACAGACCCAGTCACACGACCTCCATCCCCGCATGTTGCCACTCCAATCCCACCACCTATTCTTCCAACAACTACCATGGAGCATTCAGATGATAATATCCCTCCTATTGCTGTACTTAACATACCAACTTCTCCTTCTCCTACCCCCATTGCACCCACTACATGCCAGTACCCTACCAGGTGCAGATCTGCCTGCATTGCCAAATGAACAGCTTCAGCCTCACCGTACAGAGATCATAAGTAACTGATCTAGATCTCCTTCCCCACCCTGCATGGTCAGTCCACCACCACCACCGTAAAAACAGCCACCATCAACAATGTTGTATGTCGTAACTGTCACATCACCAGGCACCACCATAAGAACTGCCCAGCATATTACTGTCAGGTTTGCAAAGAGTATGCACCTGGCCACTTATTGGTCTTTTGTAAAGACCTGAAAGGGGAAGTGGTCATTCCACTGGTTTGGACTGACACTGGCTTCTATGAAGCTCTCGCTCATTGGGAGATTGAGCAGGATGCTATTTATCACACCACCGAGATGGCTGATAAATCATCTTATACAATCACAGAGGAGCAAAACAACTTGCTAGACTCTAACTTCAACACCGACCCTGTCTACTGGGCAAATCAGGATAACTGAAGTTGGTGACTTCATTCCTAAACAAGGGGTAATGTTACAGTCACATACGCCCCTATTCATTTTCTCCACTTCAACCTACTGTGTATTATGTCATGAGCCACATAATGCCACTGCTAAACTTATCTCCAACTCATATGTTGTATTACATCACAACCGTAGCTACCGTTGCTAGATGACCTATTTCTGTTATCACTTATGCATTTCTTATCTCTGACTCATTTTGTTCTCACACTTGCCCTAAAGCACAGTAGCCCACTATAAATAGTCCTCTTGTATGCTTTGGTTGCTTCACTTTAATCTTACTAGATTCTACCTGAAACATCCTTTGCTTAGGACCCCCAATCCTAAGTTGTCTGAACCGATATTCAAGTTAGAGACACTCTCTCTACCTTGTCTTACAACCCTTGCGTTTGCAAGGTCTTAATCGTAATGTCAGCCATTGCTCTTATCGAGCTGCTGCCATTATACTATTCTAGTTTGTAACAAGCGGCCCACTAGACTGAACATATAAAATGAGTGCCCCACTAAGTGGCTCACTTAGTGGGGCACTCATATGACATGCACACAAGTTTAGGGTTGTTGTCAGAGGCTAACTCTCATACATATTCGTGTACATATTCATAATATATGTGCTCTCTGTCCGCCCAACATAGCCGCACTCTGTCCCTTTGCCTGATTTAATACATTGTTAAAATTTGTCACATATTTGATCATATGGCATGTCCACCATTTATATCTGAATTTGTCTAGTCAACATATACCAATTATTTTTGTTATCTGGTTATAAATATAACAATAAGGTAAATTGATACCAACAAATTCAGCATTTTTGTCCTTGCATATCCCTAATCTGATTATCAATCTGGGGTCAACACTAATTCTGGACATTTTTTGACTATGATAATGGATCTTAAGACGAACTATATTCTTTTAAATATTAACAATTTGTTCATCAATTCGCACGGGATCTGTTGCAGACTTTTATCTGGCTGTGTCTCAGGTGCTATAAGGTGCGAACTTTGAGAATCACTAATGATTGGGTCTAGTGACCTTTAGAAATTAGATGATCCAGGAGCAAGTGTCTGGGAATTAAGCGTTTGCGCATCATTTTTGTTCTTTGACCTACATATGCAAGCCTTGAGTCTGATATTCTGGATCACATTAATTTACATCCGCTCGTTCTATAAACTTATAATACGACAGTTCTTCCAAGGCACCGATAACCACCCTCCTTCCACGGTAGCTGAACAAGTGCGGTGAGCAAGCAGGCGAGCAGTGTGATATTCCTCATGCATCACGATGTGACGCGCTGATGTCTGGGGAGGTCAACCGTATCTTTGGAACGAATAACCTCGGTTTCGTCGATATGAATAGCGTGTTCGAGAGACCAATCCATGATTTTCTCGAAGTTCCTGCATCGATGACGGGTGTTGAAGTTAGGGTAAGGGACCGTGTGTCCCTGCACCCAGTACCATGTGATCATTGTCACGTCGGCATTACACATAATATTCTGTCTTATCATTTCGATACAGTGATCTGTACCGTAACGGTATACCATAAGTAATAGTGCCTTAAGGCAGAAATGATATTCACCAAGATGCAGACGGACTGTTTCTGGGGTGGTTTGGAACGAAATATCTGCGGGCTCGTAATACTCCAACCAAGAGGCTTTGCGAAGCAAGTTCTACACAGGTGAGCCAAGAATGAACATATTGTTAGTGTAGTATGGCTTACTACACAATGCAGTTGGTGGGCGTATTCCAAAGAGGCCATATAACCTCCGCCAACTTTGTCCGGATATCTGACTTTCGAACGCAAATTTGTTGCGCCTGCTTTGAGCATCTCCTCATGGGTCATCCGAACTGGCGCCACTGGGTTTCACGGAGGTGGTCAATTAATAACTAGTGTAAGGAGACCAATGGCGCACCATTACGACCTATTCTATTCCAAGCGGCATCAACTTCTGGGGAAGGGGGGCCACGATAGATGGAAGGAAAGTTGAGGGTTCCGTTAAACCTTGCAATCATGGGCTCGATAGCAACATTTGCTGGAGCTGTGATGAGTTAATAACCATGCCGTTCGATGTAGTCCGTCCACTCACAGTATATGCTAGGAATGTCATTGCGCAGGCGAGTCGAAGGCGTACGCATCCATAGCGTGAAGGAGAGAACCGATGTGCAAATAAGTATGCCATGAGTCAACCACAGGCGAAGGGTACGCGGCTTGAGACGAGGATCTGCACTTTCTGCATCACCAGCTAGTTTCTCGCTGTCATCGTCGACAGTGTCAACAGGAGAGTACTGTGAGAAATATTTAACCATCATCTTTGGGTAAGGTACGTTTGTCATTGAATCCGAGGGAGTAGGGACGGCTGGGGTCTGAGAGGGTCTAGGTCTAAGACTCAAGAGCCTTTAAATTTGTGTTGGGGCTATCGAAAATACGCTGCACCTATCACAAGTGCTGACCTTGATCATCGCATACGTAGCGTGTATTATATGAATATCGATGAATTATGAAATGATGCATGAATCACCGGTCTAGGATAAGCATGGTGACTTCAAAGCTTCACAATCAGGGCAAAGTAAAAGATTCTGCTCTGCACACGTGGCTGTGCTAGCAGAAATATTGTAGACTAACTATTACATATTCGGTAACACGATGTCACACGTATACTTAGGTTATCCGGTTCAAGCTGGCTACTAGAAGAAGCCTCTCATGCATGATGCATCATGATGCACCGACTGGCATGCATATAAATTAAGATGGTAAACACGTCCTCTCGACTTGGAAGTGACTTGCTACGTGTCGTGGCAGCTAGATAACGCTGGACAACTACGAATTCTGCACATTCCATTAGGCAACTACACAACTCATCATGGCTTTGCAACATCTTAATCAGCGATCTTTACAAGTGTCGACGTGGACGCCCTCGATTATTTTAGGCGACTACTAGTCATTCCAATTCAAAGGAAATGAATAGAGAAACCTCGGAGTCACTCTCAGACCGCCGCTGCACAAATTAACGGGCCAAATGCGGCCGCTGGTCATCCAAGGACTTGCTTCAGGAATCTGCATGGTGCACCTGGCCCAGGTGCTGCTGGGTGTTGGTATACCCGCCGGAAGCCGCGGTCTTTTGAAGGCAATTGGAGTTGCTATTCTACGAGTCCATCATACGTCAATGATTCATTTGACCCACAGATGGAGAGCTGCAGAGTCCACTGGTAACTAATTCGCGCGCCCAAGAGACAAATAGAAGGCCATGGGTAGATACACCATCATGAGGCCATAGCCAATCATGTTGCTCTAGGAGTGTCAAGAGCGCTACTGCCCACGACCTAACTGGGAGCAGCCTGGAACGCGATAAGAGGAAAGGGGTGATGTGTCGCCATGTCATTGTGAAACGTGGCTTCGAGAGGAGAAAGGGTCTGGGAGATCTGATACCGTACTCCCTTTTTTTCTCTTACTGCGACGATCCAGAGAGATTACACCAAGTCCCTGACACCGCCAAATCGAGCCTCATCAGATTTCCCGAGCACTGTCACAGCTTCTGGGATGGATAATGGTTTTACAGGTGATCAAACATTCTAGCTGCCTGGTTCACACTCGGCTCATCAATTACAGATTCAGATTTTCTTTCGCAACTCATGCGTAAGGAATACTACTCTCGGTATTCTCCTTCCGATGTGGTCGACGATGATGGTACCAAGCTCCTTGATAGTGGTATAGCAACTAGTCCTCCACCAAAATATCGCTTCCTTCACTTATGGCCATGGCTAAGCCATGGTATGCTGATGTTCATAACTTTGGTGTTCTTCACACAATGGGCACAGGCGCCTTCGATAGATGACGTAGTTCTGTTCTGTAGGCGGACAACTAGAGTCAGTGCACAAGATCTTACTAACCCGTCACAGCTCCAGCAAATGAGGCAGTTGAATCCATTGGCATCGTAAAATTCAACAATACTTCCATATACCGTGGCAGACCATCCCCAGAGCTCAACGCCGCTTGGGATAGAATATCTGTCAATGGTTTCACCTTGTGCTTTGCTCCCATCACAGGCCATTGCTGACGGAAATCATTTTGAAGCGCGCCCAATTCAGATGACGCGTGAGCAATTGCTCAGAACAGGGGGAAAACCTTCTCCTGCCATGGCTAAGTATCCGGACAAACACGGCGGAGGTTACATGGCAACTGTAGAAGTCATTCACCAGCTTAGTCAGTTGTAAAATAGAGGCTGGTCGATCTTTGCTCAATCCTCTTTAGGACATGCTTCGCAGAGCCAGCTGGGGTGACCAATACTACCATTATGCAAACATGTACGAATCCCCTGAAGAATTTCGTACTCATCTCAGTAGGTATATTGTTCTTTGCTCTGCCCACAACCTGCTTACGTCGCACTTCAGACCACTGTATTGAGATACTCAGGCAGTTCACTATGTGTACTGGTGATGGGATCATGGTAACTCATGATTGGGTGGAGGGAAGGACAACTCCATTCGCTGATTTCCACGTTCCTCACCAATGTAGAAACTTTGAGAAGATCTTAAATTGGGTCGATGAGCATCGTGTTTTTGTCCCTAAATCCGAGATGGTCCGCTTGGACGATAACGTGGACCTGCCTTCCCCCCCTTGATCACATTCTGCACGTATCTTCTCTTTATGAAGCACCCTCTCCCTATTATAGTGGATATAGTCACAGAAACGTTTAATATATAGTTTAATTTCTACCCCAGGCTACCTGTGCTCATGGCGGGCTGGAGTGTACTATTAAGCAAATTGCAATCCATCTTGACTTACTCATCTTGTTTTTTTAAAATATTTCGACATCAAAAATGAACATCAATCGACAGTGGATGGTATGAACGATTGCATGATGGCCTAGGTTAGGCGAGCCTCTGGAGCCTTACGGATTGCTACTGTCAGATATGTGCCTTGGTCCTTGACAGAGACACAAACTTCATTGCTTTTGGCCACCGAAATTTTCGACTTTAAATACAAATGATTGACGCACCAACAATATGACAATTCTAACAAGCTCCCAAATATTTGAGAAGACATCTGATGAGCGACAGCACAATATTCGTTTGGATCAGGTCACCAAATAGTTTGCTGTCGTTGCCAAAGACATCATGAAGTTCCACTAGTACTTTCCACGTCCCTATCCCTATGATCTGCTCGATCCCTCGGCGGGGTATGAGCAAGTAGCAAATTTCGTGCAGGAGAATAGCCTGCCAGGCTTACCGTGCTTTGTTTATTCCTAAGCACCGGGGTCTCGCGCACAGCTCTCGGTATTACAAGGGCCGAGCGACTTCGTGCATTCAATGAGCCTACAGGGACACCCCGCACGTTTCCACTCGGTGCAATTTGCTCGCCTGCGTCGCCTGTTTGCCTGCTAACCTCATTGGTGAGCTGTCCTACTTCTTCGCGGTTGTTCCCATTGGCCCACGCTATGATGAACACCCCCACAAATGTCGCACCACAGCCATACATAAATGTGACCATCTGGTGGAATGTAGCCCTTTGAAAGTCCTTGTAAAGGACAGCGGATCCGATAACAGCAGACAGCGTAAACAGCACAAATTGCGTAGGTATGACGATTTTGGAGTCAAAACGCTTTAACGCTCGGTTCAAAAACCAGATTTGGAGAATGCCTGTGATGATTAGAACCTGCACAGGATCAGCACATGAAACGGAATGGAAAGCAATGCTAAGATACCGCAAGGATGGGATAGGTTATCCACTCCGCAAATATTTTGCCCCATTCTTCCATCAGCAACGTGGAGATAGCCTTAGTTGCTAGAACCGTGAATCCACCTGACACCGTTTTATTAGCTCATATTTGGTTTGATTCAAACCGACAATCTCACCAAATATTGCGCAAAGCCCAACGTCAACAACCACAATTCGCCTGCCGAAACCACTCTCGCCGAGCCCCGCTAGTACCATAGCCCCTACCAAGTATATGATAGTAAATACTACGAACGAACGCTGTGACATAGCCGCAATCAAGGCGTCTGGTGCAAGGGGCGGTGGACCTTCATCATACGAAGGCGTAGAAAGAACGACAGTGATCGCTCGTATCATTGCGCACAAGATGCCAGCGAGATCGTGCTGAAAATAACCCTATAAACATGATGATTCGACAGCAACCCAGGCACAATCCTACCACGCGAAAACGCTCTTTTAAAATGAGTGGAGCGAAAAAGCAGTTAGCAATGAGTGCGAACTGCAATATCACTGAGTAAAGATGGAAACAACTAACAGAATGCACTGACAGTGCCTAGAGGAGCAACCACAGAGGCCGGTGCAAATGCATATGATATGAAGTTGCCCGTTTCTCCAACTGAATGTTCATTAAAATGAATCCAGACCAATGACTGAGAGAGTACTTCGGGGAATCTTAGGTAAGTTTGAGCATGACGCTTGGGGAAAGCAACTTTGTTTGTCACTGAATTCAAAAGTCGAGCCAAAGCCAAATCGGTGGAAAAACGCCCCAGAAGGTTTTTTTAGGTGCTTGATCGATTGATCCCCCAGCTTCGCCAAGGTTTGAGGGTCCGCGGAGTATATTACCCCGCGGCTCAATGCAGGGCTCGATAGGAAGCAGAACGGTGGTACCTCAACTCTAGTTTTTTTTTTGGTTGTTTTAGGCAGTGACAGCCAAGAATCGCGATTTCAAAAGATGGAATCACTTATTCGCAAGACACGGGACACCGATGATTGATTCGCTATAATGGTAGTAACACTCCTTACTTGCTGTAACAACCAGAAAAAATTTCTGCTAGGTCCTCCCGTGCCAATCAGGCCTGCCAGATCTCAGGAGCACTAAAACTGCTTCCTGCACGAAGAAAGGCAAGTCCCGTTTTTGCGGTTACTACACCCTGGCTGGCTGTCCTTACATTTGACCTACACGAGCTTCAGACCCAAATTTTCCTTCCGGAATTATGTACAAGGAATACCACTCTCAGTATTCTCCTGTCGATGGAATAAATGATGATGATGCTCAACTCCTTGATAGTACAGAAACCAAACATCCGTCAAAACCTTGCTTCCTTCACCTATGGCCATGGCTTAGCCACGCTGTGCTGATGTCCACGACGATGGTGTTCTTCATCCTATGGGTGCGGATGCCTTCTATAGATGATGTCGTTCTGTACTGTGGGTGGATAGATAGGTTAGCACTTGGGACCTTGCTTACTTGTCACAGCTCCAGCAGATGAGGCCATTGAATTCATCGGCCCCATAAAATTCAACGGAAGTCTAGACGCTCCTTCCATTTACCGTGGCAGTCCGTCCCCAGAACTCGATGCGGTTTGGGGTGACATAACTGTGGATGGTTGTGCCATACCTCACTCACTTTATATGCAACCACTAATATAAGATGTTATTCAGCCCGCTCAGTTCGTATGACGTTTGATCAACTGCTCAGAACGGGTGAGAAGCCTTCTCCCGCCATGGCTATATATCCAGACGAATATGGAGGAGGTTACATGGTGACAATTGGAGCCATTCACATGCTCCATTGCATAGTCAGTTGCAATTTCAGGGAAGCTGGATCTCTTCTCACTCCCGTGTAGAACATGCTTCGTAGAGCCAGCTGGGGCGATCATTACAGATCCTTTGATTATTCCATCCACGACTCCCCCGAGGCATTCCGCACTCATCTCGGTAGGTATATTGATTCCTTACCATCGCAAGTCCTCCTCATATTTTACCTCAGACCACTGCATCGAAATGCTTAGGCAGGATATTATGTGTCGTGGCGACGTGACGATGCTCACTTACAACTGGGTGGAGGGAGTCGAAGATCCTTTTCCCAACTTTAATGTTCCTCATCAATGCAGAAACTTCGAGAAGGTATTGGATTGGGTAGACGAGCATCGCGTTATTGTCCCTCAATCCGATATGGTCCGCCTGGAAGATACTATCGACCTGCTTTCCCCTCCTTAATCGCATTCTTGACATAATCCGCTTCTGTAGTCACCTCTCACTTCTATATGATCCGTGAATGAATTAGTAATTAGCACCCGACGCTGTGGAGTCCTATACACACCTTCTTGAATCACAAATCTGGGATACCCGGCCGGTTGGCTCTTGTGGCACCAAATGTGCTGCGAATTTCATTGCATCAAATACCAGATCACACTGTTCCCGACTCCTAACGTTAGGTTCTTGTCGAACACGATCAGTATCCCATCTCCCAAGACCTCTGACGGCTGCATGCGTTTGAGCCTTTTCCGAGGTTACAATCATTTGACACTTATTTGTTAGATGCTTGTCCTTATGTCTGTCATTCAATTCTCACTGAGCCGTTTTTCCGTTGTGCATGCCTCGCCATTAAAATAAAACAAGAGCGCACACTACACACATCAGAACGGTATGGCCCAGTGTACTACTTTCAATTCTTCTGGTCTCGCTGAAGCCTCATCGATGGACGCTTCTTCGGTCATTGGTTCTTCCAATGTGACTGAGGACGACTTGACAGTTAAAGGAGTGAGGCCACACCATTTTTCTGACGATCAGACGCACTATGCCCTTAGCTTGCGCACATTCTTCTGGCCTCTGACCCTGTTCACATTTCTCATTTGGTGGTGAATCCCGATAGTTTTGGTCAATCTGTTGAGAACCACCATCCTAAAGCTTCACACAAGCTCGATAGACATCTCATGGACAAGGACGAACAATTGATAATACGTCTAGCAACCTAAGCTCGATTTCTTTTGTATCCTTGTAAGCAATACCTATATTCTGCTTAATATTTTTTGTAAATGGTCCTGTATAGAGATCCGGTGTTGCGTAGTTGCACTGTATACAATGTACTGTGAGATCCATCGTGTTTGATGTGAAACAAGGCTTACTACACCAACGACACAAGTTGTTATGCTTAGGCGCCTGGGTTTGGTCACAGCTCTAAAGATTCTTCGTGCACGATAAGGCTAGCGCGATGATATTTGGTGCGAAACAATGCTTACGGGCGTATCTGGCTCTGCGCGAGTAGGTGGTTCTGCGTAAGTAGTTGGTTCTTCATAATTGCCCTGCGCACATTGTAACGTCAGGTCAACACGGTGGGATTTGATGTGCTTACTATGGCGATGCTACGCTTGTCAAGGTCACCAACTGCGCGAGCAGCCTGCGGACATCGTATGACAATATGATAAGGTTTGACGCGAAACGAAGCTCACTGGTACTGTCCCAGCATTGACAGCCGCCAAGTTGAGGAGAACAACGAAAACAGCAGTGGAAAGGCGAATAAACATGATGATGAGTTGATCTCACTAGTTGTCCAAACTATATATAAAGGAATTTCCAAGCATATGACCGGCAGAAACGGTCCAGCAACATGAATTGTCACATAGGAAACCAAGTCCGTGTTATTGTGTATTAGGAAGTGACTACGGCTTCCGATTTCGATTTCGAACGCTGCACGGATTGTTGGATTATCCGTGATTCGATCGTGATTGCCTTTTTTTCCGACACGACGACATGACATCTTGTCCAACAATTTTGATTGAGGGCAGTTGTCAGTACCTGGATCGTGGCAAGACGATACTTATCAATCAACAAGTTCCACTTCTTGCGGAGCCGCTCGATGCATGCCAGCGAATGAAGCCAGGGAAATTTGAATGTGGCGTGTCATGTAAGTGCCAGCCACAGTAATCCTGTGCTGCCATCAGGATGATTGTGGTTGAAGCGGATTTCAGTTTCTCACAAAGGCAACCGGCCAGCGACCCTCGTTGCGATAATTGGGTTTGGGAATCATGGCTGCCGCATGGTGACCAGAATGATCGTCGAAAGCCAATTCCATCGCTTTAGTGTGCTTGCCCCACAATGGAGAAAACAGCGGAGAATGTGGAGTCGGATACATGTCAAACTGACAAGCTCGCAGTACACTCGCAGAAATGAATTATTGGTGAAAGGGATTGGTCAGGAATGCATGAGGCCTTGAGGACGAGAGTCGTGATCGCGAGGTACAGACTCCGCTTGAAGTTCCTGGGGCACCTAATCTCAGGGACCAGACATAGATTAGTACATGGAATCCGCACGAGTTCCATCTTCAATTTCGTATGGATATCACCCGGCAGGAAGCGCAGGACATCGTCGCCCAAACTGAGGGTGATGATGCTGTGATCGAGCAGTTTCACGAGGTCTGCAATGAGAGATTTAGGTATGATATATCAATCATACGCTTGAAAGGATTTTTGCTACATGCAACTATGATGCTCCAGTTACACTTCATCTATCAGATTTTACAAGATCGATATCGTGCTCCGCAATGCATCATACCTTCTTGCTGCCGCTCCCAAGACGCCTGGCTCTAAACCAGTCTCGGTGATGCAACCACTCTCCCTTGACACAATTCGCGATCTCCTCTCAGAAATCTCCAATAACACCAAACTGCCTGTACCAGAACTCAGAAACTTCGATGATTCCCTCGCACGTTATCCATTTCATTATCTCTTCTTCCGCCTGCCTTCACAAAACGCCCAGTCCCTCTCATCGCTGCGATCGAGTAGCACTCTCACACCATCTCAAGACGCTCTTCTGGACCTTCAGTTAGGAACCTTCATCCATTCTCTGCACTCACTCCAAAACGATTGGTTCGGTATCCCAGGAGTCCAACCAGATGAGGAAGTATGCTACAGCTGGCAGGATACATTCATGTTGCTCCTTGATGGGCTGTTATGCGAGCTTGAAAGCTCCGGAGAGATACAAAGGACGTTGGTAGAAGACATAAGGCGATATCTATCCCGCGCCATCGGGTCATTTTTATTTGAGGACGCAGAAGTGCCTACATTGGTCTGGCTGACAGGTTCGGCGGACGATGTGTATGTCCAAGTTTCAGAGCCTTGTGGACCGAACCAAGAAGCTAGAGTGGACATTGCATACGTGCTGCCGACATTTGATCGGGTAGTGTGGGGAGACCCGATGTTGGAGGCATTTTTTATGCCACCAGGGCCGAGCAAGGCGTTGGAAGAAGGGTATTTGGAAGGAGAGGGCGGAACGTTGATCGTTTTCCCGAGGCAGAGAACGAAGAGGATGTGGTACACGCTGTTCTCAGCTCTAGTTGTACTGGTCGAAGTTAGGAGAGATAAGGAGAAGGGGGGAGGGGATAATCGAACGCATCCAAAGTTCTATTGGGCAAGGGAGATCCTCCCAAGATGCGTTGAGGCATTGAAGGATGCGCCCTGTCACTAGAATGATACAGTGAAGTCCTGTAACTCTAGAGTTTAGTTATACGTAGAGTCAAAACATAGATGTCATACCTATATCATGACGAAGCATTAGCAGGGCCCATTTCAACATCTACTAGTGCTGCAGCTGGGGAAGTAACTGGTGTTGGAGCATCGTTTCCCGTGAGTTCACCTTCTACAATATCTTCCTCATCACTACTTTGTCCTTCTCCAAGTTCTCCGTTGTCGGGAGTCACTGTCATTTCTTTTTCGTTGGTCATCTGAACGTCATCATATTCCACACGTGGGTCCCATTCAAGCTCTTCTGGCTCCTCCACCTCTACTTCGACGCGCTGCTTCCACTCAAACTTATCTCTAAGCATCATCACAGCCCTGACAGCGCGCTCCACACGGTGATCGTGCGCACTCCGTATCTCTTCACATTCATGCAGCACATCCTCGTGTGTTACGCGACCAGTCGTAGCAGGAGGATGGTTGGTCTGGACACTATTCGTGGCAATAGCGCCACGGGTAGCCATACATTCTGCAAGGCGTCGAACAGTAGCGGTCTCCATATTTAGTACCTCCGTCGTCTGTTGATTGCGCAAGAGAGGGATGAGGTCATTGTCGAGTTGAGCATCCGTCATTCCAATGCTAGGATGTAGAGCGATCTTCTCGTACACGCTAGAACCTAGCCGAGCTTGCGCCTGACCGATTTGGGACTGCGCCTGAGGCGACGATAGGGATTGAGAGAAGCTATGTGTTTGGGAGAGAATGACATTGTATTTGGAGAGGATGTCTGGCCAGGCAGGCATGGCGTTCTGTCCGCCGACATCGATTGTACGCTGGAGCGTCTGGATAGATTCGATAATTTGGTTAGACTTGAATTTTAAGAGCTCAAGTTGAGAGATTGGAAGGGACTTTGGATCGAAAGCAAACTGAGGGTTGTTCGTAGTCATGATGAGTTGGTTCCAAAGAAGGGAATTTTCAAAGCGTAGCGGTTCACGAAGCTCTTGCACAATAAGACCAAATAGTCTTCAAGTCTGCCTGTGCCAGCCGAGGCACTCCTCTACTCCGTTTTTACTGTTCTTCTCACTAATTGTTTTTCAGAATGCTCTCGCTTTTTGCTCGTCACGTCGTGCCTAATCTTCCTGTGCTGCGCACCAATGTTTCGTCCGTCTTGACTTCGTCCGCATTCGCTGCGACGCGTCGTACGTTCTTCACTACGCGTCGTATCGAGCTGCCAGCCGCTGCATCCAAGAGCGCGTCAACCAAGACAATGAAGAAAACTACAAAGAAAACTACAGCTACAAAATCTACTCCAAGGAAGGCGAAAGCCACCACGGAAGCAAAGTCCAAGCCAAAATCAACAGCACCATCCAAGAAGACGGTCGAGCGGCCTCGTGAGTAGAACCGTTGGCTGAGCCTGTAGTCATGTGCATGTTAAAATGTGTTGCTATAGCACCCAAGAGAGTGCCCAAATCTGAGCAGCCTCCTTCGCGTCCCCCTAATGCCTATCTGCTTTACTTCTCGAAGCTCGTCCAAGAACGTAGGAGTGACATTAAGACTACTATGGACACCCAGGATATGGCAAAGGAAGCTGCAGTGACGTGGAATAACTTTACTCTTGCAGAGAAACAGGTAATTTACATTGCCATATCTGCGATGTATCATGCTAAAATCGTTCCTCAGCCTTACTATAACGAGGTTGAGGTCTTGAAGAAGCAGTATGAAGAGAAGCTACACGACTATTGGAAGACCGCTTCTCCGAAAACCGTCAGGAAAATCAATGCGCGTCGCAAACATGACGGGAGAAACAAGATTCACCGACCTCACCAAGAGAATGACTATAAGCGCCCTAAGGGGCCTTTCTTCAGGTTAATTTTACGTGCTATTGTGATAATATAGAGACTGACAACAAAGAATGGTTCATACAGATTCATAGAAATGTTCCGTCAATCAGATGATGGCAGAGCTATCCAAGAAGCTGGGACCACCGCCGCAGGTAGAGGAGCGGTCAATGTTGTTCGTGCAGCTGGTGAGCAGTGGAGGGCAATGAGCGCCTCTGACAAAGCCGTAAGTGAACCCGGTTGACAATCATTCTTCAATGACTAACGATATGTCGTTTTAGCCCTATATGGAAGCTTACCAGAAAGCGCATAATGATTGGCAAGCAAACCATCCCAGCAAGAATGCCTCTACGAGTGCATCATCATAGGGGCTTACATGTCGGGAGGCAGAAATGCTAGCAATTCCGCGTACATCAGTCCCGCCGTTCTTCAGTTATTGCATTTTTCATCGTCGCTTGCCCACTTTATCACCCCAATTCAGCCCAATGAGTTGATTTTTATTGCAATGTTTATAATTTCTGAAGTCATTCGCATGTCCCTCTAGTTTTACATATGTACGATAGGAGTTCCTGGTCACGTTCCTTTTGGCTTGCGAATTCTCTTCGTCGTACCTCTCGGTCATGGCGTCGATGTGCAAGTTTCTCAGGCATATTTGATACTCGCAACAAACGATATTCCTCATACGAAGACGCTCCAAACATTTGCTCATTACCTCGAGTACGCTTCAACCTTATGTCTTCTGTGAATGACATTGGTCGGTTACTCTCATGTCAATCCCCATCTTGGACAGTCCCAGTGGACGATACCTCCCTTTGCAGACCATGTCACATCATCAACGAAATATGATTTCCACACTGAGTTTGATGCTCAGATTAAGCTACTTTGTCCCTCCCCAACTGATATTTTAGACGCTCATGATGCATTGCTAACATCCAAGGTTGTATAGGCGCATTCCGTCACCTCATAGGGTGGTACCGAACCTGACTTCGACGTTGGTGATTTTGTGTACCTTGCCACCACTCATCGTCGATACGAATATCTCAACGGTCAAACTGAATGGAAAGCCAACTTCATGACGAGCCTTCTAAAATCCTCTCTACCCATCCTGAGTCATCTTAATACACATTCGATCTACCGCCACATATATCAACATTCACCCTACGTTCATGTATCTGAACTTCAAGTGCCACGCCCCCCGACGGCACTGCTCCCCTCCCGAAAACTGCTGTGACTTGGTCCCGTCGCGACCCGAGACGGTCTCGAAGGACGGAAGATAGAACGTATTTTCGATCAACGTCCTCGTGGCCGCGGATTCTAATACTTCATTCTCTCTGGTAAGCAGGAGATTTCTGGTTATAAGGTCGTGATTCATGAAGTCGAAGAATGTTCTGCTTTCGAGGACTTCCCCGTCACGCTCGACTCTTTGGAGGGTGTAAGCCACGTGCTTACGCCGCTGACGCACACTCACATGATTACAAAGCTGTGTTATAGCGCTGAACGGTCCGGCAGATCAACATCAAAAATGCTGTTTGGTCCTCGTTCGACATATCGCCGTTCTCTGCAAGCTACATACCACGAGATACAAATCGAAGCTAGTCCGGGAATCGGCGCTCGGTACAACTTAACAAAAATGTTCAGGTACATTATTCTCGGCCGTAGAGAAATTGATTATCCGTTGACGGACAAAGCACACAAATAGATTGATTTCGCCAGCAGTATGGGGCCGTGGAGCCGCTCAGCAGTTTTTGAAATTCAAGAGCGGATTTCCTCGGTGGGGGGCGGCGATTCGAAGACACTTCTTCGAAAAATTCCCTAGAAAAATCTGGGGACCTGAAAGACTCAGATGACTTGCCACAGCCCCTGGTTCATTATGATCAACTCCTAGGGAATAACCATAGATTTGCCTAGATTCTTCATTTTGCTGCGGTGCGTATTTTTAGTAGCCGGCGGTGCTTGCGCCGCAGCAGTCCACCAATCAAAGAATCAGATGATCCTCCGTGTTCAAATGCAAAATACAGGTTAGTATGTTTTGCCTCTTGTCATTTTCTCGCATCGGAGGACATGCGCTGATTTGATTCGGACTCCGGAGATCCGATTCATAGGGGGTCTATCTTGCCTCAGTGACCAGTGAGCCTCTCGTTGTCTGGTTTGTGCGTACGTCTGAAATTGATTTTGAAAAATAGTCAATTACAGCCCTTCCCTTGTAAAGATCTGAATGAAATAAGGTATCAGTCAATTCAGATACTGCAGAAACGTGACCACGTGGACTGTAATAATTTCATCGACTTCTTAACATGCATGGTGCTATCGTTTACCAGTAAGGTCAGATTGAAAGATGGCAAGTGTCTAAAGATAAATAACTCTAGTGAGTTCTGTAGAATGTGACATTTAATAGAGTACGACTTACCCCCATCCAGTGTATGAGACTGGAGAAGTGACGTAAATGAGGATAGGGAAAGTACTCGGAGGCGAGCGTGAGACACCGCCACAGTTACAAAATTAGCAACATCGTCTGATTGGACCGCAACATCAAAGTAAGATAGCAACCGGCGGCGTCATCAGACGCCTGTTATACTTACACCAGAGTGGCATAGCTCCGAGAGACTGACTCAAACTTTGACGGGCGAAATTGTGACTTAACATTAGTCATTGGAGTTGATGTTGCAGCTGTGCCGGCAGAATTTGTGTCCATGATGTACAGCAAGGTCACATGGACCCAGGAGACAGTATTAATGAGGGTATATACATTGGCACTAATACTAAATCGTCAAAATGCGAGCAGGAAGGTGGCACAGCAGCGAAAAAGTAGGGTTGTGGCGAAAATTCTTGATTTCTAGAACGTACATACAGTAAGCAATTGACCCCCTGTGACACGTTACGGTGGGGTAAATTAGCAACGCAACCAAGGCCCTGTAGCACACTATGGTTGCCTCCATGAGTCCATACACAGAGGTACAGTGCGTGGAGTTGCCCAGTAATAATATAGTGAGCCCGCTGGCGTAATGAACAAGTGCCCAAAAAATAAAATAATGTACTGCGTTGTCGGGTTGATTTCCAATACAGATGACACAGCCTGTGAGCGGATCTACGAAGAAGTACCAAAGCCCTCCTGAACGTTCAATCAATAGTGTATGCTCTCCTTAAGGCAAACACGAAGCTTGTTCTGTCTTCAGTGGGCTCGCATCTATCGTAATTCTTGCTTCAGCACACCCCATGCAAGAAGCTGTCGTAAAATGGTCCCGTGAGTGTTCATGACTGTCAGCAGCATCATAGAATATGCGGAGGAGTTACAACTGTCTCGATGTTTTCTCGTTGGAGTCATCCATTAAATCTTTCTAGGTAGCACTAATTGCGCTTCGCCCACGAGTCACGTGATTCGTTTATAGTTTCACATCGACTAGTTATCTACTTGATTCTAACTTCCGACTCGGACGTTCAAACCCGTTTAATGATATCGCAAATATCTCACTCTCATTCCTTTTTTTAAACAAAGTCCAATTTGTGTCCATTGAGGATGATATACCCTATGTAGGACATTACCTTCTAATCTATGGGACCCCTGATGTTGTCCCTTCTGATCTCTCAAGCTAAGTCGCAAATGCCCTGATGGCCTAAGGCCATCGGTCCGCCCTTCCCGCCGGCCGTTTATGCGTCAACGGAGATGAAATGATTTAAATAACTGTTAAGGAGTGGTTATGCACGGCATGTGCAGTTCATATACAGCATATTTCAATATTAGTGCTCATGCAATGACAGCCCGATGCTATGACCGACTCATAATGCATAGCGTTGAGGTCTTTTTTCCTGTATAAAATTTGAAATTGTCACGAGACTTTCAAAGTCCGTGGCTTCAAGACTAAAGATGCGGATGAGACGGATAGTATACCGACCGGTTTTCATACTGTACTCCGTCCAGAAACGAGGTCATGTGTTTTGCAAACGATATTATTGATTATTCAGCAGAGATAGGATTTCCATTCGACTTTATAACAAGTTTAAGAACATTCGTAGCCTAGGTAGCTCTGCTACACTCGTCATATCGTGACTTACGCGAGAGCCGTTGTTTGAAGAAAATAGGGACTGCAATTAAGGAGGGGAAGTCAGGTCTACATTACCCTCCAAGCGGACCACCCTAGTGTTGGGATTATGCTCATCAACCCAATCCAATATTTTCTCCAAGTTTCTGCATCGGTGAGGAGTGTTGAAGTTAGGGAGAGGCCCGTCGACCCCCTTCACCCAGTCATAAGTGAGCATCGTCACATCGCCACGACACATAAGGTTCTGCCTGAGCATTTCGATGCAATGATCTGAGGTACAACATACTAGTAAGCAGTTTGTGGGCTGGGCAGGAAACAATATACCTACCGAGATGAATGCGCCGGAAGACTTCGGGGGAATCTTTGAATTCATGACTCGTGGAAGGATCTTGTTCGCCCCAGGTGACTCTGCGAATCATATCCTACAGGGGAATGAGTAAAAATCGACCAGCCTCCCTGTATTACAACTGACTATGCAATGGAGCTGGTGAATGACTTCTACACTTGCCATGTAACCTCCACCGTGTTCTTCCGGATACCCAGCCATGGAGGGAGAAGGTTTCTCCCCTGCTCTGAGCAATTGTTCAAGCGTCATACGAACTGGACGCACTGGGAGAGATAGTCAATAAATGACCATGATGTAAGTGAAGCATAGGGTGCAACCATTAAGAGCTACCCTATCCCAAGCGGCGTTGATTTCTGGAGACGGAGGGCCACGATATATAGAAGGGGTGCCCAGAGTTCCATTGAATCTTATAATGCCGACGTATTCAATGGCCTCGTTTGCTGGAGCTGTGACGAGTAAGTAAGGTCCTGTGCGTTGATGCTATCCGTCCACATACAGTACAGAACTACATCATCGATCGACGGCGCCCGCACCCATAGCACGAAAAACACCATTGTTATGAACATCAGCACACCATGGCTTAGCCATGGTGACCAGCGAAGGAGACGGGACTTTGGAGGAGGTATTGTTACTGTACTGCTATCAAGAAGGTTCGTATCGTCACGATCCTCGACTCCGTCGACAAGAGAATACGACGCAAAATATTCCTTCTGCATAGCTAGCGCAAGGAAAGAACTTGAGGTTAGTAGGGTTTCAAGATACTCAGGATGTACTTGGAACACAAGTCGTACTCGTGGGTAAGTTGGAAGCCAGGGTCTAAGTACATAGAGGGGCTCGAGTTGCTTTACTGATGGAACCACTTGAGCGCTCGAGCATTGATCTGTGCCTGATGCAGAAGTAATGATGAGAACTATTTTAAGCAACTCTTGATTCGTATCTAGGCTCAATTGTTTCAAGTTGACGTAAATCAAATTGCTGGTGACTGCTCGATTTGGATTTGGATCTGAGATCTCCGGCAGTTGACGGCAATAAACACTCAACGTTCAACCGTCGTGGCGTGGCGTCACCTGGCGTCCATCTGCATCTATATGCATACATGTCCACGAGTCTCCGCGCCGGGTTCCTGGCCTTCTCCATCTCAGACTTATCCGAGTTGCTCGCACTTCTCCGATCATCCCGGGCCTGCGTTTCCCCATTGAATACTATTTCCCTTCCAGCGCTCCGCTAGGGCATGTGACTCTCACACCGTCGGAGCTGCCTAACACACCTGAGACACAGCCGACTGGGGGACATATTCGAAATTAATACACTCCCAGATATTTCCCGGAGTATGTCTCGCATCTACCCTCGCGTGTTCCCAACTATCCTTACAATTCCCGAGTTCAGCGAACAGAGTTCCCCCAGAGTCATGATCAAAGATCCTCCGCAGTACCTTCCTGTCGATACTTTTGACAACGATAATGAGGAGAAATTTGGTGATGCAGAGAGGTTCCTTGCAGAATCTCGTCCCAAGTCACATATCCTTCGTGTGCGGCCTATGTTGAGCCATGGCGTGTTGATATGCACATCGATGCTCTTTTTCGCGCTATGGATGGGCACGCCTTCGCCCCACCTGCGTGACGACATTCCTGTATACTGTAAGTGAACAGACTACATTGAACGGTATGGTTATTAATTTATTATAGCTCCAGCAATTGTTGCTGTTGAGCCCGAGATTATAAGGTTTAACGGAACTCTCGACTTTCCTTCTATCTATCGTGGCCCTCCTTCCCCAGAAATTGATGCCGCTTGGAGCAGGATAGCTGGCGATGGTGCGTCATCTAATTTTTCCGTCATCCTAATTAGTAATTGTTCACACCCATGGAATCTCAGTGCTACCGACTCGAATGTCGCTTGAGGAAATTCTCAAAGCCGGCGACGTAGATTCACCTTCCAAGGTCAAGTATCCAGCTAAACTTGATGGGGACTTCATGGTATCCATGGAAGCCCCTCACCAGCTCCATTGTCTGGTAAGCTATACTACACCGAAAGTCTAGTCGTTCTTGCCTCACATTTTGTAGAATTTACTTCGCAAAGCCACGTGGCCCGAGTATTACGGACCCACAGATATTTCGTTCCAGGACGAGCCCGAAGTGATCCGCATGCATCTTGGTACATATGCTTTTTTATTGATGCACCTCCTGTTTATCGTATACATTACAGATCATTGCATTGAAATGATCAGACAGAATATCATGTGCAATGCCGACGTGACGATGATAACATGGGACTGGGTTGAAGGACACGATATCCCATACCCTAACTTCAACAACCGCCACCAATGCAGGAACTACGAGAAAATCTTGGATTGGGCTGACAAGCACGCTGTTCATATCAATAGTTCCGAGGTTACTCGCCTCGAAGATACGATTGAACTCCCCTTACCCTTCTATCCGATGAACCATGATGTATAAGGAATATTATGCTGCTTACTTACTATGTGCATACACTCACGAGTATCTTCCAAGAACGGCAATGATTATGAGCTCGATCGGATTAATGCATTGTTAGTACATCAATGACATAGGAATGAATGAAATAATGTATTTGGTCATCTATATACGTTCATGTAAAATCAGGCTCCTAACTACCTCAATGGCTGAAGCTTCAAGCACGGACAGATCTAAACCTAAGTAGTAGGAATAGCTTGCGAGTCGTACATCATCCTTGTTCTTTAACATCGTGCTGGTCAATCCTTTCAGATATATTTTAGTGCCGGTTGTGTATCAGCATTTCTTTCAGTGTCTAGGCTATTAAGTGTTGTTGTTTGAGTCGCGCCTCGATTCTGAGACGTCTGATAATAAAGCCTCAAAAGGACAATAATGAAAGTTGTAATTAGTATCAGGATTGACACGGCTTTTTACTTCCATGGGACACCGGTAGTAGTTTCGAGTCACCATCAATTATGGAGCTGGCCTAGACAGATTTCCCTTACGCCGAGGCGGTAGGAACGAAACTTCTTTTGAGTTACTCCTCCACATGCATCGTGTCGAGTTCTCCATTCCAGTAAGAGCGGTAATTAAATGCATAATTCTACGCATTTACAGAGGATCTACCCCTGCAATCAGAAACTGTCAGTCGATCCTGGAACCGTACCTCGGTGCAATTGTTTATCATCAAGACTTGTGCTGTGTTTAAGGCCTTGATGTGATATGCTACAGCAAGAGTGAAATATCAAACGTTGATGGTACCGATTACGACTGGGAAGAATGAGGGTGCATGCTGACAGGGCCGCTACCACCTGACGTTACTAGTTAACGCCGACTTTGTTCAACCCTGAAACGTGTGCCGGTGCATGGAAAGCACTCAAAAGAATTCGTACGCGGTTGATATCAGCGCATTAGACGGTGCGGACCCAGATCACTACCTCATGGGTACCGTACAGTCAAAAATCAGGCTTTCTGGGAAGGAGATGCTTTTTCGTGTCAAGTACCTATCGACTCGTCCCAATATGGCAGGATCAGCATCAAGAACTACTGAATATTTATAGAAGTGTTTATTTGACTTTGATATGTATTTTTGGCAGCCAATGGCGTTGTGCTATTCCCGACTGCGGCGGTACGGGTAACTCCAACTGCCGTCCTAATTTTGCAAATGCGAAATACAACCCCAAATTCAAAGTGCTTTACATTGATTGCGGTAGTTTTTCCGATATATACGTGGTTTTATATAACTTTATATTCCAATATAACGAAAACCTGTTCTATGTATAATCAGATATCTCTGATGCAGGGCTGTGGTGCCTCTTGCATATCACTTTCTCGCCTGACAGGACCTGCCCATGTATTGAAGCCACTCGGAGATGAGAATTCGGGCTTGATGATCTTGCCTCGTTAGGATTAATGTGGGCGCTAAGTGAGTTTTCAATGAGACTGACAGACTGAATCCTACTTTGGCCGGCTACGTAGAACAATCTCTTGCAAAAGTTCTGTTCTGGGTGGATAAGGCTTCAGCCAATTCAGGTGACCTGTCAGAGTCGTGAGCGGACCTCGTAACGAAAGGTATAAAGTTCTCTTCAAGATTCCAATGTGATGCATCGACAAAGTACCAGCCGCACTTCTTAACTCAAACATGAAGCTTTCTTTTGTCTTCAGCGTGCTTGCTTCCATCGTAGTTCTTGCTACAGCGTACCCCACGCAAGGAGCCACTGGCATCGCGAACGTTCTCTTGGTGGGTATTCATAACTCATCACCTATGCGGGAGGTTTGACAAGTGTAACTTGCTGCTTAGATATCGAGAAGCAGCGAGACTCGGAGACACTTGGCGTCGATGACAAAGTTATACCTTCAGGACTACAATCGCGACCTCGGCGGCACTTGACTTTAGGAAAAGATTATTACTTCAGCGAGTACAAGCGCGACTCGCGGCATTGACGTTAAGGACCAAGACGATGTACTTCAGCGAGTACAGCGCGACCGGCGCACTTGACGTTAAGGACAAAGACTATTACTTCAGCAGCGAGTAAGCGCGACTCGCGGAGCTCGGCATCTGCGACGAAGAATATTACTCAGCTAGTAAAGAAGAGAGATGAAGGGAAGCGCAGCTCGGAGGAACTTGGCGTTGATGATAAAGACTATACCTTCAAGGACTACAAGCGCGACTCGGAGGAACTTGGCGTCGATGACAAAGACTATACCTTCAAGGACTACAGGCGCGACTCGGCGGGGCTTGACGTCAAGGACAAGAAGTATAAATTCGAGGAATACAGGAAGAGGGAAGAAGGGAAGCGCGGCTCAGAGGAAATTGGCGTCAAGGACAAAAAGTATAAATTCGAGGAGTACTGAACTTGATTCATAGCTGTATGTCTTATTTGTTTTACGAGAGTCATCCACCATACTAGGTCTGGTATCGTCGCAACCTTACCATGTTACTACCCTGTACATATATCTCGATTCCCTTATCTAGTTGTTTCTGACATGCCTATGTATCTAATACAATTTCAATGGTCTTACTCTTTGTGACTACCTACAGACTCAGTGTTCTTGTCACTAAGCTATCATCTGGTGATATCGCGTCCTGCATTTCCAGACGGGTCTCGCGTGTTGTCACCTTAAATACTCTCAGTTCCCGTTCAAAATGAGAGAGATGGTATGTCAACTGTAGCTTGCTCCGTGCTAGCTGGCTCTCGTCCGAAGCATATTATCAAGGAACAATCATATTTTCTTGAGTGGTCTTACTACGGGGCACTACGTGTCCTTCACATCATAAATGATAGCGTGCAGCAACATATATATCGTGCATGGCTAGAAAAACAAATGCGACGACGATAGACCTGAGAAAGCAATAAACGTAACCGAATCCCCCGTCTTCTCATTGATGCAGCTGATGCTATGATATCGTCTTGATGCTACTCAACCGCACTACAAGAGGAAGCAGCGACACATTCTCACTTGGCGCATAGTACTGCACGCAATCCAGATGAAACTTGTACAAAAATTGTTGGCCAGGAAGGCGACAGCCGCGTGAATAAAATAACATTATTTTAAATCTGGAGACAAGCAGCGTCAGAGTCTCACATACCGCACGCAGATGATGGGGCGCTCACTAGTGATTAAAGTTAGACTCAAGCTTTTCCAGGAATTCCCAGCGTTTGTTCATCGCCTGGTCGATGTCACCGCTCTCTACTACTGCGAGCGCTTGATCGACGAGCTTGGTGAGGGACGAGCTGTACAGCGCGAATGTAGAACACGTCACTATCATGCGGGACGATCAGCGGGTATTTGGGTCCGAGGTCGCACACATACCCTCAGTAGTTTGGTATTCGTCAACGTGCATTCTTTCACTGCAGGTACGTGTCCAAACAGTCTATGTGATCCTTCAGAAGCTGGTCTACGGCAGTTGCCTTAGCCAATTTCGCTTCTAGCGCCCGCCAGTTACTAGGTTCAAGAACCTCGAATGTCGTGAAAGCCAGTATTTGCTAAACGAAAGCATGCGAGCTCTCAAGAACGCAACTCGCAGTCGTCACTGCTCGAACTTGGGATGGTTTGGCACAGGACGCCACCAAGGACTTGTCTTCTGTTCTATCCACATCGATGCGAGCGACTGTTCTGTGTGCTTGAAATGCAAGAGAAAACGAAGGAGGAGCTGGTGACGCAAAATGATTTTGCGAGATATGACGAGCGAAAGTGGGAATTTCACATTGTAGTCGAGTGTAAGGGCATCAGTCGCTTATTTGGGATGAGCAACTCTTGTACATCATCCTTCTACCGGTTGCGATGCTTCTTTCTTCATCCGGCACACCCTCGCCTTCCTCACCGCCAATCACGCCGCTTACGCTAATGACTGCGAGTAACCATTCATGTAACCCGCTGCTCGCAACGCTAGCTCGCACATCTTCCCCTGTAAGCACAAGGTTGAGCAGATTCTGCAGCTTAACGGTACTAACACATTTTGCGGGCTTGTTCAGCTCAGTGTGGGCAAGGTCTAAGAGGTGGGTGAGGAAGGATGAGGAGGCCAAATAGAAATTATGCCTGAGAGAGAGGTATGAGCTGTTTGAGTTGCGCCCAAGGACAATAATGCATGTTGTAATTAGTTATAGACGTTCATTTGACTGTGATGTGTATTTTTGGCAGCCAATGGCGTTGCGGCATTCCCGAGTCCCGACTGCGACGGTTCAGGTTGTGGTCTTCGAATTGCCAAGATACAGCCTCAGCACTAGCTATGCTTTACATTCATTACGGTAGTTTTCCGATGTTATACATGGCTTGATATCCTATTATAATGTAACAAAAACCTGTTCTATGTATCATCATGTGTGACTCAAGTTTGCCGAGGCACGACGCCGTTCACGTATGTGTGCGAATTAGGCGATGTGGCACAAGCTTCTTGCTTCCGCCCACCTCGCAGCCAAATTCTCTCGTCTCAAATACTAGGCACTAGTCTCAGTCTTTTGCACCCACCCACCACTCCCCGATCATCGCGCGGACAAATACTTAAACCTCAGGATCCTGATACCTTGTCAGTAAACCGACAACGGATACCATATCATTTCTCCGATGCCATTGGTGACCGCTTCCAGAGTGTCGCTATCACATAGGGAGAGCTGATCGGACCCACCCGCCCTCACAGCTCCCCTCCTTCGGGCTTTCGCCTAAACTACTCAACAAACTTGCTCGTTCTTGTTGGATACAAACAGCCAATATCTCTCGTAGTGCCGATAGCGGTCGTCCTCGATTACATCTATGCTAATTCTACTCTCTTGCGGTGTGACATAGCCATTGCCCCTCAGCACTAGCTATGCTTTACGTTCATCAACGGCGGTAGTTTTCCGATGCTTATACATCGCTTTATATAACTTTATATCCCAATATAACAGAAACCTGTTCGATGCATCATCATATATGATGATATCCAACTCGGAGTCTGCGGTTGTCGTCTGATGCAGGGGTGTTGTCCCCCTCGTATATCACTTTCTCCTGTGACAGGACTGCCCATGCCATGAACCTATCCGGACATGAGAATTCGGCGTTGACGGTCTTGTCCCTTTAGGAATGTGGGCGGTGAGTGATTTTTCAACGAGACTGATGGCAGAGTTTTACTGCTGCGGTCGCGATCGTTCACTTAGAACAATCCCCAAGTTGCACAATGCAAGAGTTCCGAGTGGATCCAGCCAATTCAGGCGACCTGGGCCATGAGCGGACCTCGTAGACGGTATAAAGTTCTCTTGAAGATTCCAATATAATACATCGACAACTTGAAGGTACCAGTCGCACCTCTTAACTCAAACATGAAGCTGTCTCTTGTCTTCAGCGTGCTCGCATCCATCGTGGTTCTTGCTACAGCGTACCCCACGCAAGGAGCCGCTGGCATCGCGAAACGTTCTTCTGGTAAGTATTCATAACTCGTCACCATGCGGAGGTTGACAAGCGTAACTTGTTGCTAGATGTTGAGAAGCGCAACCTAGAGGAACTTGACGTCAACGACTCTGACTATACCTACAAGAAGTACAAGAGGAATGAGGGGAAGCGCGACTCATAGGAACTTGACGTCAGGTTCTACGTAAATGAGTTATAGCTGTATGTCTTATTTTTGTGAGAGTCATACACTGGCATCATACTAGGTCTGGCATCGCCGCAAGCTCACTTACAGGTTACATCTATCTTGATTCCCTTATATAATTGCTTGGTTTCTGACATATTGCGTACCTATGCACTTTTATATGATATAATCCCACACTTTGACTATCACTAACCGTAGACCTATAGACACAGCGTTCTTGCCACTAAGCTATCATCTGATGACATTGCGTATTGCACTTCCCAATTCGTGTATTATCACCTGGAGTGCTCTCAGTTCCCATTCAAAATGAGAAACAGTATGTCAATTGTAGCCTGCTCAGTACTAGCTGGCTCTCGTCTGAGTTATATCAAGAAACGACTATCAGAAACCATATGTCCTTCACATCCTAAGTGATAGCATATATATCGCGCATGGCTAGCAGAACAAAATGCAACGACGACAGAACGGAGAAAGCAATAAACCTAACCGAATTTTTAGCCGTCGCCCTGTGACTTACCAGGACCCCTACTTCTCGTCGGTGCAGCTGATGCTGTGGGTGGACACAGACCCATAATTTCCGTAGACTGAATTGCGGCGAGGTGTTGAATGCATGTTCGAGTTGAGAGAGGAGTTTGTAGTCCATTCAAGGGGTAAGTAAAACGACACCTGAGCGATGGGGGAATTTGACCTTGAGCATGTCCCAGATGGCAGCGTAGAGCGCATGATTGACAAGCCCAAAATCGAGGTGGCTGCGGCTCTCTACAAAAGATGAGATAGCAGTGTAGTAGGTGCCAAGAGGTACTATCCGTTCCGTTAGGTCTCGAAGGGACGAACCTGTAAAAAGTATAAGAGAGAACGATCTCCCCTGAACTGTCAGAGGAGAGGACACAACAAAATGTATTCCCTTTAGTGGGTCGTCATCTTCCTGTGAGTATTCAGGATAGGGGGAAATATGTTTTGCCTCAATGCGCTGTAGAGGTTCAGGTGAGAACGAGGTGAAGCACACAGCAAAAACACGAAAACCAAATTGCTAAAGAAGAATTATGAGGTTAAGCAGGGATACCAAAGGTCCGGTGAGGTCCGTCTCAGCGATTAACGACGGCTCGTGGCCTGCATGCTATCAATACTTTAGCACGCAAGTCATCGAGGACCACGTGCCTTGTCAATGCTATCTCGTGATGAACGTAAGCAAAAATTTGTATCTTTGTAGATGTTGTCGCTCAGTATTCAGCTATCTATTTCTGCGAACAGAAGCGATAGTGCCCGTGATCTGAATGGTCGATCGTCTGCATGTCATAATAAGTATACATGACAGGTAAGGATACTCGTGCCTTAGTGTACTGTTTTGCAGACAAACCACGGTTCTTCTTGCGGCCTCCTGGACATGTTCGTGGAGGATCCATAGTACATACTAATAGAGTCATATGCAAGTTGCAGATTCGGACACGATACATGCACAAAACACGTGGTGGTTGGTTGAAAATATGGTCACGCGCGCGGGAAAGTTGCGAAGGAGTCGTCAGCTATCGGAAGTCGGAGGTCTCGCGAAGGCGCGTCTGTAGCTATTTTTTGGCCACCTACTTACCAGTATTGACTCGGATACATCTCAGGAGCACAAAAAGACGTGCTTAGGTGCACCATTAAGCGAGTAATGTTTCCGTGATTATCATGATGAGGCAGCTTACTTGATCTCCAGTGGATGGCAAGTATTCTCAAGTATTCCACAACAACCTGGCGACAATGCAACCGGTGACCTACACTTAGCATCACTCCTGCATCACTTCCTACCGATACCCAGCCTGTTTTAATGCAACAGAATGACATTATAGCCTGACTTTTGCTCACACAGATGCCCACATCATTACTCACATGGAAGCCTGCAATTATGTTCACGCAGGCAGGCCCGCAATGTCACTGCTCATGCGGATGCCTCCAAGCCACCACTGCCTCTTTCCAATATCGCCTTCTCACCTCGAAGTGTCACTCTGTAGCTCCTGCAATCTGGGATCTGAGGTTCACTTCACTGCGTCGCTCTCACTCCTACTCTCGTGGGAATTGCAGCTCACCTCGGCTCTCGCACAGGTTGGGACTACTATTCGTGCTTCCACCCCCAAAACTGTTTGCTTCAATAAAGCAAACATTTCCTTTTTTCCCCGCTACCACTACTGAGACCGTTGCATGACAGCAACCACAATTAGTTTGGTATTCTAGCCGAAGCAAGGTACACTTACTAACTCTGCAACTGTGGCGGCGGCGTGTCACGCGCGATCCACGGTTACCTCCACATAGAGGTAGTATCTGCATATGTCCACGAGTGTCCGCGCCGCTTCTTCCAGATCTCTAGACTTATTTCGATCAAATCCATCTTAGGCTTCTCCGAGTTCCTCGCACTTCTCCGATCATGCCAAGCCTCTTTTCCAGCGCTCCGCTGGGGCATGTGACTCTTGCACTAACGGAACTGCTGTACAGTAACCTAACATACCTAACACACAGTTGACCGGGGGACATATTCAAAATTAATACACTCCTAAATATTTCCCAGGATGTGTACCGCATCCAGTACCTTCACGTGTTCCCAACTATCCCTACAACCCCCGAGTTCAGCGAACAGAGTTCCCCAAGAGCCATCATCAAATATTCTTTGCAGTACTTTCCTGTCGATACTTTTGACAACGATAATGAGGAGAAATCATTTGGTGATGCAGAAATGTTCTGTGGAGGACTCGTTCCAAGTCACACATCCTTCGCACGCGGCCTGTATTGAGCCATGGTACGTTGATATGCACGTCGATGCTCTTTTTCGCGCTATGGTGGGCACGCCTTCGCCCTACCTGCGTGACGACATTCCTGTATACTGTGAATGGACAGACTACATCGAACAGTATACTCATTAATCTATCACAGCTTCAGTAAATGTTGCTGTCGAACCCGTGATTGTAAGGTTCAACGGAACCCTCGACTTTCCCTCTATATATCGTGGCCCTCCTTCCCCAGAAATTGATGCCGCTTGGAGCAGGATAGCTGGCGATGGTGCGCCGTCCAATTTGTCCCGTCATCCTGATTGTAATTTTTCACACCTATGAAACCTCAGTGCTACCGACTCGAATGTCGCTTGAGGAAATTCTCAAAGCCGGCGACGTAGATTCACCTTCCAAGGTCAAGTATCCAACTAAATTTGATGGGGATTTCACGGAAGTCCCTAAGCTATACTACACCGAATGTCTAGTTGTTCTTGCCTCACGTTTTGTAGAATTTACTTCGGAAAGCCTCGTGCCCTGAGTATTGTGGACCCATAGGTATTTGGTTCCAGGACAAGCCCGAAGTAGTCCGCATGCATCTCGGTACGTATGCTTTTTCTATTGATGCACCTCCTGCTTATCGTATACATCACAGATCATTGCATTGAAATGATCAGACAGAATATCATGTGCAATTGCCGACGTGACGATGATAACATGGGACTGGGTTCAGGGACACGATATCCCATGCCCTAACATCAACACCCGCCACCAATGCAGGAACTACGAGAGAATCTTGGATTGGGCTGTCAAGCACGCTGTTCATATCGATAAATCCGAGGTTACTCGCTTCGAAGATACAGTTAACCTCCCCTTACCATTCTATCCGATGAACCATCTAATTTAACAACGCATTTCCGGCGGTTCGTGCAAACCGCGTCATGCTGCGCAGCACTGACGCACGCTCTCAATATTAAGGGCTTAGTCGCATCAAAGTATTGTTAGTGGTACATTAATGACAAATATATTTGGCCATCTATCACGCTCATGTAAGCTCAAACTTCAAGCACGAACGGATCTAGAACTAAGTAGTAGGAATATGAACATTGTAGGAGCCACCGTTTTAGTCACGGGATATGATGTTTATTCTCTAACGTCGTGCTGGTCAGGTATTTTTTAGTTTCAGTTATGTACCTGTACCCACTTCTTTCAGCGTCTAGGTCTTAAGTGTTGTCGCGCCTAAGGACAATAATGGAAGTTATAATTAATCTCGAGATTGACACGGCTATACTTTACTTCCGCTGGTTACCGGTAATAGTTTCAAGTCACCATCATTTACTATGGAGCTGACCCAGATAGATTTCCCTTATGCCGGGGCGGTCGGAACGAAACTTCTTTTAAGTTGCTCCTCCATATGCTTCGCATGGAATTCCCCATTCTAGTCAGATTAAAGGCACAGTTCTCCGCGTTTACAGAGGGTTTACCCCTGCAACCAAAAACTAGATCATCCTGGAACCGAACCTCGTTGCAATTGTGTGTCATCAAGACCTGTGTTTAAGACACTGATGTGATGTACCGCAGCAATAGTGAAATATCAATCATTGAGGTGCTGATAATGGCTTGGAAGAGTGGGGTGCATGCTAACAAGGCCACCACCACCTGACCGCCGTTAGTGTAGTAGTTGCCGCTGAATTTGTTCAGCCCTGAAACGCGTGCCGATGGGTGAAAAGGATCTGCAAGAACTCGTACGTGGTCAATACTAGTGCATTGGACAGCACGGATCCCGATCACTACCTCATGGGTACTTGTATAGTCAAAAATCAGGCTTACTGGGTAGCAGAGGTTTTTCGTGTTCAGTATCGACTAGTCCCAACATGGAAAGATCAGCATCAAGAACTAGTGACTGGAATATTAATAGAAGTGGGTGATGTGTATTTTTGGCAGCCAATAGTCACGTGTTGCGGTATTGCCAACTGCTGCGGTTCGGGTTGTCGTGGTCTTCGACTTTTGCAAATGCGAAATACAGCCTTCGTACTTTACATTGATTGCAGTAGTTTGCCGATAGCCTTATACAAGCCTTATACATAGCTTTTTCTAAATTTATATTCCAATATAACGAAAACCTGACCTATAGTACAATCATATACCGGTAATGATGATATCTGCGGCTGTCCTCTGATGCAGGGGTGTTGCCCCTATTACATATAACTTTCTCCGAGTCGCGTGACAGGACTGCCCATACAGTCACTAAACCCATTCCGGAGATGAGAATTCGGCGGTTGATGGTCTTGCCTCGTTAGGATCAATGTGGGCGCTCTCAATGAGACTGACGGCTGAATCTTACTACTGTCACAGGTCGCGACCGTCCACTTAGAACAGTCCCTTGCAAAAGTTCTGGATGGATAAGGCTTCAGCCAATTCAGGTGACCTGAGTCATGAGCAGACCTACGAAAAGGTATAAAGTCCTCTTGAAGATTCCAATGTAAGACATCGACAAAGTACCCAGTCGCAGCTCTTCAAGTAAACTCAAACATGAAGCTTTCTCTTGTTTTCAGCGTGCTCGCTTCCATCGTGGTTCTTGCTACAGCGTACCCCACGCAAGGAGCCACTGGCATTGCGAAGCGTTCTTCTGGTGGGTATTCATAGCTCATCATCATGCGCTCGGAGGTTGACAAGTGTAACTTGCTAGATGTCGAGAAGCGCGACTCGGAGGGGCTCGACGTCAATGACAAAAACTACGAGTTCACCAGCTACAAGAAGCGCGGCTCGGAGGGGCTTGATGTCAACGACAAAAACTACGAGTTCACCAGTTACAAGCGTGACTCGGAGGGGCTTGACGTCAATGACAAGAACTACGAGTTCACCAGCTACAAGAAGCGCGGCTCGGAGGGGCTCGACGTCAATGACAAAAACTACGAGTTCACCAGCTACAAGAAGCGCGGCTCGGAGGGCCTTGACGTCAATGACAAAAACTACGAGTTCACCAGTTACAAGCGTGGCTCGGAGGGGCTTGACGTCAATGATAAGAACTATGACTTCAGCAGTTACAAGAGGGAGGAGGGGAAGCGCGCCTCGGAGGAACTTGGCGTCAATGACAAGAACTATGATTTCAGCAGTTACAAGAAGCGCAGCTCGGAGGGGCTTGATGTCAACGACAAGAACTACGAGTTCACCAGTTACAAGCGTGGCTCGGAGGGGCTTGACGTCAATGACAAGAACTATGACTTCAGCAGTTACAAGAGGGAGGAGGGGAAGCGCGCCTCGGAGGAACTTGGCGTCAATGACAGTGCCTATACCTTCAAGGACTACAAGAAGAGGGATGAGGGGAAGCGCACCTCAGAGGAACTTGGGGTCGATGACTCCAGCTATGAGTTCACCAACTACTGAACTTGACGCCAAGTTCTGTGCAGGTGAGTTATAGCTGTATGTCTTATTTTTGTGAGCCTCATCCATTATACTAGGTCTGGCATTGCCGCGGCCCCGCCTACAAGTTACTCTCCTGTATATCTATGTATCTTGACTCCCTTATCTGATTGCTTGGTTTTTAACATGTTGCGTGCCTATGTAATACAATCCCAGTTGTCTCACTCTTTGCGACTCGACTACAAACATATAGACCCGGCGTTCTTGTCACCATTGCACATTGCATTTTCTCAACTCGTATGTTGTCACCTCAAGTGCTCTCAGTGCCTGTCTAAATTATACGGTATGTCAATCGTAGCCTGCTCAGTGCTAGCTGGCTTTCGTCCGAGTCATATCAAGGAACAACTATTTTCTCTCGAATGGTCTTACTACGAAAGACTGAGTGTTCTTCACATTCTAAGTATTAGCACACGTTAGCGACATATATATCGCGCATGGCTAGAAAAACAAAATGCAACGACAACAGACCTGAGAAAGCAATAAGGCTAACCGAATTTTTGGGCGTCGTTCTCTGTCATTCACCAGGACCCCTACTTCTCATCGATGAGCCGATGTCATGACATTGCCTTGACCTACTCAACCGCACCACAAGAGGAAGCAGCGACACATTCTCACTCGACGCGTAGTACTGCACGCAGTCTAGATGGAACTTGTACAAAAAAACTATCAGCCGTGAATGGGGTTACCGCGTGAATGAAACAACATTACCTTAAACTTGGAGACAAACAGAATCAGAATCTCAAATACTCCACGCAGACGATGGGGCGTTCACCGGTGGTTAAAGTTAGATTCGAACTTCTTCAGGAATTCCCGGCTTTTGTTCACCGCTTGGTCGCTGCCGTCGCTCTCTGCTGTTGCGAGCGCTTGATTGGCGGACTTGGTGACGGGGGAGGTGTACAATGCGAACGTGGAGTATGTCACTATCACGCGGCAGTACGCCTGAAGGTGTGACGATCAGCAGGTGTTCGGTCCGAGTTCGCACACATACCCTCAGCAGTTTGACATTCGTCAACATGCATTCTTTCTGGCAAGTGTCCAGAAAGCCCATGTGATCCCTCAGAAGCTGGTCTACGGTGGTTTGCCTTAGCCAAGTTCGCCTCTTGCGCTCGCCAGTTAGGTTCAAAAACCTCGAATGTTGTGAAAGCTAGTATCCACATCGACGCGAGCGACTGTTCTACATGCTTGAGATGTAAGAGAAAACGAAAGAGGAGTTGGTAATGCAAAATCATTTTGCGAAAGATGACAAGTGAAAGGGGGAGTTTCACGTTGTAGTCGAGTGTAAGGGCATCAATCGCTTGTTTGGGATGAGCAGGGACAGTAGTAGCACAAAGATTTTGAGCACATACCTAACATGGGCTTGTCATCCTTCTCCCGGTCGCGATCCTTCTTTGCTTCTTCATCTAGCACACCCTCGCCTTCCTCACCACCGATCACGCCGTTTACGCTGATGACCTTGAGTGACTATTCATACAATCCGCTGCTCGCGATGCTGACTCGCACATCTTCGCGGAACGCGGCATCTTTCCCTGTAAGTGTAAGGTTGAGCAAACTCTGTAGCTTAACGATGTTGACACCTTTCGCGGGCTTCTTCAGCTCTGTGTGGGCGAGGTCTAAGAGGTGGGTGAGGAAGGACGGGAAGGCCAGGAAGAAATAACGTTCGAGAGAGCGCAGCCGAGGTATGAGCTGTTGATCTTGCAGCAGAAGGTGTAAGAAAGCGCGATTTGTATGTGTATGCGCGTCTTCGATGAATTTGTAAAGTTTGAAAATGCCCATGAAAAAAGACACGGGGACTCAACTCAATGAAGAAACACACTTTTCGTTAATTAATCCTTCTGATCGGCTTGCACCTCAATCCCACATTCACGTATCACGTTAAGATATTTCTCTACGAGTAAAACTCGTGTGTCCAACCCTCTAGAAGGGACGGTATACAAGCGCCACCGGGTAATTGACCTCGGATCCAGCAGTACGTGGCGGAGGAACACCTGTGCGCTGGCACTTCGAAGAAAGGGTCGAGCCATCACGAAGCTACCCAGACATCAGTATATATTTGTCCCTTTTCTGAGACAGAGCTAACAGTATATCGCCTTTCCCAATATTCGTACATGTAATCCACTTCCAAAATGCTTACTGATGAACTTGCTCTACTTGACACACAGCTCCTCGTATGGGTCTTCGAGACAACCCGCAGTTGTTCGTACTCGGAGCATCTTGACATAAGGAACTCCCGCTGCAGTTAGAAGAGTGCCATATACCTTGACCGCGGTGGGGTCACCCGACACCTGATAGTCTGCATACGCTCGCATATCACCGTCAGCAGTTCACCACCCTTCACATCAATAGGTGCATCTGACGTGCTCTTCATCATGTCAGATAAAACGGCCTTCAGCTTCGTCCCGCTGAGCCCGAGTGCTTCATCTCCGCCTGCTCTGGATCAGACTCGGGAGAAGATGAGGAAGAAGAGGCGTCGTCGTTATCCATGGTAGCCAGTTTGAGGACAAGCTGATAAATAAGGGATATGGTATGCACTGTTGGGTGGACATAGAACTATGATTTCTGTAGACTAGATTGCGGGGAGGTGTTGAATGCATGTTCGAGTCAAGAGAGGGGAGTTTGGCAGTCCTTTCTAAGAGACGTCACACGTCTAAAGAGACAAGGACTTCGTAAGTCCCCAGTCGAGTATGAACAGACTAATATAGTATGTACCTAAAGAGACAAGGACTTCGTAAGTCCTGTACTACGTCAGTAAGGAATGTGAGTATCATATAGTGAGACTTACCCCAGTCGAGTATGAACAGACTGGGGAAGAAGGGGAAAACGAGACGAGCGAATGTACCTGGAGCGGAGTTACCGTATTTAGTAAGTACGTTGAAGGTAGTGAACGCGACACCAAACAAAAAGAAATATCTATACTACTATGTTGACGGATTGATTTCCAACACACCCCCTCAATCTGGCAACAGACCTATCTCGTCAATCATTTTCTGGAACGCGAGACGTGCGAGTGGTTTCGTGAGGCCGTTGGCGAGCATTTCGGCTGATGGGATATGTATGAGCTCGAGAGTACCATCTTCGACGCGTTCGCGGACAAAATGGTAATGAACATCAATGTGTTTCGTGCGTGCATGGAAACGCGCTTCCTTCGCAAGGCTAATGCATCCAGTGTTATCCATGAATATCTCCGTGCCAGGATCTTCATCATACATTCTGATATCATGCAACAGATATCCCAGCCATATTGCCTGTTTGGATGCATGTGAGAGGGCCATGTACTCTCCCTCAGTTGACAAGGCTGCGACGGTGGTTTGTTTCTTGCTATTCCATGATATGACACAATCACCAAGGGTGAAGATGTATCCTGAAATTGACTGGCAGTCGTCAATATCTCATGCCCAGTCTGAGTCACTGTATCCAGTGAGGACATCTGCATTCTCGCTGTTCTCCCTGAGCATGAGGCAGAAGTTGTGTGTGCCTGCAAGGTAACGTAAAACACGTAGTGCAGCTCTCCAATGTGCCTGCCCTGGATTCGCACTGAATTGTCCGAGGTGGCTGCTGGCGAATGCAAGATCTGGGCGCAAGACCATTGCAATCCAAGTGATTGCTCTGATGAGTTCATGGTATGGTAGCTTCTTCATCTCTGCAGCTTCTTCATCTGTTTTAGGGCCATCTGCCCTTGATAGGACGGTATTTGGATCAACTGGCGTCTGTACGGGGTTGCATCCGTCCATTCTAAAACATTTGAGGATCGTGTTGATGTACTGGGCTTGTGAGATAGCGACGGAGTGATTCTTGCGATCGTCGGTGAGTGTGAATCCCATGAGCCAGTCTGGGTCTTCTTCCTTCATCTCAAACAGTTTGTGTAGCTCGGCATGAGTCTCCGCGAGTGTCTTGATACTGCTAGAGACAGTAATGGCATTGTCCACATGCCATGCTATGATTGACGTGCCTGTCTTCATATGGCGGGTATACACTGCATGGTCAGAGGCACAGCGGACGAAGTTGTGGGAGATTAGTGCCTGGTGCATATGTTTGTTCCACAGGTGTGAGCTTTGTTTGATCTCATAGAGGCTAAGTAAGAGTTTCATGACTCTGTCAGTGCCATCGCTGAAACCTTTGGGTTGTTGCATATAGATTTCGTGGTCAATCTTACTGTGGAGGAATGCCCCGGTGACGTCGTCTTGTCCTCAGTACCAGCCATGTGAAGCTGCAAAGTGCAGTATCACGCGAAGCGAGTCGAGTCGGACAGTTGGCAAGAATGTGTCACTATAGTCAACACCTGGGATCTGTGAATATCCTTGTGTGACAAGCCATGCCTTGTACTGTGTGATTTCGCCATCTGGGCCAAGCTTGAGGGTATATGTCCATTGGCACCCTATGACTTTTCAATCCTTCAGCTTCTCGACTAGCTCCCATGTACCTCTTCTCTGCAACATCTCGATCTCCTCATGCATTGCCTTCCACCATTGGTCTGCCTCGGTGCAGGTAGAAGCTGCCCAAAAGTGTTCTGGGGTTCGTTGGCCATAGGCTGCAAGATAAGCGAGCTGGGCAACCTCGCCAACAGTGGTATTTTCAACCAGTGGTGTGTCAGTGTCGTTTTTACGTTGCCTTTGGGCTCGAGTTTCTCATCTTGCCTTCTGATCATTCTTTTCCCTCTCAGACTTGGCTTTCTGGGTGTCCACTGCTTGTTTCTTCCACGATGGTCGTGTGACACGCTCTGAACGTCAAGGTTGAGCTGGTGGAGTAGCTGGTGTAGGCATTGGGGGTTCTTTGATGAGCATTGGGGGTTCTTTGGCGAGTGTTGGGGGTTCTTTGACGAGTGTTGGTGTCTCATTCATGGTTGGATTGGCGTCTCTGTCCATCACCCCCTCGGTCCAAGTAGGGGAGTCAACAATGGTAGTTGATTTTGGCACCCCCTCACTTGGAGTGGAGATATTAGGAGTAGGGACAGGTTTGTCGTCGAGTTGGCTGAAGATTTTCTCATAGACTATGACATCACGAGATGAGATGAACTTGTGTTTAGAGGGAATCCAGACCTTGTAAGCTTTAGAGCCTCGTTCAAAACCACAGAGGATACCATCAATGGAATGAGCCTTGAGCTTCTTCCGAAACTTGGGAGAGACTTGGACATGACAGCAAGAGCCGAAAATGCGGAGGGTAGATACATCTGGTTTACAACCATGGAAAACTTCATTGGGGGTAATTTTTGAGAGTGCTTTGGTTGGGCTTCAGTTCCAGATGTAGCTTGCATACTCATGTGCTTCAGGCCAGAAGCATTTTGACATGCTGGCATCTTCGAGCATTGCAAGAGCATGTTCATGTGTGGTTCGGCTGAAGTGCTCTGCAACTCCGTTTTGCTGAGGTGTACAAGGGGCTGAAAATTTGTGTGTGATGCCCTTCTGCTCAAAATAACTTCCCAGTGTCAAGTTGATGAATTCACCCCCACAGTCAGAGCGTACTATCTTGACATGATGTTCAGTGTATGTCTTGAGTCATTTGATGAGTGCCTTGATGAAGGCTGGGGCTTGGTCCTTCAACTTCAAGTATTCCTTCCACCCTTTTTGACTATGGTCATTGACAACGGCGAGGGTGTAGAGATAGCCTTGGATGGATTTGTCGAATGGACCTTGGAGATCCATATGGATGCAATCAAGAGTTTTCTTTGCTTGAGTTGCAGTAGATGGGAAGGGGGGGCAATATCATGTCTCGCAGTGGGTGGTGCAATGACACTATGGATCTCGTATAGGTTGTTGGTTAGTCTTCCCTCCATCACAATCTTGCCATTGGGTTTCTTAATGGTGAGTCACCCATTTCGCTTCGTGATCTCCATCCCTTTTCGGTCCATACAGCTTTCTGACATCAGGTTGTCACAGGCATTGGGACAGTATCGAACATTTGTCAATTTGACAATACAGTCAGGACGTCCCTTCATGGAGACATTAACTAGTACCGATCCATGTCCAAGGACTTGGAGTACAGGTCCGTCTTTCATGATCCCTTGGATATGCTCCTCTGATGGGGTGAAGGTAGCGAAGGCTGTTCGTTCAGTGCATATGTGAGTGGTTGATCCCCCATCAAGGATCCAGCCAAAACGGGAGTGAGAGGGAGGACTGGTGATATAGGATGAGTGTTCAGTGTCTGAGGAATCTTTGTCCACAACAGCTTGGTTGGCTTTCTTGCCTGACTTCAACCTGTATTTCCCCTTGTGGGATTTGTCATCCTTCTTGTCCCCCTTATTACTATCTCTCTTTGGCTTCTGCTTGTCACGATGGGGTCCCTGACCTTGCTTTGCACCACCTTTGAGTAGCATTCTTTGGTCCAATGACCAGAGATATTGCAGTTCTCGCAGAAAGGTTGGCCTGGTATGGGTGTATGGCTGAGTTTGCTTCGGCCTTTGTTTCCATGTGAGGCTTGGTACATGGTACTGGATGTGCCTGATTGGCTTGTACGGACGCTGAACTCGTCCCTGATTCGCTGTTCGACTTTGACAGATTTGTAATGGTCAGGGAGAGCTGCAAACACATAGTTCCAAGCTGCCAGCATGGATATATGTAGGAAACACACAAATAACTCATCATTGATGTCCCGTCGCATTAGGATGAGATCATGGCAATAGCCCTTCATCTTTGCTATATGGGCATTGATGTCTTCCCTGTCATTATATTTGGTGGTGACGAGAGAAGCCATGACAAGTGTCCAATCTGTCACTGTGGTTACCAAGTATAGCCATTTCACATCTGTCCAGATTTTGGAGGCATGCTGAAGGTGCGCTAATT